GGGAAGGGCGTCGGACATGGTGATTTGGCGTGGAGGTACAGCGGCTGGGGGTTGTTGAGCAGATCAAACTGTTATGAATGGGCGGAGCCGATGGAAATAGAGGCGACTTGTGGTGCAGGTTGTTGACAGGTAATGGTATTCAGACCGAAACAAGAACTAGAACAAGACTAGGAAGAACTGGTGTTGATCTGCTGGGGGATCAGGAAGTGGGGAGCTCAGGGGAGGCGGCTATTTATGTTTTTCTGGGAAGGCTGGGGAAGCGTGGGGAAGCAGAAGGGTACGGAATGAGAGGGAAGCCAAGAGAAGCGCCAAGGGTGGGGAAGCATAGAAACAGAAGACTGGGGATGGGGTGGCTACGCTGAGGCTGTGGGCGGGTACGTGGGGAAGTATGGAGAAGGGTTTGTAAGCGCCGTGTGTTGGGAGGTGTGGCTACGTGCGGCTGCGTGGAGAAATGAAGGCAGTGGCAGGTGTGGGGTAGCGCGGCTGCGTGCGGCTGCGAGGCTTGGCAGATGTCAGGTTTTGACAGGGAATTGACATTGACTGACTGTTGGGATGCTGTCATGAGGTAAGCGCATGGCATGGACGCGTCGTCCATAACATGCTGAGTGCTTCGGAGCGGACCAAATACCGTAAACGTCAACATCTGATGGAATTGAAGAGGACCCAACAGGCGTGGACAAGGTTGTGGTCGTCGTCGTCGTGGCCAAAGCCAAAGCCAAAAGCCTTGGCGTCGACGTCGAAGCCACTGAAGGCCATAGACCTTACGCTTGCTGAGGACGAAGCCGTGAAGGCAAAGAGGGAACGGGCGCATAAGAGGGCTGAGGAAAAGAGGGAGGCTGCCAAAGGGGGGAAGAGGAAGGGCAAGGAGATCGATACCGACGATGAACTGTCGGACGAGGTGAGTGGCCAGGAGAAAGTTTCTCATATCATGATACCAATACTGACTTTCTAGGAGGAGGGCAAACTTGGCGGACGAGAAGACACGCCGGATTTTGGGGAGTACAAGAAGGGGATGAATGCTCTCGGAAAAGGAGGGAAGGGGGACGGCAGCGGTGGTGGCGCTCCTTTTCCATACGTGACAGAATGAGAGAGGGTAAGCTGAGGTTTATGCTGTTTTTCGACGTCCCCATTGAGTTCTCACTCAAAAACGCAATAATCCTCAGCTTCCACCATCGAATCTTGTACACCTCGCATAGAGAACATGCTTTCGCACGCACGCACGCACGCAATACATAATCTCTCCTTTTTCGCGTTTCCCTTGATATGCCCTACCCTCATGTTTGGTTCCTTAGCTTATAAGTTCTACCAGAATGCACAAAGAGCGTACATTGCAAGTTATGAGCACCGTTGTTTTTGATTTTCATTCAGGAAATCTTGGTATTCCGCTAGCGTAAGCTGTTTCTGGCATCGCTCTACCTCCATTGCACGAGCAGCCTCCTTGCCTGTGGTCGCCGTCAGTTGGCAACGTGCCTGTACAGCATCATATATCCTCTTTCGCCGTGTATAATGAGTCCGCTCAGTTGTGGCCGCCCGCCAGCTGGACCGCCACCCCGCATCCAATGCCCTTACAGACGGCTGCCTCGCCCTGTTCTCATCTACCAAGCCCTTGTCGTACTCCTCCCAGACTTGGATGACCGTACCAAGCCGGCGACTCATGATGTACTTTGGGATGTCACCAGCCGCTGATGTCGCTGAGGGTGTAGGCGGAGGAGTAGGCAAATGCTCTTTGGCGAGGGCTTGGGAAGGCACAGACGTGGCGTCTTGTGAGGCCAACAGGCGGGAGAGCAAGGCTGGCTGTGGCCGTTCCGTTGACCGCAGTTGTTCCAATGCATTTTGAGCCTTCCTCCAGGATGGCAACATTTGCAAGTCGGTCATCATGCCTTCTATAGATCCCATGAAGTCTTCCACATGATCAATGCGCTGACTATGCAAAGCGACGTCGCTACCGACGCCGTTGATGTAAGCAGACACAAGCTGCGAAGCCTTGATGGTCATAGCGATGCCCTCGCGCCCGCGTGTATCGATATCTGCAAACATATGGATGTCAGAGACGTCGGCGATTGTTAAGACAGGCAAGCTGAGGTTTAAGCTGTCTTTTGACGTCCCCATCGGGTTCTCGCTCAAAAACGCGATCATCCTCGGCTTGTCACCAACGAAGGCAATGCACGGACTTACTTGCAGTTACTCGGTCCTCTGAATCCATGACTCGTTTTGTGAGCGCCGCCATCTGGTGCTGTATACCTTCTTCAACCGTTGCCACCTTCGTCAGTATGGAATCGTTAGTTGCTTTGATCGCGACGGCGACATTTGGCAGCACATGCTCAATAGATGCGATTGTTGGATCTGGTGACGTTTCCTGCGCCGCCTTGAGTTTCGCGTGGTATTCGAGAAAGACAGGGTTGGCGAAGACCGGATGGAGCCAGATTGGTTTGCTGGAAAATGCGATTGAAGTAATGCGGAATCTTGTAGTAGGCTTTTGCGTAACTTGACTAGCAGGGTTGCCACGTTCTTGCTGGCAATGCAAGGCAGTGTGCGCTCCTTTCGATCGTGGGCATCGAGTGCTTCTTTAGCCCACGGGAAGATCTGGTCAACTAGTTCCTGTGGCCGTTCGACTTCCCTTGGCAGAAAATACCCGCCTTCATTTGCAGGCCACTCGCCGATGGCCCGCATCACTTCTTTGGGGACATCCGTGTCATACCCGAGCCAAAATGCACTACGACTCCAACCTCCCATATTGGTGATCGCGTTTACGTCCGCTCCGTTGCCTCTGGCTTCCTTACTACCGGTACCGCGGGTTAAGTGGGTGACCTTGGAAGCGTGAATCCCGACTGCCGCGAAGGCTGCTTTGAACATCTTGTTGTGCGGTTGGTATGTAAAGCGATTGGGATTATTTCGCAGGCCCCCATCTTCATCGTCCGACGAGAGAACCTTGCGCGTTCGTTTCCTTCCAGTTTTGGTGATATCCTTTTTCATAAAGTACGTGTTGTACCACGATGCCTTGTCAAACAGATCCGGTGGAGTTTCCTAAGAGTTTCCAGAAGTAGAAACAAGCTGAGGATAACCTCGGTTTTGGGCGTCCCACAACGGGGCACGTCCAAAAACGCACTAATCCTCAGCTTGTCCACCTCAAGAAAAAGGTCAACAAGCAACATGCAACATGTTCCTTACCGTGCTTATATGCCATCTGTAGAAGAGATACACTGCAACATGCGCTATAGCGCAGAATATAACATTCTTTGCCCGCATGAAACCGACAGTTTCCAATCGCCCAAATTGATTTGTTTTCCCATGCCGCGATGTGAGCTCGACGCCCCATGCTGGCGTGGGTCCTTCATTACCATCCAACGGCAGAAAGGCGAAACAGGAGAGTTGTAAACCGCGCATGATTTGGCCTCGCTGAAGGGTGGCGTGTTGGATCAAAAAGGATGTGTAGTTCCGGAGCCCGGACTCTGGAGTTTGCTGCAAAAAAGGGATCCTGAATTAGAAGAGGCCAAGCTGAGGTTAATGCGGTTTTTCGACGCGCGCACGCCGGAGACGTCGAAAAATGCACTAATCCTCAGCTTCCCAACGATCAACCATTCACGCACCTGCGTCCACCAATGCTTTGCTAGATTCAACTGGTCCTTGTTGTCGTAAGAATCACCTGTACTCCCGATCCCTCGATCTTTCAACGCTTTATAATCGCTGTTATACTGATCCCTACTCTGAGTTTTCAGCATCTCCTTTATTGTGGTCATTCGAGGATAATTGGGTTTGATGTTCTCGCCCAATGCTTGCTGGGAATCGGACAAGTCCGTCACGGCCTTGACGTACTGGTCCAACGTAGCCCGTGACATGGGCTTTGGAGGATTGTAGGGCTGTCCTCTATTGTTTAATGCCCCCCGGGGCTTGACATATTTGTTGAGCCACAGAAGAACTTTGCCTGGCGTGACCTTTTGCGAGCGCCTGTTGGTGTCGCACCATGCCAGATACAACCTCGCACGGTGGCCATATGTGTTGTTAGTCTCAACCGGTCTCGCTCGTTGGTCCTTTTCCATTTGTTTAATGGTGCTTTGGTGAACTTCCGCATCCTGCACGTCTTCCAAGTCCTCCACTATGCTATCGTCGTCCCTCGGGGCGTCACCATCGTCCAGACCAGCTGCAGCGGTGGCCTCTGTGGTGGCTGTAGGGGTCGCAGCCATGTCGTTGCCGTCCAGTGTGTCCAAGCTGAGAATTATGCTAATTTTCAACGTCGCTTTGGACTTCTCGCCCAAAAACGCAATAACCCTCAGCTGTACGAACAAATGCCGTCACCCGGCCTATGGTCACACGCATAACTAATCATTTCCATTGTACCCATGTATGGCAGAAATGCCCCATTGAGGGCATTTCCGTTTTCTATTAGTGCCGTACATAGTCATTTCCCAAGATACATAGGGGGGTCACGTGACTCGCGTTACTGGTCTAGTTCTGAGTAACGTGAACGCGTTACAGGCGTCACTGACCCGATAGTACATGTATGTACGCGTCTTGTCCGAACTTAGAGCATCCCCTTCCTCCCACCGTTTCCCTCTTCGTAACTGACAGTCCAGATGTCTGGTCTAGCACTATCCACGCTTCCTTTATGGCATGCATTTCTGCAAACATGCACTCGAAGTGTTTTCATTTAGTGTTTTTGTAGGTTTTGTCAGAGAAGTTCCTTAAGGGGGATGGACAAACTGGCGAGCTGTGGGCGTCTCCAGAAAGATGAGGGAGAATGCAGTGAGCCGGGGGGAGGTTGGCTGGCCACCAATCTTATGTTGAACTTTCGTCTAACAATGCGAGCTTTCTTTTCCGAGTTTCCGAGTGCGTTAATCTTTTTGACGGGCTGGATCTGGATAGGGATCTGCTATTTGTATGACTTCCTGGAACGGGATGCTTGCATATGCTCGAATGGGGTGTGCAGTGCGCAACTTTGCGATTCCATTCAACAATCCCCTGAACTTTTCGATATGTTTGCGTTGCGTTCATACGTCCCTGCATACGTCCCGTCGTGCATGCCATCACGGACTCTTTATAATTAAGAGCGGTGGCCGACGCGTAGAAAGAAACAAGCGTCACCTCAATGTTACCGTTCCCTTATCCACCCCGCTGGCGGTAGAAGGTGGCCTATTTAGAAGCAGTGCTCCGTAAGGCCAGCGCAAGCATTGAATGTATGGCGTTGCTTCCCCCTGTGGTTCCCCTATTCGATACCTTCCTTGTCGGAAAGCGCCTGAGAAAGCCACACTTGTGCCTTATCCAACCCTACTTGACGAAACCTCTCAGTTGCAGACAGGCATCAGACTTGGAGGTCCATATAGCTGTCGGAGGTGATCCTCGCCAGAACGGAGAGTTACGGTCGATAAACCAGAAGCCGACGGCCTCGCGCCCAGAAAATGGACGGCCACGAAGGCGACGAGCAGTCTTTCCTCGACATTCTCAATGCACCTGTAGCCTCGTCTCGACCGGCAGCGGCTGCCAATAATGCTTTCACAGCCTCCAACGATGTACCGGCTATCGGCGACCCCGACTTCTTTGGATCCTGGGATGACATGGACGCGCAGGGCGAGGCGGAGGATGAGGAAGGCGAAGACTATGACCATGAGTTTGACGAGGGTATGGCCATAGACACGGCGGAGACGCACGCACAGCACGATCAAAACGCAGTCGTGGAGGACGTCCCAGATGATGTTGGGTAAGGAGGACATGGATCGGTCGTTTCCTGTGCCGGTTGATCAAAAAACGAACCATTTTGTAACTGTGCAGGCTACAGCTCGACCAAGCGACCGCCGACGCTGGCCTAGATACCCAAGGAAGCAGAGACTTCCTCTGGGAGGAAGACGAAGAAGCCATCCGCGAGATCGAAGAGTCCGCCGGCTTTGAAGGCTGGGGCGACGAGCCCACGCAAAGCAGCGGCCGCGGCCGTGGGAAAAAACGCGGTAGACGGGTCAAAAGCAGCGATAAGCAGGAGTTGACGGACGAGCAGGCCGAGATTGTCGGGCAGGCGAATCTGGCGTACATGCGGGGAGAGTACGCGACTGCTGTCAAGCTGCTGCATGAAGTTATACAGGGAGCGCCGAACGCGTATCAGGCGTGGGTTACGCTGGCGATGATCCATGATGAGTTAGGGGATACGGTCAAGGCAATGCGCACGTATATGATGGCGGCTCATCTTTCGCCTAAGGATACGGATTTGTGGACTCGGTTGGGGGCCATGTCGAGGTGCGTGCGTCTGCGCAAGCTGAAGTGTCAAACGTATGGAGTGCGCGATGCTGATAGCGGCCAAACACCAGGAAATTTGGGCAGAATGATCAAGCTCTATATTGCTTCAACCATGCAATCTCTGCGGATCCCGAGAACGTCGATGCTTTATGGGATCGTGCGGCGATCTATCATGAGAGAGGAATGATGCAGAAGGTACGACACAGGAGGGCTTGCTCTCGTACCGCCTTTATCGCTAAGGCGCTGACACCCCCGATTCACAGGCAATAACCGACTTAGAAGCCCTCCTCGAAATCATCCCCCACAACATGCCCGCCGTAAAAGAGCTCTGCAAAATCTACGTCGAACTGAACGACGCCGGCCGCGCCATCCCCCTCTTCGAGGCCGCCTTTAAAGCCGACGAGACCCATCCCATCCAAGTCTCATCCCCCGATGCAGGCGACGATGAAGAGGCCGACGACGACGACGAGCAAGTCCTCGCTGACGTCAGCATGGGCGTTAAGGTCACCACGAAGACCCGTATTGGATATGAGGAGCTCAATATGCTGGCGGAGTTGTATATGGAGATAGGGGATTATGAGAAGACGCTAGTGACAATCAAGCAGGGCTTACGGAGGATTCAGGGGAGAACGGAGGAGCGCCATTGGGATGAGCATGATGATGATCGGGAGTATACGGAGGATGAGGTGCCGGAGAGTAGGGAGCTGCCTATCCAGCTGCAAGTGAAGTTGGGGATATGCCGGATTTGGCTGGATCAGCCTGAGATTGCAAAGGTAATGAACCAGGGATATAGTGTGACCGAAAAAAGTTGGAGTTCGCTATGCATGGAGAGTTGAGGTTTACCCTTGGGGCTTTTCACAGATGCACTTCGCCAAGTTATATGCGCGCCCGGTGAATGACTTCGCCGAACTGTACTTTGAGGTCGCTGAGGCATACATGGGGAAACGCATGTTTTCGGTCGCCCTGACCGTATTCGAAGTGTTACGGGATAATCCATCGGTAAGCATCAGGCACTCATGATTCCGTCACATTCGGGTGATACCAGCGACGTGGTACGCTGCTTACCTTACTCCCCTCCCAGACCGACTCAGCCATAATCTGGAGCAAAATGGGCTACTGCTACCACCACCTGGGCAACTTCGAAATCGCCAGCGAGCTCTACGAAGCCGTCCTCGACGCCAACCCGGACGATTTCGATGTCAAACTAGCATTGGCCCAGGTCTGCGAAGAGCTCGGTGACGAAGACAGAGCACTGAGACTCATCGCGGAAGTCGATGCCGAGTCCCGAGCGGCTGTGCGGGATCAAGGCGGCGATACCGCGGCGCAGGGGAAAGAAGTCGATGGCAGACACTCGGACGGCACACCGACGCAGAGTGGATCGGAAGCGGTGGTGGCATTTATCATGGAGAAGCAGCGGAACGTGGTGCAGGATCAAGCGACGAAGGATGCGATGGAGGCCGCGAGGAGGAGGGAGGCGTTGGTGACGTACGAGAGGGTTATGACGCTTTGGGTGAACATCAAGGAGAAAGTCTCCAGGACGGACTTTCTGAGAACAGCCCGAACCTTGATCACGTCCTTCCAGAACACGAAAGCGTTCTACCCTACGAATCGGGCACAGAAGTACCGCGGTCTAAATCCACGCCTGAAGACCCGCAAGGGCGGCGTGCAGCATGAGATACAGGAGATGAGTGACCGGTTACGGCCGGGAATGACGAAATCGGCTCGCCAAGATCAGCTACCAGTCAATTTGAATGAGTTTCTGGGACTGAAGTTCGATCAGTGGTATGATCTGTTTGTGAAGTACGCATACGCTGCAGTCATGGACGGAAAAGAAGAGGAAGCGCAATCAACGCTCATGTCGGCGTTCGACGCCAATGTCTTCTACCACGATGAGCTGAGGAAGATTCGATTACGGTTGCATATGATATGTAAGCTCCGTCGTTCGATCTGGTTGAGGGTGATTGGCGGAAGCGGGACAATAACGGTCGTTTTTCGATAGCGGTGGCCATCTACGGAGGAAACGCCGTCCACGTAACAGACCAATGCCGGTGGTTTTGTCAAACATCGGGGTATCCGAATGATGTGTATCGGATATATAGTGCGATGCATGCAGGGTATGTGCTAGTGTCCCTCAGAATTTGGAACCGCCCCATCGTCAAGGTTGACGCGCTTCCTCGTTTTTTATTTATTTTAGTGGTTCCGAAGCAGTCCAATGCTACGGCATGAACAGCAGCGTCAAATACTTCATGCGACAACTCAAAGCCATGGACAAAGGAGCGAAAACACAACCCTATGCACCGGAAAACAGGAACGCGTTGCTGTTGACGACTTATGGCCATCTGCTGCAGGCTGGACGGAGTTATTTGGCTGCAATCGGTACGGATCAACTCGGCCACTTTGCAGTCATTTAATGACATGGTTCCTGATTGGCTCATTACGATCCCTTCCCAAGCCTTCTACGTCAAAGCCTACCACCTCTGCCCCAACGACCCACTCATTAACTTCTCACTAGGGCTGGCCCATATCCAGCGCGGAATGCAGCGCAAAAGCGATAATCGACACATGCATATGATGCAGGGGTTCACGTTCGTGATGCGGTATCATCAACTGCGCGGGGAGAACGTCGAGGCGAATTTCAATGTCGCTAGGGCGTTTCATCATGTTGGTACGTTTGTCACATCCCCCGTCTTTTCGAGTTGGTGCCCGCCCATCGCCGCTCATCGAATTACTCGAATCACCTTCCCCCAACTTATTACCAGGTCTGAACAATCTCGCCATCCCGTACTACGAAAAAATCCTGGAAGCCTCACGGAAGGGCAAACTGACAGAGGACGAGCAGGATCTCAAAGGCGAAGCGGCGTACAACCTGTCCTTGATCTATATTAGTAGCGGGTCTCCGGGTCTGGCGGAGATAGTTTTGAGGAAGCACTGCACTTTCTGATACGGCTGTTTCATTTTTGGATATACTTATTGTCAACCGTTCACGCAATGCCACAAACTTCTGCCTCGCATCGTTGTCAGGAGGGGTTTTTTTGTGAAGATTCCTTGATTTCATTTCCAGCAAACATCATCTCTATACAAAGGTTCGGTAGGCCACCAAAGCATTCGTGGAACTCAATCACTTCTTGAAAGGCCACCCTATGAAACCGAGATGTTGGCCTTGCAAACATCGTTGGTTGAGAATTCAGAAAAGAGCACTCACAATCGGGGATAGGCTCGATCCACTCCCGTCCTTCCTTGGCTAACTGTTCCTTCCACATCTTTTGCGAGGCTGGGTCCTGTCGACGGGAACAATAAATCACAGTCAGGTTATACAAGACAAGGTGCTAGATTACGGGATAACGAAGAACTTACGTGAAACTCCCTGGCCCATAGCATGGATGGGATCCAGCGATCGGGGTATCTATGCCTAACCTGTAATTTGCGGTGCTCAGAATCTGCGGCATGACTTTCCCCGACTTCCACAGCAACCGCGCCCCAATCGGTTCATCGAATCTCCTCTCTCCGCGAAATCTCCTCTCTCCGCGACCGTTTTCGAGACTACTGAACTCGTCGATTGTAACCGTCATTCTTCGGACGCTGCACCTCCCACACCGCCACTTCCCACACCACCGATTCGCACGCGGTCTGCTATCGCGGACTATCCTTCAACTCCTCCAGTTTTGATCACTTTCCAAGCCCAGATATTCACCTCATGCTTTGCCGAGAAGTTGAATGCCAGAGCGGTAAGACCAAGGATGCCGACTCCCGTTATGATGGTATTTGTGGCGGCATTCTTTGGTGCCGGCCACCAACCACCTATCGATTACGACGGTTGTCAGCATGATTTCGACCCGCCAAAAAGCGAAAGTCCGCCACCGCTCGGCAAACTGATGACAAGGCACTGATGTGAGCACTCACCATAGTATGACCAGACCCACTTGGGGTATGGGTATTTTCCTCCTCCTCCCATATTTGTGCTTTGTGGCGGGATTGTGGGTTGGAGAAGTAAACGGGTTCGTCATGGAAGCAAGTATGGATGGACAAGGCATTTAAATCTGCGTGTCGGTCACGTGCTGTTCAGAGCCGTTCTTGCTGTCGAACGAGCTCACATTTCACATCAACTTCAAGGACAACTCGAAGTTTACAACTGTCCGATCTTTTGCAGCTCCACGGGCTTCATTTACTCTCGCCCGCACCATGTGGGGAAATCATGGGCCAACCGGCTCTTTGATGAAGGTACGGGATTGACGACGACTGCGAACGGAAGTTGCGCTTTATTGATGTTTCCCTTCAGCATCAGCGTTACCGTTTCCGCTTCCTTTGCCGCAGAGCGTCCTACAACCATCCATCAGTACTGTAAATCACTGAATGCATCTGCATGGACCCCGCCGGTAGCCCCGCTGCACACGCCTCGAGGAAGATTTTGGGGTCCGCCAATCACAACATCGAGCGACCGGATCTGTTCGCGCTAATCGGAAATCGGATCTCGCTGTTCGGGTGGAGGATGGTCTCGTGCCCACGGTCGCGCTAGCGCTAGCTCCTGCAGAAGTGCCGAGGGAGCTACCGTTAGCGTGACCGTGGGGGGAACGGGCACGGTTGTTGTTTGCGGGACGATTGATGCTGGTTGGAGGGGCGGGTGCGAAGCAATCTAGCTGCTGTAAAACTGCTCGGAAAATGGTGGTCACAATGCTGTACTCGAACCGGCTGCACAGGGCTCCGTGCAGTCGTTCTTCATGCGCTGTTCTTTCGAATGTGGCCGGACCCTCGTCGAAGAAACCTCCGAATGGTTAAAGTTTGGTTGCAGATGATGTTCTCTATTGCCGTTTCATCGCTGTAAAGCAAGATCCCCTCGCTCGTCTCCTTTGAACCCTTCGACCACACAGTCCAAATCCATCTTCTCCTTCTCCTCCCTCCTGCACTGCCGGGTGAATCGCTGGCACATGCAGGTGAACTGCCAGCCGGACCAAGTGAGATCGAGCGGCTGTGGCTGCGTCCGCCTGCAAGTGACCGCCGGCAGGTAAACCACCGGCAGGTGCGCACTTGTGTATTGTAGTGCAAGAGCTTGTTCGCTCAAGAGAGCTTCTGCATACCTCTGTGCAAAGGCTTGCTCTACCCCGTGCATACCGTGCAAAGGCTTGCTCTGTGCAAAGGCTTGTCGGGAGACCGAAACTCGTCCGAGTCGTCGAGGACTCCGGGGCTTCGGAACCTTCTCCCTGCTCCTTTTGGGTGGTCGTGAGGCAACCTGTGTCCTGTATGTATGAGGGAGTGCGACACTGGCGAAAGGAAGACGGACGCGTCCTCTCGCTGATGACACATGGGCGGCGACGGGCAAGGCGGAGGGGTGCTTTTGCCGCGGTAGCATCCGACCTCCTCTACTCTGTACTCCAACACTCGCAAACCACTCCTCAAGCTGAGCAGTGGAGACTCCACCATAGCACTCCTTAAAGACGGCCCCCACTTCCACGCCCCCCTCCGTCTACGCTCCTCCGCTCAAAGCCCTCCACAAGACCTTACGTCTCTGTTAATTCACAAAAACCGTAAAGCATCATGTCAGCTCCAGACCTCTCCCTCCCGGCCCTCTTCAGCGTGAAAGGCAAGGTCGCCGTCGTGACCGGTGGTGGCACAGGTATCGGGAAGAGTGAGTATTGGGAAATGCCCTCGTCGTTATTGCTGGGGTGCACTCGAAAGCTCACGGCATTTCTCGTCTCCCTCATGCAGTGATCGCTGCGGCGCTCGTCCAGAACGGCGCCAAAGGTAAAGCATACCCCTCACCCTCACCACTCCCTTCATATTTCGCCTCGCTATCCCCACCCATTCTCTCCAAACCCTAAAGGCACCCTTCTCCCCACACAGTCTACATAGCATCCCGCAAAAAAGCCGTAGTCGACGAAACAGCCGCCGAACTCACCCGTATGGGGCCAGGCACCTGCATCGCTCTCCAAGCGGACCTAGGCACCAAAGCTCAGTCCAAAGCACTCGCGGCTCAGATTGCTGAGAAGGAAAAGAATGGGATCCATGTGTTGGTTAATAATGCGGGCATGGCGTGGGGTTCGCCCTTGCAAGACTTTGATGAAATCAATGGGTGGGATCGGTTGATGGCGCTGAATGTTAAGAGTTTGTTTTATACCACAACTGAGTGAGTAAATCTCGAGCGAATGCCAGGAGAATGCGAGCGACAGCGAGCCCCATTGCGCCGGAGGCGCAAGAACGCTTGAGGACTGGGCCGAAGGCGCAAGAATGCTTGAGGATGGCGAGAGTCAGTGAGCCGAGGTCGTTCATCTCCTGCCCAACATCCTCGTCGCGAGCGTAGCGAGCAGGAATGTCGGTCCATCCATTCATCGTTCCTCACACTCGCGACACAACGCAATCGTCACCTCTTCCTAATCCACTTTCCCACATTCCCCAGACTCCTGCCGCTCCTGGAAGCCGGCTCCCGCGGCTCCCTGGACCCGTCGCGCGTGATCAACATCTCGTCCGTGGCTGGATCTGCGTGTACCGCGGAGGATCCGTTGTCCGGGGATGGGAAGGGGACCTATTCTTGTGAGTTGCCCCTTTTCATTTCGTTGGGTTTTCTATATGGAGTGTGTGTGCTGATGGAGATGTGAATGCCGGGGTTGTGATCAGATGCGACGTCGAAAGCCGCCGTAAACCACCTCACCCGCGTCCTCGCGTTGCCTCTTGCTCGGTAAGCCACCCCCCACGCCTCCACCCTCCCCCTCACATTTCATCTAACAAATTTTGATTCTGATGTCCCAGCCACAAAATAACAATAAACGCAATAGCCCCCGGCGTCTTCCCCTCCCGCATGACAAAGTTCGGCATCGAGCATGGGAAAGATCTCCTCGAAGGCGTGCAACCCCTCGGTAAAATCATCCGTCGCCCCTCCCATCCCATCCCCATCACCCCTCGTTCCCATGATATGTGACTGATCGATCTATGCATCTTTTTAGGGAGGATTGGGACAACGGAAGATATGGCCGGTCTCGCGTTGTTTTTGTGCAGCAGGGCGTCGGCGCATATCACCGGCGCAGTGATTCCGATCGATGGTGGGGCTACTTTGAGTGTTGTTGGGTTGTCGAAGTTGTAGGGAGTTGGTTGAGGAGCGGGGAACGTTATGTGGGGCGTAGAAGAGCATATGTGAAGATCAGACAGTTTGGAGGCTGGTATGATTGCATCTATATCTAGACCGCTGAAATCGGATATAGAGTCCTCTATGTCTAGTGTAGTGCGTAGGCGGAGGACGGAGCGCGGGTTGAGACCGATAGCAGCGGGGTCTGAGGAATTCTGGGATGGTTCCTATATATGTCTGCAACAATCAACGACCTCGTGCACTGAAGATTCCCAAGAAGACCTGCCGTTTGAAGCTCCTTAATCTCACGTGTGACGCGAGATGTCATCCCGCCATGCAAGTTGGAACCTCCCATCACGCCTTCGGTGTCAACCACCCCCTAAAACTCTCATAAACCCAAAACTGCACCACATGCGTCGGCCCCATCCACGCCACCCTCGCCCCAACCCCCCTCCAAAAGCCCCTCCACCCCTCCCTCCTCCACAACCCCTTCACAATGGCCCAAAACGTCTCCCTCCTCCCTTCATCCACCTGATACGCCACCTTCGGCACCTCCAACGGGTTCGTCACCGCGGCAGCTATACTCCCCGCCACACCGGAGCAGAGGATGATGGCCCACCCGGAGAGTTGGGGGATAAGCGAGGGGGTGTTGTGGGAAGCGAGGAGTTTGAGTTGTTCGTAGAGGATGAAGTAGAGGATGGAGTAGGGGAGGTAGACGAGGATGCCGAGCCAGAAGCCGACGAAGAAGCCGGGGAGGCCTTGGCGGGCGTACAGGGAGAGGATGAGGGTGAATGTTGATGGTGCTGTGGGACCTGTGGTTGGGGACTGGGGGATTGGGGAGTCGAAGTCGTCGGTTAGAGTGTGAAGGGGGATATCGGCGTCGTCGTCGATGTTGGAGAGGTTTTCCATGCTAGGGTGGGCGTTTAGCTTTGTAGGCATGTGGCCGCTGCCTACTTGGGCTTGCTGCCTGCTCTTGATCACTTCCTGCGGAGGATGAAAAGGGTGCGGTGGGTGAGTAGGGCCCAACAGAAACGACGCCGCCCGTCTTCATCGGTCGACCTCCTCACCATTGGACACCAAAAGACATTGCTGAGCAACTCCGCAAGCGCTCCAGCCAGCAGATGGATAATGCTACTAGTGGCAGGATCGCCGACGAACCCAAGATGCGTCTTTGTCCATTCGTACGTGGACAGGTATGTTATGATCGCTGGAACGGCGAAGATCAACCCGGTGCTGAAGCCTGCGTCCACATCACAGATGAGCGTGGAAAACAAAAACAAACAGTTCGATTGGGGGATGAGAGGTCCCTTCTCGCTCTTACCCTTATACAGCGACCCTATCCCTTCGTTCCGGACTATGAACCAGAACCCGCCCCAGGCTGACAACCCGTACAGACCCGTCGCGTCGCTGTGCGCATGTCGGGTGGATGTCGAGCTATGTGGCGGCGCTATTGCTGTCTGCAGTCGGACCTTTTGTCGTGCGCGAGACAAGGTAACTTCCAATCAACTCCCGTTCCCATCCCAATATCCTCGTGGCATAAATCCGGGCTGTACCTTCAAAGTCTATGTGAAGTGCGGCCGGTGAGCGCACTTGAAGAGGGTCACGCTTTAGAGATCCACTTCTGAATTCAAAGGTGCCCCCCGCAAGGAAGGGACGGATAGTGGTAACTTACGTCCAGAGGATGTGTGCTGCCACGGGCTATGACAGCGGCGATGGCAGAGGCTACTATTGTGACCCAGAAGGGGGTGCTGGCCGTTCCTTCGGACATCTTTTTTTGGGTTTGCGAGGAGGGCGCCTTTTTGGATTCTGGCGGAGAGATGCGGTTCTTAAGTTAGCCGTGCGCCCGTCCTGGTATTTTGTCGCCTTGGGGACCAGGACGAGCTCACGAGTGTTGTGACTTGGCCGTGGGGATGTCGAACGCGACGTGAATGGGAATCGCAGACGAAGGGCCTCAACGGGATACGAGGATGGATAACGTCAACAAGTACATTTATTCAACTGGGCGACATGTATAGAATATTGCAAGAAGACTTCATCGTCAAGTGGACAGATGGGAATAGGCAGCGAAGCAAGGAAAACAAAAACACATCTGCAGATCATAGCCTCGTCAACGGGACAACCCCGCGAAAGCAAATCAAGCGTCCCTGCCATCAAATACGTAGGTAGGAGCAAGCACCGCCAGGTTCGTGAACTCGATGTGAAGCCAGTGCATCTGAGCACTGTGGATTGGCGCGGTGCTCAAACATATCTCCGCTGAACTACGTAAAGCCCGAGACAACATCACTGCTGCAGCGTATTTCGCGCTTTACCGAGTCCCCAAATATGGTGCTTCCTCGGACGTTTTAGCACGGAAGCTATGCAGGCAGACTTCGGGCGAACGAAATCAAGCATGCTACCCACACCCAAAAAGACCGGTCCCGTTGTGGATAGCATGCTTGATTTCTTTCGCATGATTCGCGGAGCTTGGTACACAGGCTTGTCTCGAGGAACGTATGCGGAAGGTAAGTACTTCAAGCGCCAACTGACTGCGGAAGAGCAAAACGATTGAGCTCATCAAATCGTGGTAGATTGTTGTGGATTACACGATTACACGCGGATCTGGGAACATCGTATCGAAACAGCGGAAAAGAGACTCTTGATCTCCTTTGCGTCGTCGTCGTCCATCGCCGCAAAATGTTCCCGTTCGTGACGCCAAGGAAGTCATCTATCCCCCTTCCGCCAAGCAGCAATACTTCCATGTGTCTCATTCGGGCCCGTTGGTCAGATTGATCGTGCATTTTGCAAAGAGTTGATGTGCTCTCGGCTGGGACCTGCAAGCGCCTGGCGACGAGGGTGATTCCGGTGAAACGGAACCAGTAAAGGCGATGGGTAACATAGCCGGAGGCGAATTTTTGCCCTTAGCATCAGAGGGAGGCTCGTCGAAGAGATGGAAAACCAGAAAGTACTGGGACGCCGGTCACGTGTCGTTTTATGAGTTTATTCGATCCCTTCTCTACATGTACCCTTCGTTCAGACATTCAACCCAGGTGTGCTTTCAAGTCGGATAACGCCTCTTCCTGGACGAGAAACACAGCAGGAAGGAAGGTTGCGTTGCAAGCTGAACGGGCTGCGTATCTGGAGCTTAGTTGTGAGGGTATACGAGCGAAGGAGCGCCACCAGATGTCGAGCTAACGACCTCCAAGATCACTTTGCCGCTACGACCCGAGAGGTGACATAAGTGGGGCCTTATAGTAGGAACGATATTTTGACCGGAGAGGAGCTGGTAGAACAGAACGGTTCCCCGGAGAGGACGGGCCAGTAGTGAGAACTAGCCATGTCGCGGCGAGAGTCGGTGGCCAATCCCGGCCCACTACGAAGGGAGTCCGGAATGCTGCCATCCAGGCGAGACTCGTCCTTCCCAGCGTTACCTTCCCACAGAAACTCGTTTGCTCTCAACTCCATGCTTCCACAACGACAAACATCAAGCACGTCGGTCATAACTGGCCTGAGGCGGGCCTCAGAGCCTTCAATTCTCGCGACCATGGAGCCAGACGCCCTGTTTCAACAGCATTCGGTGGTGGAGGTTCGAACGATCTTGTCGCGGACCACTGCAGACATCGAGCGGAAGAAGCAGGATCTTCGCGTGATGGTTGGAGAGCGCTATCGAGATCTCATTGATGCTGCCGATGCCATCAGAACTATGCACGAATCAGCTGCATCGGTCAGCGAAACGTTGCTTGATGTGCAACGGGCCTGCGATTCCAACGCGTGGAGGAAGGAAGAGGCGACGAAGCATCAGAGGGACAGAAAGCTCAGCACCGGTGAGATGTGCGGCCATGATGCCTGTCGCGCAATGTTTTCTCGTTCACATCGACGCCTATGGCTGATGCAATTGAATTTACGACCCACAGAGCAAAGGAAAAAGGTCATGTACGGCTTAGCCGCCCAGATCAAGATCCTCGCGGACACACCAGAGCAGATATGGCATGCTATGGAGTGCCATTCTTTCCTGAAAGCGAGTCGTCTCTATCTCGTATCCCAGGAAGTGTACGAGAACTTGCAGACAGTTCCAGAATCTTGGTCAATTAAGCCGTCGGTTGGTACCCTGACTGGTGGAGTTGTTGATGAGATGAGGATAGCCAGATCGTTGACGCTGTTCTACCATGGATTCCATAGTCCTCATTTCCGGTCATCAAGCGGCAATGGAACGCCGTACAGCACTTTCAACCACAGATTGTTGAAAGATCCACGCGAAACCTTCTTTCGACTTCCGAGGCGCATCAGGTATCAAGAGCATTGAGGCCTTGTCATAATAATGGAGTGGAGAGCTGACTCCTTTTCTAGAAAGTCGCGGATACCCTAGCGGCCATCATCCTCCTAACGAGCATCTCGCAAGAAGACGCACTCCTGAAGTTCCTGTCGATGCGCAAGATCGCCGTCATCGACGTAATGCGCAACCCACCATCCGACCCAAATTCTCTAGCCGCACATATCCGCCAGGTGCTGGAACTGCTTCGAAAGACTCTGGAGGACGTCATGTCCATCTTCCTCCCCGCGTCGCCATCGGATCCGTCACGTTTGACGGCGATCTTGACTTCCCTCGTCATGACATCCGACTCGCACCCGCAAAATGCGGAAGGAGCGACGCATGTACCGTCGGCACCTACATCCGAAGCCACTCCCTCAATTCTCAATCTCTACTCCACGAAAACAAACCTGCACATAATATACCGGCATCTCCCACCCGCGATCCAATGCCACCGCCCGAAACTAAAAGTACACCCTTCCTCAGCGAGCCGGGAAGTTATCCGCGGCAACGTCGACACGTGGCTGCATGAGATTGGACAGACGGTCCGGGAACAGCTGAAACACTGCCTGGAACGTGTCGAGAAGGGGGCTGCCCTCGCTGCGGTTTGGAAGGAGGTTCTGGAGTTTGCGGTTCAGATGGAGCGAGGCACGGATGGTTCATCGAATGCGTCCTTGACGAATTCGGCTGGGGTTGTTGCTGAGCCATGGGAGAAGGTGAATGGCGACATCCCATCATTAGTAGCGTTGCGGTCCAAAGTGCGCACCCGATTAACGATCACACACTTTTCGTAGGTGTGCCGCGAGCTACTTGCGAAGCCATACTCCCTCTGGACGAATCTCGTGCGCGAGACGTTCTATGCATGCGCGGCGTCTGTAATCCAGCATTCTCTGGAAACGTTGGCGAATCAACCCCAGCAGCTCCTCAAAGGGCAGTTGGACTCTCTCGCTCTGCTTAACCAGCCAGGTACGCCTTCCCTTTACTCTCTGCACCCCCGCATCTGTGATCTCACCAACACCCCACGTCCCTCTAGACCGCAACATCGGCGACTACATCTGGGGCACCGAAAACCAGTCCGCCGGCACGATCGACCTCGACAACAGCGGCACGGTCGTGTACCGCGCCGAGACCCCCGCGACCGCCAAACTATGCAACGCGCTCGAACGCGTCATGAGGGAGGTGAAAGACGATACCGCACCGTTGCTTGGGAATGCGTTGCCGGTCGCGGTTGATGAGGCGGATTATTATCGTTCGAGGATGTAAGGAAAACGGGACTGGTATTGGGATGTGGTCCGTGTGAACTGATTGATGCGGGCGCTGCTCTTTCAGGGATAAGACCGCGTTGGTGGCAACATTTCGGAAGATTTTTGGACAGACGATGTTGAGGTATCGGGATGGACTATTGGCGCTGTTGCATCAGGCTGAAGCGGATGCGAAGGCGGTCAGTGAGGATTCGGTTAAACAAGGTATGTCCCCAGCAATAACACATACATCAAGCGGTTTGCGCGGTTTTTGGTTGATGTTGATGTTATAGCGGAAGCAATCGACACCTGCCTCTTTATCGGTCGCGTAGGCCGCAGCGTTGCGTTGCGATTACGGCGGCTGGAGAGCGTCTTGGAACACGACTCCCGCAAGATCTCTTCCTCTGTTCACATGGACTCTTCTGATTCGTCCGGTAAGTTCTTGTGTACTTTTGAAACCCCCTGTTTGGATGTCGTTGAGTGTTGACATCCCTATGACCCAATAGCGCTCGAGCATAAAATGCTGGACGTGTATACCGAGGCACATACGGTGTGGATGAATCTGATCGCTGAGCGGTTGGATGCGACACTTCTGCAGAAGCTGAAGGGTGTTGATTGGCGGAACGGGGAGGTGGCTGATGGGCGGGAAGGTTCGTCGCATCGCGTGGGTTACACGAACAGCATACGAAGGTGGTGGCTGATGGAGATTCTGTTTCGACAGGACAACCGGGTGCTAGCCCTGTTCCGGTGCAACCATCGTCGTACGTCGCGGAAGTGACCTTCGATCTTTGTCAGGAATGGAATCGGATTGCGGGGTTTACGCTTGAGAAGGTACAACCCGAAATCGCCCTACACCCTTCCTATGCGGCATGCCGCTGTTGCTCACTGCCTTCAACTTTTGCGAATCGCAGGCTAGCCTCCAAAGCCTTATGACGGCTCTGAACGCGAGAATACTAGCTCTCTACGGGAAGATTCTGAATCCTCCCACGTCCGAATCGGTCGATGACCGGATACCAGAAGGGAAAGCCCTCCTTCAGGTTGCGTTTGACCTCCTGTATTTCGCAACCCTGTTCCAACCGTCTCCCGATCAGACAAAAACCGATGAGCTTCGAAAGCTTCTTGGGATTTGCTTACGCGAGGTGGGTAGTACATTTGGGCCGTTGAGCGTTTACTCCGTGATGATTGACCCCGGCTAACCCCCTATAATAGATACACCCCACCAGCCGCGCCGAGACAGAGTCCACCCTTACCCAAAACGTCCAATCCTACTGGACCAAAACCTCAACCCTCTTCGGCGCCTTCCTTATCTCCCACAAATCCACACCGCTCACCCAATCCGCACCGAAGCGACCACCACTGGCATCTATGCCCACAACCGACTCGATCCTCTCATCCTCATCGGCACTCAGTGCGGACTCGTATAACGTCATACCCCTATCGGACGTTGCACCCCCGCGATTCTCTTTACTTCCTGTTCCCGCTCACCTTCACAAGAAATATAGCACAGCCGCAGTCACACCACTTACCAAACCGTCACAAACCACCCCAACAGCACCATCCACATCCCACCCACAAACAAGCCCCACCCGCCGCGTCTCTCTAATCCCAGACACCAAACCCGTCCCCCCGCTCCCCGCTCGACCCGTCATCAACGCACCCGGGACACGCCCTCACCAACAACATACAAAGCTCCACCTTGAACGACCCCTCCCGCCCGTCCCGCAATCGCGTCCTGCGGCAGAGTCCCCTGATCCGCGAACAACGCGACAACAGTTGTTTGGGAATGCGTCGAATAGATCCAATGATTCGACTCCGACGTCACCCTCCCGAGCGAATACGGGCGTGTTGGGGCTCGTTGGGCCCGGGAGTAAGACTTTGGAGGTGTTGACTTCGGGCGCTGGCAGGGTTTTGAGTGGGGTATGGGATTATACGGCGCAGGTTGGGTCGCCGGCGTTGGGGAGGAAGGGTAGGGGCGGGGGATGAGAGAAAGGCGACAGGCATAGGCCGGATGGCAGAGTGCGCTATTGCGGGGTTGCTTTTGGATTCTACCCTGTTCGATGCCTGATGCGGTGACAGACCAATGAGCCATGAGCTTGTTCTATTCGAAGATAGTGCTCTTGTAATATATTTCGTGCTCTATATTCTACTCTGTACATCTCTCAATCTGAATCCCATCACTATGCTTTGGCAGTCTCAGCTGAAGAAGCCGGCGTTTCGCCAGGGGTATGAGCAAAAGTTTTCGTCGGCTCGATAGGCGGGATGTCGGCGGATCCGATAGTCGAGTCTGGAGTCAGTTTCAACGACGAGGTGTCGACCAAACCTTCTGCCTGCTCGGAGGAGGGAATATCTGCGGCAGGTTGTGCTGGGTCATCCGCCCGGGTGTCTGCAGATTCAGAACATGATACATCGGTCGAAGGTTCGGCAGGCTGCGAAGGCGAAGCCTCAGCCAGAGCTTCTGTGGGCGAACTATCAGCAGCCGTTTCCGCGGGCACATCCGTCGCACGTTCAGGATGCGATCCATCAGTCGATGTTTCCGCAGGCTGCAAAGGCAAAGCCTCAGCCAGAACGTCTGCCCGCTCAGAGGGCGAACTATCAGCAGCCGTTTCCGCGGGTACATTCGTCGCTGAGGTTTTCGTAGGTTCAGGATGCGATCCATCAGTCGATGTTTCCGCATGTTGAGAACGGGACACTGTTTCTGCTGGCTCGGACGAGGGATCCGACAAATTTCCCGCCAATTCCTCGCACAAAGCATAGTTAGCCCCCAACGCAATCCACGCCGCCCCCGACTCCCCACCCAACGCCACCAACCCCAGCGCCTCGGCCCCTTTAGTATACTGTGAGAAATTGACGGGCCCTGAGGCGCGTTTGAACAGCATCGGATTGCGGCGGGTGAGGTCCACCCCGACTTGGCTGCGGCGCGGTTGTTTCTGGCCGTCGCGCGCTCGGGCATACAGCACGGTGATTAGGTCGAGGTATCGTTCGGGAATTGGTTTGGTGATGGTGGTGATGCTCTCCGGGCCGGCGGTTGTCGTAGGTCTCGCGGGCGTGAGGGAGATCGGGGTCTCTGTGCCGGAGGCTGGTGGGGTGTCCGCCCCGGACGACGACGTAAGTGATCCAGGCGACGAGATGTCCGACGAAACTTCCGCAAGCCGAGAAATCGAGAGGTCACAGGAAGTTTTCGCAGGTTCAGATGAGACATCGGACAAGCTCCCTTCTGGTTCAGACGACGAGGTGTCCGGCGACAACACGTCCGGCGGCTGGGAAGGCGAGATGTCACCCAAAGTTTTCGCAGGTTCAGATGAGACATCGGTCAAACTTTCCGCATGCCGAGCGCCCGCACTAGTTCGCGCGGCCCTCATCTCCAACTCCCGCAACGCTTTAACAATCTCATCCGCCGCCCCAAACTTCCTCTCCAAAAAAATGCGCGCCTTCCTCGTACCGACCCCCTGCTGAACCTGCCCTCTTAGCGCCGCGAGAGCCTCCTTCGCCCTACTCATCATCCCCTCCACCCTGAACAAAATCACCAACTGCACCAACGTCTCCGGTTGCACCTGCACCCCCGTGTCCCGCATCTGCTGCCGAACCCTCACCGCGTTGACAACATCCCCGGTCGATGCATATGCCGACAACACCGCGTTCCAGTCCTCCCGGAACGCTTTCAAACCACACTGATTGAACCAGCCCAGTACACTTTCCGTCGCGAGGCCGTTGCCGACTTGGCTAAACCCGGTGAGGAGGACGCGAAGGGTTGCGATGCCGACGTGCAGGCCCGCTTGGAGGAGCGTCTGTGAGAGTTGCGAAAGAGTGCCAGTTTTGTTGTCCATGGCATGTACGAGACGGACAGCTAGGTTCGTATCGGTGCGCACCCTGAGGTGTTTGAAGCCGCGTTTCTTGATTTGGAGCCAGGCGGAGACAAGTTTGGCCCGTTGAACGAGATCGGAGGGGGTGGGGATGGTGCCGTCTAGGTTTGGGACCGGTGGAGAGGTTGAGTTGGGGAGAGGGGTCGTTTCGGCAGGCTTCATCTTCTGGCGCAGTTCAGCGGCTGTGGCGTGCCTGCCTGCTTCCTCACAGGCATGTATCACGATGTTGAACATGTCTTGACGAGCAGGTTTCTTCATCGCCGCGTTGCGTTGCTCAAACAATGCCAAGACCTTGGAAATGTTCAGATTCTTGACGTAAAAGTGGATCAACTCAAAGAAGAGCACATCATCAGGTCCCCACTTGTCATTTAGTTCCGCAAAAACCTTCACGATCTCCGCTTCATGGTTGCCTGCCGTGCATCCCTGCATGTACGCCGCCGCCGCCCGCCTTTTCAAGTGATGCTCCAAAAACTGATCCAACAGCAGTCGGGCAGCACTGAACTGTCCCATATGCGCATAACACAGCATGAGATTTAGTTCCCCATACCGATCCACAAAAAGAATCTTGTTCTCACTCGCCGTCTGCAACACCCGGTCCACCATTGTCGGACTCTGCAGCCGCGCAAAGAAGTAAATAAACTCCTGGTAAACACCGATATCCGGGGGGGTGCCCGTGGCGGTATAGTACTGCCACAGCTTGGTGAGGAACGTGACGTGGTCGCGGCGGTCCCAGGGCTCTCTCTTGCCATTGCGTTTGTAGGTGTACAGCACGTACTTCAGCGCTTCGGCAGTGAGCCAGGGTGCGTCGCCGGCGCTTTCAACTTGGGGGTAGAGTACCCACACGGACATCTGGTAGTTTTGTGAGACAGCCCTGTAGAACTCTTCGAGCAGGGCTGGGTTGTTGGGGGTGGCGGATCGGGAGGCGGGTGGCTTGACGGGGGTGCTGTGGGACCGCGCACTCGTTGGTGGGTTTTTGTCACGAACCAACTTCAGCTCCAATTCACTTCCATAGAGATCCAATTCAGTCACATCTAGCCTCCTTGCCGATGATTTCTCATTTCCAGGTGTGCCGTCCTGCCCCAACCGAGCGTTCTTTTGCGGCTCAGCCTCTCTCTCGATTCCAATCTCCTGCGACGCACTCGTTCCCGCATGCGAGTGATCCCGGCTCTTGCCCCGGGACGGCCTTGACTCCGGTTCACTCTCACCGTCCCTCCTCCGCGCCGGTTGCACCTTTCGAGATGTGCTACCCAGCCTCCGCTCCAATTCATTCCCAACCTGCATCTTCTGTTCTGCCTCACGGCCCCATGCTGCCTCTTCTGCGGGGGTTCGCAATAAGTTCCCCCTCCAGTGTTTACGCTGCCTCCGATCGCTCTTTTCAAATTCCAGCACCGGACTCTTTCCCACAGCCGCCAAAGCCGCAGCCCAATCCACCGTATCCGGCGCCTTCGACAACCCTCCATTCCCCTCCTTCCCTCGCGTTGCACCATCGGACCCATCAACACCCTGCATCGGTAACAACGCCCCCTCCGCCGGATCCCTTTTCCTTTCCTGTCGGTGCCGAACTAGTGTTGATGCATCTTCCGTTGATGGAAACGACTTTCCCCCCCGCTCGCCACTGACATCCGCCTTCGAAGCGGCCAGGTACTGGTCAACAGCCCGTTTGTCGGGCAGTCCGGTGGTGAGTGCAGCGGTTGCTTCTTTCTTAGCGCGGGGTGCTGTCATCGAGCGATAAGCTGCCGCTGCGGCTTCTGTCGGCGTGGGTATTACTGGAGCATCGGTTCCAGTCGCAGCCCTATCACCAGGTTCGGCGTGCGTCGTCCGTTCCGAAGACGACGCACCACCATGCGCTGCACCCTCCCCTGTCGGCACCGAGAGGTTTGCTGCTGCTGCTTCTGTCGGTGTGGTAAGTGGGGCATCCACTGCTTTGTCCCCCTGTTCGCCATGGGTAATCGCCTCCGCCACCGGACCAGGAACCGACGACGACGAAACCTCGCTACTCAAGAACCGCCGACCAACCCTCCGGGCCAAATTTATTGATCCACCAGCATTCCGCCGGTGATATACGGCAGCATTTAGCCGAAAGAAGCGGTGGACAAGGAGGTCGGTTATGGGCAGCCGATGGGTGAATGCACGCATTCTTCGAAAGTGCCGTGATGCTCGACGTATTCTAGATCTATGGCTGCAACGCGGACGGAGCCCTACATGTACATGAAGGAGGGAATCATCGAATTATTCCCACTTGATAAATGATTGCGATATAAAAGTGGGTGAATTCCATTCGCCAGAAAGGTCAATGTCGATTGATTCCTTCTCATGCAGACCCGTTTCTGACAGCGGTGCCATTTTGACAGGGTTTGGCACTGACAGGTTTGGCAAGATCTCGAGGATTTTTCAGGCCAACCCGGAAACAGCAGCGTTCCTGGGTTGACAAAAAGAAGAACAACCGCCAACAACAGTGAACAGATGAGAAGGGCCAAGATCGCGAGAGGGAGCTTCCTGGGTTCTTATTCTCATTGACATTCACCGCTGGGGTCGACAGCTCTCAAGGCTATAGCTTGCGGTTTGCCATAGCCTGTTTGTTCGGTCAGGAGTGGTCAATCTAATTATGCTCTTCTCCATCTGCAGCAGCAGCTGAACCTCTCAAAGTAAGACGAAGGAAAATATAGATAGATGTAGAATGTGTGTATACAGTAGTTCGTTGTAAAGACCCGTCTATGTAAAATGGTGCCCGTGGCAGGGAGATTTGAGATCGTCCGTCCAATCCTCCCCAACGTCGTCGGAGGCTTTTCGACGCACTGATCTGGGATCTCCAACCCCTTGTTCATTGAATGCCCACCATCCCCATAATCGGAAACCCGACACTCAACACCATCACCCACGCCACCACCGAGCACAGCAACCCGACTTTGATGAAATCGCCGACGGTCACCCAAGGCGTGCCGCTGGAATCCTCGAGGGATATCGCATTCATGTTGGGGAAGGAGGAGACGGGGAGGCCCATTGCTCCTGAGCACATCATTGCTGTGATGCGAGATCGAAAATTATTTCAGCTGCGAAAAGCGATAATTATGCAAAAATGAGGACATGTAAATCATACCAGCAGCCATGACAAGCGTATTGGCCCTCGGATCCGGCAACGTAGCCCCCACTTTCAAGATAATCGGCAAGATGATCAGCGCGCCGACCGTATGGCTGATGAACGTGGTTCCCACCAAGACCAGGCCCGAGAACAGTGCGAGGCATTTGAAGACGGACATGCCGGCGAGATGCGGGGTGAGCGCGTTGGTGATTTCGAGAAGGAGGCCGCTGGAGTCGACGGCTTTGCCGAGGGCTATGCCGCCCATGGCGAGCATTACGACTGGGGGGATGAAAAGTTGGCGTCAGCAATCGGAGATCATGTTTCCTGAGTGACAAGTTGACAATGACGCAAGGACAAGAACCCACCAGACCACAACATCGAATTCCAATCATCCTTAGTCAGCAACCCGGCCCCATAGAACGCAACGATGGGTATAATTGCAATCACACCCATATCCCCAAAATACTGCTCCAGCCCGCTCCCAAAGCACCACAGCAAGATCGTCACCAATGTGACCGCAATAATATACCACTGCTTCCTCTCCAACGGATGGTCCTTGAAATAGTTCCTGGAGGTATTCTCAGCGCCAAACAGCTGGACGGGGGCCGCGCCTTCGGTTTGCGAGGGGCGGTAGATGGCGAGGAGGAGGCCCCAGATGATCAGGTCCATGATGATGACGACCGGGAGGGAGACAGCGAACCATTGCGGCCAGGACGGGGCAGGGTTCATGGTTCCGATGGCGATGATGTTTTGGGGGGAGGAGATGGGGGAGGCCATGCCGCCGACGTTGGCGGCCATGGCGATGCCCATGATGAGGCAGCGACCGTAGGAGGAGCCGAGAGGGAGGTTGCGCAGGATGGGCTGTGAGGAAGGATAGCTGAGTAAGCACAGGCTGGGAGGAATCGGAGACTTACAACCATCATCCTACTTACGGTGACAAGCGAAAAACACAACACAGGCGCCGCAACATTGCTAATCCACATACTCGCAAATGTGCTCACAAACATGTTGGCCAGAAGCACCCACTGCGGCTTGCTGCCCGCCTTCCCCAGGACAAACGACGCCAGTCCCTTTGCGATGTTGTGCTTGCTGAGCGCTGCTGCCAATGAGAAGCCACCGAGCAGCAGCATGATCACAGGACCGAACATGTCTGAGAAGATCTTCTTGGCGCCGTCTTTGGCTGTCATGCGGTTGTAGTCGGTGATGTGCCCTTTTGCGTTGATGACGGGTGTGCGGAGCACTCGGAGAAATACCACGAGGAAGGGAACCAGAATGGCGGTGATGAACAACGGAAGGACCTATGAGGGCAGGGATGCTGGTCAGATGAGAGGCACCGAAGAACCAGTAGACGAACTGCTCAGCATACCTCAAAAGCCCAAAGCAATGAGGCGAAGACCAGTATAGCCAAGCAGTTCCGCTGCTCCGGCGCCTCAAAGGTAGGGTACAGCAACAAGAACGCAAACACGCCCAGACAAAGCACGACTTGCAGCAGTTCCCGAGATATCCTAATGGTCACACCCAACAAAGTGAACTCGGTATAAATTGATTTCCCGGTCTTCGACTGTGCCCGCAGCGCTATCGTCTCCCTCTTCCGCTCCTGCTCGATCATGTCCTTCCAGACCGTGTTCCTCTCCCAAATCACTCTTTCCCGCAATGTTCCCTTAAGATCCGTCCATGCTAGGGCGATCTTGCCATCTGTGCGGAGCGTCGCATACATCTCGACAATCTGGTTGATCTGCTGGTTGAGGGCTTCTTTCGATTGAGCGCGGAATGGTTTGGCCACTTCGACCTTCGTGGCCATATATTGCCGGCGGAGTTTGTTACCCGTCACTTTGTCATACTTTTTGATGATTTTGCTGAACCCTGTGTAATTCAGCTCGATGTAGTCCTTCAATTCGGAAAGAAGGATGAACAGGTCGATGGCACGCTTTGCGAAGCGGGTTCGGTATGGCTTCATAGCCTTCGAGGCCCACAATTGCGTCGTGAAGGAGACTCCGGACATGCGGGACCGTGGGCTGCCTGTTCGGTTGACAGGAGCGGAACCTCTCCGAGGCCAGGTCGACGATCCCGGTGATGTTGGCGACTGCGTCGGCCCCACCGATGCGACGGCGTCTCCTTCGACCGCGGGCTCCTCTACCAGGAGCCCATTTTCGATATCCGCCTGTGGTTTCGCATAGTCCTCCGCTGTTGCAACGTCCGTCACTAACTCGTCCACCAAAGACGTCAGCTCTCGCTCCTTTTTGGTGTAGAAGGCTGTTATCCGCTCGAGCTGCTCGTCCAACGCTTTGACGAAGAATGCGTTGCCCTCCTCGGCTGGCAATTTCGATAGGAGTGGCTGAGCTTCCTCAACGGCCGGCGAGCCTTCGTCGTTCTCGTTGTCGACCTGTATGTCCCTCGGTGAAGCAGGTAAGCGCTCGAACCCGAGCATTGCTTTTTCGATGGCATAGATGGCTTTCTTCAGCTGCGAGTATGCGAGGTAGTTCTCCTGCCATTCTGGCGAGGCGTTGATCTGGATGGAGTGCGAGAATTTCATGCTGGGCTAGAAGTTCGGGTGCTATTGCTGGGTAGAACGACGGTCCTCCGCGGAAATAGAGACCCGTCTAGTGGAGAGATGTATGCAAACGTCAATTCAGGACTGTGTGGGGCACTTTTTCTCAGGGGTTCCGGCGTGGGAACTGAAAAAGACAACAAAGACGACGCCCGACGAGATCACCAAAAGCCGCGATGACAGCGCTCAACAATGAAGTCGCGCTGTCGAACGCCCGCCCGGGCTCCCCGTCTCTCCCGTTCGACACCACATACCCAAACCCTCCATATGCATACTAGCATGACATGGGGAAGGGACATAGAACTAGTCGTCTCCCAGCCGCATGACTCTGCCAGCAATCGACTCATCAGCTGAAGACGGCCGTTGAGAACTGTAGGCACTGAGAGCGTGCTATCTTGCTGTGTCTAGTACTCATCCATCGACGGGAAGCATTGTCTACGAACTACGTTGCCATGTGCATAAAAAGGCGCTGCAGATTAAAATACCGCTGTGACCTGGCGAACAGCATCTTCGTACGGAAATTCCTGATCGCATGCTGCTGTAAATGCCTGTAACGTACTGAAGAAGCGCATCAAGCTCGCCAGTGGCTACATTGAAGGACAAATCACACCAACACATCTCAGCTGGAACAGTGACGACGTTCAACGACATTTCTTATCAAACATATAGAGTGTCATGGCCTGAAGACAATTGCCGCTCTCTGTCCTCGCTGTGTCGTGACGGATTGTGAAACCAAAAATCTCGTGTACTTGTGTCTTTCCTTATGAGAAGATTCATCTGAGGAAGGGATGGGATGTGCATCGAAGCTACTTGGCGGAGCTAGGTACGTGCGAAAGGAACATGCCCCCTAAGAGGACCACCAGCAGGAGCAAACGGCAGGAAAGAAGGGTATCAAGTAGCGGTGATAGGGTTATGACACTGTCTGACGTTCGGACACGCGCGTTTCGGACGTCCGACGCTGAATTCTGGACTTGAACACCCCGCCTTTCAACCAACGCACAGAACGCTACCCACAGAACGCTCCCTTCGTCTTCCACCCCTGCCTACCGCCTCTGCTGCCCCCCGCAACGATACAGTCTTTTGATACGGAATAGGAGCAGGACTTGCCTCTCGTCTTACTGTGAGAAATGACAACCGACAAGGACCCCGCTGGCCCGCAGGACGACGATGCCACTCAACTCATAACACAGACCCAGGACATGGCCATGGACGTCGACGACGAGCCAGCAGTGGATGAAGGAGTAGTCAAAGGCGATGGGGATGCCGAGAGTCATAGCAGGACAAAGCGACAAAGCTCGACAGAACAGGCGGAAGCAGCGCCAAATCCCACAGACCCATCCCCAACAAAGAAAGTAAAACTAGAACCCCCTCACCCGTCCTCCTCCTCTTCCTCCGACGACGAAAACTTCATAGACGACGGCGATGACGACGATCTCATGGATATAGAGGTCGAGGCCATCGCTTCACAAGCCGAGGCCGCAGCAGCGATGATGAAATCCGAGCCAATAGCACGACGACCACCACCGCCGGCACAACCGTCCGCCAGCACGAACGGCGAGATGGCGCAGTTCCAGAGCTGGCTGCATATCTTTTATCAGCGGCTGTTTCCGTTCACGGACTTTTATCGGTGGTTGGCTTATGGCGAGAGTAAGTGTGAAAACGATAGACACCTATCGTGTTTGGGGGACATGGCAATGGGGATGTTAAACCTCTGTTTGTTTCTCCTTTGCCAGTGTCAAAAGGCTACTTTGCAAACCGCGAATGGAGTTTCACCCTCGCCTCTGACGTCTACATCCGTTTCCAGTCGTACAAAACGGCTGACGAGCTCAAATCTGAGATTCTCCGACTGTGTCCCGTGAAGATCGATATCGGCGCTGTGTACAATATCGCGGTACGCCCACTTTACTTCCTTTTTTTGTTGCTGGAGAGAACGCAGCTGATGGGAATGTGATTCTCAGCCCAAGGATAAGAAGACGGTGGGACCGTCGGCGTTCCGACCACGGGAGAGGGAGCTGGTGTTTGATATCGACATGACGGATTACGATGATATCAGGACATGCTGCAGGTGAGCAGCCCCCATTTCAATAGGATTACAGCGGAGCTGCACACCTCAAACCTGCCCATCTCCCTACCCAGCGGCGCCGAAATCTGCCTAAAATGCTGGGACTTCATGACCATCTCCATCAAAATCCTGCATCGCGCACTCACCGGTAAACGTCCCCACCTCCCCCCTCCAATACCCCTCCCAATCTCACACCCTCCCCATAAACAGAGGACTTTGGCTTCAAACACCTCCTCTGGGTCTACAGCGGCCGTCGCGGCGTGCACTGCTGGGTCGCCGACGAACGCGCCCGATCCATGTCCCCCGAAGCTCGCTCCGCCGTCGTGGCGTACCTCGAGGTCGTCAAAGGTGGATATCATCAGAGGGGACAAGGGGATGAGGATCCGATGGATGAGAGGAATTTTCATCCGAGTCTTGTGTGAGTTTTGTGATTACGGGGTGGCGTGATGCCCAGATTGGCACAAAGAACTGCCCTCCATCTGATTTTGGTTTGTCTTGGTTTATGGATTGTAGACGGGCGTATGCGGTTCTCAAGAAACATTTCGCGAAAACGATTTTGCTGAATATGGACGTGCTTGGGAGTCGCGAGCATTGGATGAAGCTGTTGCAGCTTGTGCCCGATCACGGTAAGCTCCTACTTTGCTCAGCCAGACCAGAAACGTCATACGCACGGAGAACCTTTTAGCCTGGGAAATCTCTGATCGTGTTCTTCTTTTGTGGGCTTCCCGTATGCGCTCCTACTCATCCCACTGAATTGAATACAGAAATGAGAACGCGACTAGACAAGGAATGGACAGACGAAACCCCCGACAGCGACTCCGGAACGACCTCAGAGGAGCGGTGGAATCGGATCGTGGGCGAGTTGCGGGGCAAGAAGGTAATGTCTCTACTCTCCTTTTCCGACATCCTTCCCGCCTTCCCCCCATAGTACTGCACCCTGCGCGCGAATTTCGTGGCGGATATCGATATGACGGATGATTGCGCGGATCAAAGAATGATGCCACGAAACTGATGCTATGATACCCATACCAGGGCGCAGCATTCGAAACGGCCGACCGCGCAATCATCTTCCGATACACGTACCCGCGCCTCGACGCCAACGTCTCCATTGGGTTGAATCATCTGCTGAAGGCCCCGTTTTGCGTGCATCCGAAGACTGGTAAAAATCGCCTCTCCATACCCCTCCTCACTCACTTTTACAATGCACCTGGGTATTCACATATATGAATTTTTAGGAAGGGTATGCGTCCCAATCGACCCAACGCAATGCGACACCTTCAACCCGCTCACGGTCCCCACCATCCAATCCCTGCTCGACGAGTTGAACGCGTGGAGCGCCAAAAACAACAATCCCTCCTATATCGAAGCCGAGAGTCGTCGAAAAATCCCAGGTAAGACCATTGCGCGCGATATAGTGGGTGTGGGTGTGTCGTCTTGAGCACCTGTAACACACAGCGTATGTTTTTTAGATTACCAGAAAACATCGCTGGAACCGTATGTGAAGTATTTTAGGCAGGGGTTCTTGGACCCGATGGCTAGTGAAGTTAGGCAGAGGATGCGGGAGAGGGTTGATATGTCTTTTTGATGGGTGAGGATGGGATGTCGGGGGATTGGGAGATGTGAGACATGAGGCGGCTCGAGAGGTGAGAGACGACGGCGCGCGGGATGGACTTCGTGCTGGCATGCGTTTTACTGTATATAATCCAATGAGTCTGATCCCCAGTACATGTTGTCCCATAAACATACAAGGCTGCGTCGTCCAAAGTCACTCAGACCAAAGTCACTCAATTAGAAATGTACACATTACAACAACAAACTGGCAGACTGAGAACCTCACGCTATACATTCACATTTCGAAAAGCCTTTTCATATCGGCGCCTCTGTTTCGGTTCCATTGCGGGTATTCTCCAGCATCACATCTTTTCATAACCATACTCAAACTCCCAACAAGTCGAATTGTCTCTTCCCAAAAATGAACCCCCCACCGCCGAAATTGACCAGCGCTCATAGTAGCCCATCACTAGTCGTGGGTCGCAAGTTTCCCGTTCAAAAATGGATCCAAAACATCACTTCCCCTCCCCAACAACCCCACTAACCCACTCCCCAATCCCAGCCGCCCCGTCCTCCATCGAATGCCCGTCTTCCATCTCCGTCTCTCCATCATCAACCCTCGCCTTCTTATCTTTATGCGGCGTCCAAATATTTTTCAACCTTTCAAACCCACGCATCAATTTACCCGCTTTCTCCATCACCACATCATCATCACCACCATCGTCGTTGGAAGACGAATCAGGCGCCGAGTCCGATGAGGGTGCGTTGTCATCGATATCGGCGACATTACTGATATTATCCTGATCGTTGTCAGAGTCCGAATCGATGACAATAATTTCCGTTTGTGTTTTGGGGTGGCCGGTGTGGGTGCGCTTAAGGTGGTTGGCGGGAGGTGTCGGGAGTGCGACGATATGGGGCACGGGGTATGTGATTGCCGGGTACGTCTTGTGAGCAGCACCTGGTGTAAGGCCCGGCGTGACGGGGTAATTGGAAGAATAAGCGGAGGGACTGGCGCTGGAGATGGTGACAGTAGACTCCAAACGCGACGTGATCGCAACAGCGGGCGCGGGCGTCTCGGAGACGATCACGACGTCGTCGTCGGAGGAGATGTCGACCCACTGTGCGTCTTTCGGGGTGGTGGGGGAGAGGTCGCCGTAGTCGATGGTGATGGGTGTTGGGGGGAGGGTGCGGGTATGGATTACCGAGCGGGTGATCGTGCGTATCTTGGTCGCTTTCTTGGCGCGCTGTTGCGGTTGGCCTGGGTGAAACATGTCCCAGAGGGCTGCGGCTAGTCTTCTGTGCTTATCGGTAGCGTTCCCGGGTATAGTGCGCGGCCGGGGGAGCTGGAAGGGTATCGGTTCGTGATTGGCCGGTGTGCGCTTATCGCCTTGAATCTTTAACCAGAGCTCGGCAGGCGTCATGTACATCGAGCGGCTGCGAAAGGTGTCGGTGCGGGAGTTCCAGACGTGTTTGGAGGTGGTGTCGGTTTCCTTGTGGGGCACGCTGTCGAGGGTGTGATGCATGTGGCGCGTGTCCATGTAGTCGACGTCCGGGGCGTATTCTCGGATGTGGCTCAGGTACATATCATGTTTCATTTTTGCATAATGCTCTACCACGCCCCGGAGAAGGTTGGCGGAAACCGCACCGCTCGGTGGGAGCTCGACTTGTCTGACGGGTGGGAGCGCGACTTGTCTGATGGCCGGTCCAGCAGACACCGGACCGTCTGTTGTGAGCGCGACTTGTCTGATGGCCGGTCCAGCGGACACCGGACCGTCTGTTGTGAGCGCGACTTGTCTGATGGCCGGTCCAGCGGCAACCAGACCGTCCGATGTGAGCGCGACTCTCTTGACACTAGAGCGAGTTTTCTTGACCTTGGGCGCTTCCCGCACTGGGGAGTCAACAAGCCTAACAACACGCAGCGGTGCCTTGGATGCCGATGGCTTTTCCGGAGCTCCGTTCGCCTGCGGTGCTGCCGTCGATGATACTGGCTTCTTCACTAGATGGGTCGGCAGCACGGCGATGGATGATGATGATGGCTTGTCCGCTGCTCCGTTCGTCTGCAGCACTGCCGTGGACGTTGATTGGTTCCTCAGTACTCCTTGAGGCTGCACTGCGGTGGATGACGAATTTTGCTTTTCCGCTACTCCTTGAGCCGGCAGCAATTCCATCTCCGCAGCTTCCCTGCCCTCTTGCTCTGCTTCCACCGCCGCTTTTCTCTCCTCCTCCCACTCTTGCTTCGCCCGGCGCTTGGTCGCCTTCGACTCCGTCGGCATGTATCGTAGTCTTCTCAAAGCTTTCTTTGACTTGCTGGCCTTGTCGTTCCCCCTTACGTACCATCCTTCAATGTTTGCATCCTTGACCTCTTGCGTCATGGTGCCATCGACCCGTTTCGGTAGAGGAGGTAGAGTAGCTAGAAATTTAGATACTCGTGCTAAGCGTGACGACGCGACCGGCTTGGCTTTATTGGGAGTCCTCCTGAGTTTCTCGATGATCTTGGCTGTAGGCTTGGTCTTGGCTAGTATTTTCGCCACTTTTGCTACAGCTTTCGCCATAGGCTTCGACGCGGGTATCGTTACGAGTCCGACCTTTGTAGTCGTTGTGTTTGTCGACGAACTCGCTACTTTCCACTTCGCCGGAAGCGGGACCGCGACGTCGTCGCTGAAGGATCGGAGGGATTGACCGCTGAAGACGCCGGTTCTTGTTCCGTACTCTGTCGTTCCGAGCGAGGCTGCTGAACGAGAAGGAAGGGAAGAGGAGGAAGGACGGGGAGGAAGAGGGATGGGAGGAGCCGTCCGTGAAGACGCACCTTCCGGGAGGGCCGGTTTGGGTGCTACTGCCGTGGTTGAGACGTCGCTTATCTAATTGAGAAATTGAGAAGAGAGTTCATCCAGTGAGGGATTACAAGAATGAGTGATGTGCGAAGTTGTGAACCCCCAAAGTACAATGTGCGAGAAGCGATACCCGACTAGCTACGCTTGCGAACAAGAATGTTGGGCGGTGAGACTCGTATAAACTCGTGCAGCGAGGTTCCTCCGAGAAGAAGAACCAGATGGCGCGCTCTGTTCGCAATGAATCCAGAAGATTCGAAGCTCACTCCGCTCGCTATCGCTATCGCTTTCAACCTCAAGCATTGTTGCGCCGCGCATCGCTACGGATAAGGATACTTTCGATATCGCTCGATGCACTTACCGCTTTCGAGCCGACTTTGTCAACAACAAACATAGGAACGACACCAGTAGTAGTAGCAACGGGAGCAGTACAAGGAGCAGGGAAAGCAGAAAGAGGGCTAGCCTTGGGCACCCAAGTAACTCTCAGAGCAACCAGTGGTTCACCCACCATCTTCACACCCAAGACGACAATATCGCCGGTCACGAGTGTGTAAGGCGCCTCCGCAGCAAGCTTTGGAGGCAAAGGCTTGCCGAACTCGGTCACGCCTTTGCAGACAAAAGTGCCGTTCTTGGACTTCAAGTCCTCGAGTAGCACCTGTCCTTTCGCAAAGAAGATACGAGCGTGGTCACCCGAGATGATTTGGCTACCAAATACCCACTCCGCGACTGGCTTGTCTGCGGTTAAACAGAAACCGTCGCAGCGGTGCCAGTCGGATGAACGCGCGCGACCCAGCACGACTCCTGTGAGGTTCGAGACTGGGACCAGCGGCGCTCGCCTGACGAGAGAGCTTTGAGACTGAGCGGTGGTTGAGGCGGCATGGTTGTTGACGCGCTCGATGATCAGCGTTCCGCCGGCAGAGGTTGCAGAAGCACCAAAGTTGTTGAAGATGACGCCCGGCACCTGCCACCAGTTGGTGGTGCTAGGCATCGAAAGCTAGCAAGAGGGAGAGAAGGATGGGAGTTGTCGGAGGTTGTCGTTGTCGTCCTTCAGATCTGAGCGTGGGAAAATGGGGGCGAAAGTGGGAAAGCTTGTCGCGCGCGAGACCCGCTTGGACCTGCTTCCTCGCTCCCACCCATCCTCGCTTCCTCTGCGCTTCCTCGCTGCGCCCACTCGTGTTTGATGATGATTAGCTCCCAGTTGGCTGGCGAAGCGCGCTTCTACATTACCCGTTTGTTTAAAGCAGAGCTTATCCTGGTGGCGACTCGGTTCTCAATCATGAAGTCGTATCATCCGCATGCACCGCGAGTTCGAATCTCTCTGGGGCCCAACCTCTTTTTAGTCTTATTGCGTTTTCCACGCGTCCGAAGAAATACGGGTCAAAAAGGAAAACGTCGGGCGCAACGTCGAATTTCTTCGGCCACATGGACATTGAGACCCAGGACTTCGTCTCCCGTATACCCAAACGCCCTTCAACACCGAGCAAGCACTGGCGCTGGTACCAGCTGCTCACCGGTCATTCTGTTGTATATGGGCGGTCTGATTCTCTCTTGCAACCACTTCAAAACGGCACGGCGCCTAGCGAACACTTTTCAACGAAAAACACATACCGCCGGCGTTTGTCAGAAGAGACAAAGAAGATAGATATATACTTGGAGTCAACAAGGGGGAATTTCACGGTCACTGTATAGTGCCGATACACGGAAAGACTTGTTTAGACGAGGAATAGAGGCCGCAGAACGCAGACTAGAGAATTTGGGACCAACAGCGGGACCAGAGGAAAACTTCGATACGACCACATCGAAAATAGACAATTCGCTATAGAGCACATACGAGAAAGATGTCGAAAGGAAGGATGGCCGACGGCCTACGGGTCATGAGCTCATACTTCAAACGGTCGTTCAAATACGTGGCCGACGAGGCTGTCGCAGGTACATACACATTTGCCCGTGCAACCGAAACGCACTCCCACCTACCTCATCCACTTACTGCTCACTCATTCGAACAGCAATAAAATTCGACACGAGTTGGAAAAAGGAGATGCCGCTGTTCCAATTCTCGACCGTGAACGATCTGCAGGACTGGGTGGTCGGCTCTGATGCGGATATTGGGGGCTTGTCGGAGGCGTATTGGGGGTTGACGCCGCAACAGACTGGTGAGTCGGGCGGAGTTGGAGATGAGAGAAGGGGCGTTGGTGTTTTCAGCGAGTGGCCTGCAGGGTGAGACATTGAACTGACTGGCTGGGCCTCCTACGACTAGCACTGTTTTGGGGATCAATATCAACGCAAATACCAGAAGGTGCCAAGCTGGAACGGAGTGGCTATGCTGGAATAAGATCACAGGTACGCAGCACGGCGTTGCCTGCCCATTCAACTCGCCTGAAACCTATCATCTAACTTTCTCCTCGAACACACTACCAGCAACGCCCCCTAACCCTCTTCCACCACCCGCGCTATGACACCACCCTCTTCCGCTACCTCGCCATCCGCGCAAAAGGCGACCAACGCCAATGGTTTGTGAATCTGCAAACTGATAGCATTTATCCGACGTATCTATGGCAGCATCGGCTGTACTTTCAGAGACCGGGGGAGTGGGAGACTATCATGGTGAGGTTTTGCGCTCTCCTTGTACTAATCCCCCCATCGAAAATCTGTGCTAATCCCATCAGCCTCAAAATCTCCATCCTAGATCCCCTTCCGCGACTTCGTCCTAACCAGCAACGGCTACGTCCAAAAACGGCAACTCACGATGGACCGCTCCAAAATAAAAACAGTCGGGTTCTCCATCGTCCGCCAGCCGGGCGACTACGCGTTGGAGCTCGACTGGGTCAAGGCCGTCAACTCTACACGCACGTTCGGCGATTACGATATCCTGGACCCGGGCGAGTATATTGACCCCGAGGGGAATTTGAGGAAGGTTGAGGGGGGGCAGACGTTGAGGGAGGCGCTCGGGGCGCAGATTCGGATTTGGCCGGAGAAGGAGGGAAAGGGGGGTGATAATTGAGGTGGTGATGAGCGTATTTCCTCCTTTCGGCGTAGTGGAGAACGGGCTCCACTTTGGTAGATTCTGAGCGACAATCCCTCTTGGCGCCTTCCAGTCGGCGGATCTCCGTAGATTCTCAGCACCTTAGGCTACCACCCAACTCACTTTGCATGTATATAGCTCTCCCATATCCACCCAGCATCGATATCCATAACGTTTTTCGTAAGAATAGCGATGTGGTTAATGGCTGCGTGGTTCCGATCGAGCAACTCCCGCAGCACCTCTGATTACAACTTAGCCTTCCCAACCCACTTCTTCTGCTGTGGTGGTGCCCTCGCACTCGCAAACGCTGGATGCATCACCGCAGCATTCCACACCTTCCCCTCCACAGTCCCAAGTCCGGATGCCCCGTGGCCCCTCCGATCACCCCCGCTGTGGCCCACCCAGGCGGGGTGCACGCGTGTGGCGTCGAGTGGTGGTGTCCGTGGTGGTGTCCGTGGTGGTACTGTGGTTGCGGAGGTGCGAGGGATGGGTTGGTGGGAAATGGGGCGGGGCACTCGGGAAGGGAGTGCACGGTGTGGGATTGGGTGTAAGGACCGTGCTTCGAGGGTGGTTGGGGGCGGCATTGTGGGATCGTGGGATCGTTGCTGTCGGTTGGTCGGGACTATGGGACTACTACGTACTATGAATAGTCGGTGTGGGAACTTTGACGTTGTGGGTGGATGTCTGTTCGTTTCCAACTTTGCAGCCTTCGGCGATGTCACCCTTCTCAAGGCTCACGCGTCGCCCTTTTCACATGTCAGAAAGGTTGAGGGCCTCGACGGGGTTGCTGCTCAGTTTTTTGCACCGACTTCGGCCTTGGGAGAGCAGCGAGATGGAGATTAATACAGTACAGGTGCTATGGTAATGATATCCTACAGCGCTAAAAAAAATGGGGACTGCCATCCCCACCAGCCCCAGCCTGTTACATCCCCGTCCGTCCCAGACCCCACTACGCCCACGCACTACCCCCCAAATCCTCCTCAAACTCCATCCCACTCCCCGTAGGCGTCTTCGCGCTCGCAAACTCACTCTTCAACGCCGCACTCGCCCCCCACAGATCCGTCGCGACCGCGGTCGAGCCCCAGGGGTCGTAATGGGGTTGTGAGTGGGCTGAGTGTAATTCGTCGTCTGCGAGGTTTGGTGTTGTGGTAGATGAGGGATTGAGAGCAGCTTCCATTTGGGCGGAGAGTGAGAGGGAGGGGTCGGTTGTTGTGAATGTCAGGGAGGGGCGTGCGGGTTCGATGTCCGAGTCGGGTTCTGAGTCTGTTTCGACTTGGTGGTGGTATTGCTCCTGTTGTGGTTGCTGTTCTTCCGGTGCTGGTGGGGGTTGGATGTAGGGACTTGTGGGTGACTCTACCGCGACGGGTTTGGGTGGTGCCGGGAATGTGGCAAACGTGGGTTGGCGGACATCTGCGGGTTGGGTTTGGATGGTTTGTGGGCTGGGTTTGACCAAGCGTGGTGGTTGTGGGGATCCGCGTGGGGAGGAGGGTGGCGTTGCGCGTTTTACTACTTTCACGGGGACATCTGCCACTCGCTGTGGTTTCGGGCCTGATCCGTTCTCTGCTGCTGCGGTTGATGCGGCGGGTCGTGGCCGGGACCCGGCAGTCGCAACCGCGGTCGGTCGGCCTTGTGGGGCTCCAGACGTAGGTCTTACGGGTTTGGCACCCTGCGGTGTTGCGACGCGGTTCGTTGCACCCAGCGGATCCGGGTTCGCAGACCGTTGTTGCTGTACCCTAGCCGTCGCCAACGGCGCGCCAGTTAACGGATCAATAGCCGCACCACCCTGCTGGCGTTGCGCGTTCTCAATCCGTTCAAGGGCCCCATTGCTCGAGGTCGGCGTGACCGGCGTAACAGGCGACGCCTGCGCCTGTGCCGACCCCGTGATCTGCTTCGCCATCCGCACCCTCTCGGACAGGTATCCCCACCACGTCGCCGACTGATCCATATTGGCGCCCTTAAACTTATGTTTCTTCTCCCCGCCAAACATGCCGCCCGCCTTCTCCTGTATGAAGAACTCCTCCGGCTCCTTCTCGTTCATCATCAGCGGGCCAACGACGCAGTCGGGGAGGTAGAGGCTTAGTTCCGGTTCAGATGCTTTGTTCTGCGCCGCGACTTCCTCCTCCTCCGTTAAAATCGAGACCAGTGGGCTGTTGGCGTTCGCGGAGGGCGTGGGTGTCGCGCTCGGGATCACGTGCAGGTAATTGGCCGTGGTGACGACCACCATGACCTCCTTCCACGCTTTGCGGAACATGGTCGAGTCCTTCTTGTACATCATGCCCTCCTTCGTCGAGTGTATCAGCGGGTGGCTCTGCCCCTCATACGCAATCATATCCTCCGTGATGCTGACGGCGTCCGGCGGTAATATGCGATCGATATGCTGCTGACTGAAGGATTGCCAGTCCTTTGCGACGTCCAGCGTGCTCAGGGTAGCTTTCAGCTTACGGAAGGTGGCTTGTGCGCTGGTGAGGTCTTTGTTTTGCCAGTCGAAGAAGGTGGAGAGAGTTAATTGCAGGGTCTGCACGATGCTGGATTCGAAGGTCGCAAAGTGTTTTTGCTGGTTCAGGAGGGTGGCGCGGTAGTGGTCTTGCTTGTGGAGGCAAAGTGCGATATGTCGTTTCAGGCCTATAATGGATATATCATGAGCAAGGGAGTCCTTTCGACATCCCAACCGAATGCTCTGGATAAGAAAACACATACTTTTATTCACAGTCCACGGATCCCTCCAAGCACTCGACTCCTTCTCCACACCACTATACGCCTCCCCCCCATGCCTCGCCAGCGCAATCCTCAGCTGCGCCGCCAGCTTCACATACGTCTCCCGATCATGCTGCAGCTCCTTATCCAACCCTGTCCACTCCCGATCCGTATCCGCCCCCTTCTTCCTCAGATCCGCCAGCAGCGACCTCAGATCCGGTAACAGGTACTGATCCAGCAACTCTGCGGCTTCCGTATTCTCCTGCGCGGCCTGGATGTGCGAGGATAGCAGGCCCTGGAAGAGGAACTGGGTGGTTTCGTCCGGCCCGAAAATAGCTTCTCCGTCCCGCGTCCGAACGGGGCTTTGAAAGTCCCGGGCGAGCTTGCTGTAGCTCTCGGCCATGCGCTTTTGGTGCTCGATGACGGCTTCAAATTGGGTGATCAGACGCTTGACGAGCTGCGCCCAGCCGTTCAGCCGTTGGAGGAATATCTGCGGAGGGAGTAAAATGGACATGTAAGGGTTTCCAGCAAGTTTGCGACGGACGACGATGCGATACCAGGGAGCCCATACATACCTCTGTGGCACTCAGTGGCACAACGCCATGGGTAGGGTTATCTGCAAAAGGTGCCTTTTGGAGTGGCTTGCTGACGGATTGCTGCTGGTGCAATGAGGCTTTCCGCGAGGTGACAGCGGGAGAACCGCCCAGGGACTCCATGGACGACGCCCGGGAGGCTGCCATGGCGTGTTAGTAGCTCGGGCGAACAGGTGGAAGTGGGAAAGGGACTGGTGTCAGTCTCTCGAACAAAGGCAACGGCAGTTGGGAAAAACTGCGAAATGCGACGAGCGGTCAGGTCGCTTGCATTTTTATCTGCTTAGCCGCCGGGTGACGCGACAACAACCACGCCAGGTGAATCTTCACGTCCAGGGCAGCCAAGGCTCCACGAGTCTCAAGAAACATGCATATCATACTGCAACTTCATAATCACCTCCTCCCTCTGCGTCGCACACTCACGCACGCCTCGAAGCCTCGTATCCTAAACATCTCAAGGGAAACTCCGTTCACATTCTGTCATGAAGTCTAATTGGATATATATGAAAGGCCTCACTCTTTGCTCCAGCAATCTGCGGATAGAGCTATAGGTACATTTCCTATCGAGCGGGTTTAGCCTCGTCCTTCTTCTCCTGCTTGGCCGCCTCCTTCAAGAACTTTGGCTGCGGGGTTCCTTCGCCGGTTTGTTCCCTAAAATTCATAACTTACGTCAGTAAGCTGCCGTTGCACACCTCTCCGCTAAAAAAAAAGCAACCCACCAAGGCGATTGCAAATCAAAAGCACGGAGGTGCTGTGTCAACTCCAAAGGCTCGGCAACGACACGCTTCTTCTCGTCATCGTATCGAACTTCCACGTAACCCGTCAACGGGAAATCCTTCCGTAAAGGATGACCCTCAAACCCATAGTCGGTCAAGATCCTCCGCAAGTCCGGGTGGTTGACAAAGTAGATGCCGTACATGTCGTACGCTTCCCGCTCAAACCAGTTGGCACCGGGGAAGTAAGGCGTCATCGAGGGCACGGGAGACACCTCCGTGGCATATGTCTTCACGCGGATACGGGTGTTGTAGCGAAGAGACAACATGTTGTAGACGACCTCAAAACGGTTTGAGCGGGTCGGGTAGTCAACGCCGGACAGGTTGGCGATCTGTTTGAACTGGCAGGCGGTGTGGTCGCGAAGAAAGAGCATGGTGGGGACGAGACCAGACGGCGCGACGTAGAGCGTGAGTTCATCTTTGTAAAGGGAGAATTGTTGAATGTACTTGGGCAGGCAGGAGGCGATGAAGCGACCGTATTCGTGCAGCTCTTTGTCCTGGACCGGTTCAAGAGGCCTGGCGGTGGAGGCGGTTGCGAACCCTAGGAGTAAGAAGGACGCTCAGATGTTGCTCACTTCACACACGGCTTGGACAATGGAAGAGTCTACAGAGATAAACGAAGTCGTGCTTCTGCAAAAGGGGATCTATGGGAAGCGTACCTGCTGTCACGTTGGCAGATACTCTTGGGTGTGCGATTGCTGAAAGAGTGCGAGCGATATATCAGTTATCGACGGATACACTCAAGATGTATCTCTTCGGCTTTCTCAAGCTTCACACGGCAACCAGCCTTCCAACTTGGAACATGCAGATACAAGTGGATTCCGCATACACTAGCCATTTCCACTTCTGATCTGTCTGGGTGCCTTGCTCACGTACCTCTGGGCGCAATGCGTTGAACGAAGGATGGGTGCAGCCGCGCGGTGACCGTCCTTGCTGTGAGGAAAACCATTGTGACTCGATGGGCGACTGCAAAGGGGCGGTGGGATGCCTGTTGTCGGAAGCTCGCAGACAACGAGTTGCAGGAGAGTGTGGCCCTGCTGGTAGGTGTGGTGGTGAGATGGCCAGCGAGTGGGCAGTCTGTGCAGTTTCTACGTCTGCTGATCCCAGAGCTCCCAGAATCCCAGGTTGGGTCTGTTTTCGTTCAAGCCGCGCCACTTGCAGACTTCGTACCAGAATTCAAGTCTCCCGCGTGCATGCAAGGTGCTGGGTTCAAACTCCGTCACCGAAGCATTTTCCCACGCATTCCAGCAGTCGGATGTATCATCCATACGCCCCACCGACAGCAGCACTTTCAAGCTCCGAATACGCAAGTCTATCAAAGTCGCTACTCCACCAGCCATGAGCGATTTCGACCTATTGTCTCCAGTTCCTGGAGGCCCGAAATGTATGGAGCGTTTGCTTTTCTTGCAAGGTCCTACTGTGAACTGGCCTTCTTAAGCACTCTCGTACGTACTCAGGGGTCATAGGAGTCTGTGCCATGGACACCAAAGGTGCGTTGGGGAAGAATGCTTGCAGCTGGAGTCTAATCGCGTCTGTGTTGCAATTTTCTCACGGTTTCCCACGCAGCCCGGTCGAAGCCCATGCGGAATATTTTGAACCGACTTGTATCCACCGGACACTTTGAGGCTGTCATTTTTGGAGATAAGGTCATTTTGGACGAAGGTAAGTAGTCGACCGGCTCGTGAAGTAGAGACCGGCACTCGTAGACTGTGATGAACAAATTTCTGACCTCCCTTCCCAACAGCGGTTGAGAACTGGCCAAGTTGCGATTTCCTAATTTCGTTCTTCTCCAGTGGGTTTCCTTTGGAGAAGGCTATTCGATACGTCAAGCTGCGGCAGCCGTTTTGCGTGAACGATCTGCCGATGCAGCAACTATTGTGGGATCGACGTTTGGTGTTGATGATTCTCGACAAAGTGGGCGTGCCAACACCTAGGCGATTGATCAGCCACACTGGGAACGGCCCGTTCTTGTCCGAAGACATCCTCGAGAGGTTAGACAACCTAGGCATCAAAGTGCCCACGGATCCACAGCCACATGTCGTCCCTGAACTTATCAACAACGATACGCTCAAAGTGGGAGATCAAACTATCAAGAAGCCATTCGTGGAGAAACCAGTATCTGGGGAAGATCACAACGTCTACATATATTACTCCTCCGCGATGGGCGGAGGCGTTCGGAAACTTTTCAGGAAAGTGGGAAACAAGTCCAGCGAGTTCTGCCCGGACGTGGTGGATATCCGTCGGGATGGGTCCTACATCTACGAGGAGTTTATGAATGTGGACAACGCGGAAGATGTGAAAGTGTACACTGTCGGTGACCGCTACACGCATGCTGAGACACGGAAATCGCCGGTGGTGGACGGCGTTGTGCGCCGTAATGCTGAGGGCAAAGAGGTCCGATACATCACGGCCCTGACGGATGAGGAAAAGGAGATGGCCAAGCGAGTCACTGTAGCGTTCGGGCAAACCGTCTGTGGATTCGATCTCTTGCGTGCGGATGGCAAGTCCTACGTTATCGACGTGAATGGGTGGTCTTTCGTCAAGGGAAACGACGACTATTATGACAAGTGCTGCTCGACGCTCAGGCAGATTTTCTTGGAGCATACGACGACCTTGAAGCCTGGGAAACTGAATAAGGAGCCAAGCATTGAGAACCAGTGGAAGCTCAAAGCTTTCCTTTCTGTCATGCGCCACGCTGATAGAACACCGAAGCAGAAGATGAAGGTGGGCATCATCGACTAGTTCTTTGCTGATCATCGTTGAGCATGACTAACCCACTCCCATTCTCCAGTTTGTTTTCGGTAGCAAGCCTTTTGTGGATCTGTTGAACGGGCAGGAGGGCGAAGTAGTCTTCAAAAAACTCGAACAGCTCAACAAAGTCGCCGAAGCATGCCGCATCGCCCTCGAAACCAAATCTGAGGACGAGGCCACACTCCAACAGCTACGTGAGGTCCTTGCAGCAAAGTCTCGGTTTTCCGGTACCAAAGCACAGATCAAACCTCAGTTCAACAAGTCGAATAAAACACTGGAAAAGGTGCAATTGATCGTCAAGTGGGGTGGAGAGTTTACACACGGTGGCCGGCATCAAACTAAGGAGATTGGGGAGAATTATCGCAAGGATCTTATGCTCATCAACAAGGATCTGTTGGACGACGTGCAGATATACAGCAGCTCCGAGCAGCGTGTAACGGCCACCGCCGATTTCTTTGTCCGCTATTTCCTCAAACTCGACGATGTTCCCAAGAATATCATAGTGGTCAGCAAGGAGATGTTGGACGATTCGAATGCGGTGAAGGAACAGACGGAGAGCCTGAAAGGTCGAATTCAGAGGATTCTGAATGGGGAGGAGTTGACAGAGGATGGGAGCGTTGATAGTGCCGCGGCCAAATCGGCGGAGCTGGATGAGACTATCGACATTCTGAGGAAACTGCGGAACGTGATGAGGGAGAAGTTTACCAAATTGGATGTGGATGTGATTCAAAGACGGTGGTGTTGCTCGGAAACGCCCATGCTGTTCAAGGTTTGCTCATTCATGCTTGCAGCGAAGAGGAGACCAGGTGGCTTACGGCGTATTGGGTGTGTCGTATAGGAACGGTGGGAGAAGATGATGAAGGACTTCTGTGACGTGGAGCGGAAATCGTTTGATCCGTCAAAGATCTCCGAGCTGTACGATTCGTTGAAGTATGATTTGATACACAAGTATGTACCGTCCTGACTCTATGTTGCCGCTGTCGCTTCCAATTTCATCGAGAATGAGTGCTGACGATGGGTTCCTCTTCTTTCCAGCCGAGATTTCTGCATGACCATTTTCGGCGCAACAGAGGGCAGCGACCTAGTCAAACAGCTTTACGCGAAATCAAAAGCCATGTTTGATTTCGTTGCGCCAAAGGAATACGGAATCGAGGTAGACATCCAACCAGCTGTACCTCATCTCTCAACACGAACGCGAAAAAGGACTCACCCTTTCCCCCAAATCAGAACGAAGAAAAGCTCGAAATCGGCGTCCTCTCCTCCGTTGCCCTCCTCCGCCAGCTCGTTGCCGACCTCCAACTCGCCCGCTCGAGCCCCAAACCCAGCGCGCGTTTCTACTTTACAAAAGAGTCCAAAATCATCGCTTTACTGAACATCGTTCTCCTCTGCGGCCTGCCCACCCGCATAGGAAAAGTCGACGAGCTCGATTACCTCACCCAAATCACGTTTGAGCTCTATGAACGTGCACGCGGACTCGGGACTGAGGATGACGAACAGTTGGCGAGGGAGTATAGTCTAAGGATTGGGTTCAGCCAGGGAGCGCATCATGCCGAGCTTGTGGATCTGCATTTGGATAGTAAGCATTCGTTGAGTGTGGCGCCGAGGATATGGATTAGCGATCATGTTAGTTTGGATGAGGCGTTGGGATACCTTACGCCGAGGATGAATGGGAGCCCGGTGCCGCCTAAGTAGAGATAGGATTTTTCATAGAGCCATGTAGAGCAGAAACTTCGAGGTCAACACTGCACATTGATGCCGTTGTATTTCCGTCGTCGATGTTTCATTTTGTGCGTTCATCACCCTTCATATAACACTTTAATACACCTATGTAGACAGAGCGAGATGTCCGGTGCGATGAATATGCACATGCAGTTTATATGTGCGTCGCTGATACTCTGTTTCTGTCTATGTGTCCCTCGTGTCCTTTTCTCGTACGGAAAAGGCGGATCTTCATATCCGGGGCTTGGGACAATTTGCGGCGCGAGGCGTTCGATTCCGTTCCATTTTGGACTTTTTCGGCGGAAGGGCAAGAAGGGAGAGGACACGGACAGGGTCATTTAGGCTGCGGATTCACACTCGCTCACCCTCACCTCACCTCACACACCTCATATCTACGGCGAGGGCCACTCACTCAACCCTGTACGACGTCTCCGTTTGCGAAGAACGTCCGACTCACCTTCACCTCACATTTGAGTTCTTGAGATCAGCAATCATCACCACCCCGAAACTACGAAGTAACATAGCCATGGCAGTACGACTCCTGCGGCGGATACCGCTCTATCTGGCCATCTTGGCTACAGCAGCCCTGCTTGTGTCTGCTGAAGAAGTGGAGGAAGAGCCGCCGTTCACATTGTTTGCGTACTCGTTATCTGCGCCATATATAGGTATGCAAATCATCAGTACTTGCAGAGCCAGGAGAGGCAAGGCGGAATGCTGATAGGATACTTTCGTTTCGGCAGAGGAGCAATTGCAAAACCGGTGGTGGGATTTTGGCGGCGACACCATCATGGAAGTCAACAACTACATCCGCCTAACCCCCGACCGCGGCTCCAAAGCTGGCTACCTTTGGGCCAAGCATCCCTTCACAACCAAATCCTGGATGACCGAGTTCGAGTTCAAAGTCCACAGTACCACATCCGGGCTGCACGGGGACGGATTCGCTTTCTGGTACACGTCCGAAAAAAACACTCGCGGCCCCGTGTTTGGGTCCAAGGACAAGTTCTCCGGGCTCGGCGTGTTCTTCGACACCTTCAACAACGGCCGGCACGCGCTACCCTTCCCACGGGTGAACGCCATGGTCGGCGACGGCAAGACAGCGTACGACTACAAGGACGGTGTGACGGGCCAGGTGGGCAGCTGCGAGCTGGATTTTAGGAACAAGGAGGATCCGACGTGGGCGAGGGTCAAGTATGTGCAAGAGACGAAGCGGCTGCAGGTGTGGTCGAATGCGGGGAATGCGGGGAGGAGGGATGAGGATTTCAAGCTGTGCTTTCAGGCGGATAACGTGGTGTTGCCGCCGTCGGGGTATATTGGGTTCTCGGCGCATACGGGAGGGGTGAGCGATAATCATGATATTATCAGTGTGAAGACGCAGGCTATCACTGTCGTAAGTATCCGTTCGTGTATGCCTTGCGTTTGCGAGGGAAGAAGGGGGAGTCTTCAGCTTGCGGAAATCACCGCCGTTGCAAGATGTTCCCTCTATCATCCCATCCTACAATTACCATAAACTAACCCCCCTCCTAATTACTCAGCGCACCAAACCCAACTCCGCCTCCTCCAATCAAGACACTGCCAAAGGCCCCTCCGCCGAAAAAGTCCCCACCTACTACGCCGACAGCAAAATGGACTCCACGAAAGCAACGAGTAAGAGCAGCAGCGGGTTCGTCGAGTTCCTCAAAGTCCTCTTTGGGCTCGCTGCGCTGGGCGCGGTGTGTACCGGCGCGTGGATGTATGCGCAACGGCAGCAGGAGCGGTCTTTCAAGCGGTTCTGAGGTGAAACACGAGACCTTCGTGTCGTGGACGGGGAAACCAAGGAGATGGGGATTAGTGGTAGTCGAATGAGGCGTAGGAGCAAGGTGGCACGGGTCCATCTTGAAACGGTAGAACGAGATCTGTGAATAGCGGCTGATTCGTCTAGAAGCTGTTCCCTCCGAGGGAAGAGGGAATATGGGCTATCGAAAATCACTCATAGGTTAGATTATTTCCCATCATATTTCATTCAACCCGAATTCCCATCATTGTACATCATTTGAATTCGCGTCCCCGTTTTCGTTGGTGGTTTTTGGCGTAGCCTCCAGAGCCATATCTTTTTGATGAACCCTTTACCTCTGAATCTCTGAGCCACCCTACTTCTGCTGTACAGAGCCCAACCCCAGCATTTCTCGTCATCGGGAAACCTGCAGAGCAGCTTAGTCATATAGTGCAGACAAACCTTTATCTGAACGATTGCCCCGCGTCCATCCCGGCCAACGCACTCAGTGCAGGCGCGGACGTTGGGAGATCGAACCCCAGATGCGTAAGATGAAATTTATTTTGTCTTTCGCGACTGCAATCCAAAAATGATGAACTTCGTATCACTCAGCTCACCTCGAGTTCGGGCGGTTTAACAATCCGCTCCATGAGATAAATAGTGTTCTGATCCCGGATTCCTTTGTTTTGCTTTCGCACGGAGGGATGAATGTTTCTCTGGGCGTAGGGGCTCTCTGGGTGTACCTAGACAAAGCGTCGAGCCTCGCCTTCTCCTTCCATTTTAAAGGAGAAATCTCAGCTGATATTTTCGACGATGTCCCTTGCTTTTGAAAAGTGCGTGATCTTACAACCCAGGGGCAATCGCGGATTTTCAACACCCGATGACCTGAAAACCCAGGGGCAGCAAGTCTACGCCACGCTCTCTCAACACGTTGCGCTTACGCGTTGTGGCAAGGAACGCGTGCATAAGCAACACGTCGCAAGAAGCGAACCGTTATTATTGGGGCCTGAACTCGAACGGAGGCGACATCCGGCTCTGCATGTTTTCCCTCGAGTCGCCTTCCGTCTCATTGCTTCTCGACAAGTATAACAAGACCCACCTTCTCTCATCTGCCCTGTCAATTTGTCAATTTCTTCTCCAGGATGTCTGTTCCCGCTCCCTCTAAGGCTCCGAAGTTGGACGCACAAACCAGTAACCCATCCGTAACCTCTCTCTTCATCTTCCCCTCTCGCTTGGCTTGGAAGATAGCCGCGCGAGATTCTCGCCGATGGTTCACGCGTGAAGGGCAGACAGGAACTATACACCATCATCCCAGAGCCTTTCTAACTTCACCAGCCCAAGGTAACTATCATAACCCACTCTCCGCCAATCTCAGCTCCCTCGTCTTTTCATGCTCTCGTTCTCCGGTTTTGCGATGTTATCTTCGACATCACTTGGGTATCGTCGCCCACGTAAAACGCGTGGGAATCCGACCGCTTGGGTCCGGAGGCAGTTGAGGGAGGGAGACGGGGAGCCCATATGCCCCGCCCCCTGCAGCATCGGCGATATGTCGGCGCGGGCTACGGGGCCCTGCTCATCACGCGTTCACTCGTGAAGAGGGTCGCGTGCGGTGCGGGGCAATGGTCGGCACGATTCGTCCAAGTGCATGAGTAGACCTTGGAGGAGATTGGCAATCTCGCCCCCTATCGCCCCAACCATCGTCTCCCACGTCTAGACTTCCCACCACTTCGTCAAACATCCTCCGTCGCACTGGGTAATCGCATTCACCACCAAATGCCAACCATCCCAATGTCGCCGACCCACGCGAACCTCCAAATCCACCCCCTCACCCGCCAGCACCACCCCCAAATCCCCCTCCTCGCGCACACAGTCCAGCACCACCTAACCCACACCCGCCACTCCCTCCAACACCTCCGTGCCGAATTCCTTCGTGGCGACTTTACGGAGGCCAATGCGCCGCACGGACGGAGGGTGTGGGTTTTGCTTGACAGTAGTGGGAGCCACGAGGGTGATGACGGTGATGGGCAAGTGGCAGGCATGGTCTGCATCGACCCCCTCGCCCCCTCCCTCCGCTCGACATGGGGCGTCCCCAAAACGGAGGAGGCGTGGATGCTCCATTCGCTCATGATCCAACCGGAATTGCAGGGTGGGGGTCGGGGTATTGGGGGTTGGTTTCTGGGGAGTGTTTTGGAACGGGTAAAAAGTGATGATGATGTATCCGCACGACCACGAACAAGACTTTTCCTGGACTGCTGGGCAGGCAACGCGTCCCTCCGTGCGTTCTACGAGCGGGCAGGATGGACGTTGTGGGGGATTTTCAGAGAAAGGGAGGGTGCGGAGGAGTGGGATGTGAGTGTTTATGGTACGTGGGTGTGATTCTGGGACATGCATATTTTACATTCCAAATGATGACTTTAGGGGGGATGTGTAATGTGCGGTAAATACATAGCGTATGTCACGAATAAGATAACCATAACGAGTTCGCCGGACTGAGGGGTGGGAACTATGTACATGCCGTGCCGATGGAGAGGCGAGGGGCTGGGCGTGCTTCCATTCATTCCGATGGCGAATTCCTCCAAGCATCATGCGGGGCCAGGTATCATGCGAAGCCTGCTATGTCATCGTCGTCCTCAGCCTGATCCTCGTCACTTTCACCGTCATGGCTCTCAATCTCCCCGTCACCGTCACCGCCGTTGGGACCGCCACCGTCAAGGTCCCACCCAGCAAACGGCCTTAGTCGTCCAACCGCCGCTCTGTTGTTTCGTATCAAGAGAATAGTAGATGCGGTGAGCTCCGATACCCAGCAATACCACACACACAAACGAACAACAAATATTTCTCACCTAAACCCCGCCATCCAATCCGCTTCCGGCACCTGCCCCGGTCCGTTGCCCAACTGAAACTGCCCCCGTCCCCTGCCCGCCGTCAGCCGCCCATCTCTTTCCTCATAATACCACTCGTCCTCCCAATCCCCCTCCTCATTCTCCTCCTCCTCCAACCCGTTGCCCGGATCTAGATCCCCGAGATCATCCCCATCCCCATCCCCATCCCCCCGTCGCAGTCGTCTTATCTGATCCGCGAGGGCCGCGAGCGCTGTCCTGAGACCGCCGCCGGCTGCGGTCACGGGGTTGGTGAAGTCGAGGGAGAGGCCCGTGGGTGCGCGGGAGGTGGTGCTTGGTGGAGGAAGCGGGTCGTGGGATTGGAGGTCGGTTGAGGCGAGCGTGCGGGGGAGGGCGGAGGTTATGTTTGGGAAGTCTGCGAAAGTCACACCGGGGGTGAGTATTGTGTGAGTGGGATGGCGGTGGGAGATGAAGATACGGGTTGGTGGAAGCATGACATACCCGAAATGAAAATATGCCTCGACAAATTCCTCGGCACCTCCCCTTCCCCAACCCCGCTCCCCCGCTCCCCGCCTTCCGCCAGCACAGATTTCACACCCTCCCTCAACCACGCCAACACCTCAGGGACCTTCCACATCGAATGCGCGCGCTCGACATACAATTCCACCTGTAACCGCAACGCCAAGGAGTCAGTCTCGTCGACGAAGAAGGGCGTGTCGGGGGTTACGCCGGCGACGCTGGAGCCGCATTTGTCGAGGAGGAGGGGGATGAGGGTTGGGAAGGTGCGGATGGCTGTGTGGAGGAGGGTTGTGCTTTCTGCGTGTAATGATGAAGAAGACGATTTGTGGTTTTTGGCCTCGACGGCCCATTTGGCGAGTGCGAGGCTGTACGCGTGGTTCGGATAGTCGAGCAGTCCCAGGGACTCTTGATAAGCGTCTACGAAGCGGAGGTACCATTCCTCCTCCTTCGCGTTCAGCGCATACGCGTCGATGCTGTACAGCGTTCCAAGCGGGTCGGCGTCAATATCGAGCGCCAGGAGGAACTTCGCAAACTCGAACGAGGTCCGCCAGCACCCGCGACGCGCGAGGTATCCGATATGTCTAAACAGGGCCAAATGGAACGCTCTATTCTCAAACCGCTGGTAGGGCAGCCGCGCGAGGCCCGTGGCGGCATTGAACATGGAATGAAACGCGCGTTCAAACGCATACAGCGCGCGTTCGACGAGTTCAGCGGCCATAGCGATATCCCCGCCGTGTTTTGCAATCTCGCTGAGCTGGAGGAGGGTGTCAATGTGGTACGGGTACATCTGCAGCAGGTTCTGAATGGTGTTTGGGTCGTGGGTGTTGACGCACTGGATGAAGACGTGCTGGATCTCCTGGTACGCGCGGGAATGGACGAAGGTGAAGTAGAGGGTGCCGTCGTCGGCGGTGGATTCGAGTTCCATGGTCAGGCCGAGTTTGTCGGGTTTGGGCCAGTGTTCGCGGGGGACGGCTAGGGCGGTGCGTTTGGCGCTGCGGATGTACTTTTTGCGCCGGATTTCGTCGTTGACGACCCGGGAGCCGAACATTTTACGCATTTCGGCATCGGCGTCGAGCCAGCGGGGGTCGATGGATAGGAGGTCGCGGCGGGCGGAGTCGGTGTTGTTGGGGTTAGTAGGTTCTGTGGATGTTGGCGTTAAGATGTCGCCGAACCTGGTTGAAATCGGGATTCGTCAGTCTTGTACTCATCGTCGACCGGCCTTCCCAGTCAGCATTGCCCTCTCCCGTTCGCAACGCAACTCACTTTTCATTCAACTCCCTCAGCGTCCGATCAATCTCATCCATCCCGTCCTCAACAGCCTTCCCCTTCCCCTTCCCCTTTCCTTCATTCTCCACCACGACCTCCTTCCCTCCACCCTTCCCCTTCTTCTTGTTCTTTTTCTTCTTCGATTTCCTCTTTGCTGCTGGCTTGCCTATCCGCTCCTCCTCCTCGTCATCCTCAGCGTCGTCTTCGTCATTGTCTTGCCCATTGACGGTGGCTGCTGCTGTTGTTGTGGCGGCCTTGAGTCCCTTTGCGGTATCTGAGTCTGCCCCCTCTTCGTCGCTTTCATCGCTATCAACGTCATCGCCACCCAACTGCCATGGAAGTGTTGACTGTTGTCAGCAACACATAAGAGATCACTCCTGAGAATCCTCCCCTCAACTCACCAAAGCAAACAAACTCTGCTGTCCACCCGCCGGATGCTGACTATCACCCTCTCCCTCCTCGTCGGTGGTGACTTCGTTGTCGGGGTTGAGGCTGTTGGTGTTCTGTTTCGGTTGGACGGCTAGCGGGACGAGACCGTCGCGTTCTCGCATGAGCTTGCGGTAGGCTCGGGACATCTTGAAGAGACGGGTTCTTGGAATGGGAGCGACTTGGGAGGGGTGCGCTGCTTATGAAACTGTGAGGGGAAGTGGCTGTTGTGGCTGGGTTGAGTTCCGGATATGTGGATAATAATGCGTTTGTTTGCGAGAGTTGCGAGGGTCGCAATTGCGAAAACAACGTCGGACTTGGCCACCAGCGCCCGCCGCCTCTTCTTCTTCCGTGGCTGTCCAACAAGCCAACCAACAAACAAACCGCAACCATACTCTACTATGATACTATGATGTTCATCAACGCAGCTGGGAACTGGCTCAATGTCAATGTCCTTCACCGAAAGTTTGATTTGAAGGTCAACTGATTCAAGTCTCTATATCTATCCCATCATACTGTTCCTTGAACTGGGCTTCCTTCTACCTCGATTCGAATGATTACGCTTGTTTCTTCCCGCATCTCGACTATAAGCGCCTAGTAATCCTGCGATAGCCCCTTCCTTTCTCCTTGAGCGCTTTCTTGACAGAATGTCCGCACTCTCAACGGCTCCTGTCTCATCTCGGGGACGGGGGGACTTTCTGTGGATGTCGATTTCAGGTGGTCCTTGCTTATGAGCGCGTGAAGGTGCCCCTCTCTTTTCCCTTCCGCTTCGTAGGACGTCCGCTGGTACACTACCATTCATGGTATTGTAGGACTTCGGACAAGACCAGGCACGTCTAAGCGACTCAGGACAATTGATCGAGAAAAGAGTAGAACGCCTTAGCGTATCTGGACTCTAAATATCTCTGTCGCATCTGTGCAAGACGATTACGACATGGTTGGGAGGTAGCGCCCTAAGCTTCTAACAATGACAATTTCGCGCTCCATTCGCTTGTGAGGTAGGTGGATAGCTGGACACGTGTGGTATTCCCCATCTTCGCCAGGGCTGAGTGCTGGAGCGTGATGCCTGTAAATGCCCTGTCCTTTGCCCCATTCCGACATCCCGGGAGGTAACTGGAGAAGTGACGTACTGAGACGGCGTGCATGTACAGGATAGGTGCAGGAGCGGCATAGCCCGATCCCAGGCAGCGTTCCCATATGTGTATAGTGTGCATGCGAGGCACATTACAGTGTGTCCGAGAGCTTTGGCGAGGGAGACGCGTGATGCTGCTGCTTCTCTTCCGTCCCCTTGCGAATGCGAAGTCCCTTTTTGGTGTTGTGAAAGGCATTCCCACGTTGGTAGATCTAACGCCACCAGCAACTGGCGCTCAGCTGATGAACAACCTCAGCTCAGACAGATACCCTGCACCCCCGTGGGTATAGATAAGAAGTACTCCTACGCAGTCCTCGTCGCAAAGTGCAGTCCCAACGCTCTTCCAGGAACCGCACCAGAATGCTGGCGGACCCGGCTGTCCTGCCCCCAGGCTCAGCAACAGCGGCGGCGGCTGCGGCCATCCAGCAGCAGCAGCACAGCAAAGATCACAGCAAAGAAGCTCCTCCTCCAAGCCGCAGAGGCGTATCAGAAGCTGCCCAAGGCGAACGAGCCGTCCGTCGCCAGCAACGCGGGCGCTTCCTCGCCTTTGTCGAAGAAGAGACTAGCAAACACATGGAAAAGCGAGTCCGGAATCTGGTCAATGACGAGCTCGTCCGGCGATGCGGCGCCGCCCTCCTTGTCTCCGCAACCCATGCCATGGCCATTGACACACTCTGGCAGCACGTCGACACCGCCAACGATCTCGCAGAGACGCAGGACAATCTTCTTGCACAGGCTGTCGAGTTCGTGAGAAGTTACGTCAAGAATGCTATCCTGGACAAGTTATCCTGGTCGGACGAGGCTACGCGATTGCAGGAACAGGAAGCGCTCGTCCATCGTGATGTGAGCGCTCTGATTGAGCGACAGATGCGGTCCATGGACATCCATCGGTTTTTCAAGTCTAGGGAGTTGGTCGTCATTGAATATGAGAAGGAGCTGTGGAGGTTTGAGATGTCGACAAAGGAGCCCCCTGAGATGATGTTGGAACCGGGGATTCCCGCGGAGTGCCTCGATACGCCTGGGAAAGCGCAGGTTGTCGTAACGGAAGAGCACATCACGTTGGAAGTGACGCTTGACGAGACTCAGCAGGGTGGTGAGGAGAAAATGGTCGAGAAATCTGCCGCCGACACCGCAGCAGCTGAAGAAGAACCGAAAAAGAAACCCAAGAAATCGAAAAAGAAAATGGCAAAGCTCAGAAAAAGGATGCTTAAATTCAGCGAACGCGTCCTCCAAAAAGCCATCGTCGTCACCGAAGACTACTGCAAAGTTGCCCGCTGCGTCCAACAGATCCAGGTCGAAGCCGCCAAACACACCGAAGAAGGTCAATTCGTCGGATCACCCCTGCTAGGCGTCGAACGCCCCGACGAACTCTCCACAATGACCTGCACCATCCTTGGCATGGAGTTCCGCAAACTCTACCAAACCTTCGAACCCTCCCAACGCGTCCAACAAGACCGCAAAAGAGTCCAAGAAAATATGCAGTTCATCGTCGACAGAGCCTACCGCGGCCACGTCAAGATACACGTGGAGCTCTTCGGCTCCTCAATCAACAATCTCGGCTTCTCAACCTCCGACGTCGATATCTGTCTCCGCATCCCGCAGTCCCACGGGTTGGATGAGGACGAGTTTGCGCGACTCACCAACATGTTCCGTCTTGCGAATATCCTGAGGAGGTTTGGGATGCAAGATGTGCGGCCGGTCGCGTCGGCTAGGGTGCCGATCTGCAAGTTTGTGCATCCGGAGACGGGGTTGCAGTGTGATGCGAATTTTGGGAATGAGTTGGGGGTTAAGAATTCATTGCTTTTGAGGACGTATACGTTGATTGATCCGAGGGTTAGGCCTTTGGTTATGTTGGTGAAGAATTGGGCGAAGAATAGGGATCTTAATGATGCTGCTGATGGAGGTATGGATCGGAATTCCCATCTTCTTGTGGCTGTTGTCATCTCACTTTCCTTGGGCTCACTCAAAAGTAACACCACCATTTCACGCATTTCACAGGAACGATCACCTCCTACGCCTACTCGCTGATGGTCCTCAACTTTCTTCAAATCCGCGGCATCATCCCGTCGTTGCAAGAGCTTTACGAGGATCCTGTCCGCCAGACTCTCGAAGTTCTTCTACCCATCCCGGTCCCACGCATGCGCCGCAGAAGGGGTGGGAACGACCAGAAGAAGAAACAGCAGGGCAATGGACTTGCCGCGGCGGAAGAAAAGGAAAAGCACAAAGGAGCGAAGCCGGTGGATGATGGGAAGAAGGCTGGTGATGACAAAGAAAACGAATCCGACGACGAAGAAGAGGCCAGTGACGACGACGCATCGGAACCCGAAACCGGAGACACCACCACCCTGCCCCCCAAACGCCGCTTCACCGTCGACGTCTCCTTCATCTCCACCCCCACGCACCCCTCCCTTGCCCCCTACCATGCGCACTCCAAAACCCTCACCCCGCACGACATCTGGTGCGGCCCCTCCGGAATCGCCGCCCTGTTCCACGCCTTCATGACCTACTACGCCTGGGACTACCGCTTCCGCCACGACCAGGTCGTCTCAGTGCGCACCGCCCGCGTTATGAGGGAACTCACACCGGAATTGATGGGGACGTGTCGGAAGAGTATGGGCATGGCGCTGGTGGTTGAGGACCCGTTTCAGTTGGATCGGAATTGTACGGGGAGCTTGAAACATCCCGGGGTGCTGGTGAGGGAGATGAGGAGGGCGTTGATGATTATGGGGCGGGTTGCTGCTGGCGCCGCGGAAGAACCTATCATCAAAACCCCCGCTGTTGTCAAGTCTACACCGATGACACCCACCGAGCTAATGGAATCCCACCCCCGCCTCCTGAACATGCAACCCCTCGGCGTCGCGACCGCCGTCCGCACCCTGATGGAAGAGACCGCGTACGTGCTGCAGAAGAAGGAGGATGCGGCGGCCGCGGGGTTGGAGTACGCGCATCGGGCGAGTCGGAATACCGTATTCCGCCCTGTTATTGCCGATGGTGGTGCGGATGGGGGTGGCCTTAGAGGCGGACGGGGCGGCTATCGGGGCCGGGGAGGGTTTGGGGGGCGAGGCGGTGGGTTGGCGCATGGACCGCCGTCTGGCGGTTATGGGAATGGGAATGCGCGACAACAGCAATCGCCGCCGATGGCGAATGCGTTCCCGCCGTTACCGGATGTGAAACGTGCGCCTGGGACTGGGAATGCGAGTGCGAGGATGGATACCGGGCGGGGGAGGAACACTGGAAGTGGTGGCAGAGGGTATCACAGCGCCGGTGGAAGAGGCGGCGGACGAAGCGGAGCGACACATACCCAACCGCACACTCAACAACACACCACCCGTCCGGGACCGGCCTCAGTCGCGCAACCGACTGGGAAGGCCCAACAACAACAACCGAAAAACAATATACCCTCACGCGCTGCTTCGCAGTCCAACATCCCCACCGCTACCACCTCAACAACAAAACCGACACCGTCAACGTCAGCGACGGCACCTAAACCGACATTCCCCCGAAAACCGATGAAGCATACATCTGCGCTTGGGACACCCGGCGTAGGCAAAGCTAAACTCACGAACAATACGAACGTGAACGCGGCGAAAGCGGTCGGGATTGGGAAAGCTGTCGGGAAGAGGGGTGAGGATAAGGGTGTTGTTGTTCCGCGATGAAACTGTGGGAACTATGGGGGTGGGTGGGGTGGTTTGAATAGCGGAGGGGAGTGAGGAGATTTGCTCTCGCCTCACTCTGTTGCGAAACCGGGTGTCGAGATTGGATTGGGGATGTAAATATGGTTCCGATTGTGTGTTGAGATGTTTTCTTCTGGCTCCTTTCTTTTAGAGAACGATGGGGCCGTTTGTGGTTGTTTGGGGTTGGGTTCTGTATATACTTGTTTGTGTTGCGAAGAAATCGAATCTAGAGATCGGTGTATATGACTTGACGAGCCTGTCTAATGGTAACGGAATAGAGATTCGCTTTTGCCTATCCCAGTGGCTGCCTATGCTCTGGAGTAGCGGGGACATAGGGTATATGAAAGGGGTCGGGGTACGCTCTTGTTGCTCAGTCTGTGTCGTTCTCATGCGTCATGCGCGGGTAGTGAGGGGTGAACACAATCCATATCTATGTCTAATATCTACGGGCGACTCGAGGAGGTGTGGGGCCTTCTGTCTGCCTACCGGCGACCGGAATGCGAGAGGTGCGGCCACGCGTGGCTACCGGTGCACACATTGACCAGATTCTCGCTTCCCACCGGCTTTCCTCGCTTCAGAGCTGTTCGTGATTCCTGTGGATGGGTATCGCCTCGCTCTATCGGCGTGCATTCCCATGTGCTGCTGACGAGATCCCGGTGGGCCCGAGTTGCCCTGGGTGTGGGGTCTCGAGATTGCCGCCACCCCACCGTTTTCCGGCTGAACCTGCCGTGGATGTCGGCGGTGCGCCCTTCAATGCGACGGTTTTCTCAACGTGCGGATTCCACGAAGGGAAGGGTGTCCCCGCGGTTACGTCAGCCCGTGTCTAGAATTCTCCATTGCTATGCGCGCAATCCACACCTGTGCGTAGTCTCCCAAACTTTGCATCGCCGCATCGCCTGCCTAGTTCGGAGTCTCCACTACCACCCTCGCACGGACAACCCCAGCTCCCCTCTCGAGTTTACGTGAGTATCTCGACAAGCGTAGCAAGATGGGCCTCCAGCCGATCGAACCGGGCATCGACATGGGCGCGGAGGTCGGCGATCTGGGCGTCGATGTGGTCTTTCAGAGCTATTGTAAGTTTGTCTAATTCTGGTTCTCCTTTCGAGTCCGGGGGGCGGGTTCTTTCGCTATGCTGCTGTTGCTGGTTATTTGATGTTGGAGCGGACGCAGCATCGCCCTCAGAGGGCGAGAGTGTGGATGTGACCGGAACCATGGGAAGATCCGCGCTTTCCACCTCTTCGCCCGGTTCGGTTGGTAATGCCGGTGTAGCACCACCAACCCTCATCCCACCCAACTGTGCCATCAACCCCCACACCCCCGCATTCTCCCGTCGGTCCTGCATCATATTCCCCAGTATCTGCGGTGTGAGATTCAAGTTCATCAATCCGGGGAGTATACTCGACTGTTGTTGTTGTTGTTGTTGTTGTTGTTCGACTTGGGTTAGAAGATGCATGGCGGATGGGGATATGGGGACGTCAAGGGAGTGGAGGAGGGTGCGGACGCGGGGGAGGTTTAGGGAGGTGTTCTGCTGTGGTGGATGAATGAGATGGAGTAAGAGATGGATGAGGAGAGTGGATAGAGGGGTGGTGCACACATACCATTCCAGCATCGAGTAAACCCGCCATTGCGGTCATGGATGACGGTTCATGCAATCCGGGATCGTGCTCACAGGCCATGTCGATGCTCCATAGTCGTAACCACGTCTTCTGCTCTTTTGGGAGTAAGAACTAGAACCAAACATTACGATGATCAGAGATCCGCTTTTGCCACGATCCCTCAGAAATGTCTGGTGAGGGGAGTATTGCCCCTTTGGCGCAATGTGGCTCGCTCCGCTCGCCCTCGCTTCGCTCACGGCAGTACAACACAATCGCTCACTTCGCTCGCGGCCAGACACCCTGCACAATACTACCTTTATATCACACCCCTCCACACACCCCCTCGACCCATCCACTATCAATTCATGAATATACGCCATCCACTCCTCCCCACCCACGTTTACATCCACCGCGTCAACGACCTCCGCCGTCCCACAATATTCGTCAGCGTGATACACCTCCGTATTCTTTGCAGTGGACACGATGCGCAGCCGCGTCCATGTTGTTGACGTCGTGATATTCGGTGGGTGGAAGGAGAGGTGGAGGGTGGGTGGGGACGGTGATGCTTCAGGGGGTGATCTGAAAAGCGTGGAAGGTGAGGTTTGAAGATAGTGTGGGGAGACAGGTGGGTTGGTTGGGGTGAGAAGGGTGGCCAGGTGGATGTGGATGTTGGATTGGAGGCTTGCGAGCTCATCGGGAGTGGACGGCCAGGAACAGGATGCGAGGGCTGAGAGGAGTGGGAGTTGAGGTGGTCCCGCCATTGTCTGAGGAGGAAAGCGCTGTATGAGTGAATATGTGTGCCAAAACAGGAAAAAAGGAAGGAGGGGAAAAGCGGGAAGAGCGCCGAGTGACTTTGCGCGTGAGTCACCGTGAGTCACCGCACACCTCGCATTCCGTCACACTTCGCACTTCACACTTCCATCTTCGCAGACTCAACGCAACCCCCAGCCGTCTCCCACCCACCTCTCCAACCTCAGCGGAGAGCGAATAAGAGCAGTCACCTGAGGAACTTCCCTTCGCCTAGTATAGATAAAGTAGCTTCCTGCCGCGGTCTCCAAGATGCTTCCGATCGCTACCATCGCGACTGAAAAGGGGTCGCCAGTCCATCCAGAATTGCCGACGTCACACTCAGATCTTGAGCAGGCTCGAGCTATAATCCGCGCCAAGGAGACCAAAGAGCACAGAAAGGCCATATGTTTCGGCCTCGCCATCTTACTCTTGCTGGCCTGTTATTTCTTCGACAACATTACCCCAAGACCCTTCACGGACCCGTTCAGCGAGCTTCCCCTCGACCTGGATGCTTTCGACGACTTTGGCAATGACGACGATGCCATCTGTAGGCAGCCCGCCCCCCGGGTTCCCCAGCAGAACCAAAACATCACGGAACGCAACTACGATGGCCTCTTCCGCGACCCCGAATGGCGCAAGGAGGCCGGTGAACGTCTGGCGCAAAGCGTGCGTATCGACACCCAGACCTTTGACCACCTCCGCGATATCATGCCGACCCCAGAGGGCACGCCAGACATCCCCGAACGGGCCGGATTCGACAAGTTCAAGGAGTGGATCGCCAAAGCTTACCCCCTGACGCACAAGCATTTGAAGAGGGAGTTGGTCAACAGATACGCGTTATTGTACACGTGGGAGGGCAAGGAGGATGTCAAGACGGCCAAACCGCTCGTGCTATGCTCGCACATCGATACTGTGCCTGTGCCCGCTTCGTCGCTTGATCAGTGGGTGCATCCCCCGTTCTCCGGTCATTTCGATGGGGAGTATATCTGGGGTCGTGGGAGCGTGGACACCAAGAACACCCTTGTTGCGATTGTGGAGGCCGTTGAAAACTTGTTGGCGGCTGGGTTCAAGCCCAAGCGTACTGTTATCTTGGCCTTTGGATTTGATGAGGAGATTAGCGGATACCAGGTGGTTATATCGATCTTCCAGATTCGGCAGCGCATTTCAGGGGATGAGCTTTTTCAGATGGGCTGACCGATGTTTTCTCCATGTTGCAGGGCGCCCGGTTCCTCTCCAAGAAGCTTCTCGACCGTCTTGGCCCCGGCGGCGTAGAACTCCTCATCGACGAAGGTCCGGGCATCGGCACCGAATACGGCGCCACCTTCGCCTCCATCGGCATCTCCGAAAAGGGCTACACCGACTCAACCCTCACCCTCTCCACCGCCGGCGGGCACTCCTCCATCCCGCCCAAACACACCAACATCGGCCTGATGGCGCGCATCATTGCGAACATCGAAGAGAACGTGTACACCCCCGAACTGTCCGACGACAACCCTTTCCTGCTCAACTTGCAGTGTACCGCCAAGTATGGCCCGGAGATGAACCCGTGGTTGAAGAAGGCGATTAGGAATGTGGATAAGGTCCGCCCGGCTCTGGTTAAGTATTTGGCGAGGGATGTGCAGACGAGGTATATGATGCAGACGTCGCAGGCTGTGACGATGATCAATGGGGGTGTCAAACGTAAGTGTCCGACTCGCGACGCGTATCAAGTGGATGCGACGCACACGTTCTCTACGCGTTCAGATTCGAACTCAGGTCTTGCGTTTCTTCCAACCCCAGTCAACGCCCTCCCCGAACAAACAATCGCCTCAATCAACCAACGCATCGCCATGCACTCCTCCGTCGAAACCGTCGAACACCACCTCATCGGGCTCCTCACACACCTCTCCGACCCCTCCCGACTAGCCCTCAACTTCACATCCACCAACCACCTCAACGTCACAAAAACCCACTTTGAAACACCTGACGCTGTTGGCGCATTACATTATGAGACTTTCATCCCGGCGTTGCAGCCCGCGCCCGTGAGTCCGGTGGATACGCCGGCGTGGGACTTGATTGCGGGAACTGTGAGGAGGGTCAGTGCGAGGAACTGGGAGGTGAAGGAGGGGAAAGAGGAGAAGGAGGAGGAGGAGGAGGGGATTATTGTACGCCCGGAGTTGATGCCTGCCAATACGGATACGAGGCATTATTGGGATCTGACGAAGAACATCTTCAGGTTCGTTCGGACAGTCCTTTTCTGATGAATGTGGCCTTTTTCCTGATGATTGGATCAAAACATCGTTCATATGCACACAGATACGACCCGATCCGCGCCGACAAGATCTTTGGCATCCACACTGTCAATGAACGCATCGCGCTTTCGTCTTTCATCGAGAGCGTTGCGTTTTTCCATGAGATTGTGCGTAACTTTCAGGAAGTCGAGTTCTGAAACGTGTCCAGTGATCCCATTTCTGATGGAATTGAAGCGGCGTCGGCGGACGTTAGCTTTCCTCTGTTCGACAACTTCTTCTTGATTTGGCGTACTGTAGATATCGTGTATGACGGGTTTACGTAGGATGCACACGAAGGCTGTTTCTTGATTCGAAATTTCATTGCATTGTCATATCTTCTGCGACTTTATCATGCACAATTCCATGTCTCATTCCGGGGTTCCTTCGTGGTTGGGGTTTGCAGACAGGCGGAAACGCGAACAAACCTTCTTGCCCTCGTGTCCACCTTGACATGGAAGTCCCTTGAACAGGAAGATCTAACACATGAACGAGCGAAATGTGAAAAGGGTAGTTGGGAGTGTGACCACCGTTGTCTGTAATCTTGTTCAGCGCTACTCGCAGCGGAAATGGACGATCACCTTGACCTTGACCGGTATCGTAGAGACGGGTCTGGATCCAGGAGATTTTGTCTCATATGTCGTCTAGAAAATCCTGTTCTTGCCTTCATGGACATAAGGTGTTGACGAAAACGACGTGGTTAAGTGGTTACCAAATCCCCGGGATCATGGCATCCCTTCACGAAACCTCAAAAGCCCGACAAATCACCTCGCGGCCACTTCTGAATACATTGACGTTCTTTGATGAAGGATGGTGGCAGGGTGGGGAAGGTCTGTTTTTTCGGAATTTTGACCTGCAAACCGTGGGACCGAAGGATGTGGAACACGGAGTTTGATCAACCCCCGCAAGAGTCGAAAAGCAACGAGAGAAGCACAAGGTCGCGCGATCAAAGCCGACGCAACCCTCTTTAACGTGTTTCGCGAAATTAGCTTTGAGGCCCTAATACCGAGGCCGTCGATTGCGGCCAACTGAAATGTTCTCACACCGCCAACCCCAACCTCGCCACACATCATAAACATAGAGCGAATGTAACACTTTAAAAACGTGGATTCCAACTATTTACAGAAAGGAATATGGGCAAACTAAAAATGCTACGAATGACGACGGGCAAGCTACGGAACCACTATCTCAATTAAAGCTACATGGAGGTTTACAGGAAGGCGGTAGGTATCCGGAGGTTTTGCTCTCTCTAGAAAACTTGTCCCTCTTCCATCTCCTCAAACACCGGCCTGTAAAAGTAGAGGTGGCTGTTGCGACCTGAACCTTTACGGGAGGCGACTCTCTTCACTCTCAGGTTGCGGGTAAGGTAATTGAAGTATGCGTTATAGTTCTCGGGGGGTACGATTCCATTCTCAACGGGAGAATGGAGAAACTCCGCCAAGATGATGCGCATTACGTCGTTCTGGCGCTGGAAGGCCAACCTTGGTAGGATATCGGTCTCGAAGCGGCCCGTAAAGCTTCTGTACTTGTTGTTCCGAATCTTCATGTCCCAGTAGTCTCGAATTGCATTCCGAAAGTGATCTTCCGCATGGCAGAAGTGGTTGACCAGTTCCGCAGGCCGCATGGCTACGGTTGGACGAGTCGGCCTGATTCGGGAATGAAACGAATGTTCGAAAAGAATTTAGAACGGGTATGCGAGGCTATTTGGCTCGATATTGGTTTCCGCAACTTACACAGGGTTGCTGACCGCCGCTTCAGAAGGTCCACGTCGTTCGAGGGCCTCCACGCAGGCAGCCAACTCCACCTGCCCTTGTTGCAGGTTAACTATGCGCTCCGTGTGAGCCGCTATTTGATTTTTGTTTGCGGTGATTCGCTTCCTGTTTACCGTAATTGCTCTCTTGTTTGCCGTGATTCCCTTCTTGTCTTCCGCTATCAAAGCTTCGAGCCGGTCTTGCCTCTCGTTATACGATTGATGCCATGCTCGAATCTTGGGGTTGGTAGGAACCATCTCGTCTGGACGCCGAGGAGGAAGTGGGAGCTGGGATATAGGGTGGCCTAGTGAATGTTGACGAGAAGGAGCTTTGAACGAAGCAATGCCGACATCCGGGCTTGACGGGCTTCTTATAAGACGACTGGCGGCTGCCGCTTCATGGACGCCGAGCTGTTCAAGTCGCCGTCGAAACCTGACGGTTGTGTGAGCCTCATTTTCTGGCTGTGATCATGTGTTTGATGAAGAAAGATTGCACCCTTTTTCTTGTGCTACCTCCCTCCGTTGGGGCGATAAGGTGAGGAGGGGGGGGGGGGTGGGGAATTTCCCGGAAATATTGAATGACAGGCCCAGAGGTGGCTGCAGGACATCACCAGGTGCAACCCATGTCCCGCCGTCGCCACAGGTCGCTCACTTATTGTGCTGCGGAGACCTTCCCCATGCCGAGGAGCCGGCGTAATGCTCTTGCTACTTTTTTTTGATCGATGGGTTGATCCAACGAGACAGTATGGTTTCAGGGGGCGCCTTTTCGCCCATGTCAACATCACGCGCATGTGGTGTATGGGTATTCATTCGTCTTGAAAACGCATGCAGTATCGTCGGTGGAACCAGCCTCCCCTCTGGCAAGTTCCTTTCTTTTGTGCACACTGAAGCCAGCCACCTGCTTCGAGCTCCAACCCCAGCTCCCCACTCTGTGGCTGCACTGCTGTCCCCTCCTCCCCTTCTCTTGGCAGCCTCGGCAATGTCGGCAATGTCGGCAGTTTTGACCTGGGAATTGCAATCGCAAAGGGAAGTTAGCTGAAGTTCTTTGTATCGTTGTTGTTCTGCCAGTGTCGCTCACCAGTTTGGACTTAGGGTGTCCACAAAGTCTTGGTACGAGTTCGGGGTTCGGCCATGTCTCGGTGTGTGTGTGTGTCGGCGAGACTTGTCAGGGTGGAACAGGTTCCAAAAAGGGCCCCGATATGTGTTCCTGTCAAGGATCCTCATGTGATCTGTGGCTTAGAACATGTGACTTGCAGACAGTTTATCTCTTTTCTTCCCCTATTTGAGCTTCGGCTCGTCGTTGTTACTGTAGTACGCTTTTGTTCTTTAGTCAAAAATATCATTCTCACGTGTACGGATCGGGCGTCCGATCGGGCGTCGGGCGTTAGCATTAGGGCTCCGTCCCGTCCGAAGTAAAGATCCGCCTCGCTCAAAAACTGGTAGGCGTAACTTCGGAACCAACCATGGGATGGGCCGGGTTTGCCGCGGCCCGGGTACAGGCCCGGGCGTCCCATGGGCTCTCACCGGGATGGGATGGGACAAAGCTTCTGAGACCCGCTGTTTGGGCTGTTTGGAAAGGCGGAAGCGCAAGACGAAGCGGGTCGGGCGCCGCCGCGTTAGCTTCTGTTCGCGCGGGCCGCTCGGAGGATCGGAGGCGGCGGGCGTGGGCATTCGTATTACAGTATTTCATGTATCACAACGCTTCTGCAACTCCGCCGAGTCGCCGACATTCCATGAATCGTACTGTATGTTCTCTCATATGATCGTCGAATCTATTATGTCGATCACAATCGATGTGTCATCGATGTTCCATTGTATAGCCTGTAGGCGCCCGTAATTCATTAAAAAGTAGTACGGCGCCCTCGCTCCGAGTCGCTCGTCGAATCTACTATGTCAATCCCAATCGATGTCTCATCGAGGTTCCACTAAAAAGTAGTACGGCGTCAAAGATTCTCAGCAACGGCCGAGGCAGTATGGCATGTCGCCATAACCTGGTTTCTGGACGACACCCCACGCCTGGCAGGTCGACGGGCCAATTGAAAGCGGCGGTAATTGTCTTGGTGTCATCTTTCACAGACACAACCGGCAGCGGCAGCGGGTGCAACTCATTCGTGTACGGATCGGGCGTCGGATCGGGCGTCGGGCATTAGCATCGGGCGTCGGAAAACGTTCAGGAAAGCCAACTGTGGATTGAGCCAGTCCGCAGCCCACTGTGATTTCGCACATACAGTAAGATGCCTTGTTTGGCGATGTTCTATAAAACAGAATCGCAAGAATAGACAGCCCACATCACAAAGTCATCGCTCTCCCTGGTTATCCCAATTCCGACCCCATCGTCTAATATCTCAAATGACCGTTTCAAACGCAAGTCCTACTGTATGGTTCATCACCGGCGCCAACCGGGGCATCGGGCTCGGCATTGTTCAACTGCTCGCCCAGCGGCCCGACACTATCGTGATAGCTACGACTCGTAATCCTGCAGAAGCGCTGGAGCTCGCCGAGCTTGCCCAAACCCACACCAACGTTCACATTGTCAAACTCGAAGTCACCTCCGACGCCGATCATATCAAGGCACTTGAGGATATCGCTCGGATCGCCCCAACCGGTGTGGATGTGCTGCTCGCCAATGCCGGAGTGAACCCCATGCCCCCTGCCCTGGCGCTTGACGTGCCCTTGAGCCAAGTGCAGGCCGCATTCGACGTCAATACATTAGGTCCCCTTCGGGCCTTTCACACACTCTACCCGCTGCTCAAGATGAAGACCACCCGCAAAGTTTTCTTCACATCATCTGAGATGGGGACGTTCGATAAGCTTCCGATGGCCATGTTCCCTACGTTCGCGTACAACCTCTCCAAGCTCGCAGCGCGGTACACGGCGATGGAGATTGCTCGAGATCTCAAAGGGGAAGAGTTCACCGTCATCCCCATCCATCCAGGCTGGGTCGCGACTGAAATGGGCAACAAAGGGGCAAAGCTTTTCGATCTTGAACAAGCACCCGTCTCTATCCTGGAGAGCGCCGGTGGTATCATCAAGACGATTGAGGCGGCGACCACGCAGGATAGTGGTAGATTTCTGAACTGGAAAGGGGAGGAGGTGCCGCTTTGATAGAATTGCTACGGCCTAGCCCTCTGTACTTATACCCTTGTCGCCCCCGAAACCCTGTTTTTAAACCTATAATTCCGACAAGTGAACTCATGAGAAGCAGAATTTGAGGTGTTATTGGTTCACTAGGGAAATCCTAACCTCCAGATCGGGCGTTTCAACTGGATTTGGAGGCCAGTGCTGGCATCTGCTTCAGCATGACGGTACCAACGCTAAGAGTTGCGGGTTCCTAACCGTGGGCATGGATCCGCACCGTCTTAGGCTCTTCTATGCCTGCATGCAAAGCTGACGAAGTCCTAGCGCAAGGGCACGGTTTGGAAACGGCACGCCACGAAATGGCACGATCACCGACCGATGTGCTGACCGTCCGGCCTTTTGAACAGTAAGTGCCGGCCAAGAGGCTCCAGTCTAGCCCCTTCTCCTGATCCGTCTCCGTTTCGGTCTCATCTTCGACGTCGGGCCAGTTGTAAATCCTGCCGGGAACAAAGTTCGGCAAGGTTGAAGCTCTCGTCGTACCCTTGGACATAGCAGTGAACCCGTCTATGCTGTCATAGAGGGAACGGATAGTTGCCGGCGTATATATACTATACCGTTGCATCCAGGGTTGGCGAAATCCGGTCGAGAAAGTCGACATTGCGAAAAGCGGAATCAATGCGGCTTCATTCCACCGCACGGTGACAGAGACATCCGCTGCGAGTCATTTAATCACTCTTGTCCCTTCCTGGGAGCGCTATGCCATGGTACGACGTAATCTCATATATAGTAGTGATAGAAAATGTCCAAACAGCGTTACCTAATCGAATGTATAGGTTGCATTCGATTAGGTCACGCTGTTTGGACATTTTCTATGTAGCCGTCCCCTTGATCGCAAGGATAGAGCAGCAAACTCCTTGCATGAGAACATATGGGATTCAAAATACGTGATTCAATCATAGGAAGAGCGACAAGAACGAAAGAGCGATTTCTATCCACCCCTGATTCACAAGCTCTCCCCCAACGCCCCCAACCGACGTTCTTCCGATGTGTCGCCGTCCCGGATCGATGTGCAAGAGTCCGGGCCGTTCGAAGGTACCTCATCTCCTGTTTCCTGTCAGATCTCAGAAAGTGGACCCATATCGAGTTTCGAGGGTATCAACGAGAGTTTGCGGGCTTTCATGGCGGGCGCGAGGGGCCTTCAGCTCGTTGACCTCGCCGGCATACACATCCTCGTCATCGTCGTCGTCCTCCCGTTCCTCCTCGAAGCGGGATTCGTTCTCTGCGGCCGCGGTAAGAATGGCGGGTATCTGTTGCTTGATCAGCTCCTGCCGCTTGATGACAGCGTCCGCCGCAATCGCGACCATTGCGTTGGCGAGGGCCAACCGATCCTCGAGCAGTTGTGTGTTGGATTGCATGAGACGACGGTGTCGGTAGACAACGTCCGCAGTCGCATCAGGGCGAACCATGTCAAAAACGTGAAGCTCCACAACGTCTCCTACGATCGAGGCTGCGAAGATATACAGTTGATTGTCTGGCACGCCCATTATCCGATAGAGATCCAGGGTTGGCTTTGCAACACAGGCCAGCTGAGGTACCGCGTCGCCAGCACCCAGGTCTTTGCATTCCAGGAGAAACACCGGAACCGCGAAGAGCGACGTCTGGATGGTTGCGCCTGGAAAAGCTGATCCTTCAACAGCAGCAATAAAATCCGGTTTGGGCAGCGTCGATTCAATGGCGACTGTTCTTGGGAGCGGCAGATTGACGTTGCTGTACACAAAGAGCACCACAGAGAGAATTAGATTCGTGACACGGGAGCTGTTGAATGGAGAAACGCGAAACGCTGTATACGCACGAGAAGTCTGTAAAGCCCTTCTCTCCCAGAGGAAAAAATCGGACGAGAGACATGGACACTCGTCGCTCAAAAGCGAGCTCTCCGCGACAAAAATTCGGGCCGTCGGTGACATCCAGCCCCGTGGAGACGGCGGTGGCGAAAGCGTACATAGAGCTATGCGTGAGGTCTTCCCCCTCCTCATCGAAGGACATGAGAGGCTCGAGCTTCCGTGCGACTATGGGTGGCAGATGTTCCTGTGTACATGCGCGGTGCGGCAGACCGCAGACGTAAGCACAATGTTCTTCCAACTGACGGGACATGGCAAAGGTTCAGAACGACAAAATCAGATCACACCTTTAAGGCAAACGGAAAAACACAACACTTCGAGGCGTCGAGCACAGCCTGTACCGGTCCCGCGGCCGTTGCCAAATTGTCGAACTTGAATCCAACCCCCCGAAGTACTGCACGAGGGACATTACTGAGATAAAGGCGTCAAGTTAGTGTCCTTTATATCCATGTTCACCCCACCAAGCTGAATGAGAATTTTTCCTCCTACTTGGGAACGAACGTTGCCTCCGTTGGCGGTACGACCCGAATGCCGAACTGGCCGGCTAAGTCTGCGTAGGCTAGCGAGAGCTGTTAGTATGTCCAAAAGCCAAGAAAGACAAGCGTTTACGTACCTTGCGAAAAAGCCAGCTGTCTGGTTCGGAGCGGAGTCGCCGGACGCTTTGCGGCCGGGCTGTTGCTCCTGGACGTCAGTGCTGAGGATGACAGTCGAGAGGGACAGTGTGTCAGGCGGAGAGTGACAAGCGGTTTGTTGTGGCAGAGTCATTCCAGTGCTATGTTGATGTCACATGGGAGAAACAGTATCCTGTACGTAGTGTCTGTAGTGACTGGTATCAAGCCACGTCAAGTCAACCCTCGTCAGCGCAACAAGGACTGAAGTAACACCGTGTCACCGGAGCTTCTGTTCCGTTTGCTCGGATGTTGACCCGTGGTGCGCTACGCTAGGATTAGCCTTTACAGTAGGGTTGCGTGTTGTTATGGTACAGGTTAGTTACCCAAAAACGTCACCAAGTTTATGTCGCTTCTTATATGTACTGTATTCTGTACATATGTATGTACGTCTGGGCAGAAAGACGACCGACGCCAACCAAATCTCCACACGGCATCAACATGGCATCGTTTGTCTGCAATGGACCACAAACACAAGCCCCTCAAATAAAGAAGAATCATTCTTCGCATAAAGCGCAATGAGCACTGCTGTCTCTGGTTGTGTTCAAACATCTAAGGGCCCTGGCCCTGGAATCGCGCTTCCCTTTTTGTCGTCGCTGCCACTTTCGCCCTTCCGTTCTGCCGTAGGTGGCAAAGTCGGTCTCCTTCCTGCCGAGGTCCCCACCACGCTTAAATCTCTACCCCTCCCACCCGCATTTACGGACCGGCAACTTTTCTCCACATCTTTCTGCTGGAGTTGGGTAAGCAGCGCGGACCAATTGGTTGCATCTGCCTCGCTCAGTTGCATTTCGATCGTGCCGATCTTCCCACCAGCTATGATCCGCAGGACTTGCTTCTTCTCCCGCACTGGATCCAGTTCAAACTTGAAAGTATCCTCTCTCCAATTGCAGGATAGAGCCGAGCACTTGAAGACAAACGATACGAAGTCAGTTTCAGTATGTTCCCCACGATACGTCGGTCATCAGATGGATCGGCAGTATGGACTCACATCAGGATACACATAAATGACCGTATGGTGCGCCGGCAGACATATCACATGGACATCCCTCCATGGGCCAAACATGAGCTTCGGCTTGAATCGCGCCATCATTTGATGTTGGACCACATTCGCTAGACCCTCTTGCGCATGATTCGACACCGTCTGGCTAGTGATCGAACTCTGTCGGCTATCATCAACCCGGGCCGTTGCTCGGATGCCCGCTTTTAGTCCCAATCCGTTTGATGGCTTCAAGTCGGATTCTCCTTTTCTCAGGATCAGCCATGCCTTTGGGGCGAAGGTCACGGTGAGAATGACGAACGATGCGGACCAGATCGCGATCGCGCGAACCATGAAGACTAGGCTTGGCGTTGTTCCTGGCATGAAGACGACGGGAAAGCCGAGGAGACAAAAGACGATCACGTTGTAGGAAGCAATGCCGAGCTGCTTTGATTCGTTGTACTGCAGGGCGACATTGCGATTCTGGTCATGATTGAGCACACCGGAGAATAGTTTCAGTGAGACGCAAATATCCGCACACAACCGTATCCACTCACCACGAACGCAAATAAAACAGTGACCCCCAGAATGAAACCGTTATATGCCATCAACATCGTGCTCCACGTATTATTGGCAGACTGGCACACAAGGTAGTGATCCGTCGATTCCGGATTCATCATGACCGGTATTGGAGGGGAAGCGGCGCCCCAGACAGCGATCATGATTACATTAATCAGAACAAGCGGGACCGTCGCCTGTAACAATCGCATATCTTTCAGCGCCTTTTTGGATGGCCTCGGATTGTTAAAAATGTAGTAGATGCGGAGGTTCTTGATGCAGAGACTCCCCAGCGATAGCGAAAAGCCGATGGCGAGAAGGGCGGGTGCAACTATACAGCTGGCTCGGGTGACGGGACCAGCATAGAACAGGTTCGAGATGAAGGTCAAGGCAAGACCCAATAAGATCAGGCCCAGGAAGATCGGACTGGCGGCTTTGATGACTTTCCGTTTGACGTAAATTCTGGTGAACACCGCGGCGGCCAGGATACCCAGCAAGCCGACGCTGCTCAAGAATGCAACGAAGATTCCCAGCGGAGCGCTGTAGGCTGTGTATGGAACGCAAGGTATCACGACTTGGATGGCGATGGGATCAGAAGTTCTCAGATCATCTATCACTTGGTAGGAAAGGGTGTCGATCCCACAACCTGTCGGGTGGAAGGTCAGATCAAGTCGATAGATGTGTGAGGAGGTATTGGAAGTCGCGGACAGAAGCTCGGCATTAGAGATGCGCTCGCCCGCTGCATTTGTCAGATATCCTATCCCCGGAGGCTTGGTGATTTGAAACTTCGGAGTCCGCTCGTCCCGTTCATAAGCTTCAAGCATCACGGTGAATGGCAGAACATCTCCGGTGCCACCATTGAGACGTGATACCGGATAGCTCATTGCCATTCCCTCGGGGGCCGTCGCCGGATGAACCAGGGAGGTCAAGTGGATGGTGACGGTGCTCGTTTCGGATAGCTGGGAGAGATCCCCAATGCAGTCCGTCGCCCCGTAGTCAAACCCATCGACGCCACTCTTTGAGGGGTCGGGCACGTACACGACTCGATACTGCATGTCGGTGACATAGCCAGCTTCTAACCGGTCAGTCCCCACGTTCTCAATTGCATCAATCTCCTTCCATCCGTCGAGTTTATAGTTGGCACGATCCAGCCTAATTGCATCCGTCTGGAAAGGTGTGCCACAGACGCCCGGCGAGTTCATCAGGTAGGTCTGCGATATATATGTGCCCCTTGATGAGTACAGGTCTTTCTGCGCTGCGCCTTTCCACACTGCGATCCAGTCGTTGGTGGCAGGATGCCGGACGGAGATGATCTCCGTAGTTCCCGGATTCAGATTTTCGTATCTGTTTCCCAAGTTTTCTTTCAGCAGATGAAACGAAGGATGAGGTCCGGTGAGTGCAAGAAACCTACGAGTTGATGCTAACAATATGCGTCGCTAAATCATATCCAACCTCAACGAACTCCATCGCATTCGGCGAAGGCGGGCAGTTCCATCCCCATGGATTTGCAGGACCCTTTGGTTCGCACTTGACACCCCTCGGCGTACTTGGACACCAGGAATCTTCAGAGCCGCCATAGCCGAGATCCGCGCGACTTGCATCATATTTCTCTGGCGCGCCTAGCAGAGCATTGACACCATAGCCAGAGTATTCATCTGTCCAATAATACTGGGTGCTAAAACGCAGAGTCGGATCACTCGGCCAGGGGATGGTTCGGTTCGGGTACTGTGGAACTCGGCTAACCCATTGCTTCTTTCGTGGCTGACTGATCCGCCACGGTGTAAAGTACTCTGTAATGGCTTCCCCAATGTAATTCGGTGGATTAGTTTCATTGTATTGATACAGCTTGCCGAGTGTCGGAAGCGAATTGATGGTGCACACCAGAAGCCGCTCATCCGAGTCTTGAGTGATTGCATTCAATTGAATGATGATCGAGGATGCGTTTTCTTCTGAGATGTACGTGCTGAGGAATGGAAAGCCGTCCCATCCGATGTTGCTCGGTTGCTTCGGGGCCGCTGTCCACAGGGGGAAACGGGATGCAGATCCACCGCCCAGCTGACCGGCATAGGATCCAGCAGGCCCGCATAAAGATGCCTCAGTCGTGCTTGCGGAAACCGGTGCACCGCAAGCTGCAATACCCTTGCTGCCCTCATTTAAATGCCACACTACGCTCAAATTGGCCGTCTCTTGCGGTCTGAGGAGAACATTCAAATTCCTCGATCCTCCCACAACCCCTTTCGACGAATTGAAAATGGCAATCTCGTCCAATCCACCCTCGTATCCTTTCCCGATTACGAGCCCCGTTCCGCTGGATGGTATGCCGGCGGTGGAAACATGTACGTCTTGTACATTATTGTTCACGTATATACTGATCTCTCCGCTCGAGTCTTTGCTCACAGCTACATGCGACCACTGCTGGGAGGTGATATTTGCGCGGAGGAGCGGTTGACCGGCGACGGCAAAACGCAAGACGTTGTGCACTTGATCCATAGTGAGAACAAGCGTATCGTCTGCGGTAGCCCATATGCGTGCCGCAGTAGACGACGATACGGGGTCTGGCCATAACCACATCTCCATAGTGAACTCCGCCATCCCCAAAAGTGGGTAGTTCGGGAAATCTATATGGTGTCGATTTGCAAATGTCAGATAAAAGGTGTTGACGCCAGCAACGGCCGGAATCCCGGTCCTTGCGGCGAGGTTGATTGTCGCGACGGCGTTGTTGGTTGAGACTATCCCATGCTCGCCTACTACGCTGAACTCGAACGTGTCAAATGGGGCACCGTGTTCATTGGGGTGTGGTACATATTGGATGCCGTCTACTTCGGTGTTCACGACATCACCGACACTCAACAGCTCCTTTCGTTGCGGGACGTCGTTCCAGATCAAGGTCGCTCTATAGATTGAACCGCGAATTGGAAGTGTCTGCACAATCGCACCTTTAAATGGCCCTTGTGCAAAGGGGCGTGCCGTCAGAGGGATGAAGATGTTTGCAGCCCCCGCTACGACATCCACGTGAACATTCCGAGCAGTCAGCGATTTGGCAACGATGAGTGTCACGGTCGCCGATGTCGGCGCTGATGTGCCGTCGGAGATCTGGTACGTGAATGTACAGCTAGCATCCACTGCCGCGGTGGAGGACACCCAAATTGTGTCACTGTTGCCCGGGATAACGCTCCCATCAACGGCGGGTGTGACGGAGTCTAGGTATATAGACCATCCGGCTGCCGTGGAACAGGTTTGAAGTGACTGGATTGACGTGGTGATCTGTGCATTGGGGACGTCAGAAGAACCGGGAAGCTTGACGCTGGATAAGGACGCCGACGGAATGAAGGCCCGCACTCGTCGGCTGCCAGTCAAGGGGGCATCGGAAGGGATCCAAGAAGGTCGTCGGTTGCATTCGACGTTCTGTTTGCATGTGCCACAGTCAGTCAACATGAGAGAAATCAACATCACGGTTGGGATCCTCCCACTTACGTCCGAGACTCCAATTCTCCCAGCGGGGCATTCGACAACATCCGCAAACGCATTCTGACCTCCCAGCACCAGTGGGTTCGCAGTTGCATCAACCTCATTCAAAATAGTCTTGCTATCGCTTTCCAGTATGTCCATCCCCCATTTTGCGAATAAGCCCGCGGTGCTTCCCGGGAGCACGTGGTGCATATCCGCTTGAATCTCTTCCTGCGTCCGAACAACGTTCCATATCTTCGTTGAAAAAGGTGAAGGAGCGTTGACGTAAGTCAATATCGAGTGCAACGACAAAAGCGCAAACCCACCCGAACTTCATCCATAACCCCCACAAACGCCTTCAGGTCCTGAAACGAGCCATAGAATGCATCCTGGTCCTGCCCCAACACCAAAGCGACCGTGCTCGTAAGATTAGCGCCCACTAAGTAGTCTTGCGTCTCGGTGTTTTCATCGCTGTATTCTAGGTCGCCGTTGAGGTAGAAGTGGGCTACTCCTGTTGTGACCTGTGAGGGTGTGAGTTGTTGCCCGAAAGGGGAAGCATGTGTGGGCGATGAAGGGATACGTACATCCAGTGTGAGCGCTTTAATGGAAGCAATCCGTGTGCAGATCAACAGTTAGTCAAGCTATGCGTCCCCGGAACGACGCAACATATCCATTGACCCTACCCATATGCTGCCACTCCCCCAACCGAAGATCCGTCCAATTCGTCGCAGACTAATAGCAAGCCGCATCAGCCCAAATATCAACAAAAGCACATTACCCAAGAAAAATCACAAACCAAAATGGCCCCTGCGGTATTCGACAACAACGACGCATAGCCATTCTGTACATTAATGTAATCATCATCAGCGCCATCATCCACCCCCTCAAAATTGAATGAATGCAACACGGCGAGGGAGAAGTAGTGCGGGTTTTGGGAGACGAAGGGGAAAAAATTGGTTCTGCGGTTGTGAGGAAATGTCGGGTTAGCTATTTTCTTCATCACATATAAAGGAGGGACGCTGTCCATCACTCATACTTCGCCCAAAACTCGATCGTGAAAGTACTTGGAGGCCACTGCGTTACGATTTGGCCGTACGAGACCCCGTCGACGATGCCTTGGCTTCCGATGCCGGCAACTGTGGTTGTGTTGTAGAAATACAATGCGTTGCCTGCGCCGCCGGCATACAAGGTCGCTTCCGTATAGGGAAAGGCGACGCAGGCTAGAAGGAACAGGAGAAGGAGACAGATGGACATTGCGTGGAAGTACGACACTTTGCAAGAGTAGGGGCGCCGTTTGGGGCCGCTGCCGGAGAGCTTGAGGAATTACTTCCTCAGAGGGCAGAAAAGTCTTTTGCGATATTGACTGGCTCCACCGCGATATTGACGGACGCTTTCATTTCAAATCCGGGATTGGTTGAGAATTCTCTAATTGTCAGAAAGTCGTACCCTGAGCAGCAGAATTGGGAAGAGAGAGAGAGATCCGAGCCCTGGAGGGAGGACGGAACCTAACTGTCGGAGGGCCGTCTTTAGTCCAGATTGTACCTTGCCTTCATCTACTGTGTCAGCGTCATTTCGGTTTGCGGAGTCGCGATTACCCAAGCATCCCATTCATTCATTACCGTCGTTCGAAAACAACCCTGACTCCAAAATGTATGAAAATCATACAACAACGCAAACAACACCGTGGGTCTCTCTACAACATACAAGAAGTATTGTCGCATATCTTGCGATGCACGCAGGTCCGTGTGCCATCGCGGGTGGGAATAGCTAAATACGTGAGGCTAACTATCTAAGGAGACTAGAAAACTTCACCACAACTGTGCATCAGCTAACCAGCCCGGACCATTCCATCTCGGTCGATGACCGTTGTAGTGTGAATATTGATGAATCAGGAACCGAAAGTTGGCGGCAGCTTGAATGTCTCTGTCAAAGATGGGCGGCATATCAGGAGGTATCTGGCATGTTGGGCACTATCAAGTCTCCAGTTTCTGCCCATCTCGTTGCGGGACTCTGGGCACCTTGGAAACAACATCGGTTCCGCTTCATCTGCTTCTTGCTCGCACTATCGTCGGAGTCCGTGCCTGGCCGGAGCCTCCCGGTGTCGACGATACCAGTACTTGGGACGATGTTTGCATGTGCCATAGGGTTGCCAAGAAGCCCTGGTGTCGTGGATATTGGCTTCTGGAAATTGTCCGGCGAGGGTCTCGTAGCCTGCCATTGAATTATGGCATTGTGTCGTAGTGCCCATTTCAGGCATGATGAAGACAGTTGCGCCGGCAACGGCCAGTTGTCTGGCAAGGCTCTTGATTGGCACGGTGCCATGTGGTTTCTGCCAGCCACGACGTGTGAAATCACCAGAACCAAAGGCGAAAACGGGTTGATGTTCCAAGCTGAATGCGAGCCTGTCTTCTGGGTGGATGTTATTCCGTGGGGCATTGGTGTGACGATCGTAGTGGTGGTTTCTAAGGCATCGCATTCGGACCTTGTACCGATGGTTTCTTCTCAGGCCGGCGCCTCTGGCCAGGCCAGATGTGTGGCCAATTCGTTGCGTGGATGCCCAACGCTCGTGGGTGACGCGCTTCATGAGGTGGAGGGCATCATCCATCAACGCTCGCTGCTGATGTATCTTCCAAAAGTGTTATGGATGACGCGCCCATACCATAAGCTTACCTACTGACAGCCGCCAATGTCAACTGCCAATGTCAAACGCCAATGTCAATGTCAATGTCAGTGTCAATGTCAGTGTCAATGTCAATGTCAATGCCACTCCCCCTCTCTCCTCTCATTTCGCCAATCCCGCCTCGGCTTCTCCACATCACCCCACTACTTCTCCATAGCCAGGCCACTCCTCCTCTCTGCTCTCATTTCGCCAATCCCCCCTCGGCTTCTCCACACCCCCCACCACTTCTCCATAGCCAGCAGCTGTAGCAATGATCTCTACGCTCGCCACGCACGCTCTAGGAGCATAGCTGGCGCCCCCGCCGGTCCCCTCTTGTTGTTGTTGTTCTCTGGCCTGCTGGGTTGCCTATCTATAACTAGCCGCCCTCTCTTCGTCCATTCCCTTCCTCCCCAGCAGATCAACACCAGTTCTTCTCATCTCCTGTTCTAGTCCTTGTTTCTTGTTTTGCCAATACAATCTCTTGTCGCCTATCACTCTCGCCTTGTCTTCTCTACTTCGCTTCCGCCTCAGTCGTCGAGATCATAACAGAAGCAATCTTGTGAAAAATTTGTTGGCCGGCTCTTCAGTTCTCTCTTCCGGCCGACGGCCGGCAATTTCCACCCGGTACCACCGCGCCAAAGCGCCGACGTGTTGTCTTGCTCCCGCCGCATCCCGGTTCCTCATCGAACCCAAAAGTCTGGCCAACGACTGACCCAGCTCCACGCTCATCGTCTCCAGTCCGAAACGCTCTCCAGTAAGGATGTCCTGGAGAGGACCGTCAAATATCAACTGAACCGCAGTTCCGGCAAAACAGGTACCACCGGCACTCGGTATGCCAAATCTTGTTTGAACCCCACCCCCCCGGCCTCCCCGTGAGCCCGGTGTCATTGTTCCCCGGCCTCTATCTCCCCGGCCTCCATCTCCCCGGCCTTGATCTCCCCCGCCTCGCTCCGGCCGCGCTCCACGAGACCCAGTCCTACGGCTACCAGGAGGGGGGTTGAAGCCTTGTGGACTAGGCATCAACGGAGCTGGCATGGTTTCGATGGCACTCCACACAGGCAAGTCTTCGATTGGAAGGCTTTGCGATCCACGGGCGAGGGTGTCGTCGTTGTTTCTGTCAGGCGGAAAGGGGATGTGCACCCGGACACCTTCAATTGACCGGAGCAGGTGGTGCGTGTAGGGCCCGGTTGAAGATTCCGACTCGGTGCTGGTTGTTGCTCGTCGAGGCTGGGGGTCAGGAAGGTCCTCAAAAGTGAGAGGCACCACAATCCGAAGGATGGTTCTCCGGGGATTCGCCGGGTCTGGCGAACGCGTGAGGCCCATGGACATGGGGATGGTCACATTGGGAGGGAAGACAAGCCACCCGTCCCGGTTGATGGAAAACATTGCCGAAGGCTGAATGTACCCATGTCCCGACTGGCTATGGGAGCCGTCGCCTCCATCTCCATCATGCTCTCCAGGTGGTTGGTCAGGCTGCTCCGCGGGGTTCGGCTTGTCGGATCGTTGAGGCTGTACCGGCGGGATCGGTGGCTGAGGTGCTGGAGGTTCCGGTGGTTGAGCTTGTTCAGCTTGTTCAGGTCGTTCCGGCTTGGTTGCGGTTTGTTCGGTGGTCAACGGCTCTGGCCTTTCTGGGTGTCCCGTTGACGGACCCAATGGGGCTGGTAGATTTACACCGGCTTGCTGTGTGCTTGGTCCTGCCGTCCTAGAAGGCCTAAGGGGAGGCGGAGGCTTTGGGATTCCAACGGGCAGATTAGGTTCATTGGCCATGGTGGAAGTTGTTGGAACGGATGCTTGAACACGGGGGAAACTTGCGGAGGGGTCTTGATTTCTACGACGTGGGTAGAAACAATTGAGAATGCAAAGTATACGTACTAGAAAAGGGTGGATATCAATTGAGAATACAAAGTATACGTACTATAAAGGGTGGATATCTTTCCAAAATGCCAAGAAGTCTAAGCAATAGGGGCTTGGGGAAGTGTCAATGTTCCAGTAGAATACCGTCTTTTCGAGGATGGAGAAGTCAGCGCTGTTGATGATTGATGACCACTTGCACATTTGAGCCCTATATATACCTAATTCGAGACGACATTTGACCGGCCTTCCAACGCAGCCTTATTAATCTCCTGCTGGAGAAGGATATGGGCGACTTGATGCCAGTTTGTTTGACAGCGGCATGACAAGTTGGATAAGGTAACGTAGCAGGCAGGACGACCGTCCGGTATCGTTATCGTTCTAACCTGAATCCAACGGGCAGCTGGCCGCTTCGTATAAACTGTAATAACCGAAACATAAGACACTGACCAAGCCTGTCACACTCAGCCACATGCTGTGCTCAGGGTCTCCTCAGGTGCTCAGCTCACAGTGTGGAGGAGGGGCATAATATTATGGTGGATTTGTGACGCCCAACAACAGTGAATATTCCCTCTGTCCATGCAGTTGGAAGGAGAGTAAAGATTCTCGTCTCAACATTTTGGATCTAGATCTTAGAGTTCATCGCATTCGATTAAGTTCTGGCAACAAACCGTTGACGTACATAAATGTACATGTTACAAAAGAAATCCGGGTTGACTTGACTTGAGGACGACGACGACGACAAATAGAGAGAGCGGGCGCTCCGACCAGCCTGCATCCTGAGCCCGCCACCCGTCAGTCTCGAGTCAAACACAAAGCATCCCAGCACGTTCCTAAAAATAGTAGGTGCCAAGATGCGACCGGTGATCCACAACAGGTTGCTGACGCACGATAGGGCACCCGTTCTTCCCATGGCATTGTTCAGCAAGCCAGGCACAAATCTTACACCACGCTTTAGAGAGAAGATCCCTAAAAATAGTTCCCAACTCAGGCGTGATGCTCGAAATGCGTAGGTCGTGCCTTCATATAGCATGAGCGGCCCCGGGGCCGTCCGTAACGCTCCCCGTGTTGCTTCACAACGGCCGTGCCATCATCTTGACGTCTTGGTATACTGCTTCAGGGCATGAAGAAGTAGCATCTATTGCAAAAGGAAAGACAGATGTGAGGACGATGATCTGGACGACGACTGGATAAAACCCGATTGATGCCTACCTCTCGAGAGCTAATCCCCGGCAGTCATCACAATCTCAAACAGATTAGTGTTTGAATTGTGGGAGCTGCAATATGTCCCACATATGCAGGTAAGGAGAGCGAAGAACGCATCTGGAGGCAACAAAGAATAGTGGAACATTAGAAGGCGAGACCGAAGAACGCCACTTTGAATGGAAGGTGGACTTGCTTACCAACGAGATGCCAGTTCTTCGACAACGACGACGCATAGCGACTCTCACCATCATTGCATGAGATGGAGTGCATCAACGGAGTACATGACCTAAGGTGAGAAACAAAGGTGGATATAAGATAGCGACGACGACGATGGGCTAATGGTGCATGAGCAGTTGGAGTCACAACGGTACTTACCATCAATCATGTAAACCTCCGGCGAAATGTACTGCACGACACATCAGCGTTAACGATGGAGCGCATATGCACTGATAGACCTGGATGAGTAAGATGAATAAGACGAGGGAAATTGGGTTAGCAAAGACCGTATAATAAGGGTTGATTGATTTGCAGAGGTAATACTAACCATGTGTGTGATCTAAGACCAGCAAAGGAGCGCCCATTGGTTGCACGTAGTCGGCAGTGAACGTATGCTGCGATTGGCATTGGCCTTGTAGCGACGAATGGCTTGTGATTGATCTGTGACTGGGACAGTGAGTTTAGAATGGGACAACCGGCAACGAACACCTGTCGCACACGAGTATGGTATGGAAACAGACCAGCTTGAACGAGTGCCAAACGAAAGAGATGTGGCGATGATTAATTCTGGCGATGATCGCGATGAAGCATCTGGAGGTGAACTTTGTGGCGCTGGGAGTACAGTACGTTCAGGCTGGAGCGTATTTGTAGAGTAACTGTCACTTAAGTGAACCGAAGAGATTGCAGATGAGTAGATTGGATCAGATCGGGATCTAGATTGGGGGAACGCCTTGTTGAAAAAAAGTGAACGAGGTAAGGCGCAAGGACACAGACTTTTATACGTATGTACCCGGAAGCGACGCGTCCCTCGGTGGCAAATGGGGTCGCATAGCCACTCACACGTGTTTTGCCCAGATTCGTATGGACACATCTATTAGTTTTCCGTTTTTTTGCCTGAATTTAAATAGCAACAGTGGTTTTCTGCACGCGTTCAGGACAGATGACAGTTATTAACACTGAGTTGGGTGCGGACCATCGACGCATAGAAAATGACAAGGCCGACGGGTCCGAGACGTTAGATGTAGGAGCCGGGAAGATCCGTGAGGGATGGGGGGACTCGGGAGTACGTGTAATGGAAGGCAAAGTAACACTGTACTGTACGCATGGGCTTTATTCACGCGTATCGACCACCCTCAGACGTGTTGGGCGACGGGCTGAATGCGGCGCATGTGCAAGTATCAATACCGAGAGAGGGTTAGATTCTCGCTGCATATACAAATGAAACGTCCACGCTTGTTTCTTCTGATGTGCATGAATCGTATGTGAAAAGGCGGCAGTGAGGTGTCGCTCTAAGCTGAGCTGAACTTGGCCAGGAGGCGTAAGGAAGTGGTTGCGTTACTTCATATCGAGTCAAGGGCCGTCCTGCAGAGGTGAGAGAGGTGTGCGAACAAAGCTACCCCACCAAATCGGAGGTGCATCGAGCATCTGTTTGTATCAAATTCCGGTCCGCAAAGGTGAATAAAAGGCTTTCAAGCGAGCGAAGCGAACGGCAGTACATCGACAGAGGCGCAGACGTTCTGTTCAGGCGGAAGTCGCCAAATCCCATTCAAAAATGCTTCTCGATTGGAAAATCTTAGGATTAGGCGGCGGTGCCGGAGCCAGTAGTGGCTCTTTGAGGTCAGGTCAGTGACTCTCGTGGCGTCCTTCCTGTTTGGCCCGCCCGCCTGCGCCGAGCCGTGCCGCTGGCGTAGGAGGAAGATCCGCCGGGGTGGCGACCACCACTGGCAAGTTTCAACGAGGTCATTTCAGTCATCCGCACGTATGCGCTTCGTGGAACTTGCTATCTGCTTGTCGATACCCACACTTTAGTTCTCGAAGATGTTCCCCACCATATCATAACCCCGGCCCCTCTTTCCATTTACCGTGGAACGCATTGGGTGGGAGCGTTCATTATTTGTAGTGAATTTCGTATTCCTCGAAGCGGAGTCGTTGACGGGGAACTCCCTGAGCGTCCATCCTCGAGACCTGACCCAATGATAGACGGACCAGATGGTGTATAGTTCGCTGCTATTCCGTGCTATTAGAAAGGTACTGGCCTACTCTGCAAACGCGTGTGTCATCAACTACTGAAGAACACGCTAGATGTGACTTGGGTGTTACAATGTAACCCTAACCCTAACTTATTCCGTGCGGAAGGCTAAGGCGTGGCATGGCAGCCGGATCACACCCCCCTCAGATTCTACGATGCCTCAGGATCTACTTTGCTTAGAAAATGGCGATGCATCAGGAAGAGGGAAAACCCCTGTTACACTGCTTATGTGGGTGCTGGGGGTATATATATATGATGGGAGAAAGAAGCCCTGCGAGGGCAAACTGTTGAAATCGGCAAGACGTGTCCGATTCGATTTCGCCTGATTTCGCCTTCCCCTCAAGGTCTTACAGAACTCAGAATTCGCTCACAATCCTCCCCAATTTCCACAGCATCGGTTCCCTCAAACTCAAGCTCAGCACGGAGATAGCCTTCACTTCCACGTTCAGGTCCCGCTCTATTTGCCAACGCCAGCATCCTCGTCGGAAACGAGATCCTAACGAACCCTACAAAAGGAAAAAAGCGGAGCTTATCGGCATTCCTCCACACAATTCCCCCATCCCCAAAAACCCCATCCTACAAACAATGAGCAGCACACACATTGACGCACCGGTAACAACGCCTTCAGATCCCCCAGCTCTGACCGATGCCATGGAAATCGATGACGCCCCCACACCCTCATCCTCCAGCGACCACCCAACCCCCAATCAGTCCACAGTCACCGACACCGCAACAGTTACCCTGCCACAGCGGCCCAACCAAGCCGAAGGCAAGGGACCAGCAGTAAAGGAGAAGGAGGAAGAAGAGGAGGAAGAGGAGAGCTCGTCGGAGGAGGATGAGGCTGGAGCGGACGCAACGTTGGGAAGGCAGGATAAGGAGACGATGCGGAAGGATAGAAGTTTGGCGGAGTTGTTAATGATGATGGATGAGTATAAGCCTATTGTGAGTGTTTAAAGATTCCCCGCTTCCCCAGGCATCTGTTCTTCTTTTGCAGAATCCTTGATTAAACTCCCCACCTCCCATAAACAGCTGCCCGACTCAGTAACTGACTACTACATGACCCGCTCCGGCTTCGAATGCGAGGACACCCGCGTCAAGCGTCTCCTCGCCCTCGCCGCGCAAAAGTTCATATCAGACATCGCCGTTGATGCGCTGCAGTACTCGCGCATCCGCTCGCAGCAGCCGCTGCCGAAGGACCGTAGGAGCGTCGTGAAGGATAAGAGGACGGTGCTGACCATCGATGATTTGTCGGCCGCGTTGGCGGATCATGGGGTCAATATCAAGAAACCGGAGTATTATTTGTAGATTGACTGCGTGCGGGAGGGGAGTGGAGTTGGGAATGGAGAGTGGAATGGCAAGTGCGACACGGAAACCGCACAAAGCGAGGTTGGCTTCGCTTCGACAAACATAAATTATCATCCGAGTCAAGAAATATCGTCGACATCAACCCCAGCCCTATCCCTCGACTTTGCCCCCCAAAAATTAGCCTTCTGTCCCTACTATACAATCCACCCCACGCTCGCAGAGCCCCGCATACATTTTGGAACACCCTCCCTTCATCTGTACATAAATTCTTTCCTCAAAACTCGTCGATCAAACCTCCAGTAGATAAACACTATTGTACATGCCCCCCAAATCCATGCCTGCAAACACAACCATCGCGTCTTTTGCCGTAATCGCGATTTGCGCTGTGGTGTTGGACGGGTCGGCGTCTGCCATTGACCCGATGAGCGGTGCGTATTCCGTGATGGCGCATGCGTCGTGGCCAAGGCGAGCACCTGGCGGGCCGGGTGGGAGAGATGCTGGGTCGAGTTTTGTCCATACTGTGTGGACTGCAATGAGGTGGAAAAGGCGTGGTTGGTTGATGGAAACACGCTGTGAGACGGATGAAAACCATACCAGTCTCGAACACGTAAACGTCTTCAAATGCTTGAGTTTTGGGTGTCCGTGTCAGACCTCCGTATACATAAATCTTGTCCCGGTTCACAGTCGCCGAGTGCCCTGAGCGAGGCGACGGCACGTCTCCTGTCCCTTCCAAGCATTTCCATTCCCTACTCACTGATACGGATGATGGTTTAGTTGAACATCCCAAACGAGATCCCATTCGACCACCGAGGGACCGGAGGGGCAACGCACCTGTATCAAACACCCACACATCATCAAACGTCACGTCACCAGCCATGCCACCAAACAAGTAGATTTTCGTTCCTACGGCCGTGAACGTGTGCCCTAAACGCGGCGCAGGTGCCGGCTGCTGCGACGGGGCCGTTAGTCGCGTCCAGAATCTGTTTGCTGTTTCGTTGTCAACATCATGGTCACTTGCGTCTCATCTATCACACTGTGTGTCGCTTCCATGATCAACCCACCAACATCGAAACAATACACGCATCCATCGTCCACAGCCTTGTCATGTTCCGCTCCACCGCCAAAAATGTACACCCTCCGCGACCCGCTACGTTGATCTTCTATCGCGGCTACGGACCGCAGCGTCCGGGCTGATGGCGCCGTGCCTTTCGTGCATAGAGATGTCCATTGCTGCTTATCTGGGCGGTGGATATCGAACGAACATCAGGATTCGGCCTGCCTCTCGTAAGGGACATCAATCGCACACGCGTAGCAAACTAACCCAGGTCAAACGTCCAGACATCGTTGAGCAGGCCGTCGTTCCCCGCGCCGTACATCACGAGCAGCTGGGATGCGGCGCTTTCGGAGCCTGGGATGATGACCGCGGCGTGCTCGTACCGCGGTGGGATGGCGACGGAGTTGTTGGTTGATGCAGGGGCCAACTTTCGCCACTTTAACGTCTCTGAAACACCCATCCCAACGTTAATACATGATCATGCTCAAGAAACCGAGGGACTGACAACTCACGCAAGTCCAGAGAATGCACGTCGTTGGAGAAACCTTCCTCGTGGCTTGCCCCGCCGAACACTACGCAGCGTTTTGAGACCGGGTCGAGGGTGAGGGTGTGGCCTGCGCGAGGGGAGGGCTGGGCTTCTGTGTAGAGCGGGCGCCAGGTTGTTGAGGGGTTGGGTGTTCCTGCTGCCATTGCTGGCTCAAAGGGACAGAGGTCCTGTATGTGTCTAGGCTGGTGCTGCTTATCCGTTGAACGTCAGTCTTAATTCCTTCCGTCGGGGGTGAAAGCCAATGCTCAGAGGGCCTCCGCCGTCTTTTCCGTTCTCATTCCGGACTTGCTTTTCCAAAGACAATCGGCGGCTGCAGTTGCCAGGAGTGCTAAACACCCAACCATTGAGTACTCCCTCGCACAGCTACCTCCCTCTTCATTGCTACGACCTCCCTCCCGTCCTGCCCACCCGGCCACCACCATAGACCATGGGGGTAAGTCCCAACCCGCCCACGCGTAAAACCAACGCGTGCAACACATCTAACAAGATCACCACACATAGTCATCCTACCTCCAACTCCAGGACCCCACCCTCGAACGCTCCTTCCGCGGCCACAAAGATGTAGTCACCTGTCTGTCGTTCAAGCCCACCATGACTCAGCTGGCGTCCGGGTCGCTCGACAATTCGGTCATGGTGTGGAACTTTAAGCCCCAGTTTAGGGCTTTCCGGTTTGTGGGACATAAGGTGCTTATCTGAGGGTGGAGGTGTTTAGTGCGGACGGAGGGGAAGTGAGATCATGGAGTGCGGGATGGAAGGCGGACGGCAGCGTGTTGCGAGTTTCTCGGAGGCTATGTCGAAGACGACATTGGAAACTACGGGGGAGCGGGCGGCACCTATCGTGGCTACCCCATATCTCACACGTTCTGCATTCACAACAGGGTCCGGTAACGAACGTAGATTTCTCGCCAAAAGCCAACCTTCTCGCGAGCTCGTCCCGGGATAAAACCGTGCGGTTATGGACCCCAAATGTGTACGTTGACGGCAACAACGGTTTATGCCGCGAGATTCTGATTTGATGATGTCTTTGTATGCGTCGATGTAGAAAAGGGGACGTGACGGTGTATAAAGCGCATACATCGGCTGTGCGGACTGTTCAGTTCTCGTCAGACGGGTTGTCGCTGCTTACTGCCTCGGATGACAAGACTATCAAGGTATGCCCAGAGATGGAAGCCTTCAACCGTTGCCAGAGACGATAGGAATCTAACGCCGTTTCGTATGGTAGCTGTGGTCGACCCACCGAACAAAGTTCCAATACTCACTCTCCGGGCACCTGAACTGGGTACGCACCGCGAAGTTCTCCCCTGATTCACGGTTAATCGTGTCCGGAAGCGACGACAAATCCGTAAAACTTTGGGATCTCGGGACGAAGAGCTGCGTCAAGACGTATTGGGATCATACCGGGTTGGTTCCACTCGCGTCACGGTTGGGCACACATTCTGCGAATTCTCACACAATCGTCAATGCAGGATGATATCCTCGGTAGCTTTCCACCCATCCGGCACCGTCGTCGCAACGGCATCCTCCGACCGCTCCATCAAGATCTTCGATATCCGAACACATAGATTGCTGCAACATTATGGGGATGCGCACGGGTCTGCCAACGGGGATCCCGCTGGCGGGGCGGGTGTGAACAGTGTCGCGTTTGGTGGGCCGGGTGGAGAGTGCCTGATCAGTACTGGGTGGGATGGTGTTGTCAAGGTGAGGCAGGAAAATGTGGCGCCGTGGAAGTTGATGGTGTCAAATTGGAGATGGACTAACACCTGGTCGGTTGCTATCTAGATATGGGACCTAAAGGAAGGCCACCTATTCTACACGCTGCATGGCCATAAGAATGGACCAACGACCGCAGCAACTTTCTCTGTGATGGGAGATTACTTTGCGACGGGCGGAAGCGATGCGCAGGTCATGGTGTGGAAGAGCAATTTCGATTCTCTGGCTCAGGACGAGGGTGCCGCTGAAATCGGCCAGGATCAGTGTGAGTGCATCCAGTACGCGTTTTTGAAGTCCCCCCACACAAACGGATATGTGTAGCTTATCGCCATTCGGCATTCCAACAGCCACACAACGACCCATCCAACCGCTCCCCCAACCCCGCGCCCTCATAGCCGAACCCACCCTCCCCTCCCGCACCCGAAGCAACAGCCCCATCCGCCAACTCCCCATACGATCCACCGTCGGCACAACCGCCCGCTCCATACCTACCTCCACCACCATCCCCTCCACCTACGTTCCCACCCCTGCGTCCGCCGCATACACCTCCGCTCCAACCTCCGCCACGACCCACCCACCGCCGGCCCCACCCATCATCGACGTCGGTGCCGCCATCTTCGCGGAACAGGAACTTGAGGGAGTCGACGCCGCAGCTTCTTCTCGCCCACTCACGCGCGATAACACACAGACCAATCATCAATTGCAGCAGCAACTCCATCGGGAGAGGGAGAAGGAACGGCCGGCGTACTCTGCGTCGTCGTACTCGGCGCCCTTGGAAGTGAGGACGATCCCCGACGAGCTGGCGTCGACGTTGCAGCATATTGTGCGGCAGGTGGATGTTTTGACGCAGACCATGAGTATTCTTGAGGTAATGCAAACGCCTCATGATATATTTCATCAATGCCTGGACCAACACGCGTTTATGACAGAGCCGCCTAACAATGAACGAAGACCGCGTCGTGGACATGTCCCAACGCTTCAGCGACGCCGTCGAGCGTATCGAGTGGATCGCGAATCGGATTGATCTCACTGCGGGGGCGACTGCTGCTAGCCAGGCTAGTCTCTACGGCGGCGGTGGGGCTAGTGGGAGTGGGGGGAGTGGCACTGGGAGTGGTGGTGCAGGCGAACCCTCGTCTTCTACCATGCGTGGACAGGCGGTGCCTGTTAAGGCGGGCGCTGGATCGGGAGAGGGCGATGGAGGCCGGTGAACGACGAACCAAAGTAATAGAATGGAGAGCTGGGGTTCTTAGGCCGCAACCCTCACACAACCCCTTCTACACGTTTTTGTAAAAACCAAGGAAGGAGCTCGAGTAAGCAAGGTTGATATTCCTGCAACGGCGAAGAGGGAGCCAATGGTGTCGTTGTGTGTAGGTTGGCTTATATACATTCTTCGTAAACTATTTACATCCGCGGGTGTCTCTCGCGAAGACTATTCTTGACCAGGCAGTTTACTTCACGGCCTCTTGAAAGAAGCTTATCCTAGGTTTCGTCCTGCCCCTCATGTTCTCTGTCACCCCTCCTCAGCCATCCCTTCCAACACCGCCTCCAGAGTCTCCCGATCCAGCGGCACAGCCAGCACCTCCCTCCCATCCCCCGGACTCTTTCTCGCCACCACGATCGCATGATCGCGAAACTCGCCCAACTGCGTGCGGAAGGTGATATCATTCCCCACAAGGAACTTCTCGCGCGCTTTGGCGTACCACAGCTCGTGGGAGAGTCCGGGTTGCGTGATGTTGTTGCTGCTGTTGCCTTTCTGTTGTTGTGATGGTGATGCAGGGTCGGTCTCATCCCCAGCAGCCAACTGATGCTCACACAACAACCGAAATATCCCCCTCGCGTTGCTATTCAACGATCTCAAGACATGCAGCACAGCGCTGAGCGTGCGCGCCCCATCCGTCGCCCCAGCAACCCCGCCAACCTCACCCAACCCCGCGCGCGCACACCGTGCACCCAGCGTCGTGTTCCCGGCACGCAGGGTCTCAACTTCGTAATCCGCAAACGTGGTCAGGTCGCGCCACAGCCAGTTGAAATTGTGGGCGGCAACGTTGTCCCATAGTAAAGGCGCGTTGATGTGGTCGATGGTGGCGAGGAGGTGGATGTGGGGGTGGGCGGCGAGGCGGGCGAAGGCGGCTTGGGTTGCGCGGGCGCGGAGGGGTGGGGCGTCGATGTTGTGGATTAGGAGGTAGGTGCGGCGGGTGATGCGGGTGAGGAGGTGAGTTAGTTGGTCTGTTGGTGCTGACATTGTCCTATTTGTTGTCGAATTTTTTGCAGTCGTGTAAGACGGGATGAGTTTATCGGCAATACTGTTGAGGATGGATTTCAGCGAGATGGCGGGGAAGAACCCGTTCACGACGACGACCGCGGCGTCGGCGCTCAGGACCTCAAGGGCGAATTCGTTCAGCAGCGCGCGTTTGGAGCCGTACCCGTAGAAGACGAGGTTGAAGCCTTGCCGAAGTTCAAAGAACCACTCGGGGAACTGGTCGCGGTAGAGCGAGGTCAGCAGCGCGGTCTCGGCTGCATGCTTTTGGGGGCGGAATGATGTGGTGGTGGTCGTAGAAAGTTGCGAGAGCGAGGGCAGCCGTGATAGCGTGTTGTTGGATGTCTTGGATGTCGTAGTTGCGAGGCGGCCACCTTTCTTGTTTCGTTGGGTCGTGGCAGGCCGTGCGGACGTGAAATAGCTTTGATGCCCTGGTTCCGCAACGTCATCGCTGATATCATCCCCATCCACGCCCCCCTCGTCCTTATCTCCATCTCCATCCCCGCCATCCTCCTCGTCTTCTTCTTCCTCTTCTTCCTCCTCTTCCTCGTCCTCCTCATCCTCATCCTCACTCCCCGTCGCAAGCACGCTCAAAATCCTCTTCGTAGCCTTCCTCTGCCTTCTCCTCGCCGGCGTTCCCCCATCCGCCCCGACCCCAATATCAAACCTAGGCGGCCTGCCCAAAACTTCCACACCACCCGTACCACCCCTCGTCGGCGTCGCCACATCTTCCCCAGGGGCAAGCATCCGCACCTTCTTCTTCCCAGTCCGCGTCGGCGTGTCTGCATCGATTTCGGTGTCATCGAGATGCTGCCGCCCGGCGTCAACGTAGGAGTCAAAGGCTTTGCGTTTTCGGGTCGGGAAGTGGAACATGTCTTTTCCGGGGGTGGATGGGACTGGGGCTGCTGAATCGGCTTCATCGTCGTTGGTGTTGCTCTTCGTGATGTTGGAGTGCGAATCCCCTCCCGCATCACTTCTTTCAGCATCCCCGGTATTCTCCTGATCCTCGTCCTCCCCGCGCGACCGAGAATGCAGCACCGCGAGCGCCTCCTGGTCTTCTTCGTCTTCGTCTTCGGGGAGGCCGGCTGCGCTGCAGGTGCTGCTGCGAAGAGTGGGTGCCGCTGTCATTTCTTGCTATGATTCCCGATCAGGGATGGGTGTGGTTTGAGGCCGTTGGTACTGAACGCTGCTCTCGCTGTTGTTGCTGGTGTTGGGATAAGAGATTGGTGCAACTTCTAGATTTCCGGAGTAGTTTGTTGGGCTCAAAGGGAACAGCAGAAGACGAAGACGTTTTCGGACACGAGGTTTCGGACAAACATCGCCACCTCACGTAAGCAGCGTCATCTCACAAGTCCGACGCTCGCCCCACCAGCAACCTGTTGATGTGAACGTCTTCTCGGTTGGAGGATGGGGCAGCGGGGACAAACTCATTCGCTCCTCGTGCAGAGACTGTTTCCGCGTCCGGTGACTCTTTGCGGCAGGCAAGCCGGGGAATCACGGAGACGATGCTCGAGGACCCTTGGTACAAGCTTTGGGGGCTTCTTCCCGCACGGATGCCGGGTCTCGTTTGCATCCTCGACTCTCCACGTTCGCTTATACTGAAGGAGCTCGAGCTCCAGCCGGAACGGACACCGCCGATACACTGGCTTGGTCCGAAAGTGTGAATGGCGCACAGCAATGTCTCGTCAAAAATTCCGTCAGGCGTTCTTGGTTTAATGTGCCGATGTCGCTATGACCTCTCTCGCTGCCGACCCTCCGTTTCCGCCTTGCACAAGCGCAGATCCGTTCCGCCCGTGCTGTGCGAGTTGGACGGAAAAAAACCCAGGCGGAGGGTTTCCCTCCCGTGCCCAAAAAGGTCCCCGTGTTGTCTCTGACTGACGCACCCCGCATCGCCCGACGACTCCGACAGTGAAAAAGGCACATCAACATGTTCCAGGTCAGCGCATCTCGAGCACCCATTCAGCATTCAAAGAGAAACCCCTCTCGCACTTGGCGAATGCAAGATATATAAACCCCTCACCCAACACATACATACATACACACATAAAAAAACTTCCCATCCTCCCTCGCCTACCATCAATCACATACATACATCTCCTCACTCTTCCTTCATCAAAAAGGGCCAGAGGTATTCCTTCCCGCCGTCCTCCTCCGTCGCGTCTGTCCACTTCTTTTCATGAGGATGGATTGGGAGGCCGCGGCGATGGGGACGACGGCGGCTTTGCGTCCGTTTTTGGTTTCTTGCGGGGTGGTTGGGCTTGTGGACTACCACGGTAAGAATCCAACCAAGTCAGCGAAAAGAACCCGAAGAATTGAGGAAAAAGGACAAGTGTCTCACTCACCTATCCCTCAGTCCCCGCTCCCCCTCTCCCAGTTTCCGTTTCTCCCCATCTCCCCCACCCGCACCAGCTTCAACATCAACGTCCATCCCAACACTCCCACTCCCACCCACATCCACATCAACCCCAACACTCCCCCTCCTCTCCTCATAAACCGCAAACTCCTCATCAAAAAGCGCATCAAAATCCAACCCGGACGATTGACTATCCCCGGCTCCATTACTCCCCTCCCCATGTCCCTCCCCCTCCCCACCACCCTTATCCCCACCACCCACATCAACATCACTCCCACTCTCCTCCGCAAGCGCCTCCTCAATCTCCCTATCCATCGCCAAAATATCATCCTCCCCAATCCGGATGAAAATATCGTTCTCGTGTTCCCACGTCCCCGACAGGATCTTCTCGTCGTCGTCGTCGTCGTTGTCGTCTGAGACGTCGGGGGAGGAGTCCGAGCCTGACTCGTGGTCTGCTTTGGCGGTGCGTTTTGCGCGTCTTTTGGGGGACGCGTGCGTGTCGATCGGCAGGGCTGTCGGACGGAAGACGGGTTCGAGGAGGTAGCGCGTTTCGTCTTGGCGGTCCCACCGGCAGATGGAGTCATAGAGCCTGGGATGGGGAAAGGGGTGGAGTGAGTTGAGTGACTAAGGGAAGGAAACGACCATCGCGCCATTGGATCAGTGGGTTCAAGTGACGTATTCCCGCCGCTTACCAGTCCAACGACACGATGAATACGCCAGGCATCTTGCGCGCTCGCCGCACTTTGTTTGTCTTGTTCAGGCCTTGTTGCTGTAACACCGTGTAAGAGTCAGTGGCTTCCACGAACCGTATTCCCCGCATCATCACCCCTTTGGAAGACATACCTTGACAGTGACAAGATGCGTCACATCATCGGACAAATCAAACACGCATTTAGCGCCAAACTGCTCAGCACCGACCCAAATATCCGTTCTGTCCGGCACCAACGAAGGGGGGAAGGAAAGTATCAGTTCCCCTTCTACCACCCACCTCACACCCACCAACCCACCCATACTCACGTCCTCCCATCAACATCCGTCGAAATAACCCCGCTAAACACAATCCTCACACCGGCCAGCACCGCCTTCTTCTGCCTCGCCATGATCCCACCCACACCCAACCGTCGCGACTCCTCCACCGCGCCGCTGTAGAACGCGCGATGCACGTCTTTGAGGACTTTGCAGACGCGGTCGAGCTCCCGGTCCGAGTCGGTGAGGATCGGTTTGGTGCGCAGGCTGGGGCGGCGTTTGGGAGGGGCTGTGGGTGGCGCTGGGGGCGTTGATGATGATGATGATGATGATGTGGGTGGTGGGGATGCCGGTTTGGGTGTGGGAGGGGTATCAGATACCGCATTCTCTTTCTCCTCCTTGGCGGACACCACATCCATCGCATCAGCATCCACACCCGTTATTCCTTGAGTCTCCCCCTCCGCATCCAACTCCTCGCTCAACCTCTCGAGCGGGCGGGTCTTTTCTAGATCTTCCAAAAATTGGTGCTGGACGTCTTCGTCCGAGAGCTCTTTTTCCAGTGATGTGACGGTGTCGTGGTCTTTGTCGGGGATGGCAGGCTTGCTGGCTGCTTGAGGGGTTTGAGGTGGGCCGCTGGGCTTTGGGGGGGAGCACCTTGAGCACGATAGGTTTGGGGATATGCACATGCAAGTAAATGACGTACCGGTAGTCGTGGAGCGTTAATGTCTCCGGTTCCGACAAAGAAGTTGACTGATCGGGGGAGAGGAGCGCGTGTGAGATCATATGCGTGCTGTGCCTAGGTCGCTCTCGAAACCCACTTACAGGGAAGAATCTTATACAGATTAGGCGACCAATGCCATATATCCGACCGATCATCCACTATCACGACCATCGACTGATCGCTCGGAAACAATCTCTGTATGCTCTTGAAATTCGATCCTACCACCCAAAAGATATCAGCCCTGGGTCCTCTGAACACCACCCATTCCCCACGTCCACTCACGATTCTCATCCCTCGAAATAATCCGATCCTTAAACAACGCGCGGTCCTGATCCAGGATATTCGCAATCTGGTCCGCGTACTGGCGCGACCCCATCGTGTAGATGTGCAGCTCGTAGATCTCGTTCATCTCGAGCAGGAACTCGCGGGTGCCTGGGCGCAATTTGACGAAGTGGGTGTGGTAGGAGGGGATTTCGAATTTGTGCACATCCTGGGAGTTTGGGGAGGTGAGTTCAGAATGGACCGCCTGTATGTTGTCCGACGTAGGGATTGAAAAGGACACGCAGACAATACCTTCAAGAACTGCTGATTGGGATTCGATGGATCGTCCATCCACTGCGCTACAGTTGGATCGACCGTAGCGTGCACCAGAGTTTGGTCGAGATCCAGTATGAGCGTCAGCTTCTTGGATACCAGTAGCCGCTCCGAGCGCTCGTTGTCTAATTTCACCGCGACCTATGTGATGCGCGAAGACTCAGGTATGTTCTCTGGCTTCAAGAAGGGAGGCAGGTCCACTTGCGCTCCACACTTACGTCTCTACTTATGGTCACTCCCCGATTATCGTGCGCCATGTTGATGGTCGCTCGCCCCAGGTCGTTCCCCATATATGTTCCACTATACATCATTGAGAAGGTTAGCATGGACTGCTCTCGGATGTATGCCGCAAATAACTGGTACTCACATGGAGACATCCTTCCCGCACGTTGCACAGATCCCGTGTACTTGTATCGCGTGTCCGCAGGGCTCTATTATGACGGCGAGGGTCTTTCTGAGGGGAATTCATGTGTCAGTAGTTGAAACAATGTATCAAGGCGATATGAAGCGATGCATTAAGACGTTGGATGAACGATGCTTCGGCGATGTATTGGGATGATCGCTTTGCTCGCGACAAGCAGGTTGCGCTGGGAATGTGCGGAAGTACTCATGTGCCGAGGACGCAATCAATCAGCTGCCTGTTCCCGCGCTTCCTTCTCGCTCTCGCTCGCCAACACACACCATCCATGGCTGCGCTCGAGCACCTGACGCTGGCTCTCGTCGTAGCACTCCAAAGACAACTACCGTCCGCTTCGCTCGCCCTTGCCACTCCCACTCGACGTCTCTCCTCTCGCGGTTACCCACCTGACACCCACAACGACCTCGCCTTCCTTCACACAAACCTCGTCCACCCTGCCACTATACGGACTCCTCCACTCCTCCCTCACCGTGCGCTTCCTACTAGTCGTCGCGGTGGCATTCCCCGCCTCCTGAGGGTTATTATTATCGTACTCGTAGATGCCAAGCACGTCGTCGCGGCGGACCTCTGACCCCGCTGTGACGCGCAGGGAGGTGATCTTGAGCGGGTAGCGGTCGGCGGGGAGGGTTAGTTTCTGGCGGGACTCCATTTTCGGTAAGCGGGTTATTGGATGAGCGGAAGAGGCCGAAGCCGAGGGTTCTGTTTATTGAAAGTCGCCGTTCCTGTTGCTTCTGTGGTGTATGTACAGTATGTATGTCTGTACTGAGCCTGTTGGGGAAGTCTGCCCTGGCGGTTGGTTCCTGCGAGAGAGGTGAGAGGGCCTAGAGGGCAACACGTCGCGCGTGAAGGCCCCTCTTGTCCGGACTCCCCCCTTCCCCTCTCTTTTTTCGCACGCTCCTACGCAGCACACCTATTCTCACACTCAACACAAAATGTCCTCCCTCCACACCCACCTCAACTCCCGCTTTTCCCTTCCCCCCACCCCGTCAACCCCTCCCATCCCCCGCGCAACCCTCCTCCTCGCCGCACACCGCTCCTCCACCCCCGAAGCCTGTGAAGCCCTAGCAGAAGCGCTCCCTCGCAAACTACACGCCTCCCGCCGCGCGTTCGCCAGCAAGGAGTTTGTCAACGAGTGTGTTGCGCTGGATAGGCTGCGGTATAAGAATGGGAACCAGCATAGGAGTGCGAGGTATTTTAGGAAGTTGGTTATGGTGAGTAGACGGGGGAGAGGGGAAGAGAGGAGCGAGAGGGAGTTGGGTTGCGCACTTGTAGTGGGCGAAGCGAGGCGTGGGGGATGTTTGAGGTTGTGCGAGCGACGAGCGAAGCGAGCTCCCAGTCGGTCAGCGAGCGCCAGTGAGCATTGGTGGTTTTTGTCCCTGAGCGGAGTGAGCAGGTATATCGTTCATCCATCCAAAGTATCCTCACATTCCTTCCCTCTCCCTTCTCTCACCCACCGCCCAGGTCCGCCGCCTCCTCCGCCGCTTCTTCGAAATCGATCTAGAAGCACTCATCCAAAAGCTACTGGACGACATGCATCCCAACAAGTAGGTCCCACGCTCTGTTACGTACTGTGCAGGCGTCGCTCTGCACTCATCTCACTCACTGTGATTGTACTGCAGAACAAAACGCCACCAAGGCCGTTGGGAACACCTCCCGCCACGCGCCAACATGGCATATCTCCTGCTGAGACTCGCAAGCGCCTACCGGATCCTAACACAGGTTCGTCCATCACCCTCCATACCACACCCCCGCTCCATCCCTCACAACCCGTGTATTTTACAGCTCCGCCCCGCTCTCCTAACCTGCTACACATCCTTCCGCGCCCTCCTAACCCAAACCTTCTTCATGCCCATGTCCATGATCGTCATGGCGGCCTGCGCGCGGCTGCATCTGTTGACCGGGACCATGATGCGGGAGCTGGAGGCGTGTTACAACGAGCTCGCGGGGTGGTTCGGGAGTATGCCGGTGAGTGGGGCATGTCAGCAATAGCAATCATCGGTTTTTTTTTGGAATGAACTTGGGTGTTTCTGGATACTGACTGCCGTGGGGGCCGTTTCCGGTTTCCGCGTATAGCCGCTCCCGACAGACCCGCCGTACGCAGCCCTGTTGCCCGCCACCCTCTCCGGCGCCGCCCTCACGGCGCCGGATGACCACCGCACAGACGCATCGCGCCCGGGATCGCAGGAGGAGGGAAACGGAGCGCACGATCAGATGGACGTCGATGGCGGGGGAGATGCGTGGGACGTCGGGGTGCTGGACACGCACACGGCCGCGCTGTCGGATGCGTTCTGGAATGACGGCTGAAAAATCTCCACCTGAACGAGATCGTTTGCAGGACCATGGAGACTTTGTACGCATTGCAGACGGGCGTATCATAGCATATCACATCATATCATGTACCGGGGTTTTTTTGGGAGGGGTGGTGGAGCGCGGCGGGCGCTATAGAACGGGGGGGGGTTTTTTTGGAATAGGCAGTTGCGGAATAGGATAGAAGAGCATGTAGGATGTTCAGGCGTCGAGGCGATTTAGAACGAGAAGTATACACCATCCGAAACGGTCATGCTTGTTTTACCGGTTGGCTTCACTTCTCGTCTTTCTCGTATGCCCGTCTTCAGCAGATACGTTGCTCCTGGGTGGACAAACAAAACAAAACACGACTGCCCGAAAAACAATGGCATCTCAGAAACGGAAAGGGACGACGAAAAGGCACAAGACTTGGGTTAAGAGTAGACGGTTGAAACATTTGAAGGTACAGAACAGGAAATACAAAATAGAATAGAGGTAGGAGAAAGGGGGGAGAAATGCGACAACGGTTCGGGATGGGGTGATGGGATGAGGGGTTGGGGGTTGGGGGTTTCCGGGGATGGCGGTACTTTGAATTGGGGGTGGGTTGCTGGGGGGGAAATGAACAGTGAAGAGGTAAAATGTGTCGATGGGTTCTTGCATAAATAAAAATGCATGGCAAAATGAAAGGGGTAGTTCCCACCAAACCCCTCCACCGACTCTCCCCGCAAGGTAAACGATGGGGTTTCCCCCCTTACGCGTTCGCACGCGCGGCCTTCCTAGCATCCCTCGTCTGGGCGACGAAACCAGTCTTGATCGCCGACACGGTCCTGGTGGATCCGCACGACTCACACTGCAGGAAAAAGAGACGGTTTTCCTTCATCATGATCGTGTCGGCCGATTTGCAGGTTTTGCATGTTACGTATTCCACTGTGAAAATAAAAATGCCCCATTCGGAAGGGGTTAGACACCTCGTCGACGAAAAGAAAAGTGGGGAAGAAAAAACCAGCAGGGTACGTACTGATATAACGCTTAAGCACATTCTCAATCTGCTTCGGCTGGAACCGCCCTTTAATAACCAACCGCTGAGCACCATCGATGGAGCCCGTGGTTCCCAACTCGGCAAACAGGAACTGGATGACGTGGTCGGGCTGACGGTGCATGCGCTTGCAGATGTCGACGACGTTGGCGAAGAGGGTCTTCTTGGTGCCTTCGCGGAGGACTTGCGGGGGCGCGATCGTGTACCGCTTTTTGTCGCCGACGAGGTCGGGGTTGTTTTCGCGAAGGACGGAGAAGACGCGGTGGAGGAGCTGGAAAAAATATGGGAGGGAGAAGATTTGTGAGCACGAGGTGAAGATGACAACAGCTGAGGTTAGCTCCAAAAGCAGACATACCTCTTCGTAGGTGTAGTCCCTAGTGCTTCCCAGCCATGGCTCTCCCTCCGACGCCTTTGCGCCCGCGGTCTCCTCCCCAGCAGCCGTCTCCTCCACACCGACCGACTCGGTTCCATCCTTCAACGCCGCCTCGAAATCCGCCAAATCGGTCTTCTTGGACCTCTTCTTCTTCTTCTTCTCCCCAAACACAAACTCCTCTGCGGGTGCAGCGGCAGCACCCGAGGCGTCGGCGTCGTCGGCGCCCTCAGCGTCCGCGCCGTCTTCGGTGGTGCCCGTGGGGGTGTCGTCACCCTCGAAGGTGGCCTTCTTCTTTTTCTTTTTCTTCTTCAGGTCTGCGAATACGTTGGCGGCGTCGTCGTCCTCTGCGGCGGCGCCGGTGGCGGCTGGTTCTGCTGCTGCGTCGTCGTCGGCTAGTATTGTTGTTTGTTCTGACTCCTGTTGTTGGGAGTCGTCGTCGAAATCAGGCACGGCCTTCTTCTTCTTCTTCTTCTTAATTCCAAAGTCGAACTGTGTGCGATTTTTGACATGATCGGATATTGGTGGCGGTTGGGAAGCCGCGGTGGCGAGGACAGAAAGAAGTGAGCAGTGGTTCCAAAAAAAATAGGGAGGCAGGAGGTGTTTTTGGGTGCAACTCCGAGCCATCTCTGACAGAAAGCAGGGCAGAACTTACGGTCTCGGTGTCCTGGACGGGCTTTTCGTCGTTTAGCGACATGTTCGGATGTCTATGCGATAGATCGAGGTATGCGGGTGGAGTGCCAGAGTGCCTTTAATGCTTGTGCTGTGGGGGGCAGGATGGGGCGTCTCCCTCTCTGCTGTGTTGCTGTGGTTGCAGAGTGATTTTAACGAAGGTAAGATCTCCGGGTCTGTTCCTTTTTGTTGAAGCTGTTTCCGTCGCCGCCCTTTGTGTCGCTCCTCTTGAATGCCTTTCTCAGTGAGTCACACCGCCCCCACTGACAGCACCGCTCCCCCTCGCTTCGATTGACAGGCAAAATGCGCTTTCCAGACTTCCGCAGGAGAGGATCCTCACGCACCATCAGACGCTGTCCACCACCGCAGCCACGCAGACGTCGGCCAAGAGGAAACGCAAACGCAAGCCTACTATAGTACGGGAACCAGTTCAGTCACCTTCGAGCGTGGAGACGTGATTTCAAATCAAATCCAGGAGGTGCCTGTCATTTGAGCACTCGTCGCCGTCAGTCGTTTTATCCAACTAAAACGAGCAGCAAGTGGTTCTATAACCACATGTGCACCATGTGCCCGATTTTGCGCAAAGATGGACGCATGAAAAGAAGCGGCGGACTGTGGAAGGTTGTGAAAGATCTCCAACTGCGAGAGGTGAGGTTTCATCGAACTCTGCCAAAGCGATTTGTGTGATAAACCACTTGGATATCCGATTCGATGTCCCATTGGCGCAATGTCCTCTCAGTTGTTGAGAAAGGCAGTTGTCACGAGAAAGATCACAACCACGAACAGCTGCACAAAGTCTTCGGGCGCAAAGGTTATCAGCACTGCGCCAACATCCTACGACTGCACTACTACACAGGCAGTCCATCGGGTAGGTATTTCTTCAAAAGGTCGGTCACAAGGGAGGGAGGGTGCGGGATACGGTTTGCTGTGGTGTGTGCAGAAGCTGTGCGTAGTTGCCGGATGAGGGAACGGGAAAGTGGGGAACTGCTGAAGTCGCCTCATGGAAAGGGCCTCAATTCTACTGCCTAAATTTCATGGGAAAGCAGTTCATCATGACCTTGGCCTGGTGTCGGCTTAGATGCTGAGGAAACCGCGCAGAAACCCGAGGTCGTACAGTACGTTGGGAGGTGAATTGGGGGCCCGTTAGTGAATAGGCACAGTTGGAAGCGGTCGTGGCGCAGGACAAGAGTAAAGGCGAATAGAGGGGAGTGAAGGCGAAAGGAGAGAAGCCAAAGCTGCATTTCAAGTACATGGACTGACGATCGGGGAGATCCTGATCAAACCATTTATCAAAAACACTCTTGGGTTGAGCAAATACCGCGGGCATGGAACGGCCGTCCTCCGTGGAATGCGACAAGCGTTGAAATAACCTAGAGCACTGTGCTTCGCCCCTTCTCTACAGTCACCGACAGTTCGCTCTTGAAGGACGTATAGTACCGTCAAAGCCAGTCAGCAGTTGGGCCTGTTGGCCACTTGGGTCGAGTTCTGGGTCGAGTTGCTGAGGAAATCCGCTTGTTCAGCCAAAGCTTTACGGAGCGTACAAAAGCCGTCCTCCACCCCCATGAAAAGCAGTCCTTGATGCGACAAAGAGGCGCAAATGGGACAGAGAGCTGTGTATACCATCTCATTCTTCACGGCATACCCACAGTCTCCGTCGGCGGGCCATTTGTGAGTTCTCTTGACCAAAGCTTCTGAGTGCTCATTGTCTGGGGACCGTAACGGGTTGCCAGCTCCCGCTACAAGAGCGACATCAACGCCACCCTCTCCATCACCCTCTCCCAAAGCCTTCACACTCATTGTCGGTTGTCTCTCGACACTCAAACGAAATGGAGATTACCATACCTATAACGTACCGCCATTTGTCCCTTGCGGGGGACGAGCAGTACGCCTCAAACAGGCACCTTGGGTATTCTTGCGTACGCCTAGTCACCCCCACTACGGAAAGGTGGCAGGTATAGGACCTTTGGAGGAGAGGACATACTGACAGACTTTAGGTCCTCTCGCTCCGGTCCCGATCGCTTGGAGGAAACCACAGGAGTTTTCTGCTTGAGCGGCCTTTTTGTACCCGTCCTGGGAATAGAATGTGGCGGGTGCACGTGACTTCACGTGAGGGAGGGACGTTCATTGCGCTCAGAGGATGCAGGGTCGGATGGGGGGGGGGGGGGGGGGGGGGGAAACCATCACAGAGCAAGCACAGCAAACAGAAAGCGAGACCAAAGCGCATCCACGCCTTCATCGTACACCCACCCAAACCAGCTCAAATACTCACGCTCCACCATGGGCCGTATTTCGCGCTCATCGGCCGCTGCAGAACACGCGGACGAGGACGACCAACACTACGAGGACGACCAGATGCAGGTTGACGAGGAGCAAGATCCTGAGGAGGAAGCCGAGGACGAAGATGAAGACGAAGACGACGATGAGAATAGAACTTATGATGTCGAGAAGATCTTGTCTCATAGACGCGATAGGAAGGTAAGTAATGGGGGAAGGTGGACATTGTTGATCTTTCGTGTTTGAGATGATCTGCCTGCGGGGATTCCCATCAACGCGAATAGGAGAAAAATCACGGTACTTACAATCTTCTGCCCGTTTCACCCAATTTCCTAGACGGGCAAAGACGAATTCCGCATCAAATGGGCAGGGTACCCCTCGACCCAAAACACGTGGGAGCCTATTGAAAACATCACTTCGAAACAGTTACTCGAGGACTACTGGGCTGAGGTCGCGAAAAAGGGCAAAGGTGATAAAGCAAAGTCACCTGTGAGGAAGGGCAGGGCTTCTGCCGCCGCGACGCCTGCGACTGGCCGGAGTAGCCGATCAACCAGGTCGGCTGCCGTGGAGAGTGAAGAGGAGCAGGAAGACGAGGAAGAAGAACATGAGGAGGCTCCGGCGAAGCGCCGCGGAAGACCAGCTAAGTCGGCTAGTAATGGCCGCGTTGGAAGGGCTACTAATGTGCGTAAGTTTTCTCCTTGTTACTCTCAACTACCGCTTGGAACGGCACTCGCCTGGGAACAGATCTACTCACCGTTCTTGCCCTTGACTGCGACCATAGACACGAAAACGGGATGACGAAGATGACGAGCACGATGAACGCGCACCCCGCAAGCGTCAGCTCCGCACCCGCGACGTCACGCCCCCTATCTCGCACGACGTCGAGGACGGGGAAGAAATCGACGACGACGACGACGAACCGCGTCCCCTCAAGCTCCGCTCATCACGCACCACCGCAGCTAGCTCAGGGTCCCCCGCCGCCAAACGCAAAGCCGTTCCCCGCAAACCCACACAGTCCATCTTCAACGCGATGCCCGACGCGCCGGACATCGACAACGACGAAACGGACGGCGACGATCCGCACGTGACCAAAGAGGGCTTCATCGCTGAATCCCGCATGGACCCCAAACTGATGGCCAAGCGCTCCTGGGAAGATGATATCGACCATGTCGACACGATTGAACGCGCCGGGATCGGGTTGTGCGTGTATCTGGTCTGGAAATCGGGTCTGAAGTCCGTCCACCCCACCCCGACTGCTAACAAGAAGTGTCCGCAGAAGGTAGGCTCATTCTTTATACCCCGTTGCGACAGATATACGCTCAACGCAACGGAAAAACTAACCCAAACTCCCCCTCAATTCGCCGCCCCCAGCTACTCGCATTCTACGAGAGCCACCTAAAATTCACACCCCCAGCAAACCCCTCCTCCTCCTCCTCCCCCTCCAACGGCGGAGACCAACTCGAAACTCACGGTGCGCTGGCCCTAACCCAACCCCCCAACTCAGACCCTGAAGCCGAAGAAAACGACACAACAATCACAACCACCGAAACCACCACGACCCACTTCCGCGTCGCTACAATCTCCACCAACAACACACTCCCGCCCTCACCCTCCGGCGACATCAGACGTCTGTTTGATGAGTTGGCTGAGGCTGACGCGGGTCTCTCCACCGCCTCCCGGAATCATAACGAGGATGAAGAAGAGGAAGAGGGTTTACCTGAAGGATATGAGACGCAACGCGGTCGCGGGGCGGGAATCTACGGCCACCTCTTCTGAGTGATGGGAGGGGGGTTAACGCAGGGTGGTGGGAGCGAGTCGGGGAACGGGAAGAGTGGGGGAAGGGTTGCGGGTGTGAAGAGGTTGTTGGCTGGGTTGGGAAACACTGTTAAGGGAATTGCGAGGGGAGGGGAGTTTGAGGGATGAGCAAGGGGGTTGGATGGGATGATTATGATGGAAAAGACGGAGGGATTATCCTCTGCAACATGAGAAGCGCGTTTTGAGGAGAGAAGGAGTGGCATATATATACATCACATATCACGACTATGAGGGGGCATTCCGCGAAACACGAGAAAGCAAGGCGCGAGAGGAGCCGGTGCCCCAAAATAGGGTATTTACAAAACGGAAAAGCGCTACGAGGCTTGGCGGTGGTATGGAAGATTCCGATTGAGTTGCGGGCTACGGCGGACGGTGTTCGTATGCCGGCGGTAAGGGTAGTGGTGGTGCGGAAGTGAAGCGCGAGTGTGTGGGATTGAACGCGGAGGAGCCCTCTGCGTCGGGAGTCGGGACATCGCTTATGCTCGCCGTCCGTCCGCCGCGCTGGTTCCTCCGCCCCCACCGGAAGCTTCTTGATCATCCCAGTGCGATTTCATTCGCTGTCGACCCATTGTGATGCCAACTAGACGAGTTTTCCAAAAACGAATGTCAAGTCGTCCCCCCCTAAACAGGCCGACAGAAGATCGAACAACTACTCACCGGCCCAAGATACGGCGCCTGATACCTCTCCAGCGAATCCGCATTCACATACGCCTGATACCTATAGATCGAAAATTCCGAAATCAGCATTCCTTCCCCTCCCCTCTTCAATCCAAAAAAACCCCCAAACTCACCCCAACCACCCGACCCCCCCAACGCCCGCGACAAACATCAACCAAACGACAGTCACGCTCATCCAGCTGAAGACGAACATCAGGACGAGCAGGGCGGTGGAGGTGAGGGCGGACTGCCAGGCGTGGAAACGCACGTAGTCGTTCTTTTGTTCGAGGATTAGGAGGAGGGTTGCTGGTTGGAACAAAGAAAAGGAGGGCGAGAGTATTCAGCAGCCATCAACCACAGAATCAGTAAAAAAAAACAACCGTTCGCTTGTCGCTCACGCTAAGAACGATGTGAGGGGAGTCTTGCGCTTTGGGCGGTTGCTCGCTCCGCTCGTAAAAGATCTGACGCTTGCTGAGGCTCGCTAAGAGCCGTGGTTAAGGGAGTATTGCGCCTTTGGCGCAATGTGACTCTCGCCTAGATCACTACGCTCACCGCAGTAATGGAACCAAGGCCTCGCTCGCCGCCCGCCGCAAACAACCACCCTCGTTCCGCTTGATGGCTCGCTCGCTTCGTGCACGTCTGCCTCCACTTATTGCGAACATACCTGAAATAACACCCAAGACATACGCGCCAGCCGCCTCAATATCCACCCTAGCGCCCAGACTCGTCTCATACTTATTCACCCTCTCCTCCGCCCCACCCCCACCTCCAATGCCACTCCCCACCGGTGCATACGAGGATCCTGCTCCTCCCCCACCACCGCCACTACTACTACTACTGCCCCCACCGCCATGCCCCTGGTGAGGGTATGTGGGACTGCGAGATGGGGTACTTTGCTGGTAGCTTGGGATTGTTGTTTTTGGGCGGGATGAGGACGGCAGCGGCGAGGAAGGGGAGGGGAGGGGGCGCGGGTCGGGTGGGGGTGGCTGGTAGGGAGCGAAGTTTGCGGGATGGGACATTATAAAGAAGGGGTTGTTCTGGCAGCTGTGGTTGTGTTGAGATGTGGAGGGGAGGGCGGGGGGGGGGGGGGGGGGGGATGAGGGGAGTGTTCCTGAAGTCTTGGAGGGTTGGAGGTGAGACTCCCTTCTGCACAGCCACCCGAACACGTCAACGACTCAACGGCCTCGCAGCAGTGGCAGCACACCTCCGGAAAGCACACCCCCCACACCCTTCACTACTGTACAGTACTACTGTCCTCAGGTCGCCTGTCATCGCTGCAAATATATACTGTATCAGCCGCCCAGGGTTCACTGCACTCTCCGTCTATCCCACCCGCACCCTCCCCAACTCTGAATGAACAAACTTGCGCCCTCCTTCCATCTCCTCACAAGAACATCCCCGTTACTCCGCATACTCCCCTCAAGAGTTTCTCCGCTCCCCATCTCACCTCGCAGAAAGATGGGCTCCACCGCCTCGCAAACACCCTCGGGAACAGGATTCCCCGTCGATCCTACCGGCGCGTACGGCCTCGCCACGTTTGGCGCGGGGTGCTTCTGGGGCGTTGAGAAAAGTTTCAAAAAGAAGTTTGGCGGGGATGTGGATTTGTTGGTTGGGTATGCTGGAGGTGGGTTCTGGTTGCCATAGCGTTGATGATGTCTGGGAGGAGAGGGCTGGGGGCTCTGCGAGGTGTAGTCTGCAGTTGATAGGGATTGTCGATTTGCGGTTATTGATCAGTCGGACCTCACACAGGCGCCGCGGAACAACCAACGTACAGGCAGGTATGCTCCGGCTCAACGGGCCATGCTGAAGCCCTCCAAGTGAAGTACGATACCAAGAAGATCACCTACGAGAATCTGCTAGACTTTTTGTAAGTGCTGGAAGCCGGGGCTTGTCATCGCTATCGCGTGGGCGCAATCCAAGTTGACACCCCCCACCGTGACGTTGATTCGTAGCTTCCGCATGCACGACCCAACCACCAAAAACCGCCAAGGCGGCGACACCGGCACCCAATACCGCTCCACCATCCTCTACCACACCCCCGAACAACAACGTCTCGCAAAGGACTTCCTCGCAAACATCCAGCATCATTTTGGTAAACACACTGTCGTGACGACCCTCGAGCCTGTGGGGACCTTTTGGAATGCCGAGGATTACCACCAGGATTATTTGACGGGTAACCCGCATGGGTATGAGTGTCCGACGCATTTTGAGAGGAGTTGGGAGAGGATACATGAGATCTATGGGGGGCAGTAGGGGCGTGTGGGGAGGATGCGGCATGTTGGAGGACCGAGACAGGCAGAGCGAAGAGTTTACCAGTCGGAGGTATCTCCATATGTTAAAGATGGAGGGAGAGACTCGATCGGCGACCCGGCTCTGGTCCGTTGTTGGCTACTCGGCTCCTTGTCTATGTAGTTGTACGGAAGAGATCGTAGCGTTATTCTAGCTTTTGGAGGTTCGTCTTTCCATTCCTGAGTCACTGTACATAGTAGGAATATAGGGGCTGCAAGAGTGTTACCCCATCGCTCGATGTAGGCTCTTATATACATTCCCTCTCTCCGTGATCTATCCCCAGAGCTCCGCTGGCACGGGAGCTCGCAAGTGCGACTTGGGACGATGTCTGGCCGGAAAATCGGTTTCGTACGGGAACAGGGCGGTTTCCACTTGGTACGCGTCCGCTTTGTGAAGTGACATTGACGGTGCAATTCACCGTCACCCTGATACGTCGCATACGATCTCGCGCGGCTAGGTTCACCTCGGCTACAAGGGGATGTTCCCAACGCGTTATTTCCATCTGCTAGATCTGCTCACAAAGACTCGCACAGGAACAAATGTGCGTTACGGCCAGGAATTATGCATCACACCCCCATGTGCTATGTACACTAGCTAGATAGCGCTAAATCCAAGCCATCAGGCCATCAAGCCGTCGAACCCCAACGCACCCTGTCGAATGATATAGCTTATACATCTCACGCCGCCGCCTCCTCACGCTCACCCTCAGCCGCAGGTGCCTCCTCCCTCACATCCTCCTCGTCACTATCCGCCACCGCCGTCCGTCTAATCTTGCTTAACCGCGGCCTCACCCGCACTTCATCCTCATCCTCCTCATCCCCATGCCCATTCGCTTCAGCCCCATCATCCTCCTCGCTCCGTCGCCGTTTCTCCCCATGTGGGCTCTCATCCCCGTCAGTAACCCCCGCCGCCGCTGCAGGGGAAGGTGAATGACTCCTCCCATCATTCCTACCGTTCTCCGCCGCCGACTCGTGACCGTTGTCACCGTTGGTTCTACCAACCGTATCTTCATCACTGCTATCCGAGACGAATTCGGCAGAGAGTTGGGATTGCACGCCGCGTGGACGGCCTCTGCTGCCCGTTCCCCGCGGTTTCTTGTCGGTGCTGGTGTCCGAGTCGCGGGATTTGGTTGAAGAGGGTTTTTTGCGGAGTTTTTTCCTGGTGGTGCGAATATACACATGTATTAGCCAACTATCATTCGAGGATATATGAAGGAGGGAAACTTCAACCAACCTCTTCTCAACCGGCTCCCTCTCCTCACCCGCCGACTCCGGGGACACGTCCCGTTCGCGGTCGCGTTTGTTAGCTCCTCTCCGCTTTCCGCCGCCACTGGCCTCCTCGCGCTCGCGTTCCTCTTCCGCGTACTGTTGTGCGCGCTGCAGGTCGCTTTGGACTCGCGCTTGGACTTCGGCGCGTTGTTTGGCTCGTTCTTCTTCCTGAAGGCGGCGTTTCTCGGATTCTTCGTGCTGAATGAGAGATGTGCGACGGAGCGTAAGTCATTCGCGGTCGTCGCGGACACAAAGAATAGATGCACGATATCATGACACAGCTCTCCCTACCTCACGCCGCCTCTTCTCCTCCTCCCTGGCTTTTTGCTCCTCCCGAATCCGCTCCTTACGCTCCTCCCTCTGCCTCTCCAGCGTAGTCGTCTCATGAATCTTTTTCTCAGACAACTTGCGTACATCCTTGCAATAAGCCTTCCGATGTGATGCGTGCGCGATGTTGTAGTTGGGCCGGCTTTCCGGTGCGCGGTTCGCGAGGGCTCCGAATATCCTGGATATTGAATGGATATTAGAGACTGGTCAAGTCCAAGCTTGATAGGAGATAGACTTCAAACCTTTCAGCGGTATCAATCCCCTGCAAGGCCCTATGCATAGCCGCCAAATTCCTCCTCTCAATCGGCAAATCATTCAACACCACCGCCATCTGCTGCTTCACCAACGCAACATTGAACAAGCACGCCGTATCGCTCGGCTCGACCCTCGCCGCCTGCTCAATATACCGCAACGACACCTGCATCGCCGCCTCGTCTTTCCGCTCGCGGGCAAGGATGTAGTACGCGCGCGCGAGGGCTTGCAGGACATACGCGTCGTTCTCGTTGCCCTTCTTCAGCGCTTTCTCGTACATGGGTATGGCGCTCTTGGCGTCTTTCTCGTCCTGCGCCAGGATGACGTGCGCGAGGTCCATGGCTACCGCGGGGAGGTTGCCGGTCGCTTGCTCGACCTGTCGGAAAATCGCCAATGCGTCCTCTAGCATCCCGACTTCCGCGAGGATGATCCCCATGCCGACGGCTGCGGGCACGTTCTTCTTATCGGCTTTCAGGGCGGCGTCGTATAGTCGATGCGCACGCTGGATCCATTCGTCCCGCTCTTTGGGGTTATGCCGGGCGGACCGGGCGAGACCGAGCTGGACGTGCGCGAGGGCTACGAGGGCCTGGATGTTTTGGTTGTCGATGTATTTTAGCACAGAGTCAAAAGCCCGTTTGGCATTGTTTTTGTTGTCGGCGGCTAGGTATGCTTTTCCCATGTAGAGACGGGGTTCGGGTTGTTTGGGATCGGCTTCGGAGAGGAGCCGGAAGTGTTCGACGGCGTCGTTGTGGCGGCCTTCGTTCATGGCGATTATTCCCAGACGGTTGTAGGCTAGAATAGATCGAAAGAAGGACCAAATCAGTTCGCGATCTCAGAAATTGAAGGAATGAATGATTTCCGCTCCGGCCTACCGATTCATACCTTCAGAATATCCAGGCTGATCGCGCAACAACTCTTGGTACATATCCTCCGCCCGACTCGTCTCCCCCATACTCTCCTGCACCCTCGCCAGATTATACCGCACCGTAACAACAGTAAGCGGCGCATCCTCAGAAACATTGCCTCTCCCAATCTCCTGCTGACACGCCTGCAACGCTAAAAAGTAGAAATCCTCCGCGAGCCGCAGCAAATTCTCCCGCGTCCAAAACTCCTCGCGTTTCAGCACGTCGTCGATATGCCCTATCGCGGCAAACATGTCGATTGGCGGCCTGTCGAATGCGGATTGGCCGTCTTCTACCGGAATGTGGGCGGCGGCTGGCCTTTGGAGTCCCGGTAGGATCGGACCCTTGGCGGTTGCGCTCATCCGTTGCGATGTGACGTGGCATAAGGATCCGATGTTGTTGTACACTTCTGGAGGTACGGGAGACCCTTGCTGGGTCAGGCGCTTTATCGCTTTGAGGTTCACTGTTCGAGACAGATGAGACATGGATATTGGGACATGACCTAAGATTGCGGAGGAAAGGTCTTACATTGCAGCGATCTCTTCATGTTGGTATGTTCCATAACTTTCGCAATCTCGAGCCAGACCAAGGGATCCTCTATGGTGCCGCTTGATTTTGACTCGGCCGCGATTCCATTCACTCCATTGACGCTGTCCAGTAATCCACCGGATTGTTTGTTCGCGCGATCGAATAGCTCGACTGCTTGGGTCCGGTGTTTGGGCGATTGTGCGTATAGATATGCTAGGCGCTGTTTACAGCTCAATGTTACAGAGCGCTCAGCTGCAGAAGAAACTTTTGGGGTTGACACATACCACAATGACTTCGACGTTATTGGGCTCCTTGGAAAGGATAGCTTCCAGGCATCTCACGCCTTTCTCGGCATCGCCTTGTAGAAATATGATTCAGCGATTCAGGTCATCGACAACGCAGTTCTCGGTACACACACACCTTTCTGCACATATAGCATTCCCAGGGAGTACTGAGCAGATCGTGACCCGGGGTTCAGAGCGTTGGCTTGTTCAAAACACTGCAATGCAGCATCAGAGTCACCCTATATAACCGAACGAGGATCAGGTCAACACTCCTTGCTTTGAATAGACATGAGAGACTTGAACCAACAAACCTGTGCTTTCAGGGCCTTCCCCTTGCAAACCAACGCCTCCGCACGCAGTTTTGGGTTATTACTGTGATGCACCACACGATCTGCGTACTCAATTGCCTACAGTTGGCAGATTCGTCAGGAACCACCAGGCATAGTGCATCTCCCGCGTACAGATGCATTCTCCAACGTACATCTCCATACGACTGTGTTATCAGTTTCCTCTGGGCCATCTGACACGAAAACAGCGGGTGCTTGCTTTCGTTCTTATAAACCAGCAACAGACGCTCGTTGGCGCGAGCCACGATCGCGTCCTTCTCCACTTTCGTCCCGTCGGTCGTAGAGCGAAGGCCGTTCCAGTCAATGATAGAAAGTAATGTGAGGGCGTCCGGGTTGTTGGGATCCTGTAACGGAAAATCTCAGTAGGATGTTGTAGAACTGATGGCAGCGAGGGAGTGACACACACCACAGCCAGAGCTCTTTCGAACGCCTTGCGGGCCTGGATCATGGCTCCAAGATTGTAATAGCATATTCCGATTGCCACCCGGACGTCCGGACGCATGTCGGGTTGCAATTGCAGAACCCTTTGATATCTCTGCAGGGCAGTTTTGTGGTCTCCACTAGCAGATCGAACCGCACCCTAAACATGTGCAGGACCTGATCAGCAACGGCCGTGCACAATACGCCATGCCACCTTTCCAGACAGCGCTCCTGATATCATACCTCGCCTAGTAACGCAGGCACACAATTTGGGTCGCGGCGAAGTGCTGCAGCGAAAGCCTCCAATGCCTCGTCGTGTCGATGCCGCGCCAGGAGAATGTTGCCTAAGTTCACATCCCGAGAGCCAGTTCAGCATCTCGCCTGCCTTTCCCATCCAGCCCAATCACTCTCCCCACCTGAGGCAACAATAGCGAACGTATCCTGCGGGTCCATCTTCCGCGCCTCATTCAACAAAGCCGTAGCTTCCAATAGGCAGTCCTCCTTCGTCAAGTTATTCGATTTGTGCGTGACATAACGACCGTCCGCTGGAGTGGTTTTCGCTAGCTCGATGTAAAACGACGCCAGGACGTTAAGGAGCAGCAGCTGATGTGGCTGTTCCTTTGGGTTTCGCTCTGGTGGATATCCACGCGACGGGGTCAGTCCCCACTTCCGAAACCTCATAATTCCTGCGACGAGAGACCCACCCTGTTGTGCTCGATAGATCCCCGACCGGATCGCTTGCTCAAACTCTAGCAAATGTCCCTGTTTATAGTACTCCAGCTACGAAGCGCAAATTAGTACTCCCACCGAAGGTGATCATATAGGGTATGAACCAACGTACCCCAACATCCAGAAACACCCACAGCGCAGCGACCTCGTCGTTCAAGATATTGAAGACAAACTCTTGGTTTCCCTTCAGTTCCCTTCGGCTGACTTCGAGAACCTCGCCATGTTGTCGGAGGGGGATATCGATGGTCTCCTCGTGGGAAACGTCGGCCATCTTCGACGACATGTTTCCTAACGTTCCTTTTCGAAGTCCAGTAGGTGGGATCGCCTGTTGTTTTCGACCCTATTCTTTCTGTTGCTTTTGAATAGTATGGGCGAGGTGTGTTTACAGCGCTGAGGTTGCCAGCCTGTGCGGCATTCCTGGTCCAAATAGGGTTCTGCGAAAGACGGCAAAACGCTTGGGATTCTACGCGAAGACTTTGTAAACGCTCAGAATTGGCAACTCCTTCTACCCCTCTACATCTACATCTACTTCCAACGTATCTATTTGAACACCGACTCGCTGCACCGGTCGCCTCGTTCTTCTGTCTCCGTCGATTGTGCTCTGCTAGGAAGAGGCCCATCTGCGCTTTTTCCCTGACAGTTCTCCTTATAACTGCCGTCGCCGTCCTCTTTCAGCCGCACTTGCTATACTTCCCGCGCAGTGTTCAAGAAACGCTCCCGCCGCTCTCTATTATCAAAATCCACTGAGGCTGCGACCGAGTCAGCCACGCTGACAGCCGCCGTGCGGAACGCTCTCCAATTCAACCGTGAAGACGAGACCGCCGTTGAAGAGTTTAAGGAGTTTGTGTCTAGGCCCCGCGGTGCTTATCGGTTGAACACTGGGTTCTTCGGAACTGTAACATATCTCAACCGAAATGTTGGAGGAGGCCAGAGGTGAGCGGATTTGGAGTGCCGATAAAGTTTTTGCGCTCACTATCCCTTTCCGTCGAGGCTTGTGGCTGCATAATGTATGACTGGAGTGTTTACGGAAGATGGCGACGAGTGAAATCAAATGTGGGGCTGCACGTAGGGCTGGTATGCACAGCGTAGTGTACGAGTTCTTGGGAGACGGTCTAGCGCTGTGCTGGTGTCCAGTAGAGCAATGCGGAGTAATGAGCAAGTCAATGCCGTTGGTTGTTTAGGCCGAAATTGTTCTCGAACGCATATCATTATTGTAAGATTTTTGACACCAGGTGAAAAACAATACTCTAAATACACTACGGCCTTTCCCAAAAAGCCCTCGGCTGCTGCTATGGTATGATATCTAGCCACATGCTGTCCACTACCATGCTACATTATTTGAAGATTCGCCTGACTAGTCGTATTTCCTTTGCAGAGCCCGCCCTATGATGTCAGGTGTTCTGCTGCCGTATCGACCCTCCTCACTTCCGCCATCAGCTTCCTCGCCCTCCACCTTGCCCAGACGCCTTTGCCTGCTACATACGCGGTGACAGCGGCATACAGGAGAACTGCCGGTCCCAGACCCAAACTCCACCACAAAAACGTTTTAATCCTCCCCGGTCGAAGCTTAGTGACAGCGGCGTCCAGTTGGGTGCGCATGTCATCCGGGGTTGCGGAGGAATTGTCGATCAGGATATCAGCGCGCTGGCGCTTCTCGTCGATAGGCATTTGGGAGGCGATGCGGGATTTGGCGTCGGTCGGCGTGAGCGAGTCCCGGGCTGTGAGCCGTGCGAGTTGAGCTTGTTCCGAGCAATAGACCACCATCACTACGTTCACCACCTTCCACAGCCCGGCCTCAAACAGCAATGGCGTATCCAACACACACATCCGCTCTCCCCTCAAAAAGCACTTCAGCGCGCAGTGCAACATCTCAGCCCTGATATCCGGATGCGTTATTCCATTCAAGACCTTCCGCTGCCGTCCATCTACATCCTCACCCGAGAAAACAATCGCGCCTAGCTTTGCGCGATCAATTTCTAGTGTTTCTGGGTTTATAATCTGTAGGCCGAAGTGGCGGACAAGGGAATAGTACGCCGGGCGGTGTGGGGCGACGACTTGGCGGGCGATGAGGTCGGCGTCGATGATGGGAATAGGCGGGGCGGAGTTGGCGAGGTGCTGCGAGGCAGTGGACTTGCCGGTCGCAATCCCGCCCGTAAGGCCGATAAGAAGCATAGCAAGAAAGAATCGAGCTCTGGTTGGGGTTGCCGGAGGTTGAGGATACTGACGATGTCCACTAGTGCCTTATATATAAGGCATGGGGTTTTAACAAACTTACACACTGCCAGTCCCTGTTCTGGACGGCTCCAACGTTTGCTGATAGTCAGCTGGTGGCCAAGTAAGTGTTGTTGAACGTCGCCGGAGGTAAGACTTGGACGATGGAGACGATGGCTGGCCGAAGGGGTGACGAATTGCCGAGTTCAAGTTCCGTCCTCTCGTTGGTCGTGGGGGAGGAACGACGAGACAGCGCGTCGGCGAACATTCCCACGCAAGCCCCACCTTTCCAACAGCCCGACACCCGAGCATCGCTGAGCCGGGCGTTGACAACATACGCCACAAGGGACGTTCGAGTGTTCGCCGTAGCCATATGATACCATGGAGTCCTCTGATAGTATGTACTCACTCTCCGCAAGCATGGGTGTCACGTTGCTCATTGCTTCTGCCATCTTCAAGGCGTAGGAAGGAGCAATGCGCAAGCGGGCGCTGTGCCGGGTGGGAATAGCGGTCATATCAGAAAATTAGATGAGAAAGTAGTCAACAGGATTGCGGCCGGGGAGGTGGGTGAGCATCTTCAAATGTTTTTCGGGAGGTGTGTTTGAACGACGGCGATGGTTGAACGTCTACACTCGTTTGTAGATCATCCACCGGCCAGCGAATGCGTTGAAGGAGATGATAGAGAATAGTTTGGACGCTGGTGCGACGATGATTCAGATCACGGCTAAGGAAGGGGGTTTGAAATTACTCCAGGTGCGGGTCGAATGAAGCGACCGGGACAGACCTCGCACGCACCATCAACGGTCGCTAAAATCCGAATTCCAGATCCAAGACAACGGCCACGGCATCCACAAGGAAGACCTCCCCCTTGTCTGCGAGCGTTTCGCCACCTCCAAACTCGCCAAATACGAAGACCTCTCCCACATCGCCACCTACGGCTTCCGCGGCGAGGCCCTGGCTAGCATCTCCCACATCGCGCACGTCTGCATCACCACCAAGCGCGACGAGTCCCCCTGCGCGTGGAAGGCCTACTACGCCGACGGGAAGCTTGTACCCGCGAAACCGGGAATGAGCGCGGACCCGAAACCGTGTGCGGGGAACAAGGGAACGCAGATTGTGGCGGAGGATTTGTTTTATAATATGCCGACGCGCAGGAAGGCGTTGAAGAGTGCGAGTGAGGAGTATAATCGGATATTGGATGTGATTCAGCGGTATGCGATACATAATAGTGGGATTAGCTTTACTTGCAAGAAGGTATGTCGGGATCTGCTCATGTAAATCAGGTAGGAAGGGCGGGGACTCAGAAAGTGTGAAAAGCAAGGAGCAAGCACAGCGGATGTACATACCCCGACGGCCGCTACCACCCTCGACAACATTCGCTACGTGTACGGAGCGACAATCGCGAAAGAGCTGCTGGAGCTGAAGCACGCGAATGATCACTACGCGTTTGACGCAAACGGGTATATCTCCAATGCCAACTTCAACACCAAGAAGATGGTCTTTCTGTTGTTCATCAACCGTAAGTTGCGCCATCCCTTACGATTGCGCTTCTCAAAGTACGCCCAATCACACCCAACTAACCAAAAAAACCCCATCCCCAAGACCGCTCCGTCGACTCCCCCACCCTCAAACGCGCCCTCGAAGCCCTCTACACCGAATACCTCCCCCGCGGGACACACCCCTTCGTCTACCTCAGCATGACGATCGCGCCGCAAAACGTGGATGTGAACGTGCACCCTACGAAACGCGAGGTGCATTTTTTGCATGAGGATAAGATTGTGGAGAGTATTTGTGCGGCCGTGCAGGAGCGGTTGGTGGGGGCTAATCAGAGTAGGACTTTTTTTACGCAGGTATGGGGTTCTGGTTGGGGGGTGGGTTTGGAGGAGGGGCTGATTGAGTGGCTTTTGTAGACGTTTTTGACGGGGCAGGGCGCTGTGCCGTCGGATACGATCGCGGGGCCTCCAAAGCTTGGTACGTAGAAAAACACCGTCTTCCATCTCGTTCGTTGCAGGGTACGAACTCACCAGTCCCTGGGACCACTACGCAGGCAAAACCCCCGAGCACAAACTGGTCCGAACCGACAGCCGCAGCCGCACCCTCGACTCGTTCATCACAACCCTCACGGCTTCCTCACCTTCCGTGTCGGCAACCTCTGCTATTGGGTCGCTTGACAGCGTTGATGAGGGCGATGAGGACGATGATGAGGACGCTGAACAGGCGGGACGGAAACGGCCACGACTGCAAGAAAGCGGGAGATTCAATACGACACGTACGCTGACACCAACGCGCGGATCAACGGCCTACCCGGACATCACCGCCCTCAACACCGACGACGCAACACAACCCGTAGACGAAGACCAAGATGATGTGCAGATGGACGTCGCCTACGGCCCCATCTCCCCACCACCACCACCCGCACGAACACGGGAGCGAACGACCACGCGGGATTGCGGGGCATCGAAACAGATGAGAAGAGCGCCTGTGGAGGTGAAGTTGACGAGTGTGTTGAAGTTGAGGCAGGAGTTTCATCGGGCGGGGCATAAGGGTGGGTACCAGGACACTCATTTTTCTGCTTTCCGCTTCGATGTTTTCATTGGCTAAGGGCGTGATGGTACCCATCAGGGCTTACGGAGGTGTTTAGCGAGCATACGTTTGTGGGGTTTGTGGATGATATGTTGGCGCTTATTCAGTTCCAGACGAAGCTGTTTTTGGTGGATTTTGGTGTTTTGAGGTGAGTTAATGAAAGTCATGGCGAGTCCGTGGTGTGCCAAATGGTCGTAAGCTCATGCCGTGATCCGAACTCATTCTAGTCGAGAACTATTCTATCAACTGGTCCTCACGGGATTCTCGAACTTTGGACACATGCGGCTTTCTGAGCCGGTGCGAATCGCTGATCTCGTTGCGGTGGCTGTAGCTGGCGAGGATACGTCGGCGCTCGGTGACGACCTCATGTCTCCCGACGAGATCGCTGAGGTAAGCATATGATCATCTCTGCAAGAAAGGCACGTTCGCCCGTCGCTAATCTTCGCCCCCCCCTACAGAGCTGCACACGCCTCCTCATCTCCCACCGCGAAATGCTCGCGGAATACTTCTCCTTCTCCATCACGGCCACCGGCACGCTCCTTACCCTCCCGGTCCTGCTCCGCGGGTACACGCCGCCGTTCCACAAACTCCCCGTCTTCCTATTACGTCTCGCGAGCGAAGTCGTGTGGGATTCCGAGAGGGAGTGCTTTGAGACGTTTGCGAGGGAGTTGGCGGGGTTCTATGCTGTCGAGCCGCCTGTTGAGTTGGACGGGGGTGGGGTTGGGGATGCAGGGCCTCCGAGGGGCACGCCGAGGGGGATGATGGATGCGGTGAGGGCGGAGTATAGGAGGAGTGTGGAGCATGTGGTCTTCCCAGCGTTGAAGGCGCATTTTGTGGCGGGGAGGAGGATGGTGGAGGATGGGAGTGTGGTGCAGTTGGCGAATTTGCCGGATCTGTATAGGGTCTTTGAAAGGTGTTAGGGAGGGGAACGAACGAAAGCCTCGCGTGTGTGTGTCTTCTGCACGTGTCAGTTGGGCCTTCACGGGACCGCGCGTTTTTGCTTGTCTCTCTCGAGTCTCTCGCCCAGGACTCCCCCTTCGGCCGGCAAAGAGCAGGCGGAGTGCACCCTCAACCCAACTGCTCCACTTACGCATACGAGGCCCCAGCAACCACTCCTCTACCGTCACATACACTCCCTCTGTCTTTCCCGATACCGACTGCAGGTGTCCGCCAGTCACCCGCATTTCGAGCAAAGCACCTCGACCACAACGCGTCCTGCAAACTCCAGCACAAGCCGCACTCCTCCCACCATTCCCCCACATCCCCCGCCCACCACTCATCCAATCACCAAAAAAATGTCCACCCAGCCGGAAACCTACCTCTCGCGCATCACCTCGATGCGCGCCTCCTTCCTCACCCTCGCGGACCTCACCGTCAACGCGGACGACTGGACGACGGTGGCGCTGCTGCAGACGCCGCCGATCCAGGTGCATAAGCGCAAAGACACGAATTTCTGTCTGAGGGTCGTGGCGGATCTGAACTGCACGCCCGAGTGCGCGTTTGATCTGATGGCGGATATTACGAGGAGGAGGGAGTGGGATGATCTTTGTGAGTTTCTGACTGAGATGAGCGAGAGGGGTGCGAGGGATAGTGAGTGAGGACAACGGGGGCGTAGAGTCTGAGGGAAGCGAGGCCCAGGGATGGATTGAGGGTTCCGAACGAGGCGAGTCCGAGTGAAGCGAGTCCGAGGGCGAGGCCAGTGCGCCGGGGGCATCGTTCAACCATCCGCTCCATGTTGGTGGTTATTGATGGGATGCTGGGTTGATGGGTATCAATGGGTAGATGGGATGATGGTGGATCCTCGTTGTTGGGGGGGGGAAATGTTCATTGACACTCCTTTTGTGATCCCCTTTTCGTCCAGGCGAAGAAGCCGGGATAGTAGAAATCATCGACAACGCCACAAAAGTCCAATTCCTTAAAGCCAAAGGCGTCTGGCCCGCCAGCCCGCGCGACACCCTAACCCTCGCCCACGTCGAGCAGTAAGATACCGTCCGCCCCATGCCCCGCCATCCTTTCCCGCCCACCACCACCCACTAACACCCCACCCTCTTAGACTCCCCGACGGCCGCTACCTCAACATCGCCCAATCCATCTCCCACCCCCGCTACCCTCCCCGCGACGCCGAAGGCATCGTGCGGATGGACGCCAAGATCTCCGGGCAGATCATCGGGCCTTCACCGGACTGTACGGACGGGAGTATGTGCAGGGTCGTGCAGGTAGCAGATGCGGATTTGAAGGGGTGGATTCCGAAGAGCGTTATCGGGTTCGTTGGTGAGTATGTGTGTGCCCCCGCCCCATTTTCGAACATGGAATGGCGGGATCTAAATGGGGTTTGTGTGTTGGGGGGCGCTGTACGAAACAGCGACGAAGAGTCTCCCGAACAGCTTCAAGAAACTGGACTCGATCCTCCGCATCACCGAACAACGCACCGTCTCCGAAGTCATCACCCTTGCCGAATCCGACGAGTCCCAACCACCCCACCCATCCCTCACTCAACCTCTACCCGATCTCCCCATCCCAACCTCCGTCTCAACAACACCGTCCGCAGCATACCTCCCAGTCGTGGCCGCGGCACCGGCAGCCAGGAGACGAACGCTCTGGACAAAGTTGAGGAATGTCCTGGATTGGTGGAACCCGTACCTGATCTTCTTCTATTTTCTGTTGAAGGCTTATAAGCTGGCGACGGGGCGGAAGTTGATTGGCGGCGCGTGAGGGGGCGGCCTGTCCTGTCTTTGGGTCTGGGCACGCTGCAACTGTTTCGGATATCATACCATGTACATGTTTGTTTTTCAAAATGCATTCACCTGTCTCATTGACTAACGGAAGACTCTCGGTCGGGCAGAGGAGTTTGTGTTCTCACTTTGGTCTCTCGAATTCAGTAGTAGGCGATTGGTCGCGGAGATCTTCGTGCCTGATCGCTCTCGTATGATCCGGAAGGGCATACTCTCCATAATGGGGCAATGATGGGAGGACAGAGAGCTCCGAGTTTTCCTTTCGCAAATGGCTCGTTTTTTCATTCTTACAAAGGTAGAGATCGTACACTCCGAGGAGTGTCTACAAGGCTCCAAAAAGGCGAGAAGACGGTCGGGGAGGACGCCCTGACACGCGGGGTGCCCGTAAATATGTTCGCTAGCTGTGTGGGGGGGGGGGGGGGGGGGGGGGCTCGTGCGCGGGGGGGGGCAAGGTCTGAAGCGCGCCCGCCATTCGAATCTGTTCCCCTAACGGCCCTCCTTCTTGTGCTTCTTGTTCAGCAGCTCCGTCGACTCCTTCTGCAGCTTGATCGGGTCGTCGTGCTTGCCGTGGTGGTGGCGGTCGGCTTTCACCTGTCAAAAAAGATGAGATGGGATTGAGTGTCGGGGGGGGGGGGGGGGGGGGGTTTTCTGTAGGATGGTTTTTGGGGGATGATCACGTACCGCAGCCTCGGATGAAGACGCCCGTTCCTCTGCCCACCCGCCGTCTTTGTTGAAATGGTGCTCGGTGTCTTTCTTTGCGGCTATAATGGGGAAAGGGAAAAAAAAAAAAGAATGATGATGGGAATGACGCGTTAGCCAACCGGGTGAACTCGTAAAACCGCAATCGCCAAGAGGGCTCACTCCGCTCGCGGGTGGGCAGACGTCGGCTTTCGGGTCGACACTCGCGCACGTCGCCGGTCTCCCCAGCCCCCGAACCCAGTCCGGACCCTCGCCCTGCACGCCGGGAAGAAACCGCGCATCGCTATCGGGGGCTCACTCAGTTCCGGCATCCGCAGTTCCCCTTCCCACTCTTTTCCAAAACCACAACGGCTTCTCGGATGGACGTACGATTGTGGGCCTTCTTGGACGGTGGCGCCTTATCGCTCATATGCGACCCTGATCCCGTCGCCATGCATCGTGCGGACGATACTAGAGGACGAGCGACGAACGTGCGTTGGAGAGTGCGGACGGCGAACATTATTTGCTGTCGTAAGTTGGGGAAGGTGGAAAGATGAGAAGTTTTGAGTTTGCGGGGGGGGGTTATGGCGAGGGGGGGTGAAGGGGGGTTATGGCTGGCTGGTAGGTATTTATAGGGGGAGGATGTTCACCGAGGCATGAGGGAAAGGGACCGTGCGCGTGACCTCATAATGCGCCTGTGCCCTGTGAAGCCCCTGTTCTAGTCCTTCTGGGCGGACGCGTAACCTTCGCACGAGAGAAGGGAGAGAGTCCCAGTCGGCCATTGCGTCATTCATTCATGTCCATGGGGGGCGTCGGTTGCTGCGCCCTTCCAAGATAGGTCACAAGTCACGTGCCAACTGCCTGTCAATCCGCGTTGGGTAAGCACACTCCGACCAGCAACATTGGGTCACCTCCAAACATGGGAAGTTGCTCAGAGTCGGGGTTGGGAAGGTGGAAAATGATTCTCGCCTCACTGGCTGCGGACGCAGAAAAAAAGTGCAACTTAACGGCACGACGGCTGATACAGTACGGTTCTCAGCTACGGCAGATGTCGAGGGCTCTTCAGACCCCGTAATGGGGAAACCCAACGACCAGGTGCGTGAGCCATTGTCCGACTCAATTGACCCTTACTACTATTATTCTATATACACATACACAGCTATCGAGGCGGAAGGTCAGCAAGTATCAGAAACGGGGGAGTCTAACCCTTTCTTGTAAGGATTCAATCGGGAAACCTCACGGGCGAAACACTCGATCAGCCCTCCCCACTCCCTCCCACACTCGCCACCTCCCTCCCCTCCTCCCCCTGCTCCTCGTCCCGACTCACAATCTCCGGGAGCACCGCCGTCCCGCCTCCCCCCGCAGCCACCGCCGGCCACTCCGCAGGCACAACACTGCTCATCAGATGCTGCAGCGTGGCGCTCACCGGCGGCGTGGATGCCGCTGGGTCGTCGCCGTCCGCATCGTCGTCGTCACGGCCGGCTACACATCGGTGGGAAAACATGCATTTGCTGGCGCGGGATTGGATGGTGGGGTTCAGGGCTTGGTTGACTATGAAGTGTTTTCGAAGCTCTGTGGAATCGAGACGTGGGATCAGAGGTTGGGAGTCGGGTACTAACTAGCTCAGGGGGTTTAAAAAAAAAATAGAAAATGGGGGCACTCACCGGCCTCCCCATGCGCCACAATCGCCGCCGTCAGCAAAATCGCCGACATATACAGCTGCAGCATATACCTCGCCCCACTAAACACCATCGCGCCAACCGCAACACACGTCTCCATCGCCAGAACCGCCATCGAATACGGTCCCCTCAGTCCCTGCAGCGTCCCTCGCGACAATATGAAATTGATATGCAGCAGGAACACGCTGACCAGCGGTGCCATCAGCCCATACAGATCCGTCGACGTTTCGTAGTTGTCGTCCCACAGCTTCCACGTTTCCACGACGATGAATGCCAAGCCGATCTCGAGGGGGGCGCCGAGGATGATACAGCTGAGTTGCTCGCGGCGGGGGTGGGCGGGCCCGAGGCAGGGCAGTTCTTTGATGGCGGCGGCGAGGGCGCACCCGAGGGGGACGGTGATCCACATGTGGTAAAGCCAGGGTGTTATTGTGCGGGTGAGGTAGTACTCGCCCGAGGCGGAGAGCACGCTAGAGACGCCGGTGGAGAGGAAGACGAATTGTTGTTGGCGTTGGGAGATTCTAGAGCTGAAGGTGGCGTACTTGGATTCCCATTCGGAGGCGGGGAACTGTTGCCAGCAGAAATGGAGGACGAGGACTTTGATTGTGGACCAGAGGGATTTCAACGCGTTCCTGGCCCTTGTGCGAAACGCGTCGTGGGGGGTATCGCCGTTCGCGGACCCTAGTTCATGGATATCCCGTAGCTTGCTGCTGTTCTTCGCAGCAGATAGTGTATCCAGAACAAATATCGATTTCCAGCGACTGCTCTCAAATCGAGACTTTTCAGCCTCGTCCTGCTGTTCCACGGCGGCCGATTCCACCTCCTCCTTGTTGTTGTCGTTGTGATTGTCGAATGATAGCACTTTTCGGCTGCTTTCACCATGGTGATACCCATTCGCCCCACGCATCTTTTCCGTGCGGAGGATCGATACCGGGCGTACTAAGTTCCCCTTGGCCTTCCGCGGGCTGAGCTTATTCAGGATTTTGTTCTGGTTGGATTGGTATAAGAGCACAAAATCTTTCTTTTCCTGTATCGTTCGTCTGCAGGACGAATTTTGAGCGTGTGAGAGTGACATCGATTGCGCGAATCATTCCCGGGTTCCGAAGCCCCCTCACCTCCGATCATCATTCAACAACGTAACCAACTGCGTAAATATCAGCTGCAACGGCACCTGATACCCCCCCTTCACAAAATCCTCCGTGTGCCAGAGCGCCGTCACAATCGTCCTCACACCCAAAATATACAGCACCGTGACGACCGCCTTATGCATCCACTTGCAATTCACCGAGCGCATCGCCACCGCCGTGAGGGCCGCCTCGCCCGGCCCGGCGAGGGAGAAGGCGGCCCGGCTGGGAGTGTAGTGAATGAAGGGGACGTTGATGAGCCAGATTGTGGCGGTGACGTAGAGGAAGAGGAAGAAAGCGTTGAAGCGGGAGACCCAGGGGCCGGTTTGTGTGCAGGAGATGAGGAGGGCCGTGAAGACGTTGAAGTACGCGAGCTGCGAATGATCAAAAGAATAAGTCGTGGAGATACGGCGACAGTGCCCGCATGTCTCCCTAGAACGCGATGACCCGCGGGGGTGCTTACCGCGTAGGGACCATGGACGATGCACATCTTATCGAATAGGGGCAACGCTGGATCCCAATCGGAAGATGCCCTTTGCCAGAAGATCGCCATGATTAAGCATCCAGCGGTGTAATTTATCACGTTCCGCCGTCGTCGGATGCGTCCTACATGCCGCTCGTACCTATCATCAGAAAGCCCCCAATTGGTTTTCCGTCAGTTAACAAACCCCAATCCCGGGGCACTTTTTTAGGACCAAAAAGGCAGACCCCCCCCCCCCCCCGAGCGTACCTCTCTTCCATCCCACGATCCAAAAACTCCGCCGTCCAGCGTGATATGCGATACTCAGTCGCCGCCGCGGTTTCCATACTGGAAGTGAAAGCGGGGTGCTTTTCTCAACGTAGAACTGCTTGATTGTGCGTTGTCGTGCATATATCATCTTCGCCCCCAAGCTCGTTTGGGCACCCAAAGAGCTACTGAATTTTTCGGGCTTGGCCACCCGGAACGAACGGGCAGGCAAACCAACGGTTGCTTCATAGACGCCACGGTGGGGCAACCTCCCACCCGAGCCTCTGTTTGTCAGACGCCAGGAATAGTACGAGGCATAAGGTTGAGCTGCGCCTGGTTTTGGGAGTTTGCGGGAAGGAAAGAGCTTAAATGCCTTTGGCGTTGTTGGTTCCGACGGCCCGTCACGAAAGAAACTTCGCGGTGTTCATCCTGGGTTGTTCTGCTACATCCCGCCGGCGTCAGTCGAAACCCATGTCGGGGTGCTGGTCGGGGTGTGTGTGAATGGCCTCTCTGCTTGTCAAGACGCCTTCTCGTCGTTGTTCTGGTACTTGTACAGCCATCGTCGAACGGCTTGGGGTTTGGCCTCTGATGGCCATCTTCCCAAGATGGTGGAAACGCCTCACACGCCCGCGCCCGCTGAGCCCTCTGAGCCCACTGGTATTCTGAACTACTGTACACGACGCCTGCCTCGCGCGATATTGCAGCCGGCACTCATCCGCTACTTCGCTTGCGAATGGAGAGGCAGGGATAGTCTCCTCCGTGCCAGAGGGCCCTAAAAAATCATAGTCTGCAAGGCTTTCGCTTAAAGACACCCGCCCTGTTCATCAAATGGAATCATATAATCCCACAATGCATATGAAAACGTGCGCTATGAAAACAACCATGGTATGATAAACGAAAGCGCACAAATGACTTCTCCGCGACTACTACTTCTCCCAAAAAAAAAAGTACTTTCCCGAATCCCTATCTGCGCTACAACGACCGGTGATACTCTCATGTGTGTGGATGGCGTCGTCAAGAAATCCCGGCCCCCAATCAACCCGCCCACTTCTCATAAAACAGCATATAAACATGTCCCGCCGCATGCTCCAGCACCTCCTCCAGACTCACAACATCGACGTTGGAGTCCGATATACGGTACCACACGTCCTCGGTCGCAACCGCTTCCTTGTCGGTCGCATCCCCGTTGGCGTCAAGAGGCACGGCGATGCGGCGGTATGCGATGAAATGGCCGGATTCGTGGGAGCCGTAGTGTAGGACGACGGAGGCGAGGCGGTACATGTGTGGGTAGGGGGGGATGAGGTCTGGGGGGATGGGGGCGTGGGTGGAGGGGGAGGTGGAGTCGGGTTCTAGGGGTGGGGTTTGGGTGTCGGGGGCGGCTGGCGGGGTTGATGGTGGTGTTGGTGTGTCGTTGGGGTGGTGGGAGACTGCTGGTGGCGATGATGCTTTTGACGTGCGGTTCGGAATTTGCGAAACTGCTGGCGGCGGCGTGCCGTTGGGTATCGACTCATCCGGAGGAAACACAAACAACGTCGGTGCAGACGACGACGCTTCCAACTTTGACGCAGCAGCTTTCACTTCCTCATCCTTCGCCCTGGCCTCCTCCACCGCCCGCTCATGGTATATCCTCGCCCTATGTATCGCCTCCCACGTCCCCCTCGACACGCCCTCTCCCGCAAAATACTGTCCAATCCGCCCGGCAGTGAGGTACGGCCCGATATCTAAAAACTCCTCAAACTCCACCCTCAGGTTATTCTTCACAATCCTGCCGGACTGCGGGTTGAACACCGACCGCTGCATGTGCAGGCAGAGACACTGCGGGGGTGCAGCGATCTGGGTCGCTTTCAGCGAAAGGGGCGCGAGGATCTTGACGCGTTTGACGGTGGGAGGGAAGACGGCGTCGACGTCTTTGGTTTTGTAGGCTTGCCGGACAATGTCGCGGTCGCGGGTCAAGGTGACCAGGCGCTTTGCGTGCGCTTTGAGGAGGTTGGTGCGCTGTTTGAGACCTCGGACGAGAGCCGGATCGAGTTTGGAGGGTGGGGATGAGACGCCGTTGGGGAGGGTGGCGGAGGTGACGTTTGCGGTCAGTTGCAGTTTTTCTGTCAGCTTGGCTGTTACGTTCGCTGGGAGAAACTTTGTGTGCGTGTCTTCGTCCGACGAAGGTGTGGCCATGCCACTTGACGATGGGGATTCGCCAGGTGACGATCCATCGCTGATATCGTGTACACCGTTCGGGGTTCCCTTGCCGTTGATTCCGTTGATGCTGCCGTTGCTTCCGTTCGTCAATAGAATGTCCTTCATCTTGAGATTATCCGCCGACGTGGTCTTATAGTTTCCATGCCCATCCGCCTCACCAGCCACCTTCGGCTTCCCATTGATCCCCGCCTTCCCCGCCTTATTATTCCTCCGCTTAGCAGCCGCAGCATCCTCCGACATCTTGGCAACGTAGTCATTATACTCCGTTTGCAGTTTGCGTGTAAGTTCGGTCAGCTCCCAGTACTCGCCCGTAATGGCGTGGTTCGTGGCGTTTAAGGAGCATTGGGCGCATACGTAATCGTGGATGCTTTCGGGGCGCATGTAGGCGCGAAGGAGGTAGTCGAGGGATACTTGCCGTACCTGAAGGACAATTGGTGAGTCACTTAGTTGAGCACTTGAGCCGTCCGCGAATGATTTCATCGGAAACCATGGCACTCACCCCAAGAGGGACGGCTAACGAAAGATTGTCAAAAACTTCATGACGCACGCCGCTCTGAGATTGCATCCCGCGATCAGTAACCTCACCCATTATGGCTCATCCCCGATTCACAAAGCATATCCCACTTACTGAATATTTACACGTCTGACATTTAATAGCGCTTGCCATCAATCCGGTCAACGGATTCCGCATCGGCGGCGGTAAATAGTAGCTATCCAGCCGCTTGCCGGCATATATCACGGCCTGCACGCGTTTGAGATGTTGAACGGCTTCTTGGTGTTTGGTGGGTGGATATGCTACTGATTCGAGATCAAGGAGTTGCCGGAACCCGGAGTCGTCCGGTTCTTCGTCGGTGAGGGCACCGGATACGAGTTGGAAGAGCTCGTGTGCATCCTGAAGGGGGGCAGAGGGATGTCAGCTTACAGTTGACGCTTGGTTTCTTTTACAACCTCCGGCTGGGGGGACATACCTGCTGTTCATAGCACATCAGCCTCCTATTCGAGGCATTACTGCTCGCAAGCGCATCCATGAATTCGTTCGGCCGGTATGATCTCCTATGCTTCGTCAGTTGATTTATGCCTGCGCATGGGCGAACTCGTCGTCAGTATACCAAACCAGAGACGCACTTTCCACACTCCAACAAGTAGCTCACCTGAAGCTAATTGGTATAGAGCATGATTCATGGGAATCTTGCCTTTCTGTTCGCTTGCGGGAAACACCTTGATCTGCGCGTGGTATTTAGACCGCTCCAAGACGTATGTGCAAAGTGAGGGTAGGGATGCCATTGACTACACCGCAAAGAACAGAATCTTGAGTACACTTGATTCGTATTTACGGAAAGGCTCGAATAGATACACACCTGAAGCACGGAGTTCATAAAGCATGTGTTGCCAAGATTGGTCAGCCCTCCTGGGTATACAACTATGGAAGCGAAAACGTCAAGCATGAGTTCTCTGAACTTTGCGAGCCCGGAAATACCAGCTTCCACTATGGCCGTCGGGCAGCTGTGATGGTCCCTCGCATCACATCCATGCAAGCACGCCAAGTCTCACCTTGCCCTCGACTCCACCACCCTTTCGCCTTGCCCTCCGCACCACCTCCATCCTGCTTCACCGAACTCTTCCTCCTCGCCGCCGCCGTCAAACTCCCCTTCCGCGTCCCATTCACAACAACAGCGTTTCCCTCATCCTCCTCCAGTTCAACCTCCTCATCTTCACCCCCCTCGTCCCTCCCCACCGCCCCGCCAACCCTCCCAACAAACGTCACCAGTTTCCACATCCCCCAAACGCCCGCAACAGCCAACACTGCCGTCGGCGCATTCAAGATGAGGAATCGCCGCGCGGAATGCACCCCAGGGTATCGGTCAATCAGCCCCATGACGGCGGTCGCAGGGTCTGAGAAGGGGAGGAACAGGAGTTGCAGGTAGTCGAATAGTTGAGTTAGAATGGTGTGGGGCGTGGGTGGGAGGTCCGGGAGCATTTTCTGACCCTACTACGATTCTTGTGTCGTAGGGCTTTTTGGGATATGTACTGTAGACACTAAGTCAAATACTACAATACAGAGGAGCGGGCTAAAACAGGAGAATGGGCTTAGCCGGTGGGGTGGGGAGAGGGGTCAGTCCTAGCCAGAGAGCGGTGCGGCGCCATTCGACAGTGACATGTGTAAGGTTTGAGCTTGCATTGGAGGCCTGGCGAGGTTGGGCTTGGGGCTGGGCTTGGGGCTTTCCGCGCTCTTCTGGGAACAAGGGTTGTTGTTTCCCACCATCGCGTAATCGTCACATTCCACTCCGGACCAAAGACGACGGCGACCAAAAAGCTTATATTGCATAGACATAGACACACTATACATAGGTAAACTACAAGCTCACAACCAGAAATGGGCCCTAAAAGGAACTCACGATGATAGAGAGGGATATATATACTAGCGAGTCCTGGTGGGGAATCGATATAGGCTATGGAAACGAATAACAATAAACCAAATTGTGCTGGATTATGGTAGGAAGAGGGCCGGACTTTAGATTTCGAGTACTAATGCGTAGGCTGGTATGGAGAGAGAGTGGTGACAGGATCGGTGGATTTTTGGAAACAGGATGTTTCTGTGAGGTGCGGCAGGTCGAAAGGTCGATTTGCGAGAAGATCGGAGTTGAGTTGAGACGTGTTGCGGCCCAGTCTCGACGACGTTGACGATCTCACTCCGAGGCCTCCGAGCCCTCCGACGTCTCACCATCACCCGACGGCCTCGAATTGACATCCGGACGGCTTCCTTCGGACTTTATCGCCTTCCCGTTGTTGCGTAGCGTTATCGACGTGGTCTTTGCCGAAGGCACCGGTGTGCTGCTTGTCGACTTCGGGTTGTCACTGCTGCTGCCTTGGTTCGACTTGTTGGTGTTCCGAACGTGTTTCTTTTTGGACCGTGGCACGGGAGATGGTTCGTGGGGCTGCTGGGTGCTAGTGAAAGCTTCCGGCATTGGGGGGGTGCGCACGTTGTCCAGCAATGGCGGTGAGTGGTTGGTGGTCGATATCGCACTGCCACGACGGCCGCCCGCAGGTAGCCGACCGCTCATCTGACCGTTCACCAGATGTCTCCGCATATGCTGGATGGTCGAAGATGTTTGGAAATACAAGGAATTAGATTGTCTGCCAACGTGAAGAGCTCAAAAGGACACCAAGACACGGAGCTCACCTCTCTCAAATTATCAGCTCGAGTAAACTTCCGGTCGCAGTCGGGAAACTCACAGGCGTGAGGTCGATCGTCAGTGTGCCCGCGTGCGTGTCGACTCAAATGGCCCGTGGTGGAGAAGGTCTTGCCGCAAATCCTGCTGCCTGCGACTGGATATTCGCAGATGAGGCGAGGTTTTGCACTGCCTCCTGGTGTTGTCGCGCTTGATGGCGTACGCTTGACGGGTTTTTTCCTGACTTGCATGGTGCGACTGGGGATCACTATGGACAATGCAGCAGGTGGCGGCTTTTGCGACGGGAAGGTAGGCGGCTTGGGAAGTGGGGTCGGGGTGGGGTCCGGAACTTCCGAGCTGGTTTCGAAGAATTGGACTATCCGTCAGCTTGATACACCGCTGAATTTCAGAGAAACCACGAGACTTACATTGTTGCCTTCGGCTCCAGATCAGGTCGCCAAGCGGCCGCACTCACCCTCTTAGCAGTGGCGGCCATAAGATTCAATGTGTCAGCCCTGATTTGCAGTCTGTGTTGGATTTCGCTATCAGGCATATGCTTTTTGTCGATGGTGATTTGCGGTTCTTCCGGCATCGGGTAATTGGCAGGCTCAGTTGACTCATACGCTGATCCATTGGAGTTAAAGCGATGAAGATGTTGAAGCGGGACAGGGACCTTAGGATGCAGCCACTGCGGTGAAATATAGCTAGAAACCCACGGCGAGTCCAATGTGGTTTCTTGGGACAGCTCGCCATCGTACTCATTTGCGGACCACGTGTGGCTGGAAGTCGGCGAGATGGAGGCTTGCGCATATGGACGGTGATCGCGGTACGATACATCGGCAAGCTGAGGAGAGCTCTCGGATCTACGGAACACCGCAACTTGATCGAAGTATCCAGCTTGCGGGCTGGTATACAATGCCGAATATGTCGGAAGCTGAGAATAAGATATGGGTCGGTTTACGCCGCCCAGACCGTCCGGGCTGCCATTTGCTATCGTGCCGCCGGACACGTCATATCGAGGATACTGCGAAGGTGGAGAATAGTCCTGCCCCTGGGCTGTGTAGTACGACGACTGCTTGAACATGCTGGCGTGATCTTCGGTTCCCGGAGGCACAGTGCCTGCTTGCGAGTCTTGACCGCAGGTGGAGTGATCTTTCACATCCTCTTCTGTGCCCCCATCTGCTCGACATCCCGCGTACGAATAGTAGTGGTGATGATGGATCTCGTAAAACTGATGATGATGGGTGTCAAACGGACCATCCTCATGGGCTTTGGCCGAGGCGTTGGGAGTATCGGGCAGGAGATTGCAGGAGTAGTTCGCCGATAGAGTGTCGTACGGCTCATAAGCCCAACTGCTCATGCTGGGAATGCTGGGAAGTCTGGGAAGAGATAGAACCGTGTGAGGGCCGGTAATCAAGCCGATCGTTGAGGATACGCCAAGCTCAGGGAGCTTTTGCAGCTACGAGCTCACGAAATCACGAAGCTTACATGGGCGGTTCCTCGGCATCCTTGGGCATGCTGCTATGATAGGACGTGTGACTCTCAGGTATATCTGGCCCATAGTCGATACCGCTAGCATTTTCTTGGTTATGCGCCGTCGGCATCGAAGAGCTTCGGTCGAAACAAGGGTGAGAAGGCAGAGGGCACCATTGAGGTTGAGCGTTCCTGGCCAGCTTCAGTAAATTGTCGCTGGAAATGCACTGGTGCGACGGCCGTTGCTGTAGGGCAGACACTGGGCGGCAAGGAAGACGAAGAGCTTTAGCCTGAGAAAGGGCGTTCCCAGACAGAGCCGGTCCCCGCTCGAGCCAGATATGACGAAGATCACCAAACCTACTTGCAGGCCGATTTCCCACGGGGAGTCTTGGTCTTGTGGCGATGAACTTCAAAGCACAATTCCCGCAAAGCACCTCCTGGGTTGCTGGTCCGGGGCAGAGGCTTGCTTTCAGAGCAGAGGCGGGTCGGAGCGATCGTCGTCGGGTAGTAGACATGTCGTGGGAAAAGTGTGAAGAGAGAGAAGAACGGAGTCAGTGCTGGCGCCGATTTTCCCACGGACTTCGACGAAGAAACAGTGCGAGAACAGGGCGTGGGAAAATCGTCGTTTTCGCCTGGGATATCGACGACGGACGTAAGCGTACGTACCTGGGATGAGCGGAATGAAAGAAGGGCAAAACGGGTTCAGCTTGCGATATGCGGTGAGGGCAACTCTCAGCCGACGACGAAGGGCAACGAAGGGCAACGAAGGGGTTCAACCTGCGATAATATGGGATGTGGAAAGAGTTTGAGATGCGGAGTTTGCAGAAGGGGAAAGGGTCAGTTCGTGGGAACACAAGTACCACCAGCATCAGAGACAAAAGTGAGTGCGGCGAAAGTTCTCACGCGTTCAAATCAAGGAAGTGTGCACAGACACACAGCCAAAGGGGAGTGAATCAAAGATTCGATTTGCAATCGTTTTCGGTCCATCGCTTAACATTTGGCGAACCGAAAGAAGATGGGGATGGGAGCACAAGAAGATCACTTTGCCCGTTTTCAGTCGGGCGCGAACTATGGCGGATACAATCCAGGGTTCCGTCTTATTTGGAGGGTGTCCTCTCTGCACTGACCGATTTAAGGTTTCTGCTCGGATACGATTCAATGCCAGGCACTTGTCTGTCGTGGTTCGCTGTGGGTCTGCTATCGGATCCTATCCTAGAACAAGCCTGCGAGAGTTCTTTTTGGTCTTCCCACGCTGGATTCTATGTATACATCAACCGCCGGAAGGAAATCCCAGTCGGTCTTCAAGTAGGTTGTGAAGCGATGCTTTCTCACTGCAGGCCGACATTATTGGGCAAGGACCGGGTTGTGAGTCTTGAAGCGATTCTTTCTCCCAGCGTGTTGAAAAGTTGCTGGAAGGCACGAAAAACACATACGTAGCTCTTGTCATCTTACGCGTTGCATGGCGTTTCCCCCATTTCGAACCAGAGGTTTTACGAATCCTGGTCTTGGGACTCCCCCGTTCCGCAGTTCCTGAGCGATGTCCAAGGTCTTACTCTTGCCCGCCTCTGAATCTCGGGTTAAAGCCGGCCCGTCAATCACGCCAGAACGGGGGGGAAATTTTCGGCAGGAAGGCACGGGGATGGAGTGATTGATCTAGTCTTTGGCCCCCGCTGACGACACTGTCTGAAGGTCTTCTTGAAGCGATCCTGGACTCTCTCAAGGTTCTTACAGCGTCACAGCGCTTTCTGGCAAGTCCGGCGACCACACTCTTGACGCGCCATCTTGACGGGCGGGGGCTTCAATGACCAAGCCCAGATATCCGCAGTCCAGAGATCCCAAGCGCATGTGAGGGGCATTCCTAATGCGATCCTGGATTTTGGGCAAATGCTTCTTAATGCGCCATTCCTATCGGAGGGAATGCTTTCCGTGGACGTGCCCAGATCGCCGGAAACTGGCCCCATGTCCTTTATTGTGGCAGGGTGTGAATCCACACTCCAGGATTTCACTTATGCAACGTGCGGCCAACGCAGAGACCAGGAATTTAGATGGACAAAAGCGAGCAGCAGAATCTTTAATTGGCGAAGGAGATCTCAGATCGAGATTAGGGCATGTTGTTAGAGCAGATCAAGCTTTGGATAGGGACGAGCCATATGGACGTGGAAGCTTGACAAGACAGAATCCAGATGTCTCTCATTGCGTACGGTTTCTACGATAGTGGTTGGGAGGAAGACGTACGCACAAGTAAGAAAGCATGGCGTATTCGTATGCGAACGCTGGCGTAATGGTCGCAGCTGTGGAGGTTGTCTGCCAGCATTTCGAATGATGTCAAAGGGTGTCAACCCCTGTCATATGCTGTCAGTCCGCCGCTGTCAAAGCGAAAGGCTGCGCGCGAATCTGAGAGACAGATGGAGCAGCCAATTACTCCAAGACCACCGGTCCAACTGGCCAGACCTTTCCTGCGGTGTGCATGTATGACTGCGTAGACAAGAACATCGGTCTTTTCAAGATCGGTTAAGGTTATGGTTTTGACAATGCCTCGAAATGTCATCGAGACGACTCGACCGCCGAGCAAATTCGCTTCCGGCATGAGTTCATTTCTGGTCCTGGTTCATATCCTGCATCTCTACGAAACGATTGAGGATACGGGAAGTAAGATCGGTGGGATCTGGACGAGAGTGCCGGCTCCGTGTTGCTTCGCCGTTCTCTGATCCAGCACCGAAATTCCTTACCATGTTCTTGTCATGCCATGTGCATACACACATACTGTCACACAGCTCGTGCTCTCTAAACGAAGAGACTTTGACGCTATCCGTAAATCCGAACGAGAAACACCGTCCTAAAACCCTAACCCCTCCTAAGTTCTAAAGAGAAATGGAAATCGAATCTTGTGGTTTGAATCTAGTAGGATCATCCCTCCCAAGCCCTTATGTGTCTGACGTCACGCGCCCTTAATTATTTGTGATTAGCAGTGCGTTTCCTGCGCACAGTTAGTTCCACCGTTCCATCTCCCGTTTTTCTGGGAGGTCAGGATGTCCCCGTCGTCTGCCTACTGTACGTACCGTCCATGGAGATGGTGGGAAGTGCTCGCCGCATCGCTGGTAAAAAAAATGCGGTTCAAACTGCATACGGACGGCGGTGTATAAGCGGTGCTTTGTGCGCATCAGACTCTTCCTCCATCTCAACCAGGGAACATAAAGCTGTGCCCCACCCTTGAATGAATCAGCGACTGCCGCAACGCCAAAATTTACTTGAGCGACCGACATGAAGTCACTGCGATGGTACAGTATATCCCAAACTCTCCATACAATGGGTCTCGGGCAATCTCCCGCTGCGAGCAATCGGCGAGCGAGCGGCATCCCTGCAATATGGGGCAGTAGATCGGGCTGTATGGCCGGATTTACACGCATATCTCTTCCCAGCTTCGCAATGAGCAACGTTTGTAAGCTGTGATGAATGTGAGCCATAGTCACGGCGGATGTTTCCCCCTTGGCTCGGTTCGTTGACCCCTGTCTCCTGGAAGGAAGGGAAAACGCGTGGTCCCGTTGAGGGCATGCATGCCTCTTGGAGGTGCGACGCGATCAAAGCGATGATATAAACCCTCTACGCATCGCCGCGCGTGCGCTTTCCCGTTGCCTTTTTTCCATTTTTTTCTTCGCCTTCCTTCATCGGTGAGGGACAAGACGAACCTCTTGCGTGCTCTGTCTGGCCCAACTTCCTGTCTGTGTTTGTACGCTCAAGCCGAACAGCGACCCATTTCCCTGCGTGCATTCGAATCCCTTATCTTATTCGTAGCTGACTTGTTCGCGACACGCGTTTGGCTGGGGAGCAAGCGAACCTACGAAAGGAAAGCAGCAAAGCGCGTACAAAACCCTACTCTCTTTCATTATTCCCTACGATTAGCGTGCAACATCCTACGCACCCCACGCCCCTCTTCGGGCCCGCCGCCACACCTCGTAACTTGAACTCCGCTTCGCACTCTACCCTCGTAGCACGTAGCACGGACACGCTGTTAAAGTCTCCCACCAGCCAGATCGCACGCGTTGGTGGCCACCACCGTCGACGGCAAGTTCGACACGGCGTCGTCGGATCCACAGCTCCGTCCCACATCCACCGTCTCCGTCTCACTTCTGCTCAAGTGATCTGCTCAAAGCACTCGTCGCCGTCGTCTTCGAGACGGACCGAATAGCTTCTCACGGGCACTTCCACACCCGCCTCCTAACGCGTGAAGGATGCTCGGCGGCACCCACGAGCTTCGTCCTGACGCGTCGCCTGCGTCGGGAGCCCGACAAGCCAACGTCGCCATAGATGACGCTCGGGACGCTCATGTTCCGAACCTAGTAGTGACGCCCGTCGCCGGTGCCACAATCAACAATGATAATGAAGCGAATGGTTCCAACTGCAACACGCCCGAAGCGAAGCGACACAAGAACGCGGTCGGATCTAGGACCCCGCAACATCGCAATCTTCGGTCGGCTAGCAGGGCTGGTGGCTCCACTAGAATGGCGAGAAACACCGACACGGCCGCTGGCGATCGTGCTGGTGCCTCGTCGCAGCAACTAAGTGATTTACAAGGTGGTATTATTACAAGACTCAGGGAGCAACAACTATGCGAACAGAACGTCCCGCAGGCTAGGGCTGATCCTACTTCGGTATCCGGATCAGCTGATATGCGACTTCGGAAAGTCGTTTCCAATGAGCTCGCTACTCAAAGCGGTAGTACTAAGAAGTCAAGGTAAGTTGAGCGTCGTCCTTATATCTGTACCTGGTCACATCTCATAATATTCTTTCCCATCACCAATATTGGTAGAATCCCTCATCTGCGATCAGATGTATTGCTCACACCGTCCAAAGCAAGCTCTGCTTGGGCGGCCATTCCGCTGGACTCTCCAGCGAGTAACACTAGATCAAAGTAAGTTTCTCGCCTCAAAGCGCGCCGACATGGGGACAGCTTCATCAAAACGAAACTTTCACTGACTATATCCTTCATGCTCGCTAACTACAGGAGCTGCCTGCAAACCAAAAACATCCATGACCTACTTCTAGAAAAGACCAGCCCAGGCCTCATCGCTGCGGGGGCGAGCAGCTCACAAGATATTGATGACCCTGAAGCGGACGTCTGCCCAGACTCGCCTTCGTATCGTCGATCAAGCAGCAAAGGGAAAGGAAAAGCACCAATGTACGGCTCCTCGGCGAAAACCTCGCCGGTATCAAGGATCCCCTCTCGACCAGCTTCGCGCTCCAACAGTAACCTCGGTTCTCCTCGTCTTTCGCGATCGTCGTCCACCATCTCGTTCCAGGCGATCGATCACAACAATCTGTTCGATGACAGCCTTCCGACCCCTCAGGCGCCAGGTCCGGATATGGATGCAGATGACTTCATCAGTCAGATTGCTCCTGCCGCTGAGCCTGACACGCCCAATCGTTCGACATTTTCGGCGCCTTCTGATCCTAGCGATATCAGCCCTTTTGCCGTCACGGAAGATACACCGCGAACAGCCAAGCTTTGCTCGGCGCTCAGCGATTTCGGCTTTGGCGCGGCCCCGACTCCTTCGCATCGTCCTCACGGTCTCTTGCGCAATGCCACTATGCCACAAGGCAGCAGCAGCCACAGCATGAAGAACAGGATGGTCGCTTCGTCTCCCATGAACCTGGGCTCCCCGAGTCGTTCATCCACAGGGCTATCCCCGCAACAGTTCTACGGCGAGCAGCCTCGAAGCGGTGGTAGTCGGGCCGCAAGCTCACCGCGCGCCTCACCCGTCGTTGACCCCGAGCTGAACCCATTCATGGGATCCAGCATGCAAGTACCCAGGATCCCTGCAACCCCTGCAACCCCTCGCGTCTCGAGTTCTCGTGTGCCTCCACCCGGCATCCTTGCTGCGGGAGAGGGCGCTTCGTCGAGATCGCTCATGTCTCGAATGTCAGCTACCCCTTCCGCGCTTCTTAGCCCGTTCGGCAACATGGGGCTCCGCAGCGCTATCGCAAGTCGCGGACCACATGATGGAGAATACCTTCGCAGCAGGGATGTCGATCAGACCCCGTCCAAGCAGCGTCAGCCGGAAATGGATGAAGCTAGCCCGTTCTTAGCTGGTCCGTCGTCCCCATCTTCCCCATCGCGTCGACGAAACCTTAGCTGTGGCCCGTCCGCACTTCGGCCGCCTATTCCAGGGTCGCCGTCACCGATGTCGTCCGGCAGGCCAAAGTCCGTCAGCCGTCGCCTCTTTCCTGCGCCTGAACACGATGACCGCCGATTCAAGCACCGTGCTCACTCCCTACCTCATCGCGGGGCTTCAAGCAACTTGGCAGGTCCGTCCCAGCTCCCTGACGACGGTCACATGCAAATTGATGCACGCACGCCGTCACGAGCCGGCACAGACATTGCACGACGACGCCCCGGTGTCGACATATACGGCCCAGCTCCTCCAAAACCTAACTTCTTCGGGGCAGACGGGCCCAGTTCATCGACGATGACCAGCGCTCTACCGCCGCGAACACCAAGGAGGCCCAATGGCAACAGTCTACGCCACGACGTTCTTCTTCGAAGCGCAAGCAAGAGTGCAAGGAAAGGCCCTTTTCCGAATGATTGCAACCCATTCCTCGCCGCGGCTAGTGGTTCAAGTCAGTTCCCATCGACGCCTTCTCGCCCTGGCCCACAGCGAGAAAGTTCTAGCGGTGCCGGTCTATCTACTTCTACCCGCCCAACACCTAGGAATAATGAGCCTTCTCGAACACCGCCAGACCAACAGGAATCGCCGTACGCACACCGTGTCCCGCCCACACCTCGTACCGACCGCAAGCGCAAAATATCAACAGAAAAATCCCCTACGCCTCGCAAACAAACCCCGCAAGGCCGGCTAAGCTATGGTGCCCCACCTTCCAGGCCAGACTTCTCAGGCTCATCGACGCATTCATCGGCGCGGAAGCGTCAGCGAGTGGACCCGGCCGAGGAACTGAAGTTGAACGGCTCGGCGTCCATCGCCGCCGACTACAGGCGGTACGACGAGTTGCCTGCTCGTCTCGACTTTGACATCCCTGACGATTCCGATGAGGAGTCCGACTCAGACAAAGACTCTGATGATGGCGATTCCGACTCTGATGAATGTACTCACGCTCATCGCACATACAAGAAAGGCGATGATGATCAAGGCAATGGTGGAGGCACATCTTCGTCATCCGCTGGTAGCAGCTCGAGCTCTTCCGGCTTCGGCGAGGGCGGCTCGACTTACTCCTCAGCTGGCAAATCAAGCGGGTCAGGCGAGGGAGCCTCCCACTCTGCCCAAGGCATTCCTGGCACCGCCTACGCCGGTCAAGTGACAGTGTACTCAACTACGGTCACCATCCAGCAAACCACAGTCGTAATCGCCCCACTGTCGCCCTTCGCAGATGACAAGGAGAACCCAAAGAGAGGCGATCCGACTTATAAGGAGTACACCCGAGGGGTGGTCTTTGAAGCCAACTCAGTTGACGACAAGCTCGCTGGGTCAGGCTGCTACTGCCGTCAGTGGCGCAAGAAAACCGACCAGCCGCGCAAAATTCTCGGGGAACTCGAAGAAAACATGTTCGAGTGGGTTGACTGCGGACCGTGCGTGAAGAACTTCAGCCCCATCAAGAAGGAGATTGGCACCGGCAAGAAATCTACGCACGAGGATATCAAGTGTATGCCATCATCTACCGACGGCAAAGCTCTGTCCTCTCGACGCCTATCTATCCCTCCGGCGTTCGGAAGCAGCTCGCCGCGGTTCCCAGACTCGCCGGTCAAGACGTCGTACGACATGAAAGTACATGCTCCGAGTGATCCTTCGCCGTTGCGATGGATGTCAACGGCCACGTACCAGACATCTCCTACGCGCAGCCCGAACATGAACCGCCCCTTCTCGTCTCCCGCACGTATCCAAAACCCCGACCGCAAATTCTCCTTGTCCTCGTCGGCCGGAAGCAAGCACGCCCGATCCCCCGGCGCGATTTCCCCCACACCGGTCCGTCCACCCGTCTCGCAACGCCGACCGTCCACCTCCTCAACCACGTCAGGCAGCACCTATTCCTCAAGCAGCAGCGGGTCCCCGACCAAAAGCCCCGTTGCGAAACGCCGCAAGGACGAGAGGATGACCGCCAACACCTCCATGCTGCACCGGACGCTGTATGGCAAGCATGTCTCGCCTGCACCCGCCTGGCGCCCTTGACGGCTCAATCGCGAACTACGATACAAGTATTTTGGGATAGAGGGGTGGTACGACGTATGCGCGGAATCTTTTTGGACACGTACACACAAACACACATTGGACGGAAGAGCAAAGAACTAAAACCACAGAAAAAAAGCGTTACGAAACAACACCCCCCGGCCCCTACGCAAAACACCTAGACGTAATTTAACCCAAACGATACCCCACCGGCCCAAACCAAACGGTCATCATCGAAAACCCGATATCAGAAAAACAAGAGCTGAACGTCCGCACAAACGAAGTGAAGATTACGAGAACTTTCAGCAGCTGGCATCCCTTGCTTATAAGCGAACCTGCACAGCACGGACTTAGATAGATGGGCGAAAGAAGTGTACAAAAGAGTAATAATGGACATATGGAATGAAGTGTGATATTGTATATGAACCGAAAAATATGTGGGGCGGAGGAGAGATGACGAGGTTTAAGGGAGGAGGACTACAGAAGCGGGGATGCTACTTTTATGAGTCCCTGTGTATGTGGTCTCCTCCCCCTTCGTCGAGAACGTTTGAAGTTTTTGGATAACTTTTCCCCCCTTTGTGTACCGAAAAGGTCGATATAAATAAAAACAGAACATATATATATTGCGGTTGCTGGGATTATGCGTTCCAGGACTCTGCCATCTCGACTCGGTTTCCAAAGAAAGCAGTACACATGTTTGGATCCTCGCAGACTAGTAAGAACCGCATCCATCTACATGAAAACATATGGTGCTGCATGAGGAGCTACGGGTCCCTGCAGCAAAACCCTTTCTGGTTCATCGGAGTTCCTCGGTCTTTGACGGTTAGTCGTCAAACACAAGTAGTTGGGATAGATGTGGGCCACCTAGCCTCCTGTACAGCGGCGGGTGGGATTCTCGGAGCCATGATGCAAGTGCGTCGCGTTGATGAGAGGATTGCTCTTTCATCGACGCGACGCGCTTGTACAGTACAATGGGCTTCGCTCTGGCACACGCAATGCTGACAAGCCGCAGTGCCCTCTCCTTAAGGATGTGGTTGACGCCAAGCAATGAGGTGCTTAAGAGGTGCTTCGGAAGAATGACGGACACCAGGAGCCGAATCACATGCGTGTCCTTGTTTACCGCCTAATCCCGCTCACTCCCGCGGGGCTTCCGCGTACCGCGCAGACAGTATCATGCATATTTTTCGGTGCCAGGCGGCATTCGGTATGAACATTCGTTGAATGGCACCCAAGTGCTGGCTCGAGACAGGGAGTGTCGTCGGCTATATCTGGGGGCGAGCTTGCACGTTCCACTAGTCTGCTGTGTTACACCAACGTATTGGCGCTATCCACAAGAACCCCTGCCGTCGCTACACTTCTCTGAACACGTTCTAGATGTCCACTGCCATTGTTTCGGCTCGGGCAAAGTGATGTCCAGTGAAGCGGAACAACCATTCAGCAATGCCTGGAAACAAGCAGATTTGTGAGGTTAGCGTGCTCGTAATTTGGAGTGCAGAGAGGTCTGCAGCCCGTTCTCAAAGGGTTTCTGACTTCGCTCAATGTTGCCGTAACCCCACGTCCAATATCCCCTCGTAGTCTGTACAGAGTCTCGTGGCGCTTCGTCCACCGGACGCTGTGATAAAATCCTTCTTAGCTCATTATACAAGTCATTGAGCGTTCAGTGTCGTTCCGGTCGTGGAGCGAGGGAATTCTACTCTCTTTGGGCGTCTTTGTCCGGACGCCATGGAGCGTCGTTGCACAAATCTCGAAAACGTTATATATATGTCCGGGGCTATGCAAGAAATTGTGAGGTCAGGCTGCTCGACCCGCCGTTTTCTTGCCCAGGTGTTCCTGCCGCTTAAAAGTCGATCCTTCGATTTCAAAACAAGACCTGGTTCGTTGATAGGCTTGCCCAGGATTTGTCGCTCGTGTGGTGTTTACCAGGGCGTATGAAAAATGGTACGGCTAGCGAGGTGGTCGCACCAAATGTGGCAAACGCTCTGGGTATGCGGCAACACAGACGTCACGTTCCGCAGAATCTTTTCGCTGTCTCGTCTCTTTTTCCCCTTTCGAGCAACTGGCTTTGACCCCTCGAAGTACCCAAGCGGCAGTTTTATCCCTGTTCTGGACAACTGCGACGCCATCTGCCTTCTCTCGCTCCACAAAGACCTCGTTCGATATTTCGCCGGAACGCCAGACGGTGTTCATACGCACAAAGCCCGGTCTAGTGACCCGGTATCGAAACAACAGTTGGTACGTCTGGTTTAATGCCATCGTTGCTGACTAAGACCCTTTAGTTCTTCGAAACACAGTGTGTCCGCGCATCGAGGCTCCAGCATCTCCATTACTGTTCTTCAATAGCCTAGCGCCATACAAATCGTAAGGGCCCCAGTCCGTCATCCTTGTCCCAGTTTCTACAGTCCCAATGTGTTGTGCAACCGTCTTCCTCGCGACTTCCTCCGCTCCACCAGACAGACCAGATGAAGTTCACGTTCGCTGGCCGGCGTGACGTCTGCAGTCTTGAGCTATGAAATGCTTCCACCTCCCTGACCCCTGTGGGACCACGGATGCTTCTTCGTCCCGGAACCGATGCCCTCAAGTCAGCCTCAAGTGTCTGAGCCAGTGTCTGAGCGGAGCTTGGAGGAGACCGCCGTCCTCGACATCCTCGCCCCGACACGCCTCGACTCTGGGGACTGCCTGAACCGAACCCCTAATCGTCCCTGCTATCTCATGGCAGGCATCGACAAACACAAGTTAGATTCAGTTAGAACCCACATTATACCAACAACTCCGCGATAGAGGCCTTCTCGGACGCGTTGGGTCGCTCCTCAGCCGTATACAACCAAATTAGAAAAATTATACCTTTTTCACAAAAGTTTTTTAGGATGAAGAGTGTATCTTTTTTTTCAGAAAAAAAAGGTGAGCTCCCTACTGGGGAACTTCTTGAAAACGGTGTAATCGTTCTGACTGGTATAATCGGTCCACCACGAGACACAACGAACATTCCCCCCAATGGAAGATCGCTTGCTTAGTTCAGCACTACACTGCAAATAGTCTACGAAACGCTAACATTGTGGGAAGCAGAAACTTGGCCTAGGAGCGTTGTGCATTAGGACGTGGAGAGCAACTGTGATTCCTTCAGATGGGACTTACGGGAAACGCGGATCGTTAGCGTGGTGGCGGTTGTTGTCGCCTGCATACCATCAACGTAGTCCTTGGCTTTTTGAACCGCCTGCTTTGAGACTGGAAGACCGTACTCTGTGGCCAATGTTTTGATGACATGATGCTCGTGTCCTAGGTCGTCCTTCAGTTTTTGGACGGTGTTTGCATCCAACAGCATTTCTTTGTTTTGGAAAACCTCCACTAAATAAGACGGGTCAGTCGAAACGTCCTGAGTATTGTATAAATCTATGCACCTGCCGGTCTGACTAGTGTGATTAGCATTGTCATACGTGAGTATGATGTTGTTATAACGGAGCACAAGGTCTTTGGCGTTGTTCATTTGATCAGCAATGGCCTGAGATGTCTCTTCATTTGTGATGCCGGGGAAGACTGTTGGTTTGTTGCGAATGTCGGCAGCTTTGAACTGACCGCTACTGGGGAACTCCAACTTCGCAGTTACTTGAGTAGCCATTTGGGATCGGAAGGAAGTGAGAATGCGGCAGGTTTCAATGTTGGGATCCTCCACGAAGGAGGAGGGGTTGGGTTTCATCAACCGTCCTTTTATTGACCTACTGGCGAATGAGTTGTTCCCGCTGCGCGAAGTGGCAGGAATAATGAGATTGTCATTCTCATTTGTGTACCCACAGGTAGTAAGTCATGCTCGTAACCGTTACGCGAAACGCACCAGCACTGGCTCATGCGACGACGATACCGCGCGTGCAGCGGCGACATCCGGGCGTGACTAGAAATGGGTAACTCGTGCTAAATGTGGGTAGCTCACCTCAAGAATAAGACTTTTTTACAGCCAAAGTGAACCATTTGATTAACAAACCTAACCCCTTTGCCTTCGGTGAGTCGGCCTTACCCGGCCTCCTACAATCAGGGTCTACTCGCTCCGCTCGGCAGCTGCCTAACTAGTCTAACCCTAACCCGAGTTACTCACATTTAGCACGAGTTACCCACTTCTAGTCAATCCCGCGACATCCTCGCCGCTTACATAATCTGGACTCTGACTCACCTCGCCGCGAATCCTCACAAAAGTTCGACAGCGCGGGTCTTCGGGTGACACTATTCTGGGACCGATGGACTTTCGACCAAAGTTTCTTTTCCGGGGTTCGGGAGAAGCATTCCTCCAAAGCTTCGGTTACTATCAATAAACAGTGGGAAGCTTCGGAGAGTGGAGTGAAAAAAAGTATATAAGGCAGGGGGGTCTCTAGGCAAAAACTTCCCTCTTCCATCATTTCTCATACAAGCTTATAAAACGACAACTTTCTCTCGTATCTCGCCCACCCACCTTATTTCATCTGTCATGTAAGCCAGCTTTTCCCCTGGCTTTCGTCCTTGCTTTGTTGTCGGATTGGAGGGATCGGGACTAACTTTTCAGCCTTTGGCTTTCCCCAGTTCAATGAACAGCTTCACCGCCAACATCGACGACACGCCAGCATCCTCTTCCAGCAGCAGCCGCAGTCCCAGCCCCATCCTCGGCTTCTCTCATCGCGACATGGTAGTCGTTCACATTTCGCCGGCGCTCCCACAACAGCCACCCTCGCCCACTCCGCAGCTCGACGCAATGGATATGGATCTCTACATGGATGACGAGCCGGTATCATGCCCGTGCTCTGAAGCGTCTGCATCGCCTTACTGCTTTCGCGCCTCTAAAACAGCAACAATCACTTCGCATGCAACATGGGCGTACATCCCGAAAACTCCTCCTTACAAACGCAGCATGGTCACCGTCACCATCACCCCCGCGGCGCCTCGCCACAGCAATGGAAACCAACAGAACCGCATTCCGGCAGCATCCCTGAGGAACCAGGAGGCTCGCTTCAAACCGTACCGTCGCCCTGCTGGATCGAACTTGGAAAAGTTGAGGATCGTCCGTCAACGGAGCCCGATGGCTGTGGACCATGTGACGCTTTCAGCGACGATGCTGGCGACGACGAGCGATGTGGATGTGGATGCTCCTCTTATTCGGACTCGTGCTCGTGCGGCTTCCGTCTAGGGAAAACGTTCCAGGTTTGGCAAATTACATCTAATGATTTAGTTCCATAAGGCGGTTTTGGAGCAAGGATCTGTCCATACTTTCCAATGCTTGCGTGAGTACTAGGATAGAGACTGATGATAGCATAAACTCTTCAGACAGACATGATAAAAGATATGTGACTTTTGAGTGAATATATATCGGCGTGGCCTTGATAAGATTGCCCATATGCGTGAGAGGCGTGCTCCTGCCTACTATTGAACCCCCCCCAGTCCTTCTGCGGGAGAGGGAGAGAGGCGCGTGTGAATCTCTCCCAATGTGAGTCACCCCTCCCCACAACGAAGCCGCACATCGATCCTCTGCCGTTTTTGCACCACAAGCCATCGTAAAAGCCCTATCTATCTCCCCATCCTCCCGACACCCACCCTACCAGGGTTCGAGCTGCCTCGTCTGCGTCGGTTCCAGCCGCTTTGAGGTTTCTTTCGGTCATGCGAGTGGTCTGCTGCCATCCGCTTTCGTTTCGCTAGGCCGTGATCGTCCTGTCATCTCACACCTCCGGAACCGCCATCGTGGGGCATTCGTCTTTCCGTTAAGGGGAACTTTATTTTCCATATCTTATTTGTCCGCTATATTCGTACTGCAACCACCCTTTATCGTGGTGCCATACCCCGCATCTCTTCGCATCGTCGTCTCGTTTCCATAAACCACCGCGTCAGCATTCGACGCCACATTACACCCATATCCCAACCATCACTTGACACCCACCCACCGCTAAACAAAATGTGGGACCCATACGGCACCCAACAGCAGCAGCAACAGGCCGCAGGGGCAGGTGGCGATCCACAGAAGACGACGTTGTGGATGGGCGATTTGGAGCCATGGATGGAGGAGAATTATATCAGGAGTTTGTGGTAATGTTTTTTGTGTGATTGGGGGTTGACTTCATTGTGGGGATTGTGTATTGATGGGTTTTGTGTGTTAATAGGGCGGCGATGGGGGAGCAGGTTAATGTAAAGATGATTCGGGATAAGATTACTGGGTAAGCGTTGGTGTGAGGTTTGCGGGAATATCGAGCGACAGGGAGTAATGATGCCGGGATGGCCGCCATCGGTGTTGTTTCGCGTCGGAAGGGGCATTCCGAGTGCGGACAAGGGCGATGAATGTCGCCGGAGGTGCAAAAATGATCCCGCATGTCATCAAAATGTCCCATCCGCCGTGCGTCCCTTCTTTGTATCCTCAAGACCGAGCCCGCTGACAATCTCCTCTCATTCACAGACAAAACGCAGGCTACTGCTTCCTCGATTTCCCCACCAACCAATCCGCCAACCGCCATCTCAATAATGTGAACGGCAGCCTGATACCTGGGACGAACCGAATGTTCAAGTTGAACTGGGCGTCGGGTGGAAGAGATATTAGTACGAGGTATGAGATTTGTTCGGGTGGTAAGGAGGGTTTTCTTGCTGATGCTGATACTACGCTTTACCGCCCTGGTCTGGTAGGGAAGAGCGAGGCCCGGAGTTTTCGGTGTTTGTTGGAGATCTTGGACCTGAGGTTACCGATGCCGTTCTACTGGTATGTCTGCGAGAATCGTCATCATTAGACGAGCTTGCGATGTACTCATATCACCCTCTACTTCTTTCAAAAAGGCAACGTTTCAACAAGCCCGCTTCACAACCTGCAAATCAGCGCGTGTGGTCACTGACCCAGCCACCGGCGCATCGCGTGGTTATGGTTTCGTCAGGTACGTCCACCCATCCTCCTCACTATCCGTTTGTCCCAACCTCCGCTCCTTCACTAAACAATCCACATCGTCTCCCCAGATTCACCGACGAAGCCGAACAACAGCGCGCCCTTACAGAAATGCAAGGCGTGTACTGCGGCAACCGCGCCATCCGCGTCTCCGTCGCCACGCCGCGCAACAACACCGGAGGCGGAGGAGGGATGAGAGGTGCGGCGCAGCAGGGTTATTATCATCCGGCCCAGCAGCAGTATGATGCGAATAATACGACGGTGTTTGTTGGGGGCTTGGATGGGAATATCTCGGATGATGAGTTGAGGAGGTATGTTCGATGGGAGAGATCTCTTGTTCCGCGGTGGACGCGACACGCTTTGAGTGGTTGATTGATTGATTGATTGAACCTTTATTTCTTCGGCAGTTATTTCCTCCCATTCGGCGAAATCGTGTACTCCAAAATCCCACCCAACAAAGGCTGCGGGTTCATACAGTTTGCCCACCGCCAGTCCGCCGAGATGGCTATCATGCAGATGAACGGCGCTATCATCGGTAAAATCACGAACTCCCCTCTTCTCTTTCCCCACCCCCCACAATCCCACTAACCCTCCGGTCCTATTCCTAGGCGGCATCCGCGTCCGCCTCTCCTGGGGCCGCACGCAACCCTCCACCCCCAAATCCGATCCCTCCTACCGCTCCTCCGCCCCCTCCTCGCCCTACATGTCGCACACCCCGCCCTACGGCACCTCAGGCGGCCCGCCAAATCTGCATTTCAACCCGATGACGATGATGGGCATGCTGGGCCACCACCCGCATCACCATCATAACCAGCAGATGCAGATGCAGATGATGCATCAGATGCATTTGCAGCAGCAGCAGATGGGGATGGGGATGGGTGGGCAGAGGGGGGTGGTGGATGAGCAGCAGCAACATCGTAGCGCCACTTCTACTGGTGGTGCCACTGGCGGTGCTGGTGAAGAGGCGAGTGAGGAAGAAGGGTTTGCGAGGAGGAAGGAAGATGGGACTGGGAAGAGTGAGCCGCGGGCTGCGTAAGGCGCGCCCCCATACTATATTTACGTCGGGGCGCGGAGACGGAAAGTGGGAGGTCGGAGCCCCAACAGCAACACACAGCGGGAAGAACCCAAAAGCGGGCAGATAGCCCCCGGGGTTTATAGGCATAGCAAAATAGTATTACAACTGTCTCACCCCGCCGCCGCCCGTTGAAAGGAAAGGCATACCATTACAACAAAGCAAAGCCATTTTGTGAACGTTGAAAGAGGGCATTGGGGATATCTATTGCTGTAGACGTGCGGAAAAAAAAAGCATCAACGCGCAGTCCCAGGTATCCAGCAGTATCCTGACCGTGCGGAAACATGAAAGATACCATATGTAATCAGATACCATTGATGAATGTCATTACACAGCTTTATGTTCGAACAGTTTTGACTGTTTCCCGACAGCTACAAGTTGCCATCATCGGCGACGCCTCAGGCAGAGGTACAATGATGTGGATGGCAGATAACCACCACGGAAAATGGGATGGGGTGAGGATTCTAGACTACCTACGGTTACGGGAGAATACGTCTGGTCTGCGGCCATTGCCAAACACCACCGAACGCACAATCGAGAGGAAATTCTTGGTGCTTAGGACGTCCCGATTGTGCACTCTCATCCGTAGTGGTCGTCTTCCAGGAATCTCAAATGGCGTCCAGTCTTGGTTGATACATTTGGGGTTGGGGCAACCCACCAATCCATGGACGTATTCCATTCTTCCCTTTCGGGCTTGCCACGGCCGAGGTGACAGCCGGGGTCGGATGTTTTTCTTCACACGCCCGTGGCAGTCTGGGCACACGGAAGACGTTCGATACTCATCTAACAAGTAGCATGGAATGCTGTTTCTTGCAAAGAGGGTGCGGAATCTGATTTCCATGATGAGTTAGCATATTAAAATACTTAAAAAACAATGATGGTCACTCACCCCTTGGTCTTTGATGACTCCTGAAAGCGCATGGTTTTTCCAGCGTCGCTCCAATCACCCAAGATGACGGCAAAATGCTTTCCATACAGGCGTCGCATGTTCTTGATGAGCTTGCTCTCAGACTTTTGCCGCAGTGAGAACGCCTTGAATCTGCGAGCGACGTGAATCTCATCCTGGTAAAACTCATCCAGGGCGGGATCTGGGATATGGATGTCAGCCCATGTATTACCAAATTTGAAGACAAAGCATGATACATCATACCCGCATGTTCGTAATCCACAATGAACGCTGAGAACGCCTCAATGTCCATGCTCTTGTGCGACGGAATATGTGATTCCATCTCAGCGATGCCGGCATTGATCTTTCGCTCTGTCATGTCTCGTTGAAAGTACCGAGACTTTGTCTCGACCGCCCGTTGATTGGATGTGTATCTGGTATGGGGTGGTGCATTGTGAGATTACTACTGCCCTGCTGTCCCCGCTGTCCCCGCTGTCGCCGCTATCCCCGCTGCCCATCATCGGCGACGCCTCAGGCAGAGGTACAATGATGTGGATGGCAGATAACCATGCCCCTATCCCCGCTGTCGCCGCTATCCCCGCTATCCCCGCTGTCGCCGCTGTCGCCGCTGTCGCCGCCGCTATCCCCCCTGTCGCCGCCGCTGTCCCCGGTTTCCGAGTTATACAGCCCGTAGTGCAACATATGACCGTAACCATGTCTGTGTTCCATAGACGTCATCAGACACTGTGTCCGAGTGGTTAAGGAGTTTGCCTCGAAAGCAAATAGGCTTTGCCTGCAGAGGTTCGAATCCTCTCAGTGTCGATCTTTTTTCCTCTTTCTTCCATTTTGCACACCATGCGCTACAGTACCATGACCAGCGACAGGGAGACGAAGGGAATGATAAAAGGCTTTTGCATCAAACCGACGTCGCTGTCCGAATGTCCCCACGAATGGCCATTGTCCCCTTCGTGGATAGGCGTGAGCGGCTCAACATAATGGCTGGTTCCGCTATTGCGGCTACACGGACTGAATCGGATATCACGGCTGTACAAGGGACGTCAAGGCCAGTGTCTGTGTCGCTTTGTTTTTCTTTGTCTCAGTCTCGACCTAAGGGAAGCTGTGCAAGCGAACGTTCGACCAGAGGCGCGCCTCCGCCGTTCGTTGTCGCCAACAAGCAGCGCAAAGTCTGCGGATGGTCGCTTTTCTTTTTCCTTTTTTTTCATGTCAAGTGGAAACGAGAGAGGTTTCGTTGGTGAATGATCAGGCGCCTCGGCGGCAAAAAGCAATTGTTGAGACGATTCAAAAGCAAGAGGTGTCTATTCAATCCACGTCCAACGTGAGGGGACAACCTACACGATAAAGCGATCTCCACGCCGTAATGCTATGTGAATCATATGCTCCTGTACATGGGATAACTAATCGCTACATATGTGCAAAACCTATGCTACAATGGAGTCTTGGCGTGTCGGAATGTGGGAGATACACGAGGGGCATGTGAGGGCCTTTCATATGTCTTTGGTTGAGTTGCCGCTGTGGGAGGCGGATGGTCGTGATTGGGAAGATGGGGTTGAGATGGGGTTTAGGCGGTGGTGGTGGCGGTGGCGGCGGCGATCTCGTGGAGGTACTGTCGGATAGTACGGACAAATGAGTTACTATTCACAAGAATCAGCAATGCAAAAGCAATCAATCCTCAAAACTCACAGTCCCCAAAAGCTTGATCCCCTCGACATAGTTCTTGGTCGGGATGCTCTCATCGATCGAGTGGGCGCCGTCGGCGGCGGTGCCCATGGGCAGAAGCAGCACGCTGCGGTTGAGGGCTTCTTGGAAGGTGAGCGTGACGGGGATGGAGCCGCCTTCACGGGTGTAATCGGGCTTGACTTTCCAGATGCGCTCGGTAGCTTTTTCCGCGGCGACTGTGGGGGTGTAAGGAGGTTTATGTGAGTGATCACAGAGTTTCTGACGTGATGGAGGCGAGATTGTTCTTAAAGAAACATCACACCGCTTACCATAGTTGTAATGGTTGGTGTCAGCGACCCAGCACTTTCCACCGTGAGAGCAGTCAAGCTTGATCGTGTTCTTGGAACCCAACTTGGCAAACTCCTCGTCGACAAACTTCTTCACGAGCCTGTTGATCTCCTCGGGCTCCATGTTGGGCACGGACCGGATGGAGAACTTGCCAACAACCTTCGCGGGGATAACGGTCTTGCTTCCAGAGGAGTGGAACGCACCCTCGATACCGTGCAGCGACAGAGAGGGGAACCTCCAGCGGGCCATGAGAGCGTCCTTCTCCTTGTTGTGAATGGTGACTTTCGAGTCCATGGCCTCGTGCAGGTCGTTGAGGGTAAAATCCAGGCTGTCGTACAGCTTGTCTTCGTCGGCGGTGACGGCGACGACCGAGTCGTAGATGCCAGGGATGAGAATCTTGCCGTTGGGGGAAACAAGCTTGCTGAAGATGATGGCGAGGTCGGTCATGGGCTCGTGGACGGTTCCGCCAAACACGCCAGAGTGAAGGTCCTTTCCGGGACCAGAGATCTCAAGCATGTAGTAAGAGATACCGCGGAGACCGTAGGTGATGCAAGGCTTCGTTGTGCCGAGCCAGTAGTTGTCACTGATGCACACACAGTCGACATCGCCAAAGAACTCGCCCTTGGCTTCCTTGTAGATGAACTCGTCCAGACCTTCAGAGCCGGACTCCTCCATGCCCTCGAAGCACATTTTCAAGTTGACAGGGAATTCGACGCCAAGCTTCTTGTGGGCTTCGATAACCCACAGCCAACCGAGGATGGGGGCTTTGTCGTCGGTAGAACCACGCCCGTACAGCCTGCCGTCAGCGGCCTCCACCAGCGTCCATGGGTCCGTCTTCCATCCGTCCTCCTTGAACGCAGGCTGCACATCGTAGTGTCCGTACACGAGCACGGTCTTTTTCTTAGGGTCAGCACCGTACTGTCCAAGGACAATTGGGGGCAAGTCGAGGGTTTGGCCTTCTAATTCCTGTGTGCCAGGGATGTGCGTCGAGACGCTGGAAGGGAAGAGATTGAATCAGTACCACTTTCTCTGTGTCTAATAGGTTGTCTAGCAACTTACGTGGCTCCCAAGGTCTTCAGCTCGGCGACGAGCCACTGTTATTCATCCATAGAAGGAGAGTGGAAATCATGATGAGCTCCGATATACTGTAGCGACGTTAAGAAAGTTCTGCGGCTGTTTGCATCTTGACCCCCGTTCCCACCGATGGTCTTCGGCCGGTCGAGTAACTCGACAAGTGAACGGTTCCGAAATGCAACCTCTCATCGGTATGCCAGGGCTAAACCGCGGACTATCCCATCTCCAGAGTCCTCTCGTCCGGTCAACAGCCTGCCAGTGCACGGTTCCCAGCCATTCCGTCCGTGCCTCCCTTCTATAAGCCCAACCTATCCCCGGCTAGCAGCACTTGCATTGGGCTGCAGGATTTGCATACCTCGCCCATCCTAACAACATCCTTCCTCCTGGCGGCCTCTCCACTGACGGAAGGAATAGCAACGACTTCTGCAAGACGCTGAACGTAAAAGTCTTTGTTGGCGTCAACGTAGGCGAAGAGCTTGTCGAGGGACGCCAGCTGGGTTAACAGAAAGGTGTTGGGAGATCAGCAAGGGAGGTGCGGGAATTTGGTGACACTTTGCATACGCACGTCGCTCTTGAGGTCCTTTGGGACGACGGTTTGAGGGGCAGCAGACATGGTTGGCCGTTGCTGCTTTGGGTTGCAGAAGAGGGAGAGCATGAACGACGGGGGCGATGACTTTGAAGTGGCAGGGTGGAAGTTGGGCAGGGCTTTCGACGTGGCCGTGGGTGCGTTCCACTTAACAGTTATATAGACAGCAGGCGGACCCTCCACGCCCATTTGATCAGACGGCTTGACGACCGCGTTGATCAGGATGCCCTTGGGACGTCTCCACTAATCTCGCATCTCGCGAAACACAACCGTCGCACATGATGGTCAGCCATGGCTGCTATGGTCAGGTCAGGCTGGCTGCGGTCAGGCACACTCCGACCAGCTGCTGGGAGCTTTGGTGAAATGCTGGTGGAAACGGACATAACGGCCGGGAGAGCCGATATTCGCACTCACTGATGATCAAGCTTCTATTCGCACTCATACTCTGATTGTCATGTGCCCCAGTTAGGGTTAGGGTTAGGATTAGGGTTAGTATGATCGAAGGCCGTCAAGAGCGGAGCGTGTTGTTACGGTAGGTTAATTACCCACCAAGTTTATGTCGCTTATGATCGTGTCAAGTAGTGTCAAGTGGCTGAGAGTGAGTGCGAATATCGGTTCGGTTCTCATAACGGCCGGAACACATCCTTTGCGTTCTTCGTCTCCTGCCAAAATGTGCGTACAGCGGTCGACTGCCCCTTCGAGAATAATGTCCCTCTCTCCGCTATCACACCACTTTGACGTTCTCCAAAAATACCAACTTAGACACAACGTTTATGACTCTTGTAGCTGCACGACCCTGGATTCCCCTAAGCCGTATTCGTAGCACTACAGGCTTTTCCTCCGCCTCGACATGGGACGACCTCTCCTGCGTCGCTCTGAAAGCGCATTGCATCCTCACAGACGACGTAAAAGACGTTGTTCCTGTCGAATTCCTGCCCCAGCGATAAGGGTAAGAAGATTTGGCTATCACATTGTTTTCTGAGGAGAACAGGCCTCACATAACCTCTGACGTGTTTCTGAACCTGGTGTAGAAATCGAGTTTGCACTCCCATTGTTTTCGAATTGGGCCGATCCGAGATTAGGGACGTCGAAAAGCATAGACAACATGATAGAATGGTAGCGTCCCTGTACCGCGCACTCTCCCATGTCCTAGCTTCCTCGTCGGTGGAGAACGTGGGCTCTGAGGAATCAAAAGAGAGCGACACTCAGGACAAAGATGAGGCTGCCGTAGCGACTTTTTTACAGCACTATTTGGACTTCACGATCTCAGATTTTCAGCTCGCTGGGACGCTGGATAATACGCCGATGGCAATTTTGGTTAGGTGAGAGAGTAGTTAATATAGTACATGGTTAATAGGTTCAAAGGCGTCTGCGCTAAAATCACCTGAGTACTTGCAGATCTGTCCCATTCGCCAAGGGGGTTTGGTTACAGGGGGCTCTAATACCATGTAAAACAGACGGGTCTGTGGCCGTCGCCATCGCTAGTGGAAAGAGATCCACTACCACCCGCACGCAATTTCCAATTGCTCTTGAGTGCAGGCGGCTTCTTTACAGGAAACCGGCCTCTAACATTGTTTGTTGCTCAGAGGGCCGCCGAACTGATTTCCATTGGACAACATGCCCGAGAACAGAAACCGCATGCAGATCCGGAGGTAACGTTGGCTAGAAGTTCCTTTTGCCGGAAGGCCAAATGCTGATTCTCGTGCATCGCACACAGAGTCTTGGAATCGTACTTCACTGCCGCCATGCGCAAATTATCTCAGCGGTATTTTCCGCGGGCTACCTGGAAAAGCTCGATACCTGGAATGATTTGGCGGAAAATGATTTTTTGCTTATCAAAGCGACCAAACCGTATGATATGGGAAAGGGCGAACATAGGAAAAACTTTACGATCGCCGTTATTGGGCTGATAAAGTATTTCGGATCGGGTACGCACGTATCGGCAGGTTGGATGAGCTACAGTCCGCCTAGTGGAATTTCGAAATTGAAGTGGTGGGCGTGCCGTATCTCGATTCTATGAACGCCCCCCTCAGGCCCGTGCGGAAAACCTGCATAGGGGAGGCAGAGGAGGGGAGAGACACGGACACTCTAACGGGACTGGATCTGGAGCAGTGTTGTCTGACTTCGGACCGCACTGGACCGTCTCTTGGTCTCACAAGCGGAAGCACAGCAGACCCTTCCGCAGTGGCATCTAGATCCCACCTACCATCGTAACCATTTCGTCTCTTCCGAACACACAGCGGTGGAAGACCCCAACCACAGCGACGGAAGGTCTTCCACCGCTGTGTTTGGGAGAGACGATGTGCTATTGGACGTGCGACGAAACTATAGCGGGGTTTTCACGCATTCTGAGAGGCGAACGTCGTTGAATCTGCTTGGGGCGAAGGATTTACTGACGTCGCGGACGCAGAGAGAAAGACTCGGAAACGGTCGCGGAATCACTGAGGAGATGACTGCTGAGGTGTCTGACCGAAGAGCGGAACCAGTACGGCGGCCGTCGGTCTCACGCACAAGCATATTCGAAACCACTCAGCACGCAAGACCCATTCAAGAAGGGCACTCCAGAACACTTAGAGCAGGAATCCACTGGCCATCAATCGGCAAGGAGCGCTGCTGTGCCGGAGGCTAGGAAGTGCTCTCGCAATGATCTCGATCCTTTTAACGGCGACCGGATGGGACAGTTCTGCTGCGCGAGACAACAATGGAGGTAGAATGCACGGAAGCATCTGCCAGCATTCTAGATCGCATTTTCGCAACTATGCTCCACATTGCGCCCTTTCCAACCACGGTCAGCAACATCATTCACCTCAGGCTTTGTTGAGGTTGGCTTCGCTGAGGTTGGCTATCAACAATGAGGTGAGCGCCAGCGCCCACGTGCTCTTCAATTTTAGCATCCCCACGCCAATCAGTAGGGTAGACGGACTAAACAGCAACAGTGGGAACGCTTGCCGCATGCGCAAACATTATGCGGGAGGGCCCGGTTTACAGGTGGTCAGTACCAGGTGTCTCCATGGGCCCCGCTCTCAGCCTTTCTCCTGCAACCCCCTCCCCCCCCTCTTTTCAAAGCAAAAGCGTTGCCAATCCCACACCACAGTGAGAATCGCAATGAAAAATAATGAGAGGTGAACACTATGTACTCCGACCTTTCAGATCGGAGTGTGTCACTTAGTGACTAATGCGTCTACTTGTTCTACACCGTGCCTCCTCTATACCATGCGGGAAACCTCCTCCAAAATAAAGGTCGGGCGCAGGCTAGGGCTAAGATAAAGCATGAACCCATATGAGTAATTATAAAAAGTATTGCTGGAGTCAAGGTCGTCACGACCATTCGTCGGAGGACCATTCGGGGTGCTTCGTCGCGGGGAAGGGGAGTGGAGATCGGTGGCGGCCCGGGGAGGGAGTCTGAGCCGAAGGCGGTGACAGATGGATAAGCAAGGACAAGCGGAGGCACACAGGAATTTTGAGACACCTCACCATTTGTGACATATGGAGCTGGAGCTGAGTCCTCCTTCATGAACCGGCCGTATCACCTTCCGCTTCCTGTTGTCCTTTCGAAATCTTCTTTTTGTGATCCCCGCTTTGGCAAAGATAGCTCCCCCATTCTAGCGGGGATATCCACCTTGGAACAGTAGGCGCCGCAGGAGCGGGTGAGCAGGGTCTTCACCGGCGCCCAGCTTATGAAGTCCCTGACTATGCTCCTTCACAAACTTTTCTAAGGACCGCAGGTTCTTCTTGTCACTAAGATCTTCGTCTGTGATCCCTGCGTTCGCAAAGACGGCTTTCCAATCCAGCGGGATGCGTTTGGATTTGATTGGGTCATCCATTTCCTGCCGAATGTTTGGGGGACGCTTCATTCAACAGTGTCCCTCCATGGAAGAACATCAAATCGATAACGTACGGTGTCTTCGCCGTCGTAGCCTAGACCGCTTGCCTCGCTCGCTAGGAATCTCTGTCGTGAGATTGTAGGTCCTGCACCTTCCGTGTTTTCAATGATATGCATGAGTTCCTTCCCCGTTTTGAACTCAACCTTAAACTGTTTTGCGCGGGGGGACTCAACGTAGTCATAGTCCTAAGGAGAGCGAACGGAGTGCTGAACCCTGGTACCCGTGACAAGAGACCATCGACGTCCTCAAAGTCTTCAAGCGGGGTTTTGCGAGAACGCGACACGTCATCCCGTAAGCAAACACTCGCTGGCGTTCGACGTGTGCTGGGCATAAAACGGCCGCTGCTCGACATGTATGTAACTTCCGACGCAATTTACAATCTCCCCACGACACAAAACACACAGCATCACCGCAAGGGTCATCCCGTCTCCGCCCACAATGACTTCCTACTTCCGTAAGTGATCCGGTTCCATCCCACGCAGCTTACACTCGTCGTTTCATTTCACTTATCTTCCTTATTCCATTCCCACCAACAGAGGACCACAATCTCCCGGACCCCTCCCGTCGGCGTCCGGCGCCTTCCTCCACAAATGGCAACTCCAGTAACAACCACATAGACGCCTTCATGTCCGACTCGAGGGATAACAACGAGCAGATGGAACAGATGGAGCAGATGTTGGCCGTCGCGTCCTTGTTTGGGACACTAAGGGACCGACATGACGACGAGAGGCAGCAGACGTTGTTGGATGGGCTGATTTCCCAGTTGTTGGATGAGGCCAATGCTAGGTACGGCTTGGGGAGAGTGGAACTGAGCCCAGTGCGCTACAGCGAGCGCGAGGAAACCGAGCCCACCGTCGGAAGCGAGTCCCCGCGCCACAGGCACAGCTTTCGCGAGATACAGCGAGTATCATGGTTGTTGGCTAGCAAAGCGAGCCCCAGTCGTTTCTTTGGGCGGTAGCCAACATCCTTGTCGCCGCGAAAGGAGCGAGCAGGGAATCGTTCAGCCTCAGCCGTGGAACTCGCTTCACCCAATGAGAGGAACCGACTGACACTTCCCCTCAAATCCATAGCGCAAAAGGCCCACCACCAGCGTCGAAAGAGTTCATCCGAAAAATGCCTGTGGTGGACATGACCTCCGCCACGGGTCTGAAAGACAGTGAGAAAACATGTTCGATCTGCGTCGAAAAATTCACATCCGACTCCACGACAGAACCACCACCATCAACCACATCCACAACTCCTGCCACACCACTGAATACACCCCGCCGCCTCCCCTGCACGCACATCTTCCACACTCTCTGCATTACACCCTGGCTTGAGCTCCACAATACGTGTCCCGTCTGCAGGCACGAGCTGCCTACTGACGATGTCGAGTATGAGAAGCAGAAGCGGGCGGCTGCTAATGCCGCTGCGGGAGTGGTTGAGGAAGCGGAGGAGGAGGAGGAGGAGGACTTTGATATGATGTATGGGTGAAATGGCGGTGCGCCTGCGGTGCGAGATCGAATCGACCGCTTTTTCTGGACCCACCGTGGTGGGTTTCGCGGCGTAGCGATATGCTCCCATCACCCACCATCCGATTTCATCAGTCAGCGCTTCTTCAAAGATCTATCGTCGAAGAATAGACCAGAGTAGACCCCGAATATCACGAAATATACGAATACGTCCTCTTAGCTCAGTCCTTTGGCCTAAGTCTCAGTCCTAGCAGCTGCATGGGAAGGTGTGAGTCAATTCACTGCGAAGGCGATGTTCAGACACTGTTAAGAAGCACGCGTTAGTCACACGCAGCGGCCCCTTGCCAGAATCCCCAGCGCAAACTTGCAAGCGGAGTTCGTGGTACGCCTCTTGGCAAAGTCCTACTATTCTATCCATACTGTACCTCATCCGCAACGAGAGCAGATACCCTCGCTGCACACTCGCTCCCACTCGGCAATAGTGTCTGTGACAAAATCGATATCCGAGTCATAACCGAAAGGGCTTGGAGGCGAGCGACAGCGGAAGGAACCCCATCAACCAGGTGTTAACTCGACTCAGCTTGCCGCCGTGGAGTGCAGGGAGAACGACAAAGCGGACTTTATTTTTGCTCTATGGGGCGGTGGCCCACTAGTCAGTTTCGCTTGCCTTCTTGCAAAGCTGGTCTTTGAGCAAGGAGCTTCTTTCTGAATTTGCGGGCCACGGGACTGGCCGGAAGTGTGAAATTGGAAGGACGTTGAACGAGTTGACTGAAAGGGTCAAAACGGGGGTCCCACCCATATTTCAACCATGGATTTCTGGAACGCAACACTCTCTGTCTTCCGAGGTCCCTCAGAACCATCACACTCCAACCCAAACTCATCACCAGCCTCACCCGTCATCCCTCAAAAGCGCCCGGGCCACGTCAAAGTAATCAATGGTTATGACACACCAACAACAGGGACCCCACATCGGCCCCAAACACCAAATGGATACCCACAAACTCCCAATGGATACCCAGCGGCCGAGAATCTGGTTAATTCGCCGTTCTTCAGCGCACCGCCAGGTGTAGTCGACCCCGACGGAGGTGGGCGAGGGAATCAACAGACCATCGATGGTATCGCCAATGCAGAAACAAAACACACCTTGCTACCCCTCCAACTCGTCCCTGGCGACACAATCACCTGCCTCACCGTCCAATCCGACTCTGTATTCATCGGCCTCTCCAGCGGTGACATCCTCGAATACACACTGGTGGCCGACCAATGGACCCACAGCCGCACCTTCGATTTCCCGCGCGAGCGCCCCGAACCAACTTCCAACCCCGCCGACTCGTCCGCTATCACCTCCGCGTCGGCGCTTGCGCTGACACATCGCCGGCTGTATGTCGGGTACATGGATGGGTGTATCACCATCTTCAACCGGATGAGCGGCACGCCCATCAGGTCGATTGCCGCGGCGCACATGGGGCCTGTCACGGCGTTATGCTGTTATTCAGCGGCGATGGCTACTGCCGCTGCCGCTGCCTCTGCGAATTCCGGTGGAACGGGCAATGACCCCAGCTCGGCATCGCTGTTTTCGGGAGGGAAGGATGGAGTTTTGAATGAGTGGGATGCGAAATCGTTACGAAAGAAATCGATGTTGCAGGGGCATGATGCGCAGATTGAGGGGGTTGTTGCGGGTGGAGGGAGAGTTTATTCGGGGGCGGCGGATAAGAAGGTTAAGGGGTGGGATATCTCCTCAGGTGCGTCATTTGGTCGGGGGTTGCTTATCCGCCGGTCGCCGAGGTGCAAGTCGATCACTTGTCTAACCACTATAGTTTCCCCCCCCCCCCCCCCCCACAACAGGCCGCTGCTTAGCTGACTTCGGCAACGTCTGCCTCACCCCCGTCGTCTCCGTCGCCCTCGGGCGCGACCTTCTCTACCTCGCCACCTCCGACGGCCTCATCCAAGTCGTCGACACATCGTCCGGTCAAACCCTCCGCACTCTCCAAAGCCCCACCGGCGCGCACGGCCTCATCCGCGCCCTCTGCCTCGCCAACGGGAAGTTGTACTGCGCGGCGGATGATGGGAGTGTCGAGGAATGGGATGTTAAGAAGGCTGCTGTGGTTAGGGGGTGGAAAGTACCTGCCGGATGCGTCGGGATTGCGGGAGCGGCGGATGGGAAGGTTGTTGTGGCCTGTCATGAGGCCGTTGCTATATTACGCCATGACACGGTCAAAAACGACCGGACGAGACCTCAGTCGTTGTTTGTAGGTGCTGCCGCGGGTGTGATGGAGTACGCCGGCAACATCCCACCTACACCGCCGTTATCCACCCCGACACGGTACGAGCATGCCGAGATTCGCCCGGGGGATAGTATATCTAACGGCCCGTATGATTCCCCCCACCGCGGGACTGAGTATCCCCACCACCGAGACGAAAACCAGGAATCGGCAACAGTAACAAAATTAAAACACCAACTGCATCGTCTAACCACCCAACTCGCTACCGCCCAACATGCCTCCCAACAATCCCACTCTCAACTCACCTCCCTCCAACGCGAACACGCCTCCCTCCTCTCCACCCTCACCCACCTCCGCACGCGCGCCGAAGACGCCGAAGACGAACTCCTCGCGGCAAAAGACCTCCTCATCTCCTACAAAGAAGAGCTGGAACTCACCCAACTCGCGCACGAAACAGCATTCAGTTATCTGAAACAATCCGCCAACAGGACCTGGTTCGACTGCGAACGCGAGATCAGGGGACTCAAAGAGATGATTGATAACCCGCCGACGCCGCTGGTTGTGCACGAGGATCTGAGTGCCTTCTTACCCGGCAGGAAGGTGGGGAGGTGTTGGGATCGGGACAGTGAGTGGGATTCGGATGTGGATGATGAGATGAGTGAGGCGGCGCCGGGGGATGATGATGATGATGATGATGAGGGGGGTGGGGCCGTGTGGGAGAAACAGCAGGAGAGGGTGACGCGTACGCCGTGGTGGAGGGATCTGCCGGGGGGGAGTAACAGTGTGGGGGTTGTGAAGGAAGTGGGGCAGTTGAAGTGGTACAGGGAGAGGGCTGCGAGTGCTGCTGAGCCTGTACTGCCGGTGGATGAAGGCAGCGCCGGCGATGATGATCAGTCTTCTGAGGATTCTGATGCCGGCTCGGATGGGGATGACGACGCCGACGAGATGGGTGAAGACGGTGGAAGTGACGCGGAACACGCAGAGGACGCACTGACGACAGCCACAGCGAGGGTAAAAGCACACCGCCCCGTAACAGTAAAATCAACCCACCGGCTCCCCGACGGCGGGGTCGTCGTCAACACATTCAGCCCCACCCTCCCCCATCGCCGTTCAGCATTAAGTCGCGGAGCGACGGTCGTCGGACTCCCCATCCCTGACGTCCACTCCAACGTCAATGGGAACCCGACCCACGCACGCCCACCCGTCCGCAGAAACACGACCACCTCACACCTTGCACACGGAGGCGGTGCAGGCGTGAATCCAGGCGGGATGAGCAAAACGCTCCACCGCGCCTCCTCATGGTTCAAGCCCATCCAATCATGGGTCGAAACAATCGGCGAAGTCATCGCCCCAACCCCATCCCCCGACGACCAGTCCCAGGGCAGGCGAACCTCCGTGATTGACGGTGGGAGCGGGAGTCTGAGGAGGATGCCGCAGCCGCTGTTGCAGAATCGGGCGCGCGCAAATTCAGCGGTGGCGGTGCCGAGACCCTACATTGTCGATACGGCCTTATCACACCCTCCACCATCTCCACCGGCGAACCCACAACCGCACCAGCTGCCACACCCGCTTCCACGCACGTATTCCGCAGTGTCGGTTGCGTCTTCGAAGGCGAGTAGTGGGGCCACGCCTGGCGAGGAGGGCAAACGGCAGGGAGGGAAGAAGATCAGGGTTAGGCGGTGTGATGTGTATCAGTTTGATGAGGCGGTGGGACACGCGGACGGGGCTGCCAAGGGAGACGCCGCCACGGCACCGGAACCGCTTGGGGATTCAAAAGACCGGTCCGGCGCGCCAACGCATGACTCGAGAGAAACACGCACCGACACATCCCCGCCGCAGCCTGTATCACCCCCCGGGACGACACCGATCCCATCGACCCCACCCCGCGAATCCAACGCAGACAACGGGGACCCGAAACCGGAAGATGATTTTGGAGAGTTTGAAAGCCCGGTTGTGGATTCGCCGCCCCCCCGGCGTGCAGAAACAGATGCCGCGACCGAGTGAGATGTCCGGCCCCCCGCACCTCGCAATACCCTCAATGGGACCTCATACACGTGTACTATTCTTCCCAACTGGACCTCTTGTGATGCCCCGTTCTAGGTTAGGCGCCATTGTTTTTTTTTGATGGGCCTGTACTGTATTTTGGAATATGATTTTGGTTTTGGGGATTTTGAACGCGGAGTTTGAAAAACGCGTCAAGCCCGAACGCAAAAGACATGGGTGCAATCGAACAAGTGTGTTTTCCCCGACGGGTGGCTCTGGAGCAGCCCACATAGTTACGAAACCCATACATCCCCTTATCCCTCATCCATCCACTTGCCTCGAAATCCCATGTGGACTGTATGTACTTACAGCACATGCGTTGGGACAGGAGAGGTTGAACGCGTGAGTAAGCAAAAGTGACGGGTTGGGCAACCGCGGCTCTCTTCTCTGATCTGACGGTCGCCAGATAGGTAAAAAGCTCGCCATCCATGAACTTCCCCGGACACGGACCACGGTAGGGTAATTGCATGGAGGGCAGGTGTGAGGTAAGCTTGGACCAGCGACACGCATCGCACTACTATGCATGCAGCTGAACTTGATTCGTGCATGGTCATCGTGGTGTGAAACCCCAAAGGGTCGAGAGGGATAGGCGAGGAGGTGACCTTTGACGTGGGTGTATGGGTGAATGGGAAAATCCACAAGTGTGGAACCGATGCGGGCTGTGAAGATAGGAACGAACAAGGGCGCTGGCCTGCTGCCGGAAGGCCCCAAGTTCCAGCTTGATTTTGCATGGGAAAGTCCGCCATATTGGCAATGGCGAACTCTTCTCCTACCTTCTCCCATTACCACACACCGGCCCCGGAACATAACCCCCTTTCCTACCTCCACATGGCCCGGAATAGACGGGCATTCTGGGCCAGAGCGCATTTGTCACTTGGGTTACGCTTGAGCTGGAAGTTTGAAGTTGAACTTGGGACCTAACAAGCTCTTTTCATATATTACAGGTATACATGAACTTCCCTCGCCTTCTCACTTTCTATCAGACCCCACAGCTTCGACTCGTCACCGGGGTGTCCATAAAGGTTCTCGCCGACAGCATAGCCAGCCCCTGCATAGCAAGGTAGATATCTCAGACTCCAAACGGCATTGTCTAGCTGCGTTGAGCAGCTGGCGGCCCGCACCCTGATCAGAAACGCTGTCGGGGCATATTCAGGTTTGTCCTTGTCGGAGACACCACCTTCCACTTTGACAGAATCAGACGCACCGAACCTCCTCGGCGGAGTCTCGTCGAAAAGCGGGTTCAACGCAGGGGGCAGAAGCTCCAGCACCCGCGTACGGCTAGAGTTTCGCCGCATGTTCTGACTGCCGTTCCTGAAACAACACATTCCGCCTCCTGACCAATCCCACCCTTCCCGCCCCACGCACAACCTCCCCCCACATGTCCTTGGTATTCTCTCCGAACGCCTCCGCCAACCACGCATCGCACGCCCCCACCGCGTCGTCCCGGTACACCCGCTGCGCTATTCGCTCGACCATCCACAGCGGGGACGGCATGACTGCGCGGTCGATTTCGACGATGTCTCCTGGAGGCGCATGGAGGACGGCGCGGTGCGTGCCTATGGATCTCGGCAGTGGGGCGGCTGGGTTTGGGCGTTTGGAGAGGAAGGTTTCGGTGGCGGTGGCCGTGGAAAGTAGGACGGGGAGGAGATCTTGTAGGAGGGGACGGAGCCAGAGGGATAGGGTGTCGGGAAGGGGCTAATAAGCCCGGGGGTTGGAGCGAGATGATAGATTGTGAGAATACACTCCTTCGAAAGAGGGTCTGCGCCAACGCAGGAACGTGGAAAGTCGAGAGGGGACAAAGGGGGCCTTATTCGCCTCTCCTTACCTCGTCGCCCAAAGCCGCCCCCGCACGTTCGCACCCACGCAGCCCTGACCAGTCACTGACCCCGCCCATCCGTTCGACCCACTCAAACACCAGCGGTGCCGTCTGGCGCATCACCGTGCCAGGGACAGGGTCCCGGGCCAGGTGCGCATACAATGGTCCGTACAATGCGAAATCGGCGAGGCACGGCGCGCTCCCGAGCAGGTAGGCGTGCTTCTCAAAGTGCTGCGAGAGCTGACGCAGCAGATGGTGGTACTGCTGATCTAGGATGTACCCGCTGGCGGCCGTGATCCCGAGAGAGGGGAGCATGCGCTGGAAATGCTTACCGGACTGAAGAGAAAGGGAGGGTGAGAAGGCGATTGTCAAGGAGCCCCAAAAGCCGGGACTCCGCGGAGCCGCCGAGGGCAGCCGAATGTGTTATGGAAAACAACCCGTTCTCTGTCGCTCACAGGGAACAAAGAAAGACGACAGTCCCCTGCCGTTCAAAGGGATTGGGCCTGCGGCGGGGAACTCGCTTCGCTCGCGAAGGCGCTTGCGATGGTCGCGCTGGCTAATGCTCGGGTTTCCATCGCAAACCAAAGGCGCCTCACTAACGCTCGGCTCTAACCGCAAACCGACGCCGTCGCGATCGCTGTCGCTCAAGCATGAACTCACTTTCTTTCCTACATCAATCGCCGCATCCTCCGTACCCGGTTCTGCAAACATCCCACTCCCAAACTGCGTCCAAACCCATTTCTCCTGAGCAGCGAAATGCGGCGCGCCCCACCTCCACTGCATAGCAATCAAAATAAGCCACTCATCCGCAACGAGTTCAACCAGCATAGCGGCGAAGCGCGCGAGCGGCGACGGTGGCAGGACAGGGTTGCTCGGGTACCGCGCCTCAAAGTAGTCGATGATGTCCTTGGTGTCCTGGATGGCTGGCGAGCCGTGCTGCTTGGCCTCTTCGTCGGGAAGGAGCACGATGGGGATGTAGGAGACGCCTGTTAGGGGGACGATGACGTCTCTGTAGACATCTGCGCTCGCGACGACTGCCGGGGATGTGAAGTGACGCATACGGGATCCCCGTTAGCGGACTGCATTCCAAATACAACCGGCAGAGGGAGAGGGCCTACTGGGCTCGAACGGGATCTGTTTCCAGCGCATATATGCCTTCGCTCTGGACGAGATGAGTGGGAAAAGCGCGTCAGCACGGACTTTTGCGCTGCAAGTGAATGCAGACCTACTGTACTTTGCGGTGAAGAAGCTCATCTCGACGCCAATGAGCTTGTAGGGGGCGCGTGTGCGGCAGTACTTTGCAGCGGCGAGTGAGGAGCTCATGTCGGCGGGCTTGTCTTGCGGCGATTGGGAAAGCATGTTGATCCTACTCGATCCGGTCCTTTCGGGGCGCGACTGCGGAGACTGCGGGCGAGGATGATGCAGGCGAGACCGTGGAAGTTGGCACGAGTATGTGGTTGTGAGCGCCGAGCCCTCAGATTCTACGCCGCCTTCACTTCTCCCACGTCCAGGTCCCGCCCCATTTGCCGAACCCGCCAGCATCCTCGTCGTAAACGAGATCCTAACAAACTCTAGAAAAAGGAAGAAAGAAAGCGGGAGCCATTCGGCATTATTCCTCACAAAATTCCCCATCCCCAAAAACCCCATCCTACAACCAATGAGCAGCACACACATTAACGCACCGGTACCAACGCCCTCAGATCCCTGCACTCTGACCAACGCCATGGAAATCGACGACGCCCCCGCACCCGCATCCTCCAGCAACCCCCCAACCCCCCATCAGTCCACAGTCACCGACGCCGCACCAGTCACCCATCCACAGCGGTCCAACGAAGCCGAACCAGCAGTAAAGGAGAAAGAGGAAGAAGCGTCGTCAGAGTCGAGCTCGTCCTCGTCGGATGAGACTGGCGCGGACGCGATGTTGGGCAGGCAGGACAAGGAGACGCTGCGGAAGGACCGGAGTTTGGCCGAGTTGTTAACCATGATGGATGAGTACAAGCCTATCGTGCGTGGTTCCCCGCTTCCCCAAGGCCATCTGTTCTCCTCTCGCAGAACCCCCCTTAATCAAACGCCCCCATAAACAGCTGCCCGACTCCGTCACCGACTACTACACAACGCGCTCCGGCTTCGAATGCCCAGATGCCCGCGTCAAGCGACTCCTTGCCCTCGCCGCGCAAAAGTTCGTATCAGACATCGCCGTCGACGCCCTGCAGTACTCGCGCATCCGATCCCAGCAGCCCCTGCCAAAGGACCGGAGGAGCGTCGTGAAGGATAAGAGGACGGTGCTGACCGTCGATGATTTGTCGGCGGCGTTGGCGGATCATGGGGTGAATATCAGGAAACCGGAGTATTATTTGTAGATGGACTGTGACGACGCAAAACTGAGCGAGTGCGTGGGCCTGACTAACTGCGGACCCAGCCAAAAGCCAAACATGTTCTCACACATCGTAACGATCCTCCATGAAGCCTTTCACATCAAACAAAACAAACAGAATGGACTATTTGAGCATTTTACACCATCTACGAGGCCAGTGAAACAAAGTGAGAGTGGTGGGGGGGGGGGGGGGCATGAACTATGATTCATATGTGTGTGCGTGTGAGAGAGTGAGAGAAGTATTATCTAAAAATGTCTATGAGGGCTACTAAAATGTAAATGTAAGCGATATTACGCCGCGTGTGAGACGAAACAAAAAGGGAAATAAATCATTGATCGGACATAGCCAACGCAAAACTAACAACGTCCGCCAACCCTTCCTCCCCATCCCCCATCAAACTCCCCTCAATCGCATTCACGAAATCTTCATGTAACGAGTACGCGTTCTTCCTATCCTGTGTACGTGCGCGGGTGGGGGTGGGTCGGCGGAAGGGTGGGTTTTGTGCCGTGGTTGAGGATGTGGGGGATGTCGGAGATGTGGGGATATATGGAGCGGTGTTGGGCGGTGGCGGGGCGGGTCTGTTTGGGCGTTTGGTGGGAACTGCGTAGGGTGGGGATGTGTAGCCCCTCTCATACGCGGCAGGTGTCACGGTCGTCGCTGGGGGAGAATAGACAGGTTCGGGCGACCTCCTCGCGTGACTCGCTAAAGTCGACCGACTACTTGCATGTCTTAACGTGGCGGTGGATTCGAGTGCGCGGGCGATGTTGCGGCGCCAGTGGTCGGTTGCTGATACGGTGTCGCTGATACTCTCCGCCTCTGTTTTCTGTCCGTTTCGCGCGGGTGAGGCGGGGGGTGTATGCGGCGGGGTGAGGATATGCGCTGGGCGTGCTATGAATTTATTCACCGTGTTGGTCGGGCGGTTCAGGGATGATGAGGCTGTCGAGGACGGTGTGGTTCCCGAGGACGTGCTAGATGATGAGGCGTTGGGCAGCGCGTAGACTTTCGTCGCATGTTGCGGGGTGGTGGAAGAGTTGAGGAGACGAAGGGAGGGCATGGAGGGGCGGACGGACAATGTATTGTGTTGTGGGGCGATCCGGGCCTGGGACATGCCGGACATCGATAAACTGCGGTCGAGCGTGCTTGTGGAGCCGGAGGAAGAGGTGTGGGTCGCTAAACTGGTTTTAGAGGAGATGCGGTCCGCGAACTCTGCGAAATCCATGTTGGAGATCACAAGGTCGTGGTAAAGGCTGTCGAAGGAGACAGGGACGGTGAGGGAGGGTGCTGCGGATTCGTTACGGATGCTGCCGTCTGGAGAGCGTTGAGCCGACTGCGTAGTTGATTGCACGTCGTAGCGGTCCGCGGCTGTGGGAGTTACCAGTGTGGGAAGACTAGACGCAGTGGAAGCCGGGGCAGAAGCGAGCGGGGCGCGCGGGGACGACGCCGTGAGCGGTTCCGGTGTACCGCGGGACGTGAGCGCCGATAAGGGTGTAGACTCGTCGTCATCGGGGTTGATAAAGACCATCCCGCTCCGCTTCGTGCTCAGCTTCAGTGCTGGCGCAGCCGGTTGATCGGCGAATCGGCTGGTGCCCACCGCGTTGACCGAGACAGTGTCCTCATCCATGGTGTAGTTGGAGGCCGGCGCAGCGACAGCGACGGGAATCTGCACATCCCGCAGCCCATTAAACGAAAGCGGGGTCTCGGTCCGCGCCGGCGCCGACGGAATCTCAACCCTGTCCTCTTCAACAACAGCCTTCTGCACCGACTGCTCCTCCACATCCGCTTCACTGTCAAGCGACGCCAGCGTCAGCGCTTCAGAGGAGGCGTCAGAGTACATGGACGCAGCGTCGTCATCGACCGCGCGGGTTTTGAGTGTGTCGAGGACGGCGCCGTCGGTTGCGACGAGAGTTTCGGCGCTGGAGGAGACGATATGGTCTTCGGGGAGGGGGATGGAGCGGGCGAGTTCTTCGATGTTGACTGATGCCTCCGGGATATTGGAAGCTCCTCCCGAAGCAGGATCGACATTTTTAGACGGCACGACAACATCACCAGGTCCACTATCTTCCTTCCCTTCTTTCCTCTCACTCGCATCCTCCTCTCCAACCCTCCGTTCATCCCTCGAAAAACCCCTCTGATGCCTAAATATGCTCTTCTTCTCGGTAGTAGTCGGTGACGAATCGCTGTTGGCAAAACTGTCAATGGATGGCTGTGATCGGAGACGGACGCTTTGGGCGAGACTGTCGACGGAGGCGTGGGTCCGGAGGATGTGCGAGGGGGTGGCCATGCCGGAGACGCTTACTCGTGGTTTGCCCTGAGAAGAAGTGACGGATGTGAGTCGAAAGAGACATGCAAATTGGGGTTGGAAGGTTGTGAGATTCAACATACCGTGCCGATATTGATCATAGGCACCCTCGACGGTCCAGAAGCACCACTACTCGTCCCAACCAACCCCTCCCGCTCATCACCATCTACAGCCTTCCCCTTCCCCTTTCCCCCCTCCAACGGCACCGCACGCTGACTCTCCAAAACAGTCGGCAACGTCGTCTTACTCTTCGTGTCCTTCTTAGTCAACCACGATGGTAAACATGACGCAAAAAAGCTGCGCTTCTTTTTCAGGGTCTTTGGCTCGGTGGTGGCGGGTGCGCGAGGGGTGGAAGCGAAGAAGTTGCGGGATATGCTATTCTTCAGAGTTTTTGGCTCGGTGGTGGTGGCTGCGCGAGGGGTGGACTGAGGGGTTGAGGAGGTTGGCGGTCGGGTTTGAGTGGGCGAAATGAGCCCCGTTGGTGAGGTCGCCTTCGGGATTGTAGTTGGGGGTGTGCGTTGTGGTACCGATCGCTGGGGTGGGGAAGCAATCCCCCTGGATACTGAAACTGGAGCTGCTTGTACCGGCTTCGTGACTGGGAGAGAATCACTTCTGGCGGCGTTGGGAGTGGCCTCGAGATCGATGTCTGCAGCTACAAGGACAGGTTCCTCGGTTGTCTCCTGAATGTTCTGTGCGGAAGCATCCCCAGCGTTCTCGGAGCTGACTCCTAGAGGCATGGCCGCAGGGGTCGGGGCCTCTAAAACCGGAGTTACAATCTCATGAACAGGTATAGGCGGTGTGCTACCTTCACTGTAAAGCTCCGAATGCTCAATCGAGATGTCTGGTGTAACCTGTAGGAACTCCTCATTCGCCTCTCCAGCAGGAACCGCCTCAAAATGACCCTCTGGACTATGCTCGTGCGTCACGCCTGCGAGAACCGTATGAACAACAATCGGTTGCGCAACCTTCGCCACGGTCGCCGGCGACTCCTCCTCATTCACAACGTCGGGGTTATCTTCCGCTGCCTGCTCCAACCCATTCCTGAACGCATTGCGGATATCAAACGTCAGCTTCTCGACGCTCTTGCTCATTCCCTTGTTCAGCGTTGCACGGGACTCTCCCGATTCGACGGATTCGAGGGAGTCTCGTGGGGAATTGTCCTCGTTGGGTAAATCTTCGACTATATCGGACGGTGGGGCGCTTATTGTAGAGGTGTCTGTGGGGAGGGAGACTGAGTCGCTGGGGTTGTCGTCCGAGTAGTGCGATCGGGTGTCTAAATCGGCTTCTTCCAGTAAGGGTGCTGGTTGTGATACTCCTAATTCGGCGGTTTGGGGAATGAGCTGCCCCAGCGGTACATCGTCGTCCTCGTCTTCGGAGGAAGAGGAGGTTGGTGACGAGTGTTGTGCGACTTCCACAAGGGTATCCTCTGAACTACCGACCCCTCCCAATTTCTGGAGCCTCTCCTCGCTATGCACATTGCGGAGTGATTGGACAGATCGCAAACTCCTCGTACGGGTGGGAATCGCAAAATGAGGAGGACGTGGAGGCAGGTCTTTTAACTCCTCCTCAATTGCAGCAGCACTTGCAGCCTCCCCGGCCAGCGGAGTGAACGTCGACATGTCTCCAGCCTCAAATCCACCTGAAGTTTTGTAGTTGGGGAAGATATCCTCCCGTTCCGTCTTCTTTCCTGGGAAGTGACCGTAGCTTCTGCCTGTACAGCGAGTAAGTATAAGCTAGTGTTATGAGTGCCCTGTATTGGCTTGAGAGAGAGTCCTCACCTCCAGTCCGTGATAGCACTTTTCCCGAGTGGATTTTCCCACGCCTGCAGCCTTGGTGCGAAGTGGGGCGTAGGAAAATGATGAAAAAGAGCCGAGATCGGCGCGCGGGGATTTCCGCTCGGTGCCTGATTCAAGTGATTAGCGTCTTGCGTCATGCGTTTGGCAGGTTTAAACTCAGAGCCCATTTAGAAACAGAGGGGCTCGCATCCACAGGAGCTTGCTCAAACATCGCTAGGCTTACTGTATATCCCCTGGTAACTTCCTATTTAACCACCGCGTGGAAAGGCTTAGCCAATGCGGGCGGGGGTTAGGGGTAGGGTTAGCATGGGCGCCGATCTTCTTGCTGCGGGGGCCTCTCTCTCTCGCTCTCCACGATCTTGTGCGCGTGCAGGCAGGGGCTTGGCTCGGCGGTTTTGGCATTCGTGGTTCGTGTCCGTCTGTCTGCGTCTTGCCGCTGTCCAACCAACCAACCCCCTCTCCAGTCCGGCGACTGTCTGACTGCGACGGAGAACATTGACCGCCCCCACCACTCTCACAAACAAACTCTCTCCCAGGTACTGTACGTAGAAAGAACAGGAAGAGAGCGCCCTCCAGTCGGTCTCAACCCCTCTTCCACACCACCCAGACCCCCCACACCACACACACTCTCAAAACATGGCCGACCACCAATCCTCAGCATTCCCAGACGTCTCTTCCTTACCCAACAGAGACCTCTATGCCGTGCTCGAGGTGGATAGGACTGCGGACGAGGATACTATTCGGAGGGTGAGTTGAGGGATATAGGGGCGGAGAGGGGAATGCGGAGTGGAGGGGTTTGGGACGGAATGGGCGCTGTTTTGTGGAGTACATGGATAGCCAGCATTTGGTTTTTTTTAAGAGCCATGAGTTGCTCGAACTTCAGCGTATACTTTGCACCGTAAGATGCAGGGATGCTCGAGGTTTTCGCAAGTCCTGCGGCACGAGGACGAGCAGCTGCCTGAGCACCGGCGAGCTCAACTGCGGCGAGCGCCAGCGAGGAACCGCGGATGCTTGAGGAGTGAAGAGAGGTCGAGCCTATAGCGTACCGCTGCCCGGACATCCGTATCGCTTTTGTGACCGCACACTCATTCCCTACTCTCTGTCACCCAAATAGGCATACCGGCGCAAAGCGTTGAAATGCCATCCCGATAAGGTGGGCAATACGCCCGAGAACGTTGACCGGTTCCAACTGGTGCAGAAGGCCTACGATGTGCTCAGTGAGTGTGAACGAACAGAAACAATTCCATTTTGACCTATGCTAAGGCTTTACCCTCCCTTAGGCGACCCTAAAAAGCGCCAGGTATTCGACAAATACGGCGAACGTGGCGTCGCCATGATGGACTCCATGGGCAACGTCTTCCCCTTCGTCGACCCCGAATTCCTCCTCGCAGTCAACACCTTCTTTATCCTTGGCTCCCTCCTCGCCGCACTCCTCATCATCTTCCCCGCCCTCATCTCCGTTCGGGCCGACGGCAGAGTGTCATGGAAATGGAGCGTGGTCTCAATACCCCTGTTCATCCTCGACGCGTGTCTTCTGTTGGTGTTATGGCGTCTCCGCGCATCAGCGGAACCTGACGCGGCGGTACATCACGCCGAGATGAACGAGGGGGAGACGTTCCAGGAGCGAGATCGGAGAGAAAAGCGGAAACGAATGAAAGCGTCCGGCAGTGCGTTTGTCAAATGGCTGCTGTTCCTGCTGTTACAAATCTTCATCATCGTCCGGCTGGACGACACAGTGGACTGGAACTGGGGCATCGTATTCGCGCCATGGTTCATCCTCGAAGCCGTCTCTTTCATCGACCACATCGCGTACGTCAACCGCCAGATCCGCGAAGGTGCCTCGGACCATATGATGGACCCGGACGCCGAGACGGGCGAGATCGCAAATAGAAAATACTCCACGGAAGAAAAAGCCGTGCTGGTCTTTGACGAGTTCAGAGGCTGGACGCTGCGGATCATCCAACTCGCTGTCCTGATCCCTAAATTCAACGGGACAACCGACGCATCGTGGGGGTTGCTGTTCCTCCCCACGTGGCTCTGGATCGTCGTGGAAGCGTTGTCGATCACCCTCGGCGTGGTCGTGATCAAACGCGCGGCACGCAGAGCCGGCCGCTCCCAGATCCCTGAACTCGCCACCATCGTCACGTTCCGCATCGTGCTCGCCTCCCTCATTGCCCTCTTCCTCTATCTCTTCACCGGCCTGCTAGTCAAGCGACTCCAAAACGGCGGCGTACCCTCCCCATCGACGGCGGTGATTCTCATCCCGGTGTTTATTATCGCCAGTTTTGTGTTTTGCTGTTGTTGCTGCTGTGGGCCGTGTGTCGTGGGGTGTATCAAGATGGACTTTGAGGCGCAGTTTGAGAAGGAGGGGGACGGGCAGATTAGCTTGACGAATCGGAGGATTACGTATAATGCGACCGATGCACCGTCGTCGTCGTCGTCGCGGTAGGTTGAAAGGGAACGTGTCCTCAAAGCGTTGCATTCCACATACATATAAGGCGGCCTCGCATACACACATAATCTTGTGCCTTTCCCGCTTTCTTCTTCCCACTCCGGAAGTGTATATATTGCATATATTTGGGTTTGCGGAGGAGCTTCTCTTGTTTGGGTTGGCAAACGGCAATTAAACTAGATGCTCGCACGTGACATGTTCGATGTCCACGTCCCGCCCGTATGTGCGGCGTCCCTCCGGCGTCCCTCTTGATCTGGGATGGAATGGGCAGCACTCCCATAACCGCACGCGAAGGCCGCAATTTTGCCATCCCACGGTACGGCAGACGCCAGTTCATCAGCGCTCGCTACCGTTCTCAGCATCAGCAGGGACAGCGGCCTCGTCTTCGTCCGCCCCGCCATAGCCGCCTTACGTCGGACTCCTTAAGAACCTTTTCGACTTGCCGCCTCTAGGACCTCAAAGCGAAGATGGCCGACGTCAACTCCTACACGCTCATCCAGCAGGATGGTACGTGGCAACATTCGGACGATAACCCGCCCTCTCGAATACAGGAGCTTTGGCTGTCTTTGACTAACCTCTGACTTCGCTACAGACGATAAGGAGCAACCCACCGTACAAGAGCTGCGCAAGCAACTCGAAACCCAAAAAGAGGACCACAAGATCGAAACCATGAAGAAGATCCTCCTCATAATGCTCAACGGCGACCCGCTCCCCCAACTCCTCATGCACATCATCCGTTTCGTCGTGCCCTCAAAGAACAAGCAGCTCAAGAAACTGCTGCTCATCTACTGGGAAATCTGCCCCAAAACCGACGCGGCGGGGAAGTTGAAGCAGGAGATGGTGCTCGTGTGCAATAACCTGCGGAACGACCTTTTGCATCCGAATGAGTTCATCCGGGGCAGCACGTTACGGTTCCTGTGTAAATTGCGGGAGGCCGAATTGCTTGAACCGCTGATCCCGGCAGTGAGGACGTGCCTGGAACACCGCCATGCGTACGTGCGCAAGAACGCCGTGCTGGCCATCTTCACCATCTCGAAACACTTTGAGTACCTGATCCCGGACGCACCCGAGCTGATCCACACTTACCTCGCCTCGGAAACGGACCAGAACTGTAAACGCAACGCGTTCATGATGCTGCTGAACACCAACCAGCAACTCGCGGTGCAGTACCTCAACTCCGTGTTCAACCAGATCCCGGCGTTCGACGAGCTGCTGCAATTGTCGGTCATCGAGCTGATCAGGAAAGACTACAGGAGCGCGACGGCGGATAAGGCGAAATACATCCAGAGCATCTTCCAGCTGCTGCAATCGTCGGCCCACTCGGTCAAATATGAGGCGGCCAACACCCTCATTGCGTTGACATCCCACACATCGGCGGTGCGCGCCGCGGCGGCATGCTATGTCGAACTGGCTCTGAAGGAGTCGGATAACAACGTCAAGCTGATTGTGTTGGAGCGGCTGAATGAGCTGAGGGAGAACCATGGCAGGATATTGGAGGATTTGGCGATGGATATTTTGCGGATCTTGAAGAGGTAGCGTCCTTGTTTCGCATCATACGGGGGAACTTCCGTGAAGGAATGGTTGTGATGAACAACACTATGTTCAGCCCGGATATCGCCGTAAGGAGAAAGTGCGTCGACATCGCGCTGGAAATGGTTTCCAACCGTAACGTCTCGGAAGTCGTCGGTCTGCTAAAACAGGAGCTTGTCAAGACACATGACGAGGAGTACGAAAAGGTAGGCCCCGACTCGTGCCACATCAACCCTGATTGGGGTACCCCCGGACTTACGAAATCAACACGCCTCGCAGACGAACGAATACAGGCAGCTCCTCATCAGCGCCATCCACTCCTGCGCCATCAAGTTCTCCGAAGTCGCCGCGGATGTCGTCCACGTCCTCATGGAGTTCGTCGGGGAGTCGCATAACGCTGCTGCTGTGGATGTTATGGCGTTCGTTCGGTAAGAACCTTCTTTGCAACTCATGATCTCGTCATGCGGAGGACATATATGCTGATATTTTGGGAAATCGCTGTAGAGAGGTGATGGAAAAGTTCCCACACCTGCGTTCCAGCATTGTGGGGAAGCTGTTGGACACGTTTATGGATATGAAGAGCGGGCGCGTGTTTAGGGGCGCGTTGTGGATTATTGGGGAGTATGCGTTGGATACGGATGGTACGGTTGGCTTTTGCCTTTGAGATGGTTGGGTTGGAATGAGGGAATTCAGGTGGAGGACAGTGACTGATTGCTGCTTTTCCTTTTAGCTATTGAGCATACGATGACCCAGATCCGGAAGGCGTTGGGCGAGATACCCATCCTTGCGTCAGAACAGGTATGGTTTGCGTTTGGCGTGTTAGGTTGGGATGGCTAAGGCTCTCTACATCGGATCTAACGAATGATAACCCCTTCACAGCGCCTATTGGACGAAGCACAAGGAGGCGAGCCTGCCGCTCCCGCTGACAGTCCGACGGTAAAGACCGCGCCTACACCCGCTCGCCGCGTGCTTGCCGATGGGACGTATGCGACCGAGAGCGCGTTGACGTCGAACTTGGAGGCTGTTAAGGCGGCGCATAAGCCCCCTCTTCGCGGTATGTCTCCGAGTTGCATCGCATTGGTCGCGAGTGCGTGCGTGTGGAGTGAATAACTCACCACATTCGCCCCTTCACAGCCCTCATCCTCAACGGCGACTACTTCCTCGGCGCCGTCCTCTCCACCGCCCTCACAAAGCTCATGCTCCGCTACGCCGACCTCAACACCGCCGACACCGCCCGCGGCAACGCCCTCCGCTCCGAAGTCATGCTGATCATGACCAGCATCATCCGCGTCGGGCAGTCCGAGTTCCCCACCCAGCCCATCGACGAGGACTCGCGGGAGCGGATTTTGACGTGTTTGAGGACCCTGTCGGCTGTGCCGCAGGACGATGTGCTGAGAGAGGTGTTTTTGAGGGATTGTAGGAAGGCGTTTACGAAGCTTGTTGCGTCGCAGGAGGTGGGGGATACGTCCTGGATCGTGTTTTGGGCCGTTTGGCTACTGAATTCTGTCGGGCTGATTTTACTTTTGCATTCCGGTTAGTACACGAAGAAGAAGAAGGCGACGCAGAAGAAGGAGGTCAAGGTGCAGGCTGACGACGCGATCATATTCCGGCAGCTGAAGTCGAAGCGGAATGCGCAGGATGGGACCGACGAGGTAACGCCACGCGGAACTTTTCGTCATACTTGTGATTATGAGTTGGGAGAGTTTGGGGTCTGATTTTCGTCATATGGTGTTTTTAGTACGATCTTGACATCACACGAGCAACCGGTGTCGGCGAGCGCGCGGACGATTTGGCGTCGAAGTTGAGTCGCGTGATTCAGTTGACTGGTATGCCCCGAGATTGTGAAGATTTGTGAAACTACGGGACTTGCTAAGCGTGGAAGTGCTCATGCTACCTTCTGTCGTTCCTTTCAGGATTTTCGGACCCGGTCTACGCGGAGGCATACGTTACCGTGCATCAATATGACATCCTGCTAGGTATGAAGTCAACTCATATTATGCTGATCATGGGGAAGAACATACGTTTCGAATGCCCGTTCCTAATCTTCATAACCCCTCTTCCGCCCCAGACATCCTCATCGTAAACCAAACCAGCGAAACTCTCCAAAACCTCACCGTCGAGTTCTGCACCCTCGGCGACCTCAAGCTCGTCGAGCGGCCCGCCCCACATACCATGAGCCCGCACGGGTTCCATGGGATTAAAGCTAACATCAAGGTACGCTAAAAGCCATATGCCCCCCCACACTTTTCATCACAACCATCATCATGATTGACTTCGTGGGCTATGCACAATAGGTCTCGTCAACGGAAACTGGCGTGATATTCGGCAACATTGTGTACGATGGCCCGTCGGCGACGGACATGAACTGCGTGATTTTGAACGATATACATATTGATATCATGGATTATATCAAGCCCGCTACATGTACTGAAACTCAGGTGAGGAAGATGAGTTTTGGTGGCGGTGGGGATGTGAGCGGGAAGAGGGTGAGTGTGTGAGGGAGGCTGACATCGTTTGTGCGATTTTTTTTGGCAGTTCCGGATGATGTGGAGCGAATTCGAATGGGAGAACAAAGTCAATGTCAACACCAACATCACGTAAGGCCCATAAATCCGGTACCGCACCCCGCCTGGCATCCCTGAATTTCCAAACTAATTCAACCGCTCCCTCCCTCCCTCCGTCTTCGTTCCCACAGCGACATCCGCGCCTACCTAACCCACATCCTCAAATCCACCAACATGAACTGCCTCACCCCGGAAAACGCGCTCTCAGGCGAATGCGGCTTCCTCGCCGCCAACCTGTACGCGCGCTCCATATTCGGCGAGGACGCGCTCGCCAACATCTGCCTTGAACAAATCGCATCTCCCGCTGCTGCTGCTGCATCATCATCACGTGGGGATGAGACGACGACCGCAGGCAGTGCTGCGACGACGATCACGGGACACATCAGGATCAGAAGCAAGACGCAGGGGATTGCCCTGAGTCTTGGGGATAAGATCACGTTGAGCCAGAAGAATGCGAGGGTGGCGGTTGTGGGGCAGAGTCCGGCTTATGCGTGAAGAAAGCATTGCGGGCTTTGCTGGGGGTTTTTTCTTATGTATTACCGCTGTGAATAGGGATTATCTGCTTGATTTGGGAATTGCCATTCTTGTTTGCTTTGGCATGTGCTCCCACGACCCTGAGGTTGTTGGGTGATGTTCTGCTATTGGGGATGTGGGGAATGGCAACATAAAAAGCGGGAGTTTCACAGTGCTTTTAACAGCCGCCCCCTGCTCTGCCCCGGGGTGTGTCGTCGACTCGTATGGATATCCTAGTAGACTGAGTAAAACGTTCGGCTTGTCTGACAAGGTTGGCGCGTGCATGTCGTCCCATCACGCGAATGACCTAACGCGCAAAGACCTGCTTACCCGTAGCCCGGTACTCCCGCGCGTCTGCCCTTGCTCTCGTCCCCTCGCCCCGCCGCCCTCCGTGCCTCCGAGAGACGGGGCTTGAACAAGAAGCTTCCCTTCTCTCGAGCCAACCCGCCACATCTTTACAACCTTCTCCTGTGAGGTCTTCTCCCGCCGTTCTGTGGGAAAGCCACATGCATGATGCTTCTGCGCCCCGTCTCGGTTCGTCGCATCGTGGACACCCCCGGGCTCAACTTGGATGCCCCGGACTCACTCTTGCGAAGGAAGGGGAGGTTTGGTGATGGTTCGAAACGCCCCGGGATCTTGGAAGATCGAGGCTTGAGCTTTCAGACCAAAGAAGTTCTTTGGCTAGCGCTGTCCATTCTTTTGTATTCCGAGTGGAAGCGGAATTGGAAGGACGGTCGGAATACTCGCCCGCAAGGTACGGTAGATCTACGCCGCCACGAGATATGCGCGCTAAGCGCTGTCGCCACTAGGAGGAGGGGACCAGGCACTTAAACGGTGGATGCCCGTTAAGCCGCCTTCCTCGTCCAACGGGGAAGATACGAACAGACTGATTGCAAGCAGCGAATTGGGCTACGACCTGTACCGCCTTGATCACCGCAATACAGCATCCGTCTCAACACCCTCGATTTTACGTCCTCCAAACTGCAAGATGCTGCGAACGATGCCGTTACATCAAGCCAAGCACGCCTTCACCTGGCTAGCCCTGTTCATCCTCCTCCTCCCCAACCCCCTCAACGCCGCCCCCCTCTCCCTCCTCCCCCGCTCCATCTCCTACGCCGGCCAACAAGTCCTCACCTGCAACCTCACAACCCCCTCCCACCTGGACCTGATCCGCGACTACACCATCGACGTCTGGTCCGACGACTCGGTCGCTGTCCTCAACAGCCCTCTCGAGCTGCGGGCGGATTTCCAACAACGTGAGGCGCTTTTCAATGCTGCGGTGGAGTGTGAGATTGTTGTGGAGGATCTGGACGCCGCCATCACCGCCAACTACGCCGAGGACACCGATACCGGCGGCGTAAGCGCGAACAGCGTGCACGCGCGCGCGGACATAGACGAGTTCTTCACCAAGTACCGGACGTACGCGGACATCAAGGCCAAGATCGCCGAATGGGCCAAGACGTATCCCGACCTGTTTACTGATTATGGGTCGATCGGGAAGACGAGTGAGGGGAGGGATATCCCTGCGTTCAAGATCGGGAAACCGCCCGCGAAACCCAAGGCGGGGGTGGTCCAAACGTGTAGTAGTGCGAGCGGTGCGGGCCAGACGTTGGAGAGACGGATGTGGGCGGAGGAGACCCCGCGAGTGGTTCCGTGGGGGTGGCATTTGCACCACCCCGGGTGTGAGTGTGAAGAGCATATGACGCCTACTTCAACATCACCGTCGGTTTCGAGCACACCCACCACCCCGCCTCCAGGCACGACTACCACCCCTCCACCCGTCAGCACATCCACATCCACATCACCATCCACAAGCACCCCCGTCTGCGCTACAGAGACCCCCAAACCCTCCATCTGGCTCAACGGTGGGATCCACGCGCGCGAATGGATTTCCCCCGCGACCGTGATGTTTCTCGCCTACGCGCTGCTCACCGGGACGCCCGACCCCGCGTTCCCCAAACTACTGGACACGGTCGATTTCTTCTTCACGCCGGTGTCCAACCCGGATGGCTACGTGTATACGTTTACGACGGATCGGATGTGGCGGAAGAATCGGGCCCCGAATGAGGGGAGTAAGTGTATTGGGGTGGATTTGAATCGGAATTGGGATGGTGAGTGGGTTTCCGGATTGCGTTGGGAGTTCCGAGGAGATGGAGGGCGCGGCCTGACGCTTTGCTGGTTTTCTTTTTGGTGCAGAGCATTGGAATAAGATCGGCACGGGGAAGACCCCGTGTGAGGATATCTGGGCGGGGTCGGGCCCGTTCTCGGAGAAGGAGACCAAGGCGCTTTCGACGTTCGTGCTGACCAAGATCCCGAACAGAATTGCTGGGATTGATTTCCATAGCTTCAGTCGTAAGTAGAGGGTGAAGGGGGGGGGGGGGGGGAACATCTTGCACATCGCGAGACCGTCAGGCCATCTGACATCTCCATTACCAAAACAGAGCTCATCCTCACCCCCTGGGGCTGGACCAAAACCCCGCCCAACCCTCCCGCCTACTACTCCAACCTCGGCAAGAGCATCGCCGCCGCCATCAAAGCGCAATCCGGCGTCATCTACACTCCCCAACTCGGCGCCGACCTCTATTTCGCGTCAGGCACCGTCGACGACTGGATGAACGCAAAGGCCAAGATGGTGGGGCTGACGATTGAGTTGCGCGATACGGGCAGGAAGGGGTTCTTGCTCCCGGCGAGCGAGATTGTGCCGACGGGGAGCGAGATGGTGGCGGGGGTGACGGCGTTTGTGGCGTATGTGGTGAAGAATCCGAGAGAGGAATTGAAGATTCCTGACAGTTGATTGGAGGGAAAGGGGGTTGTGAGGATGTGTGGATAAGGATCTGTATTTCTATGTGAAGAATGTTGTGAAGACCGACGATGATACCTATAGATTATGCCTACTGTACATTGACTGTATTTTTGCTATGTAATATATATAAGGAGGTTCGGAGTCAACCCATCGTTGACGGGGTGGCCTCAAGGAATGCAGGGTGGGCCTTCTGGTGTAATATTAGGTGCCTGCCCCGTCGCAAAGGGCGTCAACGAACGCGCGCATACTGTCGACACGTTCGCAGAGGGGAAGGCGGCAGCACTGTCAGTGACACATCGCATCCTTCCACCTCATCGTGAACTACCACCTTCAGGACACACTATCCACAGAGCATCTGCCAAGTAAATCACGACTCGGGCAAACCCGCCGGCCGACAAGATGCGACACGCGAAGACGTACCATCAATCATTGCCTGCGCATCTAACCGCTGCAAGTTTCGCAGAGTATGGAGATCCGCTCGTTGTATGCTCTGTTCCTGGGCTTCGCATGCCACGAGCATAGACTCTGTGTCGTCCGCATAGCCTGATCAAGTGTATGTCCACTGCGGTTCCGCCATGTCATCCGACGACTCCCCGTCCAAAATATCTGCCGCAGGAGTAAATGCCATTCACAATATGTTGCCGAAGTGAAAAGGTAATATGAATGCGCTAGCAGCTGCAGCTTCGGAGGATGGACTAGTCTGATTGAACGACGGCGCTGTTGTGACGCTCTGATGTGCCGGGGTAGACAAAGGCCCATGCACAACTGAATGCATTTGTGCAGGCGGTCCTCTACCCCAAAGGGTACCGCAACACAACTGTTGCACCCTCCGGAACTCATCTGCTCGCAGCTCGGGGAAAACGTTCACATAGCGGAAATTGCACCTTTCGATTAAGGGGTCCATACCATTGAAGGGGACAACATACGCTTTGCGCGACAAACAGATAGTAAGGAGAAAACCCATCCAGACCGAACGTATCTGGTCCAGTGGTTCTGACCGCACGAGTAGAGGATGGGTGAATTCGATTTGAGGTGTGTGGGCGAGGGGAATGAAATAGCGACGACGGATAGGAGACTCTGGGAAGGCTCCCCGCAGGGTGTGAAGGCGGCCGTCCTTGTAGAGGGATGTTGCACAGAGGACTTGACCGTCGCCATGGCTCGGGGGGAGCAGCGAGAAGGAGAACGGAGGTGATCTCCCACTGGTAAAAGCGTCCTGGTGCTGCTGCTATCGACTAGCCGGGGGAGTGGTTATGTGCGGCCGGCGGATGCCTTCTCCCGATAGCTTTCGTGAGTAAAGGGGGCCGAAGCGAGGGAGTCCTGGGGGGCCGTTCGCGTGTTACGTAAGCACCCTGGAAAACTCCGCTCTCAAGTGCTCGCGGCGGCTGCTGCTGATGGCCTGTTGACAAACTGAATTTGGAGACGGAGTACCAATCCGCCCAATTCCATCGGCGCCCCAGCATTGCAGGCAAGGCTGCCAGAGGTCAGAGGCCCATGTTGGCTGGACGTACTGTCGTACCCATCCGTTTTCCGGCACGGATTAAGGGAGACCTCAGTTGTTCCACAATCCATTCTGGCAACCTTGCTTACCCAGGCCTAACGTAAGGTCGAGAAAGCTATACTGAGCCTTGGGTGACGTGGCAGGGACAATTTGTCGTAGTCACGGCCGGGTCGAAGCCCTGGATCTGGGGTGCCACGTTTGGCAATTTCACTTACGGTTTCCCGGTTTGCTTTCCCCTCCATAGTGCGAGAGCTTGCCAATCGGGTAAAGAGAGGTCAGGAGGGAATATCTGGCAGCAAACGCAGACTGCAGTGCTGAGCATGTCCGATGCGACGCGGGAACATCCTGGCCAGCTTCTGGGTTCGGGTTGGCAGGTTTAAGGCGCCATTACCTGATGCGACACCTGATGTTTTGCATCGGAAACAGAGCGTCCGTGTTCTTCCCCTCCCGTAATAGTAGACCTTAAAAAGCGACGAATGCGACAAGTTAACCACGGGCGCGAGGAGAGGAGGGCGTGAGATACGCGCCAAGACGGATCGGAGGGCTGAATCACCCTGAACTTTCCTTTATCCTTTTATCAGCGGTACTTATCCTTTTTACGCAGCGGTACTTTTTATCCTTTTTCTTGCTCACATGCTCGAAAGTGCTGCGACGCAGCCTGGTTTCTGCAACTGTGATCGGTTTTCATGACGAGCTCGCCGATGCGTCCTCAATCCCATGTCGTGCCTCTTCCAACTGTATCTCACATCGGGACGCTCGTTAACCTTCATCGTATCCGATACTTCCAACGCATGTCGGAGGAATGTCCTTACATGCCTCTATAAGTTCAGCATGGAGACGTTGACAAATCATCCCGGGGAAACCGTTTTGAATTAACGTCAACCCTGGTGGGGGATAACCCTGGGGTATCACTCGCCAACCTGCGCAGCTGACGGCTGGGTGTTGACGCGTAACAAAGGGCGGAAGCAAATCGAACTTGCAGGATCACTGTCAAATCGGGGATGGAATGAGATGTTCCCCATTCCCTTTTTTCTATTGTACTTATGGTCCTCCTTAACGATTCGCGGCTAGCCGATGCAAGGGTCTACCGACGATAAAATCAGCAAATGCACATTAGATCGCTTTCCTTGAATGCCATTCTCCCTGTCGTCTGGACTATCCCTCAGCTGAATGCGTCCACACCCGTCTGAACTTCCTTCCGGGATGGCGGGTTCTTTGAGAAGGAGCTTTTGTTTATTCCATTGCTGTCGGTCTGTGTCGATCGAGGAGAGACCATGCCCCGCACATAAGCTGCTCAGGAGGGGTATATAAGGACGGCGTCCCATTGGAGCACGCCGGCATCCCTTTGATTTGCAATGCAAGCCCCCGCTAGCATACCATCGTACCGTCTATCGTCAACGACCAAGCTGAGATGAGCACCCAGACCCTCGCCTCCAACGACAAACTCGAGAGCCTAACGGCTAGTGTGCGCAACCTCGCGTCACGGTCGTTGAAGGATCCCCCGACCCGACGGACTAGACTCCCACTTTTGGTGCTGCTGGGCAGCCAGCTTGTGCTCTTGGTGTCGATTCTCGTCATTCCGGTAGGCACGTTCGCCCGTGGGCTACATCTCTGGAAAGCTACCTGTCCACCTGCAAATGCGGAGGACCAGGTTTACTGCTTTAGTGTGCCCTAATGATGTTGATGTTTTTATGTGCAATAGAGCAATATACTGTTCTTCCGTACGGCGCAGATCACCGTCGATGAGCTTTCTGAGCCGTTGTTGAGAGTAAGTTTTTCGCGAAATGGTGTTTTCTTGAATCCCTGGTCAGTTTTAGATCACGTTCGCATGAACCTGGGCTGACAGTTCATCGCTGGGCTCAGATCAGTTTCGATAAATACTTCCACGACTGGGATGAGTGGCTCGGTAGTTTCCAAAAGGTCAGCCTCGTCTTCACTCTCACCCTCATCGCAAACTCCCGAGCTCAGGTATCTCCCTTATCATCACATCCAGGTCGCCCAAGATGTAGGCCATCGGCTCACCACCGCCCAATTCCTCACAACAAGTTTCGACAACTTCACGGACGCAATGGAGCCCGGCGGCTGGTTCGATACCGCCCGGCAAACCATGCTCTCGTACGGACAGGCTCTGTCGGCGTAAGTGGCTTTCCCGTTCGCATCGCAGTTTCCAATCCTTCCCGTCCTCTTTAGGACGAGGGTTCTTACCACCAGTTCATTCAGTGTCAGCTGCATTACGAACGCTAATATCAGTGGTATGTATGTACCCGCACAGACATCGGCTGGTCAAAATCAAGCTTGCTTACTGACTGACATCTGTTGTTCCACCAAGGACGGGGAACGAACCTCTACAACGTGCCAAATTCCACCGTCGCATCGGTCGTGATACACGCCGGCTCTGACTATGGCGAGAACTTCTACGATTACATGTTCCAGGATTATTCCACCAACGCCTCGTATGTCGACTATGCTCGATGTGAGTGCGGGATATCATTTATCCGATCCTTGGCGAATTCTAGCCATCTGACCAGCTCTACTTTGAATATACATATACAGTTCCGAATGGGACGTTTGCGGACCCATTGATAATCACCCCGCTAGTCAATCAAACCCGCAACCCGGCCTACATGCAAATGTCCGATCCGGATCCATTGCCAAACGGGCAGGGCAAGTTCCGATACAATTGGTTCGGGTCTAGGTTTGGACCCGGGTATCTCTACTGGTATGAGGCGTCAGTCGGTCTCTTTACCTCAACGGGATGATTGTTAATAGGAGTCGTGTGGCAGGTCATATACGATCAACTATTATTTCCCGCTCACATCCCCACGCCCCACCTATGTGTGCCAGGCTGGCGCAAACCCTGACCGACCGCTCAAAGTGGTGATGCAAAGCAATAAGCCGAGTAACAACTCCCAAACCTTCGTCCTCGATCTCACCGCGAACGGGACGGTTATCGCCAATAGCGAGGCTCCTATTCAGTTCGGCGGGGAGTTTTGTGAGTGCCAGCTTGGCAGATCGCTCATGGGTTTCCACATCCCAGATAAGGCTGACGGATTCGTTGGCCCCTTGCAGACACATGGCACAACGCCCCCAACACCTCCACAACCCTCCTCGCCTCCTACCTCACCACCCATTCCGCGTTCACCTCACCCAATGTCACCGCCAAATTCGACAACGCCATCCTCGCCGACGGCTCCCACTGGTACATCCGCACCCGCCCGCTCCCCGTCGACACGGATATCACATGGGCGCTGGTGATTGCGATCCCGCGGGGGGATTTCTTTGGGCGGATTGACACGGTGAAGCGAACAACGATTATCCTGGTGATTGTGATCACCGTTGTGAGCGTGTTGGGGATTACGCTGGGGATTTGGGTTACGGTGGTGGTGCCGTTGAGGAGGATGGCAAGGCAGATGAAGCAGGTAATGGTGCTGGCGAGGGTGGGGCGTACATGTGGTTGAGATCAAACATCACTCACCAGTCTCCTTTCCGTTGATGGATGATGCCGTCACCTTTATCAGCTCTGCGAACTCAACTTCGCAGTCCTTGAAAAAGCCGAACTCGACCACCGTTCGCTGGTGCACGAAGTCAGCACCGTGCAACAGGTGTTTAATCTCATGGCCGGCGCATTGTAAGTATCCCCACTCCCTAACCCTTTGCTGTCAACCCCATCTCGTTCTCACTCCGTCTTCCTAGCGCCGGCGGCCTCCGAGCCAATGCAGCCCTCTCCCGGCCGCAGAACTTCCAGCAGCGCGGAGTAGTGCCGTCCGCCGTGCCAAAGAAGGCGACAAAGACGGCCGGCTTGCGAGGGAGTGGTTATGGGCAAGATGAGATGGAACAGAAGGTTAAGGGGACTTGTGAGATATTAGAGCATGATTGATGGAGTTTTACGGGCTGTGCGGGATCGTTGGCTCTACAAAGATTGATATGACTTGTTTGCAGAGCGATTTTTGGTTGCGGTGAACCCCCTATTCCTGTGACAAGCTTGATGGAACTGCACCTTGTACTGTACCTTTTTCATATGACTTGTGAAAATACGTTTCTGTTGCCCTCTTTGATTGTAGCTTGAAGTCTTCCGATGTTGGCGCATCACGCGTCTGCATCCCCACACATCTCTCCACACAGTGCTTTTTCGGAACACAGTGATTAGTTGGGGGAGTGGAGAGTGGATATGGGCCCGGGGGAAACTACGGGAAGCGAGCCTGTGTGCATTCGGCTGCAAGAACCAACTCTTGCCGACTTCCTTGAAAGTCCGGTGCGGAAATCGAACCAAGTCTCACGGCTCACACCCCTCAAACCGCTCAACGGGCAACTTTCAAATTCCAACAAGCGAAACATTGGAGCAAAAGAATGGGCTCAGGGCAAAGCACCACCGGCCGCGGCCTACCCGCACCCTTCAACTTCACCGGCCCCGTCAACACCACTCCCTACAACGCCGGCGGCGCCCCTTCAACCAGCGCTCCCCCCGCCTATCCTCCTCGAGACGGCGACGGTCCTCCTCCACCAACCGCACCTACTGGCTACCCTCCAGGTGGGACAGGCGCTCCAGCACCTTTTCCCGGCCCGTCGACCTACACCTCGGCGCTTCAACCCGACGTGCACACAGCGTACTACGACCCCGCCTACAATGCGCCACGCGGGTGCTGTGGAATGCCTGTCTCGTTCTGGCTGTTTGCCCTCGGCATCATCTTTCCGATCTTCTGGTTGTGCGGGTTGTGTTGTTTGTTTAGTCGGAATCCGTACGAACGCGTTTGGGCAAAGGCGATTTTGTTTTCGCTGATGATCTATGCGATTGTGGGATTGGTGTTGGGGATTCTGGGCGGATTGGGGTGGGGGAGGGGCTAGTGGTGCGATGGAATGGCGGCACGGGTACGAAGTGGTTGTCTTCTCTTATACAAGGGGATATATACGCCGCCTTCGACATCGGTCTTGCTAGGTTAGGAATAAAATCAAAAAATCTGTTCCAAAAACTTTCGGACGGGTTCTGCTGTCAGTACGGAGAGCCTGGCGGCTTCGTAAGAGTCTCCAGTAGTCGTCCCGGTCGTCTGTCTCCGTTTCTCTGTACGGGATCACTTAGTCTTCCTTTTCCGAAGACGCTTGCGATGGCTGCTTGAGCGAAGGGGAAGAAGCTGTCAGACAGCGACGCGGCGCCGAGTGCTCGGTACGTAGCATCTGGTTGTCCTCCTCCTCCTACTTCCCAACTCCTCAGGCGCTTGCCCAAAGGAGTCTTTTTCTCGCCGTCTGCATCGGGAGAATGCCGAACTTACCACTCGAACTCATTCTCAGAGTCGTTGAGGTGCTCTCAGAAGTCACGCCCGACACTGGGGCACAACACCCTCCTGTTGCCCTACAACGAGCGCACCCCATCACCAAAACGCTCCTCAACCTCGCCACTGTCTCGCGATCTGTCAACCCAACAGCCACAAGGCTCTTGTACGCGAAGTGCCTGTATATCGACACTCGTTCTCGTCTTGAGTCTCTCCTGAACGCTCTCGATGCCGCCGACCCCGCTGTGGTGCAGCACGGGCAGAAATCGTCAGAGGGCGTGGGCTGGGTCAATATCGACAAACGCCGCCTCCTGTCACTGTACTTGTCTCCCTTCAAGGAAAACATCGATGATGGGCCTACAATGTCCAAACTTGTCAGCCTGTTCCGTCACATAGGCCCACTTCTAAAACGTTTGGTTATAGACATGCCCCTTCGGAGCCTGTATCCCGAGGACGATTCGCAAGGGGTTCGGAAACTTCTTCATGACGCCTTTCTCTCTTTGGAGAGCTTAGAGGAGCTCACTAGTGCCCGCGACGAACTATATGTGTACGCCAATTCCTTACGCCATGGGCAGTCAGAAAGAGACCTTGTCTGGACTCGCTGGCCCCTGAAGCGATTAGCGCTGTACAACGTGAACGCGGACGAAGGCTTTTGGCGAGCGGTGGCATCTTTACCCGAACTCGAGACGGTAGTATTAGCGCGGCCTGATGGTCTGGACACGCTAGACGGTCCAATCGAGTTCCCGTCGACACTCCGTTCCCCGCGCCGAATTGTCCTCGCCGATGCTTCGCTGCCACCGCGGCTGACATCGCCAACATGGATCAACTCGGTTTTCGATCGGGGCGGTGTGGTGTGCCAAACACACATTGCTGCTAAACCTGCGGTTTCGAGCAACGAAAGCGACGGTAACGGCGACGACGGCGACGAGGACGACGTCATTGGTCGTTCTCAAGAATGGCTTAGGGATCAAGCTATCAGTGGAGGCCTGTGGACCATTGGCGGACCCATGATCCGCCAGGACCTCGTCGGGGCGTGATAGACAGCTTGATTTGGCCCCAAGTATCAGTGGTTTTGAGAAAATGAGAGGAAGCGCGTTGATGTGCTATTGCACATCTGCAAGGGTAGCTTGGAGAAGCAAGATCAATCCTTCCGTATTCATAATCTCTTTCGCATTCGAGTGTAAACTGTCTGGTTCGCCGGATAGAAATCAGCATTTCGGGCTGGTATATACGATGGATAGGAAGATCCAGATGGACAAGAGTGTCAAGAAAGGGGAAGATGTGGTATAGAGGGAGGGGAGTGGCTCGGCGTAGATGTAGTGGTACAGGAAAGGGATGCACGGTACAGTAGAGGACACTTGACAAGATATACTCGGCACCCTATGAGTATCCGCTACCACTGCAAATTTCTCACATATATCTTTTCCTCTTTGCAACCAACAGATTCGGAATGCCATTCATGTGCCAACCTTCCGTGCTATCATGATAGCGGTCCTCGCCGCTCTACGTGCCAAACCTGATCGCCTCGTCGAAACCGTCAACCTTTTTACCTTGGCTCCTCCCATGGACGTGCTTAGAGTTTCCGGGGATCTGCAGGGGAATCGCGGACGGGCCCTGGCCAGGCAAGCGTACGACGAAATGTGCAAGAGATGTCAGGCTACGTGGGAAACCATCACCCAGGGAGCCAGGCCTGGGTATCTCCTTGAACGGAACCTTGTGTTATACCATCGTACGAAAACCTGGATTGACCGCCTTCGAGAGAGGATCCGCACGTTACGACTGTATCAGGCATCAAATCACGCACGACATGCCTTGCCGAAGTGCAGGTTGATGCCATCATAGCTATGGTGACAAGTCGTCTGATGATGTCGTTGCAGTGGAGAGGATGGGCAGCTTGGCTTTAGCAATGGCTTATAGACTTCTGGCGTATGGTCACTTTCTTTTATATTTTCACTTCTTTTGTATTCTGTATGGTTTTGGATTTCCATCCTTCTGTATTCTGTATTCCGCCTTTATTTTGCATTTATTGCTTTCAATGACGTTCTCCTACATCAATGTATTATCTCCGACGAACTTCCGTAGGCCCAGGTCATGGGGATGACCTTCTCCACATATTTCTGAGAAGCCAAAAGGCTGCGAAAGGACGGTTGACTCTGACGGGTGGAGCAGCTTTATGGACCCAGACTGTGTGTCTGTAGGGTACAGATTGTATGACAAGGACAAAGCACAGTTATGAACAGACGGGCAGAAGGAGCGAAGCGATGTCTCCATCAGCGATAGGGTTATGGTAAGGTTAGGGTTTATAACCCTAAGTTAGGGTATGGACCCGAGAAGCAGCCGTGAAAGCGTTATCATTTCTAGTACCAAAAGGATTGCCAAGGACTAGTTGGAACAAGGAAATTCGTGTCATTCAGATGATTATCAACGCAAGGTCATGAGTTCTCATCGCTAGGAAGAGGGAGTCGCTCTTCGTCCGGGTTGTACTGGTGCGCTGACCAGTCCAGGAAATCGAATGAATCCGGTCGATGCAAAGGTGCGAGTCTACTGCGTTATTTCGCGATGCAGTCAATGCTTTTTGAAGCAAGCCATGCCAGTTGAAGATAATGCGAACGAAACCATGGGAAGATTGTAAAGAGGTCAGTCTTTACCAGCCAGCATCGATGAGGGTTCGCAGGACAGTCACTTCGACAACGACTTGTGTTTGCTGTCAGATTTTGGTGTTGCCGTTGTCGTACTTTTCATTAAGTTCCTGTTGTCTTGTATGGCTGAGGCAAATTTTGTCAACATTGTCTTGAAGACGGCTTTACATCGGGCGATCTCCGCGGGTTCAAAGATGCTGGAATGGGTCAAAAATGTGGACGAGCTGTTGCAAAGAATCATACCACAGGAAGCTTATATGAGCCTTTGGATCATCCGAGATACATCTCGTAAAGGTTGCGAGGAGGCTGACCCACCGTGCTGCAGAAAAATCGAACATTGTAGCTTGCTCCATGATGGTGGATAGGCGCCGGATCGGGATCACCAGAGCGTACGAAAGCGCGAAGGATGCTAATGCGAGTCCGATGCTCGCTCCGACGACTCCGAAAATGATTTTAGTTCGCGCTTTATCTAAGCTAGCAGTGAAGTCGCTACGGGGAAGAGCCAAAACTATTCAGGGTTTTTAGCCTAGTAGGATCTGTCCATCGATATCAAGAAGCGTACTTGCCTAATAGCCATTGCAATCCATAGATATCCTTCACCCACTTGGATTGCATCAGTACTATGCCTCGCTTATCATCCGTGAATGTCGTTCTGACATCAGCTGGCAGTGAGAGGTACGAAGTCCCATCGCCGGTCATCTCCAGAAGGACTTGTGCGGAAGCTCGGATGAGTGCGTCCGTCGTATTGTTAGCTTTGGCCCTTTCAACGGAACCCACTGCGCGAACAGTGTTCGGAACATTTGCAGCAACCATTGTTCCATCGCTCTCCCTGAAGAACAGAACGCTTAGAAAGTGTTGGTACAATTGCAGAAGATACGCTTCGTGACTTGCCAGAGTGCAATAACGGCATTGGGGCTGATGTGGATGTTGCGAAGCATCGGCTCAAGAGATGCAGTCGATAAGGAGATCTGGATAGAGCCGATATCCGCGCTTCCAATGACGGCATTCCCGATCTGAGCATTGCGCCAGATACGCCAATTGAATCCATAATTGATCTGGTCGTCAACCCTAGCAGGCTCCCATGTGCCAAGGCTGATATTTGTAGTGGCTTTCGGCCTTGTCGCGGGATCCTGGAAGATAAATACTGAAGTTCATTAGAGACGCGGTGTCGAATTCCGTCGTCGCCTTGTTCCGCAACTCTTTCACGCGAAACAGCGATAATATCATTTTAAGAAGCGACCCGCCTAAACACACACGCACCGGGGGAGTTCCTGGTCCACCGTAGGCAGTGAATGTCGTGGGCCCCACAACAGGTAGCCTGCCTTCCGGGTCTGGCCTTGTGAGAAGTTCCATCCCGAATGTATAGTTTGTACTGGAATCTTGAATCATCGCAATTCCTGCCTGAGCAGCCTGTAGCATTAGAGATCCGTCAGCGCAGACGACGCCTGCGAGTCCGATAGAAGGATTGCTGATAGTTGAAAACCATATTTCTGACATCCTACAGCACGTAGTGTGAGAAGAAATCAGGTGGTGTGTCCATCTCATTTGACCTACGTACGCATCAGGATATTCAGCTAAGAAATTCGGATGCGTTTGGAATGGAAGGGATTCGACGGCGGTGAGCATGGATCTGATTACGCGGCTAGAGCCCAGGGTGGAGGCGAGCCTTGGGGCAGCCGCGATCATAGCCATAACTGACTCATATGCTCGCGCAATGGCATCATCACGCAAAACCGAAGTAACTTGGGGCGAGGAATGGCAATCAATCTCAGCAATGCTGAGGGAGTAAGGAGTAGGGCACGCACTTACTGTCATCTACGGTATCATTGGCGCCTTTGAATGAAATGGCGGTGATGATTGCACAAATCACACCGACAATGATGACAGTGACGGCTTTGCGCCAAAGAGGTGGTGAGCGCCAAATCTGTGGTCTGCGAAAAGTCCAACACGTACCGACGAAGTAAACTAGCAATGGGATTCGCGTGGAAGCTTCGGCTCCCCGCTTTGAAATGGCTGCTTCGGTATCCATTCCGTTGCTCGTCATATACTGTATTGATTTACGCAAAGATTCTGCCGTCCTGCGAACGATAGCTTACAAAGTGACGAAGGAAGGGCAGCACGAACGAGGGTGAGCTCTCCGAAGGCGAGAAAGATGAAGAAGGGATCGTGGTTGGGGAGCTTCCAGCAGGCTTGTCATTTCCAACATTGGCGCAGCCAGAACCAGCCGAGCACCATCCAAAATTACCGGGATTGAACAGCAAGGTCATTCCAGAACCGGGATTTCACCATATTGAGTTCGTCTTAAACCTAGTGGTGCTGACAATCCCGTGATATGGATATTAACCACGAACATAAAACAATAGATCGCGCCACAACGCCAGGCTTTTCCTGACACCACTGGCAGTAAAAGCATCACGATCTCTCGTAGTTCCTACAAGGATATTCCGAGAAATCTGCGGATGGTTGAGCATCGCAGAAATGTACATCCCTACGCACGGTGCCGACGTGACGAACTCGCGCGTCCATGAAATGACGGCCAACTCCTGTCAGGGAACACTTGATTTAGCTTGGTCGTTTATGCACCATGCTTCTTGGTCCGCTTCGCCGACGCCTTGCCAAAAAGAACAGGAACAGGAAGAAGAGTGGTAACGGCAACGGCGGCAAGAAGAAGCAAACTGCGCGCAAGACAGTGAAGCCAAGCGCACCGAAGCCCACTGTATATGTAAACTAGCTGTGCCACCGCCAGGCCCGTCGAACCCGACTACGCGCACGACGCGCGCATCTTCTCGATGTCCACCTCACGCGTAAGAGAAGCGTTGCGTGTGGTGACGGAGATTGCGAATTGAGTACCACAAGGACAACCACAAAAACCCTGCGAAACACCTAACGAAGGTGCAGGAGAGGTACACGAGGTCGAAGAAGAAGAAGGGGTCGTTTGAGGCGTTGATGGATAGAGCAGAGGTACGTCGGGGCGGAAACTTGGACGATAATGGGCCCTTCCGAGAGGACCCGGACATGTGGAGATGTACGCCCACGACAGGAAAATCATGTTTCGCGGAGCTGGCGGTCCATAGCAATAAATTGGGCTGGAAAGCTTTTTGGGCCCCTCGTTCATCTGTCGCGGAATCTTCTCAACAACCTCAACAACTAAATTGGCAACAATCTCAACAACTTCGAACTTCCGCAGAGCAAACATGGCGGTACCACCTTCGAAGACAAACTTGGTTGAATCGGACGTCCATCAGATCGTCATTTGCAAAGGCAACCAGAAGAGTAAATGGCAACCTCCGAGCGCGGTCGATAAAGGCAAGGTAGTGCTTCTGAAAGGTGGAGAGGGCACGGTCGACCTCGTCACCGACGGCACCGACGTTGCCGCGCGCAAGTCGTACTCGCAAGTGCAATACACCCCAAAAGGTGACGCAGTTGTCAAGGTCGAGATGGAAATCTATCGAACGCTGTCCGACGATCCTTTTGTGTGCAAGCTCCTCGGTGCCATTCAAGGCAAAGACCGCAAGGGCAAAGTGCGCCTCGAAATCTACCTGCAACCATGGTGCAACGATTCCCTGGTGGACATCATGCATGGTGATACGTCCGCTGGTTTTCAGGACGGGTCAGCAGCAGCAAGTTGCCCAGGTCTTGCTGTGGATGTTGGAGTGCTCCCGAACGCTCTATCTCCTCCACGCCAGGGTCCCACCGATCATTCACCACGACATCAAGGCCCAGAACATCATGATTCACCCGGAGAGGAAGCATACCCTGCTAGTTGATTTCGGCATTGCTCGAGTTTGCTCCGACGGGACGACCGCAATCTGCAACGATAGAGGGTTGGAATACGCTTCTCCGGAGCAGCGGAAGCATGGCATCACGAATCGGAAGTCGTCCTGGCCGAACTCCTCACGGTCCGGGCGGGGCACAAAGTGGCTGAGTTTCGCAGGTGGAGGAAGTTGAAGATGCGAGTTGGTGCGGATGGAACTGCGCAGAAGCCGGAGAAGCGCCCTGGAAGCGCCCCCGCTTCATGAATTCAGCGACGAGTCGACGACGCGAGCTCCGCGGACCCCTCTTTCGCTGGAAATCTCGACTACGTGCGCGACCTACCGCTTCCAAGGCTCGGTGCTTGTGAAGGCGCTTGCGAGCTTGGTACTGTGCTTGAACAAACACCCAGTCAATAGGTTGACGGCCAAAGAAGCATATATTCAGCTACGGGCTCTCATCCTCAAAGGTGCCCTCCCCCACCCAAGTCCCCGGAATCTTCCCAAAAGAACTTGGACTAGTCCAGCGACAGTTCCGACGACGAAGATGAGGCAAGCTGGTTCAAGCCTTCCACCAGGTCGTTGGAGTAGTTGGACCTCCGAGTTACCGAATCAGCGAAACCGGAAGAGGAAGGAGTAGAGGAAGTTGGCGGGAACTAGGGTCAAGTCAAGTCCGGTATGCAGCGTGGAAGCAGACTGCGTACGAATATACACCGCTGGTATGTCGGATGCGGGAGTCGCTACGGCTGCAAGGAAGAGCGGGAGATGGTTAGTTCTGAAAAGGTCAGGTTCAGGGTCAGATTCCTATCCTAGTTAGGCGCTGGACGACTAGACCGAAGAATTCATCGACCTGTAAATGTTGCATACGACGCCCCAGATCCTGATCCTCAGTCGAGCCGGTGTTTTTTCCTCTGCGGGTTGCCGACGTTCAGGGGCGACAATACCTACCAGCGTTCGGGCTGAGAATATGCGGCCAACATCGGCTCGCGCGCCGGTTTCTCAGACTTCATGCGACGTATGGCGGAATTCAGGATGCGTGTGCAAGCGCCGACGCCCACCGCCTTTCACCAAAATTTTCAAAAAAAGTAATATGCTGACCTATGCTATATCCGCACAGGTGGCGGTCATTTTAAGCGGTAAACAAAGTGAATGGATAAGGCCAGAAATTCTTGCGGAGAACGACGCATCTGCAAAACGTCTAGACTGCCATCTACATCTAAACTGCCATCTACATCTAGACTGCCATCTACACCGTTATGTAGAAATCAATCTACAAAGTTTTTTGTAGCTGCCCCATCGGCGCATCCGCGAACACAACCAGCACCGATTTGTTATCAACCCTCACTTCGAGGTCGACAACCGGACCATTTCAAGGGTGTGCTCCAGCTTGCAGGGACTTTAGTAGTCTCCACATTAAACATCTTGATTTTCTACGCAGCATTCGGTGCAAAGGAACATAAAGGCTCCGTCCTCGGAAAAGCTGTGCTGCGGATGGGAAGCTTTGAGATGGTTCAGTGAAGGTTGGCCAACATATTCTCGACCTGGGCAAGCTCGCTTTGAATCTTGGCGGGGGTAGCTTCGTGCGCCATGCCAAAGTCGATGAGAACGACCGGGCGCGCAGAGAGGCCAGTGATAATGATGTTGCGCGATGCGATATCGCCATGAATAACTCCCGCTTGGTGTAGTGACATGTAGGCTGCCCGTACATGATCGAATAGTGAGCGATCCGCGGCAGATATATGCCGCCCCTCGACAAACTCCGTTCCAATAATGGCGATCTCCCCCCCTTGTAACGTCAGAGGAAACGTAGACGATATTTGGCCCTTCTGAGAGGGCTGAGAACAGTGTATTGTAGTGAAAGAAAAGTAAGAAGCTTTTTGCAGCGGCCGCTCGACTGACAGCTTTGTATATGGGCTGCCAGTGGGGCTTGCGTGGCTTCAGTGAGGCTTGGCACCTTATGTAATGTATCACCGAGAGCTCGGGTGGTCAGCTCGGGTCTCGGATCAAGTAAGAGTAAAGAGATATCATATGAAATACAAGTGAAGATGAGATATCCCCGACACCTCCCTCAGATCCTGAGGGGGGCGCCGAATAGATAAGAGGTGAACTACAAGGGATATGTGAAGAAAGGGAGAGCTCATGTTCATTTCAAAGTGTTGACGCACTTGTTCATTTTATAGTGTTGACGCACTGTGTGTGTGTGTGTTTGAGGCAAAGGCGTCCCTAAGCCGACGTCGTGTGTGATGTGTGTGTGTGTAAGGTCGGTTCTTGCGTCGCCGCGCGTGATGTGATATAGTTTACGTCGCTATTGTCAGCGGTGTGATTGATAGTGAGCTGTTCTTGCGGCGTCGCGCGTGTGATGTGATATGAGATGCTCTATGCTGTTCGTCTCCGTATCCACAAAGATTGTGGGTGAGCTTTTCGCCATCGTTTGTAGGCAGGCGTGTAACGAAGTGCGGATTCGGGTTCCCAAGTAGGGTCAGGATAACCGAGCCATTTGACTAGAAGATTTCGTACGGCGCGTCGCTCGTCGATGATATCTTCTATGACCCATTCAGGTTGTTCGCGTTCTTCTATTGGTGGAGGAGGTTGTGGAACTGCACGTTGCGGATATTGCTCTTTGCGATGTGGTCGTAAAATACCCAAGTGAAAGACGGGCCAGATGCCGCTGATCTTCAATGGTGATAAATCGAGTTCGTAGGTATCAGGATGTGCTCCCAGTGCGATGATTTTGAATGGTCCGATCCACGTAGCTGAGTATCGAAGTCCTCTTCGAGCGTCGACTTCTAGGTTGATTCCTTGTCGGTTTAAATCGACGAGGTCGCCAATTTTGTATGCGATTGGCGTTCGACCTTTGTCGTGTTGACGTGCGAATTGATCTTGCGATCTCTGAAAGTTTTCGCGTACGATACGGGCGATATCTTCCTGCCCTTTCTTGAAGAGTTCGATTTCGTTTCGATCTACAGCTCGAAGTTTGAGTTCTTGTCCTTCGAGTGTGGGATTCCAACCCGGGAGGATCGGAGAGCGTCCGAGATCTACTTCGAATGGCGATAAACCTTCATATTCCTCCCCCCGAGCGGTATTGAACGCGAATTCGGTCAAAGGCAATAGTTTCTTCCAATTGCTTTTGTGGTAGTTGAGATATTGTTTCCAAATCCTTTTCAGGGTTTGTGTCGGGGATATCTCATCTTCACTTGTATTTCATATTATATCTCTTTACTCTTACTTGATCCGAGACCCGGGCTGGCCACCCGAGCTGTCGGTAATACATTACATAAGGCGCCAAGCCTCACTGAAGCCACGCAAGCCCCACTGGCAGTCCATATATAAAGCTGTCAGGCGAGCGGCCGCTGCGAAGAGCTTCTTACTTTTTTCTTCACTACAATACACTGCTCTCAGCCCTTTCAGAAGGGCCCAATATCGTCTACGTTTCCTCTGACGTTACAGATAGCACCACCTACCGCTAGCATCACCAAGACATTCCTCGTCAACGTCGCCCCTCTACCGGACATCGCCCTTACACTCGTGCACAAGCAAGAATGGACGCACAGACTCAAGCTATCGTTGCGGCTGTCGCAGCTGCTCTCGCTACTTGGGAGCGCGCTATTACGCAAGACAACCAACGAGCCGAACGCTTCAGACTTCTTATGGACGCTCGCAAGAACAAGCTCGTCGAATATGATGGCGCCAAAGCTGCCAAAAAGATCGAAGAGTTCGTTACGTCTCACCACAACTTTTTCGAGTCTCTTACTGTCCCGGCTGTACAAGCTGGATCAGACGGTACTAAAGCTGCCAATGCCATAGCCTTTACTATGGCAGAGTACGCCCCTACGCTTATTACCTACCTCAAGGGTACTGCTCTCGAGTGGTACAATACGACTTACACCGCTGGACCTCCCGCAAATTGGGCAGCTTTTGAAACGGCTCTTGTCGCTCATTTTTATCCTCGCAACTTGCGTAATACTATTGAGCTCAAGCTTTCCGGTCTCAGCTCGGTGACTCTCTCGAAAAATATATCAAGGAGTTTCAAGACACCAATAATGAGCTCGAAGCTGCTCGTCGTCTCGATAACACTCAAGGCACCATTCCCCTTATTGATCAGATCCGATACTTCAAGGCCGGTCTTCTCAAGAATACGGTAATCGGTCATTATCTCGCTGAAGCTGTTACGAACTTCGAAGTTTTGGGCACTACCAACATCAATACTCCCATTACTCTCGCTCAAGCTATCACTGCAGCCCGTCGTGCCCATGTGGCTCATGGGTTCACTGACGGCAACCAAGCCGATACGCCTCGTCCGATTGCCTCGGCGTCAAGGGCTCGTGGCGGTTGTGGAGCCAGCCGCGGTCGAGGTAGTCGTGGCGGTGGTCGTGGCGGACGATTCGCCCCTTACGCCAATCCTCGAATTACGGAATTCGAGCAAGACTTAGATGATATGACCTTTGGGCTCAATGCCCTCGGTACGTCATATTATTCCCCTGGAGTGAGCCGTATCACTACAGGTCAAGTTCCCTACCAACGTCAACAGCCCTTTCGTCGACATGGACAATGGCAAACTACTCACATTCCTCGTCAACGTCCAACGACTCCTTGTCCCCTTTGTAATAAAATGGGACATTGGAGAGTTGAATGCTGGTCAAATCCAGAAAATCGACAGCAAGGCTCGCAAACCCAGAACCGACGCGGAGGTTTTCGACAGCGCGGTCGTGGTGCTCAAACTCCGCAGCGCAGTCGCCAACCTAATCAACAACAAGGTTCAGCCAATCAGGTTGATGCTGGGTCACGCATTACGGAAATTCTCAATGACGCCGTCAACTCTGCGAATACTACATATACTACTACAAATCAATCTTCGAGTTTTTTCCAAGGTCGATAGAGCCCCTTGGTAGCTCTGCTCGGCCTACATCATACGATCCTACCGATAAACCTGCCTTCGAACCACTGTCTGCTGGACTCTGGGTCTCTCATTGTCGCATCGGAAACAAGTTTGCTCGTGTTCTCTTTGATAGCTGTTATGGACGACGCGCCCATACCATAATC